GGTTTTTGTACATTCGTCTTCGGATATGTCCATTTGGGGGCGTTGGGGTCTGCGACGAGGTCGTTCGTTTTGCGTTGACGGTTGTAGCCCTTGGTCAGGTCGGATGGGTTGGAAGACCGAAACTCTTCCTCGTTGAGTTCCTCCTCAAAGATATCATCGTAGTAATCGTCGTCCTCGTCTTCATTTTCTTGCGCTTCAGGATCTTGCCCCGCCGTAGTGGGGACAGTGCCATCAGGACGCACATATCCTTGATTAGGAACGTACGTATGCGAAGGCGACAAGCCATCCGCCAGGTTGGCCGCCTGAGCAGTCTGCTCTGAGGAAGCCATGATTCCAATCGAAACGAATCCCCGATGCTGTACTGGAAAAAAAGACTACGGCAGCGAAGCGGACGGAAAGAAAAAAGTTCCATTTGTGACGCACTTTTTTTTTTCTCTGGACAGAGTGCGGGCCACCCTGTGCACACCGCCCGGCAAAACCCCGCGGGTCCAACGCGTTGGAAGGGGACTGGGCAGATCGACCACGCGTAGTGCGACAGTTCTGCTCCGTCGCAGGTCAGCACCACTTTGTTCCTCATTGTTTACTGTCTGACTCTCCCGGCCTCGCGCGTCAACGATCTGCTCTGCTGCAGATAGCCAGGGCACGGATTCTACTTGATACGCTGGTTGCGTGATGATCTGGTGGTTGTGAGTGACAGGATTTCCGGTGTCGCGCGTGCGTCAAGATGTACGTCAAGCAAATTATCATCCAGGGCTTTAAGAGGTAAGTAGCCCATATGTTGGTTGACGATCGTGTACGTGGGCATTGGAATTGATCGACTTGTTTTCATCTATATAGTTACAAGGACCAGACCGTGATCGAGCCATTCTCCCCAAAACACAACGTTATTGTCGGTCGCAATGGTTCCGGTAAAAGTAACTTCTTCGCGGCCATTCGATTCGTCCTCAGTGATGCCTACACGCACATGGGGAGAGAAGAGCGCCAGGCTCTTCTTCACGTACGAACTCCGCGACTGTCACCCGGTGGTAAACAGTGCTTACATTGAATAGGAAGGCTCGGGGTCTGCTGTGATGTCCGCCTATGTTGAGATCATCTTCGATAACTCTGATGACCGTTTCCCTACCGGCAAGCCCGAAGTGGTCCTCCGTCGTACAATCGGTTTGAAGAAGGACGAATACACCCTCGACCGCAAGAATGCGACCAAAAACGATGTCATGAATCTTCTCGAATCCGCTGGCTTCTCCCGTTCCAACCCCTACTACATTGTTCCTCAGGGCCGTGTGACTGCCTTGACAAACATGAAGGATTCGGAGCGACTGAATCTGCTGAAAGAGGTGGCTGGAACGCAGGTATACGAAGCGCGTCGTGCGGAGTCCCTGAAGATCATGCACGACACGAACACCAAGCGGTCAAAGATCGACGAACTCCTCGATTTTATCAACGAACGATTGGCAGAGCTTGAAGAGGAGAAGGATGAACTCCGGAACTATCAGGATAAAGACAAGGAAAGGAGATGCTTGGAATATACGATCTACTCGCGCGAACAGCAGGAAATCTCCAGTTTCCTCGACAACCTAGAGGAGCAGAGGCAAACCGGTGTGGAAGATACCGATGTCAACCGCGACCGCTTTATCCAAGGGGAAAAGGAGATGGCCCAGGTCGACGCAGAAATCGCCGAATGCAAGCAACAGATTGAATTCCTCAAGGTGGACAAGGTGCAATTGGAAGATGAACGTCGCGATGCTTCCAAGGCGCTCGCCCAGATTGAGCTGCAGGCCAAGTCTCTTTCCGACAACCAAGCTGCTGCTCAGGTGCTGAAGTCGCGTTATGACGACGACCTGAAGTCCGTTCAGACAGCGATTCAAGAACGCGAGTCGGAACTCAGCGGACTCATCCCTGAATTCAACGCAGCCAAAGACCAGGAGGATGATGTGAAAACCCGCCTCACTGAAGCTGAGACTTCCCGTCAAAGACTCTATGCCAAGCAGGGCCGAAATTCGCGTTTTAGGAACAAGTCGGAACGGGATAAGTGGCTGCAGAATGAGATCAAGGACAACTATAGCTCTGTCTCTTCCGTCCAGGGAGTGGTGTCCCAAACCCAGGAAGACATCCAAGAAATTGAGAACGAGATTGCTCTGTTGGAGCCGGAAACTGAACGTTTGCGCCAGCAGATCGACGGCCGAGGTGACTCTATTCACTCAGTGGAGCAGCAAGTCCAGTCTGCAAAGGATGAGCGAGACCGGCTGATGGATCAGAGAAAGTAAGTGGGTTTGCTTTCTCAATCGACGATTTGCTGACCTTTCCGCAGGGAACTCTGGAGGGAAGAAGCCAAGCTGGATTCTATCCTGTCTAACGCCTCCAGCGAAGTGGACCGGGCCGATCGCGCTCTGTCGCACATGATGGACCACAACACAAGCCGTGGGATCGCAGCCGTTCGAAGAATCAAACGCCAGCACAACTTGGATGGTGTTTACGGTACACTAGCCGAACTGTTCGATGTAAACGACAGATACCGAACAGCAGTTGAGGTCACAGCTGGCCAGAGTCTATTCCACTACGTCGTTGATACCGACGAAACGGCAACAAAGGTGTTGGAGGTCCTGCAGCAAGAGAAAGCAGGGCGAGTAACTTTCATGCCCTTGAACCGATTGAGGTCTAGGCCCACCAACATGCCTCGTGCTAGCGATACCATCCCGATGATCGAGAAGTTGCAATACGACCAGGCGTACGAAAAGGCCTTCCTCCACGTGTTTGGCAAGACCATCATCTGTCCTAATTTACAAGTTGCCGCTCAGTACGCCCGCAGCCACGGTGTAAACGCCATCACGCCCGAGGGTGACCGGTCCGATAAGAGAGGTGCCCTCACTGGTGGTTTCCATGATTCGCGACAATCGCGGCTTGACGCTGTCAAGATCCTGGCTAAATGGCGGGATGAATATGAGACCAAGAAAAACCGCGGGACTGACATCCGTAGGGAGTTGGAGAAGCTGGACCAGCTTATCACGAAAGCCGTTGGGGAATTGCAGAAGCTGGAACAGCAGCGGCACCAAGTGCAGAACAGCAGTGGGCCCCTGCTCCATGAGCTGAGGAGCAAGCGCGACCTTCTTCAGAAGAAAAATGACAATTTGGATGCCAAGCGGCGTGCTCTTCGTAACATCCAAGGCAATCTGGCTGCTCTGAATGACCAGATCAACGCGTTTGAGGCAGAGCTGAAGTCCCCCTTCCAAAAGGCACTCAGCGCCGAAGAAGAGAACCGCCTCGAGTCCTTGAACTCGACCGCCCAAGATCTTCGGCGACAGTACCAGGAATTGTCTGGCCAACGCAGTGAACTGGAAGCGCGGAAGTCGGTTATCGAAGTCGAGCTGCGGGAGAATTTGAACCCCCGCCTCGACCAGCTTGTGAGTCAAGACATTGACATGGCTGATGACGACAACAAAGGCAATCTGAAGGAGACCCAGCGTGAAATGAAGCGCTTCCAGAAGTCCCTGGAAAAGCTTGCCCAGCGGCTGCAACAGGTCGACGATTCCATCAACGAGTCGAACACCAAGGTGGCGGAGCTGACACAGCGCAACGCTGAGACGCGGCGGGAAATGGAAGACCTGGCCAAATCTATCGAAAAGCACCAACGCCGCATGGAAAAGAGCATGCAGAAGAAGGCTGCGCTGACCAAGCAAGCGGCCGAATGCTCTGCCAACATCCGTGATCTGGGTGTCCTTCCCGATGAAGCCTTCACCAAGTACAAGAACACCGACTCGAACACCGTCGTCAAGAAACTGCACAAGGTCAACGAAGGTCTCAAGAAATATTCGCATGTCAACAAGAAAGCGTTCGAGCAGTACAACAGCTTCACGAAGCAGCGGGAAACCCTCATCTCACGACGAGAAGAGCTCGAAAGCTCTCAGAAGTCGATCGACGACCTCATCACCGTGCTGGATCAACGAAAAGATGAGGCCATTGAGCGGACGTTCAAGCAGGTGTCGCGTGAGTTCGCCAATGTCTTCGAGAAACTCGTTCCGGCTGGCCGTGGACGCTTGATCATCCAGCGGAAGACGGACCCCCGGCAGGGCGATGAGATTGACTCGGATGACGAAGAGGCGCGTCAAAGTGTGGAGAATTACGTCGGTGTTGGAATCAGCGTCAGCTTCAACAGCAAGCATGATGAACAGCAGCGTATCCAACAGCTCAGTGGCGGACAGAAGAGTGAGTGCATCCTATTTCACTATTTTTTGATTGCTCTCAACTAACCCGGATGTGTTTCAGGTCTTTGCGCGCTCGCTTTAGTATTCGCCATCCAAGCGTGCGACCCAGCTCCCTTTTACCTCTTCGACGAGATCGACGCCAACCTCGACGCGCAGTACCGGACCGCCGTCGCGCAGATGCTCCAGTCCATTTCCGACTCGACCAACGGGCAATTCATCTGCACGACCTTCCGCCCGGAGATGGTGCACGTGGCAGAGAAATGCTACGGCGTCAGCTTCCGCCAGAAGGCCAGTACGATCGACGTGGTGTCGCGGGAAGAAGCGCTCAAATTCGTGGAAGAGCAAAAGTCATGAGGTGGGGATTTGGTGGTCTTTTTTACTCAAACTCTCACGTCGGTGCCGGAATGGATGGGACAGCAGGCGTATCTCAGAAGGCAGTCGCTATGGCTTTTTTTTTTCTTGTCTTTTCTTTTCTCTTCTTTTATTACTTCTTATTTTTGTTTCATTCTTGTAAAGATGCAGTCGGCTTATCTTCGCGGATTCCCAATGTTAATCCTACAATTGACCATTTCCTATATGATTCTAGTACACCGTCTACTCGTCACTGTCTGAAAAAGAGGTACCCCAAAATTAGAACCTCCTACAAGAAACACCGGCAAGTACTTTCTGCTTTGAGATCTAAGAGTATATACTATAAATATATCCCTCTTCTTGTGTCCTCTATGAGAGGAGAACATAGTTTCGGCCCTGTGTAGAGAAAGATAGGTAGATTGCTAGTATTACACCTCCCTGACTCTCATATCAAGCTCCTGAAATTATTATAATTCCATGATCACACCACTAATGCAAGCTAACTAGCTCTATTCGGGCCCTTCGGCCATCAGTGACTCGGAAGAACCCGAGAAACAGGGATAAATCAAGTATAATGCAACTCTCTCTCACACATGCAATCCGCCCGTCGTCTAGCTCCGTAGTACATAGTACATATAGCCACCATCAATTCAGCGGCGGCTTCTCCCCCGTCCACTCCGCCAGAATATTCTCCGGCACATCCCTGACCAAGACATGCACATGCTCCAAGCTCCGCACACTCTGCAAAGCTGTCGGATTCTTAAACCACAGCACGTGATCCTCCGGCGCGGGAATCTTCTCCAGCGCCAACCGAGCCACAAACGTACGCGCCACAAAGTCCTCAATCAGCGCGCGACTCTCGGGGGTCACCTCCCCGGTGACGGAATCCACCGGGACGGGGGTACGCAGCCAGACGACGAGGTGGACGATGCCGGGCTCCATGCCGTAGGGCCAGTCATTGCGGAGGATCTTGTAGTCTGCGGGGTCGGCGAAGGGGATGGGGTTGGCGAAGGGGAAGACGGGTTCGCTGTCTGTTGTTGCTTCCGTACTACTGGTAGGAGTGGTCGGAGGAGAGGCAGGGACATGCCAGTGTAGACGTCGCTGGCAGATGTAGTTTGTGATGGAGCCGTAGTGGGCTTTGGCGTCTTTGGACCAGGCGAGGTAGCGGATTAGGTCGGAGGGTTTCCGCTTGAACTTGGAGGGGTCGTTGATTGCTGTAGATTACGGGGGATAAAAATCATAAGCTAGGGAATGCGGGGGAATTCGGACGGTTTGTTTTATCTCTGGAGAGGGGTGATGTAGGGTGAGGTGGGATTGATGAGAAAAGAAAGTATACAGAAAGTCAATATATAGTACTACACAAATGGGAATCGCCTACCGATGATGGACTTGAGATCCTCCCAGTCATGGGGAATGTATTCATCGTCTGTTTGGGTTAAGAGCTGACGATCGAGGTCGGTCAGGTTGAATGCGGGAGGTTCCTCGGGAGACATGATGGGGCGAGAGACAGAGAAGAGTGTGTACTCCGTCGTCTGCGGTGACGGCGAATTATTTGATGTGGTTTAGCATGCCTAATCAGGGAACGCGCTTCACTGTTGCTTAGTATTGTGATAGGTGGTTGATCAAAATATCCTTCTGCTTATCTCAGGAGGGCTATTACTTAAGACTCTTTTCATATTCTTCACAACTCCAATCAACATGAGATCAATTTACTATGAAGTTAGTTATTCTATATCCTGTATCATACTACTCTCTTGATTGTCATAAGTTATAATTGTTATATATTATTCCTAGAAATCTCATATGACTTATTCTTTTCTACTAAATTAAAGTATAATCAGGTAACATACTTTCTCTGCACCAAGTCTACTCTCTATTTTATAATAAAACCAATTATTACAGTGCTTTCTCAGACAATTATGACTATATTACTAGAACTGGTCTAGAGCTCATCATCCTACGTATTTGAGTTCCCTCCTGTGCTGTCTAGAGATTTAAAGCTTTTACATGACTGTATTAGTAGCTCTCTATGTTAGGTGTGGCCCCAGGCAGCCCCCGTGGTCGCCCGCGCCACCGGGGCCCGCCTGGTCGTCCCGGATTCCTGGTCATGTATTATATATAGTATTGAGGCGAATATGACAGACAGTCTTCTAGACTCAAAGGGTGGAGATCCGACAACTCAGTCCTGGTTGAGTCGGGTCATCCAAGGGTGGGTCAGATATCTATCTCCCATTCGACCGTTCTTACCCCGCGTTTTGATTGATGTTTATCCTGCACTTTCCGGTATAAAAGTCCGGAGCAGGCCGAAAACCCTTGAATCGTAGAGTAATAATCTGAAATCACCGAGTGTCGTCACATTAGTGTCAAAATGAGCCATATAGACCGGCGCGGCACCCGCCGGCAGGGTCGTCCGTTGAAAGACTACAGCCGGGCATACAAAGCGTGTATTCCTTGTCGGAAGACCAAAGCAAGATGCGAGCTCGCTGCGGACTCGGAGCCTTGCATCAAGTGTAAAAGGGAACTGAAAGAATGTGTATTCACGGCTGAACGGTCGACAAAAAGACGCGCAACGGCAGACGTTCGAGGAAAGGTGTGCATCGTTAGATACTGTTCCCTGCCTAGGAATCTGCTGATCGTGTCTTCAGACGCCTCAAGCCGCACCAGTCCTAGCGGATACTACCAGGAATCCGGACTGCACACTGGATCTTGTGCATTCGTCAGAGCAAACCCAGGAGAAACCTCAAAGAGTCGAACTCCCGACTTGCTCGGCACCCCCACGTGCGCTAGAAGCACGTATAAACGCAGATTTCGATAATGAGGTCATGGAAACGGTAGTTTCCTGTTCCAAGGATGCGCTGGGCCTATTATTCAAAGCTGCCGAGCAACAGGATGTTGACGAGCTGGAGGCGGATCGCCAGGTTCACAGTCCTGTCACCCCTCTGACAAACCCTTCCACTGTAAATTTCAACCCATCTCCACCAGTCAGGCTATCGGAGCCGTCACAAGAAGTCATTGAGCTTTGGAGTCGGCATCGCTTCGTAAGGCAAGGGTGGTTCAGTGCCCAGGAGGCAGTGACATATATTGACCTGTAAGTCGAATCCAACAATCTGTGGTGGGAGGAACAAGAAGTTCTGATTTGCCTTCGAGATTCTATCGTAACCTCTCGTTTTTGTCGCCGGTTGCCGACACGTATTACGCTCGCCATGAAAACCATAAGGCACTTATTCTAGAGGAACCCCTTCTGTGCTGCTCACTGCTCATGATATCGTCGCGTTACCATGTGCTCCCGGGCCAAGGGGGGGTATCGCGGGCAGGATTCATTCACTCACGGTTGTGGAAGCACTGTGAGCATCTGATCCAGCGGATCACCTTCGGCGCTGAGAAATACAGCCTTGCCAGAACCCGTACACTGGGCAGTATCAGAGCTTTTCTCTTGATCACGGAATGGCATCCCCGAGCACTCCACTTCCCGCCTGAAAACGACGGGTGGGATGTCAGTCTAGCTCCCAGCATTGATGATAGCTTCGGGAACCACCAAAGAGACGGAGATATTCATCTCATAAGATGGCGTGAGGAAGTATTTGAGCCCGCAAAAAGATCGGACAGAATGAGCTGGACGATGCTGGGGCTTGCGACGACGCTGGCCCATGAGCTTGGAGTCTTCGAAGAATCCGAAGTCAATCAAGACCTTACCGACAATATCGATCTTCAGAGGGCTCAGCATGAGATCAGAATGTTGCTATATCTCTACGGAAACCAATTAGCGTTACGTCTGGGCTGCACAAGCGTTGTCCCTCGGAGCTACTGTCACCTGTCTGGCTACACGGAATCACTATCTGCACATGAACCCGCAGAACAAGCCAGCAAGGACCGCGACCGGATGATTGCCAAGTGGATCGATATCACCAAGATTCTCGAGACTGCAAAGGACATGCTGTTCCCCAACAAATCAACCACTCGCCAAATACTGAAGAACGGCAACTACATTGCTCTATCTGAACATTTCCAGCCGGTCCTGGCTCAGTGGCACAGCGAGTTCACAGCGATGGACCTCCCAAGTAAGTGCGCACATATTCGTTCAAATACCACTTCTAACAGTGTGCAATCGAAGCCATCCACGATGCAGGCAAGCAAGCTCTGCTTCTGGATTATTTTTATACCCGGGTGTATATTAGCTCCCTTTCTCTACAAGCACTCATAGAGCGACTCAATCGCCGCAGCAGTAGCGACATCTGGTTGGACCAAGCCTTCCAACGAAATCAGTACGCCGATGAGTTTAAATCGATCAACGCCGTCCGGGAAGCCAGCCGCGAAGCAATATCAATTGCCATCAAACTAGGGGAAAGCGGATGCCTACGTTATTGTCCGGTTCGGGTGCTTCTGCGAATTGTCTCAGTTTCAATATTTCTCCTCAAATCCATCAGTATCGGGGCAAGGAATGAAAACTTCCGTTACGATCTGGATATCCTATACCGATGCAACCAGGTCCTCAAGGCCAACCAGCATGATGATATTGACCTGTCGGCACGGTATGGCACGCTGATCGGCCGCCACGTGCAGCGACTCATCAGAAAATTTGGCTTGCAACCCAATGGCAATGCAGAAATCGCAGACCCGAGTTCACGATGTGTGCCACGCACGACACAGGCACATCTTTGGCGAGGAGATGGCTCTCGAGATAACAACTTTGGTGAGCAAAGATCAGATACCGGTCATGATAGCACCCTACCAGAGTTGAATCCTAGTCATGGGTTGAACATGGACGGCTGGTTGAGACAGGATGAGCCATTGCCTGCCGAGTTTGATGCAGGACAGTCCACGTCGCAATTCGCCATTGACTCGTTGGACTTTCTTTGGGAACTGCCTATTTGAATATTGCGTAAATTTAAGAGACATTGTATGATATAGCAAATGCAGTCCATTTACAAATCATTATGAAAAAGATATTTGACAGCCAGCTTCAGGGGGGAGTTCCCACCGCTGCCACGTGAACTTCTCATTTCACCAATCTAGGTTCTCGCCACCAGTCAGCTCCTTCTCTAGCACACCTATTGGTGGCTGATGGACGACATTAGAAACGGCAGCGGTGCTTGGCTTCGTGAGCTGTTCCCACAGGTCACTCCCAAGGAGTTTGTAACCCTCCACAGCCCCCTTTCTCGAAATGAGCTCCCTCTCGATATCACTCAAATCAAAGTGAAAGGTCTTTCCACCCGCAGTCACTGTCTGTGTTGAAACGTCTACTTCTATCTGCTCTCCATCTGCCACGACTTCGTAGAACGCATTGTCCGTAACGGTGAACCCCAGTAGGCCGAGAGTCCTCATGTTGCGGTTGAATATGAAGGAGAATGAACGGGCCAGTACGACCTGGATGCCAATCCCTGGTAGACAGATCTCAACATAAGCTTCTCTCCCTATCAGAGTCTTTCATGTATAGAGTTGAACTCACCTTTCAATGCAAAGACTGCAACTTCCCTGCTGGATCCGCAGCCAAACGCGTGATCTGCCACAATGACTCTCTGTCCTCCTTTGACTTTATCGCGGAATTCCGGATGCGTATACTCGAGACAGTGAGCTCCAAAGTCTTCGTCCGTAATACAGGTTGTCAATGCCGGTCCTGGCGCAAGCTGTTGTTGGTGGCTCAGTTATTGCTCTTCATGGACTTCGTGCGTGGACTCCTTCAGAACATACTCACCGCGTCTGTGTCTATGAAATCTCCAAGCCGCACAATCCTACTTTTGATATGCGGCAGTTGAGGACGAGGCATATCTGGTGGTAGTTGTTTTTCTGCTTCGGCGGTGGCCTTCATTGGGGCCATTTGCTTGCTCGGCCGAGAGCCCGGAAAGGTTGGCTCCGCATATTGGATTTCATCAACCATTTTCGACGTTTTCCATTTATGCTCCAACAGCTCATAATCGATTTCTTGCAGGAATGGTCGTGGGTCAACGAGGGACATGCTGAAGCTAGACGCCGCGCACACTACAGCAGAGGAAAGGTGACCGAAAGATCCTGGAAATTATTAGTTAGCAACCAAGGACAACAAGCACCACACAAAAACAATCGAAAGGGGGTCTCCAAGGTGTACTAGCCCTTTCCCATGCGATTCTGGAAATTGCGATTCTGCGAACTGAGCCAGGTTTCTCCTTCCCCAGCACGATCGACTGAAAGCCCAAGGCAGTATGAGCATCCAGGTGGTCCCCTAGTAAACCCAGACCTTGAATAAACTTCCAATAGGCCCATAGATTCAAGCTTTGAGACGATAGGCAATGAACTTGGCACATAATGGCGTTTGCCAGGGGCGAGCTCCAGACCCATCTTCAATCCAACCTTCAAGACAAGAGCCGCAAGCACCAGTTCTTCTTCGGTTGTCGTACAAGCACCGATAAACACGCCATCAAGATGCATCCCAGCTTTTTCAGTGATGGGAACCACGTTATCCGGGCTGGGGTACACGGCAATTGTGGGCTCCACCGTGGCCAAGTCGACAATATATTTCCCGGCATAGGAAGCGCCGCTGTCCGGTCGAAAATAGACAGAATGTCTCTTGTTTCGCTTAGATCTTCTCCGTGAGATAAATTGCCTTGTCACATCATCTGGTACGAAGACACCCGAGATGGCCCCGAACTCGGTCGCCATGTTACATATGGTGAAGCGAGCATCGCAAGATAAGAAACGCGCTCCCTCCCCACCAAATTCGACAATCCGCTCCGTGGCAACAGTGTTTCTCTTAAGCTCTTTAAGAATATGCAGGATCACGTCTTTGCCACTGATTCCCGGCGCCGGACGGCCTTGAAACTCCACGAATATCGAGTCGGGGATCTTCAACCACGTCTCACCCAGTATGAGCCCCATCAAAACATCAACTCCACCCAGACCGATGGCCAGGCAACCGACTGCCCCGCCGGAGCAGGTGTGAGAGTCGGCCCCGATGGCCAGCATGCCGGGCTCCGCACGCTCTCTCACAAATTCCGTGTGCATGATGGTGTAATTCAAGCCCTGATACTCCGTCATCTTGAAGTCCACTTTGGCCTTCTCGGCACGTGCTATCAGATCGCGCATCGTGGGTGTCTGCGCCGCATCAGGATGCACAACGTGGTCGGCTGCAAGCCAGAAGCGGTCATTTCGCCATATTCCCGGTGAGCCAAGGTCGCTTTCGTAAACCCGGGACATTGTCTATGACGGTTATACTGTCAGCTTTTGTGGTGATATTAAAGCAGACACGAAGATCTGAACAACAGGCTCGAAGCCGCATACGCACCTGCCAAGATAGCTCGGATGAAAGAACCCAGTCGAGTCCCACGCGAACAACAGCCCCTGCCTGTAATCGACCCTGTGGTATATTCCCGCCAACTAGGTGCTGCACGATTATCTTTTGTGCCAGTGTCATCGGTCCAGCGGCGTGTCCTGGTCCCGATGAGGGGAGGAACTTGCTCAACGAGAGTTCCGCGCTCAAGGATAACAACATGGCTTCAACAAGGAACCCGGCGTTTTCATAATCTCTTTCAACAACCAAGGCTCCTGGATCGTCACGTATTCCCAATCCGCCGAAGCTTTTGCTTGCAGTGATCCTTTCAACGGCATCGTTCAGCGCAGTGGCCTCGCCGACATATTGATTGCTCTCCAGTGTGTCAGCAATAGCAGATAGGAGAGACGGAATCGACCACCGGATATTATCGTCAGTGAGTACATGCTGGATAAAGGTGGGCTTTATCGCGCGCTCGTGATCCAGCAAGTTTAGAACGTGCGTCCCAAAGGCTTGTAACCGGGGTACTTCCGCTATGGTCATGGTGTAGCTATGTGTTTGTCTAGATCAAAAAGATTGTGAATTTGGAGCTTTGTTAGGTTCACGGCGAATTAACATTGTCGCGCGTGATGGTGTGATATCTATTTGCGGCCTACTACTTTTGTACTCCAGTTCCGCCCATGGTTTCGCGGATATAAACCGAGTGGACATCCACTTAACCGGATATCACCGGGAATGTGTCAGGATTCGAGTTAGGTTGGCATAACTATTAGCATCTCCTCAATATACCGTGCACCCGGTGATTTTTCCTGGAATTTCCGTGCCATGGCTTCCACCAGCCCGGTCCTGTACGATTTTCTCCCCAACCGGCCTCGCAATGAGAGATACCGTGTGCTAGATGCCGCAGCGAATAAAATAAAAAATAAGTAAAACCGATCAAGAAAAGACCACAGTTGCTTCAAGCTAGCGACACGAGTATTCGTTCTCCAGACGCGGTGGGATCAAAAGCAAAAATATAATCAAAAACAATAGAGAAAAAGCTAAAATTGGCATATTACAACCTATTGATCAATTTCAAGTCAACACTGCTTGATTCTTCAGTTGCTCTGTATACATCACTCTCGCCCCTAAAGCATATATCTGAAGTTGGGGTGACTGTCTCCCCCATCGGTGACATCCACCCTCTCATTCTCATCCACCAGCCCATGAACCCGATCTCTCCTTCTATTTTCCAAAGCCAGAGAAATCCGCAGCCCCAATGCCACAATGACAATCGCACCCGTCATGCCACATCCGATCGCACACCCCTTCGTATAAAACGGTGCATCCGTGTTCGGAAACACAGAACTACTGATAAAGCTGGAGCACTGGCCGAAGACCCCCAGGATAGCCATCCCAGCTCCCTTCTTGCTCTCTCCACCTTGATTATTGAGCAACCAGGTAATATTCAGTGAGAGTGCTGGGAAGACTCCACAAGTAGCAAGCCAGATCCCTGCGTATCTTGCCGCGGTGTTTTCGACAAGGGTCAAAATAAGGTATCCCACGGTTGCCATGGCGGAGAAAAAGATAATCACCGAGCTCCGACTGCTCCATTTATCAGAGACAATTGCCGCTCCCATGCAGCAGATGAATGAGGCTAGATAAGGCGGCGCCGCGAAGCCTTGTGCTTTGATCGAAGTGTAGCCCATTGCTTCTAGGATAGAAGGGAGGAAGTTGGATAAGGCCGCGAACGAGAAATTACAGCAGAAGTGCATGAGCATGTGCGTGTAATTCTTGTAGTCGGAAAGGCCGCTGAATACCTGAGTCCAGCGTAGCTTGTTTTTCTGGGTTCGGTCGATGGTTTGAAGACGCTCAACAGCGTACGTTTGCTCCACGTCACTGAGAAATTGTGCTGTACCGGGGGAATTGGGAAGATACAAGTACACAATGACAGCAAAAAGGACCGTTGGTGCTCCCTCTGTATTGCGTCTCATTCAAACCCGCGTTAAGATGGGAACTATGAAGTGGGGGGTTGGGATCTTACCTATAATGAAGAGATAGCGCCATGGCTTCAAGGAGCCTTGGATGTGTGTGATACCGTAGGCGACAACGGACGCAATCGTGTTTGCAATGGGAGACATGCCTAGCAAAAGTGATACCCGAAAGCCGAGTTCTTGTCGTTTGTAAAATAGGGACAGGAAATATGGGGCACCACAGCCAAATGCCGCCTCAAAGACACCTAGCAGGGCCCGACAGACGATGAGTTCGGCGAGGTTGTTGACCGCGCCAGCGCACATTGCAGCGGCTCCCCAACTATATTCAAAATAATGGTTATTTCATGAGGCACCTGTAGCTCTTGTACGCTTCGGTTCCAACTTACCATACGCAGAGAATGGCAACGTAGATGTGAGCTGGAAGGAGTTTCCAGAAAACCGTGGTCCACTCAAACAGGATATAGCAGATGTAAAATGCATATAGGACCCAAGACCACTGATAGTCGTCTAGTCCGAGGTCGTCTTCAAGGCCTGCGGTCTTTGCATTGCCGATGTTTCCTATTAGACAGGTGAGATGGAAGCTATGGACCGGAAGGATCTTGGGATATTCGACAAACCTCGATCCAAGTAAGATAGAATATACAATATACAGACAATGGGCATCATTCTGCAATCAAACTATAACGCTGTCAAAAGAGACCAGCACGCTTATATCCAGGGTTTAGATACCTTTCGACGGACTGAAAACTCATGCCTCCCAGAAATCAGTACTTGGTTATCCGTCTTGTCTGGAGAAAAGCCCTCAACATGCTGAAATGTAGGGCCCTCAGTATTCTTTGGCTCTATCATGTTGTACGTGTGTGAAAAATTTGAATAAAGACAGGTTCAATTGAATTTGCATGATATGATCCGGATTCCCGATTGACATGATATATCTTCATTGCGGGGTCAATGCACTTGTATCTCCTCTTCCTCAACCCTTTCCCCGGATTTTCCCAAGAATCATTTTTCCAAAATCAAATTGATATAAAAATTTCAATATCAAGGTTGCAGGGGAAATAGACCCCTAACTACGTTAGTCCCAGGGCTTCCCGGTAGCTGCTATGTTTCCGGAGAAGAGCGGATATTGCAAAGTCAAACTTTCTGGGAGACTGTCAGAATTTCCCTTGTCCAGTTCGGAACCATTTCCCTCTGGGAGAACCAATCGGAAAAGGTTCAGCTCTCGGATACTGTATGGTGGCCTTTGGCCAAGGGAGTCTACGTGCGGGGAGAACATGGTGAAGCCACCAACGGGGAGTTTTGAACACATATAAGCCATTCAAGGTGACCGGAGAATTGCTTCTCTTTGAACCACAACAAGCCTTTAAGCAAACCAACACTTTGACCATAATGTCTGCCGGCAACGTCCCCTACCCTTTCCACTTTGACTCGCTGGAGGATACAAAGAAAGGCGTCGAAAATGGAAAAACAAGCGACATTACCATTAGCTTGAAGAACGTCCGCGGCAGGATCCCTTCTATTCAAACCTCCCGTCTCCGTTCGATGATGCTCGAGGCACACGGCGATCCCACGAAAATCATGGCCCACGCTTCAACCTATGATGGTCTCTCCTCTCGTCTGGTTGAGGAAGCCGGTTTCCCAATGGTCTTCTTAGCAGGATATGCCGTCTCGAGCTCATACGGCTTGCCGGATGCTGGGTATATTGCAATGGCTGAAATGTGCGAGAAGATTCGTGATGTCTCCCGTCTAGTTTCAGTACCTATAATGGCAGACGGAGATACCGGATATGGTAGCCCGATGAATGTGAAACGAACCGTTGAAAGCTTTGCCGCCGCAGGTGCTGCGGGTGTCATGATCGAAGATCAACAGTGGCCAAAGCGTAATGTCTGATTTCTTGATCTCCGAGTGCTACGCTAACAGTTGTCTCCTAGGGTGCGGACACACTAAGGGGAAGAGCGTCGTTTCACGTGGCGAAGCCTGTGCCCGAATCCAGGCGGCATGTGACGCGAGAAATGAGGGAAGGGATATCTTTATTCTTGCCCGAACGGATGCTCTTATCCACGGGTGGGATGAAGCGAAGGCCCGGGTTCGTGAATACAAGCGGATTGGTGCCGATGCTGTTTTTGTCGAGGCGCTACCGGATCGACAAGCCATGAAGCTTTGTGCTGAGGAGGCTGGTCTGCCTATATTTGCCAACGTGATTGAAGGGGGCAAGACGGAGAATCTGTCGGCGAAAGAATTGGCTGAGCTCGGGTACTGCTCGGTTGCGTATCCTTGGTCCCTCGTTGCGTCTCATCTAAAGAGCATTCGCGAGACGCTGGAGAATTTGAAGAGAAGCATGCTTGTAGGAGCACCGCCTATGATCTTGACCTATGATGAGGTCTGTAAGGGAGTGGGGTTCAACGAATATTGGGTGAGGCGTGCTCACAAAACCTGCAGACATTGGCACTGCTGACTTTCTTCACAGGGCCGAGAAGAGAAGTACAAGTTTAGTACCTGATGGGAGTTGGTCTTGGTTCCAGAATTTTACAACTGATTTTCTACTTTGATCTGGTTCCCTACCAGCCTGGCGCGAAGATTTCTCCATAGTGTCATATATGATTGTTTAAGCACAAGCTCCAATACAAGCCCAGTTGATACTCCTCTTTCGCAGACCCAGTTTCGGCTCTCTACTGGATTTTCCTATTGATGTCAGACGTTTCTCTCCGTAGTCGTGCCCGTTTGAAATTGGTGCCCTAATGAGCGGGTTCGAAGTTTGCAGTAGCTGCGGTTCCGCCAGTTACTCAGTCGCCTCTGCTGTAGCCACCTGATGGGTCGTGACCCCTGTAGACACCTTGCTTTCCAGCATATTTTTCATTCTGGAAATTAGCAGGTGAAGGTGTAGAATCCGCTCTTCCTGCGGTGGTTTCGGACTTTCACGGATGCGACTCTCTATGTTTCCCGCGTAGCCATACTTAGGGCATTAGCGCTGTCTCACGTCCAATCACGGCTATGTTGGTAAAACTTGTCACCGCAAGACACTCGAAACATCGATGTTGAAGTGTGTCAGCGACGTCCATTCGGATTTCATATGGCTTGCTGTTCGACATTCCTCCGTGTTCTCGGATAGGGCTATCTTGGTTACCCCAAGTTGCGTTTCTGGATGTAGGCTTAGGTTTTACTTGGCTAATGAGGTGGCTTTCTCGTGGGCGGAACGAGTCCGTGGTCCCGAGGCTATATCTATAGCTTGTTTGCGGGAGTGAGTAGTGAATGGCTCCCGGATCCCCGGATAGTGCCGGATCATTACCACTCTCATACACCAAAGCAGAACGGAGCCGGATACTCAATCGGATACCGACTTTGAAGTTTTGAATCAGTCTCAGGGTTGACATGCTAAATCATGCATCACAGTGTGTATATCAACCTATGTTAAATTAGAACCGTAAAAACAAATAAAAGGTAGACAATCCTCAGCAGCCTACTGTAGGCCTCAAATTAGCTTCCAAAGCAGCATATCCTATTTCCAAGAAATTAGCCTTGCTCAATTGCATCTGTGTAACAGCCCCACGCGATGTCGAATTCTATTCCTCTTGGTCGGTATCTATGGACGAGGTCAGTGAAATTCAGCAAAGGAAAAACACGCAGAAGCTTACATTGATTGCCTAAAGAATACACCAACAAGGTTGCAAGAGCATCATGGGGCTTCCCGGTGACATGAACCTCGAACTATTGGATTACATTAATGATGTCAACGGACTGAACTGGGGTACATCCAAATCCCTAACAGAGGGCAACCCCCATCTCGGGACAAAGCTGATTGAACGTTGCAGTTGGCAACACAAATGAATTAAATGCTGCATATGCTGCAGACGGCTATGCCCGGGTGAAGAATTGTCCCGGTGTCAGTGAGTATTCTTTCACCCGGCTTATACTTCTATGGACCTCTGATTGAATCAACAGTCGTAACGACCATGGGGGTGGGGGAGTTGAGTGCCCTCAATGGCGTTGCCGGGGCTTATACAGAGCAAGTCAAACTTATCCACATCGTTGGGACGACATCAACTGAGGTGCAAAAGAAACGTCTGATGATTCACCACTGCCTTGGACCGGATCCAGACCATAGAGTGAGTTGAAACGATTCCCGTTTGATGATTTTGTTCGGTGATTAATCCAGGCGCAGGTGTACGAAAAGATCTCTGAAAATGTTCGGTGCACCCATGCATGGCTTGATAATGCAGAGACAGCGGCAACAGAGATCGACGTGAGTATATACACTCTAAAATAGAAAGACCCTTGTTGGTACTATTCACTGACTCACGATGTCCGTAGCGAGTCGTCTCGGAATGCTGGATTAGGTCACTGCCTGTGTATATATTCGTGCCGATGAACTTCGTCCATACCCCGCTTCCTCTGGGTCGCCTCAACAGACCTTTGAAAATAACTTTGCCAGTGAATGTGGCAAATGAGCAAAACGCTGTGAAGAATATCATACAAAAGATCGTGTCTGCTAAAAATCCGGTGGTCCTGGTCGATTGCCTCGCGGCCCGTCATGAAGCTGGAGTCGAGACAAGGCAGTTGGTCAATACGCTTGATTTCCCCACATTTGCGACTTCGATGGGGAAGTCAATTGTCAACGAGACGCACCCGAGGTTCTGTGGCATCTACAATGGGGAGGTATCGTATCCGGGGGTGAAGTTGGCAGTAGAAAGAAGCGACTGCATAATCAACATTGGTCCTCTGCTGGCAGACAGCAATACTGGTGGCCATACGCGAGGTATCCTGCCAGAACAGGTGGTATTGATCGAGCCTGATACCTGTACCGTAAGTCGCGAGGAAGGTTGGAAGTAGGATGATCACTATCTTAACAAATCTCAGGTCTTTGGAGAGACATACTCCAATGTGTATCTGCTACCCTGTGAGTTCACACCGAAACAAACTGAGTCCTGCGAATTTGTTACTTACCAACGAAGTGCTGCGAAAGCTGCTCGTCGCTGTTCGTGAAATGCGACTTCCTGTGACCACGAACCCGGCTCTGCCGCCTCAGCCAGACGCTGCTGATGCACACTCCAATGCTATCACCCAGTCATGGATATGGAAGCGACTTGGAAATTTCACCCGAGCCGGCGACATTCTGATCGCGGAATCAGGAACAGCCCAATTCGGTTTCCCTGACGCAGACCTGGCAGCGGATGCTCGATACGTTACGCAGGTTTACTACGGCAGCATTGGCTACACTGTCGGGGCCTGTCTGGGTGCAGCGATTGCACAGAGAGAAATTCAAGCCCAGGGCGGAATGAACGGCGGACGAACAATTCTCGTCGTGGGCGACGGCAGCTTGCAACTAACCGTGCAGGAGATCAGCACGATGATTAGAATGGGCCTACACCCACTAATGTAAGTTGAAAAAGTCTATCCAAGCCCATAGGCAATTCTATCGATTTTGTGGGAACCTCGCACTGATTCTGAAATCTGCAAAAGTTTGATTATCAACAACGACGGCTATACAATTGAGCGGGCTATTCATGGGGCTGAAGAGGAGTACAATGGCATTGATCCCTGGCGCTTCCAGAAATTGCTAGATTTCTTCGGCGCCCAGAACAGCGAAGCCTCCAGCCATCTAGTGACGACGAAGGAAGAATTGGAACACGTTCTTGCTCTGCCAGAATACGAGTCCCCGACCACTATACAGCTTCTGGAAATCCGTATGGATCAAATGGATATTCCATGGAGATTGAGAGACCAAATCGCCATTGTGAACGCCCGGATCCAATCACAGAAGGCAAAGCAGTCAAAGCAAGCTCAGCTGGTCAGTCATAACGGGGATTTCACTTTATGCCGGAATGGAGAGGTCGTCAAGGAAGTCACTGGCAACGAAGATTGGCGACTCCATCTCAATCCAGCTTTATGTTGAGTGGGGCGCAAGTTTATACATTCTTTTTGGCGGTGTATACTATAAGATTGCTTCTCAGAAAGAGAGAATAGAAGGACTTGAGGATGATAAGTGTTTCGAGCGATGCGTTCTAAAAGAAAACACTTTGAAAACAGTTTCCAACATCCCATCGGAACTTCTCAAGTTTTAATAGTTTTAGGGTATCAGGACGAAGAAGAGAGCAGCCTATTAGGAACAGAACATCTAGCAAAGATAGTAAGCTAGGAAGAGCGAACCGTTCGAGGGTCTTCTCAACTTCGTCCTCTCCCACGAGACTGATTCGCTTATTGGAGAACGTCACCGAAAGCAAAGGCGAAAGTTGTGATTGATGTTTTCAGCAAGGGGACCACGTGTGATGAACTGACAGGGCTTGTCGAAGTAGACCCATCTAACAATCCTACATAACAGTTTAGCAGCAGAGGGTGTTTTCACTTCTTGAATGGATTGACCGCGTTTATGGTAAGCTCTATCCCGAGTTCTGTCAAAGATTATCGACGACAGCACTAAGTCCGACTTCGACATCGTCTCACAACCATATCTGTTCTTAGGACTGTCTTGTACGCAATGCTGGCTATACGATTTAAACTCCAATCGTTTTCTTATACTCCATAATACTAAATTGAATTCAACGACTCAGCTCAGCCACAGTGATATTTCCTTTGGCTTCTTTTCTACGTCGTAACGAACGTATAACCAACGGGGATATTGAGTTGAAGAAAACCAGTGAGGATAGCTTTAGGATCAGCCACCACGTCTGGTGAACTCATTAGCGGTGGGGTCGTCTCCTAGGTAGCAATAACCCAATGTGTCTGAAATTATGATATCCCGTATGGCACAGAAAAGTCATTGAGCGTGAACGGCGGATCCAGGCCGGCAGGGACTTGAACAATAGCAACGTTTCGAATTAGGAGTCTATACGACGAATCATTCCAGAGGTGGGCACTGGCTAACGAACCGCCGCTATTTCTTGTGATCCCATACCCCGCTACTCAACAGCCGAACCGTTGTGACCGGTGCGTTTTCGGAATGCCAAAGTTCGGATATCCGTAATTGATGTCGATATCCGGGGGTATCCGCCAGTCCGCGGGGTGTTAGAGAGATTAGTCTATGCGGAATTAGATGCGACGCTTGAGTGTGCGTAGTTTCCATGTATCTTAAATATTATTTTAAAAGCATCATGTCGTAGCTCAAAGCAATTTGATCAGTTCCAACCCCGTTGACCAAGTACCTTGAACCGCCATTCCTTGTCTCGGCCATGTCCACAGTCCACCAAAATTTTGACGTCGTTGTCGTTGGTGGCGGTAACGCGGCCTTGTGCGCTGCGTTATCCGCATATGAAGCTGGAGCAACGGTGGCAATTCTCGAAGCCGCCCCAAACGAAGAGCGCGGGGGCAATAGCCGATTTGCGACCGCTGTCTTTCGTGTGGTGCATGAGGGGCGTTCCGATCTTGAGCCTTTACTCACTCCCTCAGCGAAGGCCACCCTCCAGAGACAATGTCGACTAGGCCCTTATACAAAGGAGATGTACAAGGCAGATATGATGAGGACGTCTAAAGGATTCAGTGACTGGGAGCAGGTCGATGTTGTTCTGGATCATTCACTGGACACCGCCAAATGGATGCACGGGTTAGGGGTTGAGTGGCAGCTCAGTATAAGCAAGTTCTTCGATGAGGAGAGAATCAAGGACCAAACGACGGACCTGCCAGCTGGGTCAGCCATGATGGCCGCCCATGAAGGTGTAGGCTTGACCAACAAGCTATGGGCGGCTGTGGAACGCACGCGAATCCGCGTTTTCTACGACAGCCCCGCGTTTGACCTCATTGCAGACGGAGACACCGTGCGTGGGGTACGGACTCGACAGAATGACCACTTTGTTGATTTCCGCGGGCAAGTCATCCTCGCCTGCGGTGGCTTTGAAGCATCGTCCCGACTGCGCCGACAGTTCCTTGGAGAGGGATGGGATCTGGTGCTGGTGCGCGGCACACGGTTCAACACCGGCACGATGATGGAGAAAGCACTTGCGGCGGGAGCGCTGGACACCGGGCACTGGGGTGGCTGTCATGCTTCTCCGCAGGATTTTGACGCTCCCCGGGTGGGTGATCTGAAGGTCAAGGATTCAATGAGTCGCTACTCATGGGTATACGGAATTATGGTCAATCAAGATGGAAAAAGATTCCTTGATGAAGGGGAGAATATGGTTGCTGTCACATATGCGAAGACTGGTGCGCTGATCGGAAAACAACCCAATGCCACCGCATTCCAAGTCTTCGACCAGAAAATATTGCATCTCCTAGAGCCCCGGTATGAGACGGGGACCCCTATTGTGGCGGAGACCTTTGAGGAGTTGGCTGAGAAGATGGGGATTGAAAAGCGACAGTTCCTTAATACAATGGATCAGTACAATGCTGCGACGCCAAAGGGGGAGTTCAGTCCATTTATTCTCGATGGCCTGTCAACTGGAGATCAGCTTGAGTTCCCGAAGAGCAACTGGGCTGTACCGCTTGATCGGCCCCCATTCGTTGCGTATAAAGTGACTTGTGGTAGGTTCTTCCATCCTGCCGTCATTAAGCCATGAGGCAAAAAGAATCCACAAAACCAACACTGATTTACTTAGGCATTACATTCACCTATGCCGGCTTGAAGACTGATACGTCCGCACGAGTTCTCAACAAAGAGTCCAAGATCATGCCCGGACTATTCGCAGTAGGAGAGATCAGCGGAGGCTTCTTCTCGTTCAATTATCCTGGTGGCGCGGGTTTAGTAAAGGGAGCTGTCTTCGGTCGAATTGCCGGTCAGCTTGCGGCCCAGAAGGCTAGGGAGATACCATTTATAAGTGTTCTCTAGTGGTTGGAAAGGGCAGCTTTTTACTTTCTACGTGATTGACGTAGTAGATGTTCATCTTCCCTCCTGTAGAACCCAGTTTGTGTCCAGATTGGTATTCAGTGATGTTTCATACGTCTGGAGTCACTCTCGATTTGTCGTCTAGTCTTCCACCCTTCAGGTGCAAATGGAAATCTTGCATTGATTTGCTTCAGGCTATTTGCCACGCTTCATGAAAAGGGCCCTCATAATGTACTTACCCAATGTATATACTCTATTGTCTTATAACATCCACCTCGACAGAATCAGGGTGTACTAACACCTAAATTATATGGTAGAGATATTTGTACCAGTAATTATACTGTGTAGTAAGGTGAGAAGAAATGGAAGCCTCAAACAATAGTTTTGGTTGATAATTCCCGATTGGCAGTGCATGTGGTGAATGACCGTTATGTGTATTTGCTAGGTCTGTGCATTCACTCTGATAGCGAGTAAGATGACAATCAGTTTATTGGAAAACTACAAATTATGAAACTTTGTTTTTTTTTTTTTTTTTTTCACAGCTCTTTGAGAAATCCACGTTGAGCACATTGATGCTTTCTGGTATAGAGGTTCGCTGTAGTAATCCCCCCCTATACAATTATACCATAAATAGTTAGCTTGATTATCGGCCTGGGATTCAAGGCAATTTGGCCATCAGGTATCCACTTCCTAATGCGGCTAGCGCAAGACCTTATAGCTGCCAGTCTGCCCCACATATAAGAGCCTCACTATACGGGACACCCATCTCCAAAGCATCCAAAGCAACTCCAATGTCGTCCTCATACTCAGCCTGGTTCCGTAAGGGCCCGGACCCTGGAACTATCATCACCCTTGACCAACCCGTCCCTTCCCGGTGGAAGATTCTTCAGAAGCTGAACGAGCATGACTATCAGGTTAACGAGGAGGAAAACGATGAGTATGGCTTCCGTTCTTTCGCCTCGGCTAAATATCTATGCTGTGATCCCAGAGCCCGGACTAAGGAAGCCTTCATGCGCATCTACATTCAAGTTCCCCATCGGAAGACTGAAATGGATGATGCGGATACCAGAAGCCGACAAGCCTCAACATACAACCCCCCAGAATTGATCGCCTACCGGGACCTCACTGAAAAGGGCTTGAGTGACACGCCAAAGCTTCTCGGATACAAGATTGATAAACAGGATCGCTCGGGGCTAGTTCCGGGTGGGTTCATTATCTGGCTTGTTTGGGAGATCGTCCCAGGGTTGCGCCTCGGAGACGGCAATAGCGCTGACCCATTTTGGGCTCTGGAAAGCTACGAAAGGGAGCAGGTTCGCTTGGCTTTTCTTCAAGCTCTACCGTAAGTTGATTTTTCTTCTGTATTCGATACTGGATCTAATTATTGTCGACTATGTAGTAAGCTGCATGACAACGGGTGGTTCCCCCGTGTGTGCGGATCAAGCAGCCTAGTTTGGCACCAGGAAACGCAGAAACTGTAAGTTATTGCTTTATTATCCCAACGACGAAGTGACGAGCTTATCAGTTTCCTCCATATAGCTACTTTATCGGACCCTTTGAGAAGGCCGGCAAGCCCGAACGTCCGATTATGTTCGGTGCCAACTGGATTGCGCATTTCGATCTCGCCACGCCGGGCCCCTCTACGGATGAGCGTGATAGTGACTGGGATAGAGATACTTCACGCTGGCAATGGTAGCTGAGGAAGCGGGATTGTTTGTCTGTCCTCTTGTTATGTTAAATTCGGTGACAAGACTCTGGCCTTTTATAAGGGGCCGTCCACTTCTGGTTCCGCATGCCTGTGCCAGTGTCAAAATTCGAGTCTGCGAGAGCTAATAATCCAATATGTAGGACTCTGACAAAATGACACCGTCCTGCCTGAAGTACTTTCTTTGTCACCGGGGAAAGGGAAAGGGGAAGTACTTCACAATAGCATTTTTGGTTTCTAGTCTGGGTTGGGATTGCTGGAGAGGCAATGATCATCATTATGACCAGTTTTACAGCTTGAAGAACTTCCTTTCTATTGATATAACTTTTCCAGATATTGAGCCTCACATGATTGTCATTGCGAAGTATCATGCGACATATCACAAATAGCCAAGACCGAAAATATTCCTGGCGTTAGTTGTGAAGATAGTCACGCTTTTTGCGACTTCCTCGATTCTGCCCAGCAAGTTCAAGAGAACCAACACGCGGCCATTTCTACCCTTGGCGACAACATGTATTCATTAAAGGGGGTAACTCTCTTTCCATGATATTTTGAAAGTCTATTAAGCTATCAAGACCAGAAGCATACCCAGATTTCGAAGAAGAACCAAGCGGCCTACATCCCCAGAAGACGACTTCTACGAGACAAAGAAAGAGAATCCACAGAAGTCGCTGTTGATACAAGAACCAGTGGCATCACTACAGTAAATGTTACTATTTCAGCAGAGAGCCTAGACCAAAAACACTAGAAGAAGAGTGGGAAGACCACCCCAAGCTCTTGAAGCAGATGAGTTAGCATGGCCTTGAGGAATTCAGGAAGCTCATAGAACAGAGATATTCAGCGTCATCCGATGATCTAGATACACTCGCGGCTGTAATTATAATCTGAGTGTTGTCGGGCCCGTCGGAAAATATGTCTCAAGAGATAGTAGGGGCAGCGGTCGATCTCACAAAGCCAGAGAGATGTTGTTTCAGGAGTGCTATCTGTAGCACTTTTCGAAACATGATATTCAGCGTGTCCCCAATCCAACAACGCTTCTCGTACCGTAAATTGAAGGTTGTTTCATTCAAGTTGGTCTTAATTTAATCTGGGCCTGATATTGACATTGGTTCTCCGGCCATAATTACTCTACTCGATCAGCACTTTTCTCAAGGATTATCCTCGGGTTATAATTTACCTTATCCTTCCTTCAACTCTTGCCTGATAAGTTATGGTATCAATGAGTATATATATATATATATGAACTGACTATGCCATAGCCCACTTAACTATTTGTTGCAAACCAGCTGCCCTACTTCGTTTTTCGGCAGCCACCTTAATGGAAGGCACGCCTAGCCTTATTTGGCTACCGCCGTGGTGTTCAAAGCGCCAGGTGCAAAGACCACGATTCTCCCTCCAAAAGCCACGCACAATCAATCCCTAATTACTCCGTACTGTATAGAGTAAGATCCGTCTCTCACCGCTCTATCTTTGCCGGGGAATCTTTTACCCCAGAAATCCCAACAGAGCGGGATTAATTCCATTCTCTTATCTTCTCTTTTTCCTGATTTTTCTGATTTTCTTTCTTTTCAGATGAAAATAACCATAAAATAGAAATATATAGTTACAAATTAGATATAACATCATACGTTATACAATCAGTAGATCTCGCAAGCATTACCAGATTAACCCAATCGAGATACATCCGTAATCCACCTCCGAGCTCGGCTGAGCCCGTGACAGAAGTCCCTCAACGAAAACCCGCTCCTCTTCCCGCCTTTTTTTATCTCTCTCCCCCTCCGATCTCCCTCTTCCACCTGTTCTCTCCGCGTATATTGAATATCCTGGGGCTCTCAGAGTATTCGTCAACATGAGGTAGGCACCTATCGTCACGAATCCCACTTCCACCTCGTTCCGAATTTGAACTGACAGCTTTCGCAATGGATTGCAGTGCTCTTACCGACAACCTCCCCCCGGCCGTCCTCCAGTTCGCGCCCTTTGCCGTGGCATTGGTGGCCGTCTTCCTCGGATGGAAGCTGTTTGGCGGCAGCAGCAGTACGTAAACCCCAATAGACGCCCGGAGCTTTCGAAAAGCTCGACTCGGTGCTGATGTCATCTATCCCGATAGGTCCCCGGAAGGTGCTCAACCCCACCGAGTTCCAGGATTTCGTCCTCAAGGAGAAGAATGAGATCTCCCACAACGTGGCCATCTACCGCTTCGCCCTGCCCAACGCCACCGATATCCTGGGTCTGCCCATCGGTCAACACATCTCCCTCGCGGCCACCATCGAGGGCCAGCCCAAGGAGGTCGTCCGCTCCTACACTCCCATCTCCTCCGACAATGAGGCCGGTTACTTCGACCTCCTCGTCAAGGCCTACCCCCAGGGTAACATCTCCAAGTACCTGACTACCCTGAAGCTCGGCCAGACCCTGAAGGTGCGCGGCCCCAAGGGTGCCATGGTTTACACCCCCAACATGTGCCGCCACATCGGAATGATCGCCGGCGGTACGGGCATCACCCCCATGCTGCAGATCATCAAGGCCATCGTCCGCAACCGTCCTCGCAACGGAGGCAACGACGTCACCAAGGTCGACCTGATCTTCGCCAACGTCAACCCCGAGGACATCCTCCTCCACAAGGAGCTTGAGGAGCTGATCAAGGAGGATGACGGATTCCGCGTCTACTACGTTCTGAACAACCCTCCTCCCGCCTGGACTGGCGGTGTGGGCTTTGTGACTCCTGAGATGATCAAGGTATGCATCTAACTTTCTCCGTTCCGTAGTCTGATGTAATAGTTAACAATCCTTTAGGAGCGCCTCCCCGCCCCGGCCAGCGACGTCAAGGTTCTTCTGTGCGGTCCCCCTCCCATGGTCAGCGCCATGAAGAAGGCCACCGAGTCTCTGGGATACACCAAGGCTCGTCCTGTCAGCAAGCTGGAGGACCAGGTTTTCTGCTTCTAAACCTGCGGTCATGCAGTGCCGCATCGCGTCCGGTGGCGCGCTCTCGTGCCAATTCCGGATGTCGACTACCCCCCTTTTCAATGTAAACCAGACATACGACACATGGTCTGGCCGTTGGATGTAAGATGAGATAAGATGTGCTACAGCACAGTGGAGCAGTGTTCAGAGTTCGCAAGAGATAGAAGCCCAGCAGGGGAACATAATCTATAATGGACTGCCCTCGAGACCACCTCTGGTATCGTAACCCTCGAAAACCCACATGAATAAATTAAACAACCTCCAAAATAGACTCCACCATCGTCAAAAACTTCTCCCGATACTCCTCCGCCGTAGTCGTAACCGACATCGGCCCCTGCCTCCCAACCACATTAAACGTCTGCACGACCCCCGTCATAGCCTGTGCATGCAGCTTATGCCTCCCCCAAAAGAAATCCAACACCACAGCCCGATACCTCCACCGCCCATCAGCAGACAGAACCCCAACCCGCCACCTATCCTCCTCCTCCCTCCTCTCCCCCCGGCCCCCTATCCCCTCCCCCTCCTCCACAGGAAACCGCACCAAAAATAACGAATAATCAACCACGTTCGCCTCCTGCAAAAATCGCGTATCATCCTCCACCACCCTCCTCAACGCCTGACACTCCACCCCACTCAAGCGGATCTTATCCGGAAACTCATCCGCCAGCCGCGACAGCGTATCCTCACTAACAAGCGGCTCCGGGACGAGATCCCTTTCAGGATAAAAGTAATCCACCGGCTTCAAGTCATACGTTTCCCACTTCTTGCCAGACGAGGGCGAGTTGTTTTTCCCGGAGAGGACGTTCTCCATGATGATGTGGTGCGCGGGTGTTATGCCTGCTATGCTGCCTAGGGTCTTGATGGGCGCGTAGAGATAGTCTGTTATGCGAACGAGGAGGGAGTCTCGGTGGGTTTTCATGTATTCGCTGTAGGGGGCGAGCAGGTCGTCTTGGAAGAAGGAGTGCTCGAAGTGCCGGGGGAGGCTTTTCACGAGGTATTTGGTGTCGGATGTGCTGAAGAATGTCTATACTTGTTAGACGGTAATATGATCCAATGGGGTAGTACCGTTGAGTATACAGTGTATACCCTCCCCTCCCTCACTACAGCTACAATATAGATAAGGCAGTACTAACCGACCCCGAAAAGCCCAAATCCCCCATCGGCACCAAAGCCGCCTCCCTCCCCTGCGTGCAAAACGACCGTCTATACTCCTCATCGTCAATCCCATACGCCTCGATGCGCAATCGTCTAAACCGCTCGTCGCTATGGCGCAGCAGTTTGATATAGTAGATGCTGAAGAAGGCGAGGATGCGCCCGATGAGCGTCTTGCGGAAGGTCCTGGGGTCGCGCAGGAGCGCATCCTGGATGGATTTTGTGAGGGCTCGGTGACGGCGGTTGCCCATTATGCTGTGGTCTATTTATATAGGAGGGGCTACATCGTGGGGTGTAATTTGGGGGGGGGATGCTATATACGTAGTAGGTGCTTGGTCTTGACTCTTGGAATGAGAGGACGGTGACGTAGGTGATATGGGGGATCAGGTGATATCACATGATTGCTTGTAGTATATGGTCTTTTGGCTTGGTTCTCCGCGTTTTGTCTGTTGGTGTTTTTTGTTGGAATATTCTCCAGTGTCTCTGTTGGATGATTAACTGTTACTTGAGTGTGAACTGTTGCACAGTGCTAGTAATCACCTACGGCAGTGAAACCATTATATTTATATATCACTGGAAGCACGATGGATTGTAACCATATGTTCTGACAACCATGTTATACCTTTGGAGAAGTATATGATCAATATCTACTCGATTCAGTATCATTTATGTTTTACAAGTAAACAACCAGTCTCCAGAGTAGTATACTTCACAGTAATGGTATAGTCTATGGATGCCGGGTTAGGGCTGTCCACGTGATATCCTATACTCCACGTGACAGCTCACCGCCTGGCAGTAAACCACATGCCGCATTGGGTCAAGAGAGGAAGGAAGAAAAAAAAAAAAAAAAAAAAGGGAAAAAAAAGGTCCCCTCCATTCTGTTTTCCCCTCCAATGGGTCATCATTGTCTGCAGAGCGGGGCTAGACGATTTTCGACGGCCTTTTCTCTGTTCCATCCACCACATACTTCCTTCTTTCCCTCGAACTGTCCTCTCTCCAGGTTTAACCGTCCTTTATCCTCTTCTCGGCTCTTTACTACTTACCCCTCAGTCTACGCGCCCCTCGCGAAGACCCCCATCATGGCGTCTTCCGATCTCCCCACTGCCGTCGAGGCTCTCACGCTGCAGACCACCTCCGAGACCTCCAAGTTCCCCAACTGCTTTCCCTCCTTGAACCCCGTCGATATCTACCGCGAGCACATTGCGCAGAAACTGGGCGAGGCCACCGGCATCGATCAGGAGAAGATCTACTCCCGTCTGCAGTGGACGAGTACGTTGGACAAGGGGGATCTGGTCTTGCCTGTATGCTATGAGTCATACTATATTTTGCGGGGGAAGGACATGCAGTGGTGGACTTTTCAAGAACTAACGGAGCTGGTTATTAGGTCGCCGCGCTGCAGATCAAGAAGAAGCCCCAGGAGCTGTGCGAGGAGCTCGCCGCCAAGTTCCCCGAGTCCGACCTTGTCCTCCCCCCCAGCTGCTTCGGCGTTCATCTGCAGTTCTTCTTCCGACCCGAACGCCTCACCCACACCGTCATCCGTCGCATCCTGAAGGAGAAGGCCGCGTTCGGTACCAATGGCAACCTCGGCCTCAAGGACCCCTCGGACCCCTCCAAGGGTAGCAAGAAGATGATCGTCGAGTTCTCCTCGCCCAACATCGCCAAGCCCTTCCACGCCGGACATCTGCGGAGTACGATCATCGGTGGCTTCCTGGCCAACCTGCATACCGTTATGGGCTGGGACGTGATCAAGATGAACTACCTGGGTGACTGGGGCAAGCAGTACGGTCTGCTGGCCAATGGGTTCAAGCGGTTCGGCAACGAGGAGGAGCTGCTGAAGAACCCTATCGGCCACCTCTTCGACGTCTACGTCAAGATCAACGCCATCGTCTCGGAGCAGGACGCCCCGATCAAGGCGCTGAAGGAGCAGATCAAGGCCAAGAAGGAGAAGAATGAGGACGCGTCGGAGCTGGAGAAGGAGCTGGCGCCGCTGGTGGATGCCAGCGAGGACGAGGCTGCGCGCCGCTACTTCAAGAGCATGGAAGACGGCGACGAGGCTGCCCTGGCCCTCTGGCGCCGCTTCCGTGACCTCAGTATCAAGAAGTACCGCGAGACGTACGCCCGTCTTAACATCGACTTTGACGTCTACTCCGGCGAGTCGCAGGTCAAGGACGAGAGCATGAAGGCGGCCTACGACACCCTGGAGAAGTCCGGCGTCGCCGAGAAGTCGGACGGCGCTGTGATCGTCGACTTCACCAAGCACGGCGCCAAGAAGCTCGGCAAGGCCATCATCGTCCGCAAGGACGGCACGCCCCTCTACCTGACCCGAGACATCGGCGCCATCACCGAGCGTGACGAGGCTTACCACTTCGACAAGATGATCTACGTTGTCGCGGCGCAGCAGGATCTGCACCTGGCGCAGCTCTTCAAGATCACGGAGCTGATGGGTCACAAGGAGCTGGCCAACCGCTGCCAGCACATCAACTTCGGTATGGTGCGCGGCATGAGCACCCGCAAGGGCACGGTCAAGTTCCTGGACGACGTGCTGCGCGATGTGGCCGACAAGATGCACGAGGTCATGCAGAAGAACGAGGAGAAGTACAAGCAGATCGAGGATCCCAAGGCCACGGCCGACATTCTGGGTATCACCTCCGTCATGGTTCAGGACATGAGCGGCAAGCGGTATGTCTACCCCTTTATCTTGATTATTGTACATGTCTAACGAGTTTTAGGGTCAACGGCTACGACTTCAACCTGGAGGCGATGACCTCCTTCGAGGGTGACACGGGCCCGTATCTGCAGTACGCGCACGCACGTCTGTGCTCGATCATCCGCAAGGCCAACCTGGGCGCGGAGGACCTCGACTCGGCCAACCTGGACCTGCTGACGGAGACGCAGGCGCACGACCTGGTGCGTCTGTTGTCCTCGTGGCCGGATGTGCTGGTCAACACGATGCGCACTCTGGAGCCGACGACGATCATCACGTACCTGTTCCGGATGACGCACATCCTGAGCTCGGGCTACGACACGCTGCGGGTGGTAGGCAGCGAGCCCGAGGTGCTGAAGGCGCGGTTGGCGCTGTATGCGTCGGCCCGACAGGTGCTGAACAACGGCATGCGGGTGCTGGGCCTCAGCCCTGTGGAACGGATGTAAATTTACTGAGTAGTATCACGAATACCAATTATATTTCCAATTTAACGTGCTTTCTGTATGGATTTTTATCTTCATAATTGGCGGGGATAACCAACCAGTATTTCAAAACCAGCCAACCCATATGCAAGGAAATACATGATAGACAGCAGGGAAGACGACAAAGAACAGGGATCAAAAGATCAACAGGGGCAGGGAACCAAACCAAACCAAAACCGCATTCTTTCCTACCCCACAAGGAGAAATCAAACAATATAATCCCCTTCCATAATAAATACCCCATTAAGTAAGGCGAAAGGAAAAGGAAAAGGAAGGGAAAAATTCAAGTCCCCGAGCGAATCCCCGCTTTGATGGATTTGTAAACGCCGTCAACGGCATCCGACCCAGACTTTCTCTTGACAGATTTTATTTTCAAATTTCCCCGACCCTCGACCGTGGTTGAGAGGGAAAATGAGTTTCCTGGATGACAAATAGCCAATCTTCAACCATCCAGGTCGTTGCTTAGTTATATTCTTTCCATCCATACAACACGGACGCCGTTCAGGGCCCGTCGATCCCGAGTGGCAATCTAACCCGGGGTCGGGGTCTTCAGCTCGTACGGGAACACAGATCTGACGCGTCGTGCAACTAGACAGTAGATAATCGAGTCGAATTGACTGAGCTAGGGTATGATTGACTGAGACCCGGGAACTAGGTAGGATTGGATTGGATTGGGGGGCTGATTTGTAGAGGCTGAGATACGACACGATGCATCTGTGGCTGCACTATATGGTCTGCACCATGAGGAAGATATCACAATCACAGTCTCTGTCTAGAATTGCTTTTTCCTCGTATATTTATGACGCTGTCCTCCCCGTGCTCTTTCTTTGTTTCCATTCTGTTTCTCTCCTTTGATGGAAGGGAAAGTATATTCGATACGGGTTGCAGATGCAGATTAGGGCTATCGGCATCCGCCCCACAGCAGATCAGATCGCCGAACTTACATCGCCTCTCGGGGATCTTTATATCCCTTTTTGTGCCAGGCCCTGTCCCCGTTGGAGGGATCATATTATTAAGTCGATGGTCTGGCTGATTCTGTGAGGTTTATATATCTAGGCTTGCCCTACTGGAAGACTCAACCTTAGTTCTATATGGTATGCGATTTACATAGTGTGTTGACTATACTATATATACTACATGAAGTCAAATACTTCATCAAACACATTACTCAACATGGCCGACTCCACCGGCTCGACGACGCCCGACCTCGAGCGCAATGAGAACCGGTTCCTTATGAACAACACTGTCCATGACTTCTCGTGGACGGACCTCACCGTGACCGTCAAAGACCGCCGCACGAAGCAGCCACGGAACCTTATCGATGCGAGCAGTGGGACTGTACAGCAGGGTATGTCCATCTGTTACTGGCTTCGGATTCCACAATTCCATGCTCCAGACAACCTTTCCAGAATCAACTAACAACACCAGGCGAGCTAGTAGCCCTCATGGGCCCCTCGGGCTGCGGCAAGACGACGCTCCTGAACGTCCTCGCCCGCCGCGCCGCCTCGTCAGGCGCCAAAACGACCGGATCGACCACCGTAAACGGGACGGACATCGACAACGACACCTTTGGCAAAATCACATCCTACGTCGAGCAGGAAGACGCGCTCATCGGATCGCTGACCGTGCAGGAGACGCTCAAGTTCGCAGCGGATCTGTCGCTGCCGGGGTCAGTCAGCAAGGCGCAGCGTATCGAGCGCATTCACACACTGCTCAGTGCGTTCGGAATCCAGAAGCAGGCTTCGACGCTTGTGGGCACGCCCATTCGCAAGGGGATCAGTGGCGGGCAGAAGCGTCGAGTGAGCGTTGCGAGCCAGCTTATCACTTGTCCGAAGATTCTGTTTCTGGATGAGCCGACTAGTGGGCTGGACTCGACGGCTAGTTACGAGGTGATTTCTTATGTGAAGACACTTGCTGTGGAGAATAATGTAACCCCCCCTCCTTTATCCCCCATCTCTCTACCGTTTCATGGAGTATAACAAGCTAACATGAACAGCTCCTCATAATAGCCAGCATCCACCAACCCTCAACAACCACCTTCCACCTCTTCAACAAGCTCCTTCTCCTCTCCGGCGGCAAAACCTGCTACTTCGGCCCCGTAAAAGACATGCCCTCCTACTTCACCAGCATCGACCAGCCCATCCCAAGCAACACCAACCCGGCAGAGCACCTCCTCGACATCGTCAGCTCCGACTTTGGCGACGAGACCCGCGTCGAGACCATTCGCGAGAAGTGGACGCAGTCCAGCCAGTGCGCTGAGTTGACACGGTATATCGCCCAGAAGAGCGGCATGCCGGAGAAGGGAGGCAGTGCTCAAGGCGTGGATGGGGATGATTTGAGCAGGCCGGGCGTGCTGGCTATTACGCTGTCGCTGCTGCATCGGCTGTTTATTAAGAGTTATCGCGATGTGGTTGCTTATGGCATTCGGATTGTGATGTATTTGGGTATGTTCCTTTTTCCCTTCCTGATATAGGAGGTTGAGTGTGGCTAATGATGATGACAGGACTGGCTATCATGATGGGAACGGTGTGGTTGCGTCTGCACCCTGAGCAGGATCATATCCAGCCTTTCATCAATGCTATAGTAAGACGCTCTCTAAACACCGACAGAGAAAAGGAAAACTAACTGGAAGCTAAGTTCTTCGGCTCGGCATTCATGTCCTTCATGGCCGTCGCCTACGTCCCCGCCTTCCTCGAAGACCGCGCTACTTTCACCAAGGAGCGCGCGAATGGTTTATACGGCGCGTTGCCGTTCACAGTGTCTAATTTCATCATTGGGCTTCCGTTCTTATGTATGTCCCTTCGCCCTCTCTTACCCCCTCTTAATATATAATATATATATAAGACCAATACTGATCAACAAACAGTTTTGATCTCCCTCCTTACCTCCCTCCTAACCTACTTCCTCACCAACTTCCAACCCACAGCCACCGCCTTCTTCACCTACCTAATGTGGCTCTTCCTGGACCTAGTCGCCGCAGAGTCGCTCGTAGTGCTCGTGACGTCTCTCTTCCCGAACTTCGTCATCGCGCTGGCTCTCGTGGCTTTCGCGAACGGGCTGTGGATGAGCGTAGGCGGGTTCCTCGTTTCGCCTACTATTCTCAACCCGTTCTGGAAATACGTTTTCCATTATATCGATTATCAGGTTTGTCATTCCCCCTCTCCTTTTTCTCTTTTGATCTTTTGATCCATCATTGGGAAGCAAGCTGGTTGTCTGGTTTCGTCCGCACATGTGGGAGTACAGCTAACAGAATGATTCCAAAAACAGGCCTACGTCTTCCAAGGAATGATGATCAACGAATTCTCCAACCGCATCTACACCTGCGCCGCGGACTGCACCTGCATGTACACGACGGACCTCGCGTCGGAGTGCAAGATCCGGGGGACAGGTGTGCTGGAGGCGTATGGCTATGCGACGGGTAGAACGGGCAAGTGGGTGGGGATTCTGATTGGGATTATTGCTGTGTATCGGTTTTTGGGGTGGGGGGTGTTGGCTTTGAGGAGGTCTTGACTATTTCTTTTGTTTTCTTTCTTCTGATTGATTTATAGATTGTTTTATTTTGTTGAAAGGAGGTGGTGGTTGTGGTGGTGGGATTGAGTGAGTGAGACGACCGGGTTATATACTTTATACTTAATACTTGGCGAGAAATAGGATTGGCCTACTTCTTGGATACTAGACTATTTAATAGACACACTACTTATATTTCTGACTACTCTCAACTCAACGTTCAAAGTATGTATTTGGATCAACGAGTGACATCGCAAGACAAGATCAAACCACAAATAAATCAATAATCCAAGGGGTATACCTCTGTCGTGACCACTGCCTTTTCATTTCCAACCAAGCAGACGCAACATCACAGCATAAACAAGCATAAGCATAACAACATAACAGCATAGCATAACATGGCAGAACACAGCGTAGCAGGCCAAACTGTACAACGCATGCAGACAACAGTAAAACCAAAAGAACACCGTAATGCAGGTCATCAGAATCGTACAATCATGTCGCCATGATGGAACGTGATCGGTCAGAGCCGTAGAACCCGCCCCTTCTCTTTTATATCCAACACCCGAAATAAATCAAACCGAAAATGCCGCCCATAAATGATGTCTTTCCTTTTCTCATTTTCCAAGGAGTCCCTTCTTCTGAACAGCTTTTGGGGTTTTCTTTTCTTTTCTTTCTTCTCCCGAATCAACTTTTGATTGTTTAAAAGAAAGCCCACCCGAAATCCAAAACTTTTGCAATAGATCGTTGGCGTTGGAGAGTCTAGAACCGTCCGCTATACACGGACTGGCTGGATCGTCGACTGGCTCGGTCGGACCGGCGGTCGCCCCGGGGACGTCGTACCCCGTCCGCCTCGCGTCGCGCCACCGTCCCCGTATAGTCTGACCCCCCCGTCAGGTACTTCTTGGGCCGCTTGCCTTCGATATTCAGTTCTAAGGCGCCCGTCTCCCCGGCCCGGACACTGATCCGCTTTCCCCCGACCGACTCCTGCGTAAAGCTCATGGTCACGCCGTTCATCGTCATGACGATGTTGTTGTCCTCCTCGGCCTTGGATCCCACGCCGCTGCCGTTCTGCGTGCGCGCATCGCTGCCGCGGCTGCTGTTCGACCGGCTCTTCTGGCTGCCGCTGTCGCTGGCGGTCGGGTGCGCCCCATGCGAGGACTTGGCTTTCAGCAACGCATCCGAGGTCAATGGCACGGGAGCCGCCGACTTGACCGACCGGGTCGCCTGATATTCCTCTGCCTCCCGCTGCTTCTCATCAATGTCATCCTCGTCACTGCCGAGGTCGTAGTCATAGATGGGACTCGGCTGCCGACGGCGATTGTTCTCGACAATGCGGCGAGACGGGCGGATCGGATCATGGTAGGACTGCGAGCGTCGGCTGTCGCGGCGACTGCCTCGGCGCTCGGGGATCACGGTTTCCCCAGAGGACTGACGGTATCCGTACTCGGGAAGGGTGTCCCGGAGATCCGACAGGTCGATGCCCCCCCGCGACGGATGGTCCTCGGACGAGACCGAGGAGCTGGTGGCCGCCTTGCGGGGGAGATCGGGCCGCTTTTGGATGATCTGGGGCCGGGACTGGTGCTTGAGGGGCGGCGGGGGCATGCGGTTGTAGTCGTCGCCGCGGTCGTGGTTCGAGTGGGAGGGCATCCGCTGCCGGCTCTCGCGAGGGGGCGGTGGCTCCAACGCGTCGTCGTCATCGAAGGAGGGTGCGAAGTAGTCGTAGTCGGCCGTGGGGGCCCCGTACACGGACGCCCGGCGGTTACGCTTCTGGTCCCGCGTCCGGGACATGGACCGCTCCCGGAGATGCTCCTGTGGCTGGTGGTATTCTGGGCCATAGTAGGGGAGCTGGGGCTGGGCTTGGGGTTGAGGCTGGGGTTGCGGTTGCGGACCATAGGGCGAGGAGGCATACGCCGGCGTGTGGGCATAGGCGGAGGAGGAGAGCGGAGGTCCGTGTTCGTAACGACCCAGTTGCGGGTGATACATCATCCCACCGCCCATGCCCGGCATCATCCCGTGGAAACTCATCGGCCGGTCCGGGCCTTGGTAGGAGCTGGAGCGGTTGCCGCGGCCGTGCGGACGGTTGCTGCGGGAGACGTTGACGTCTTGGATGACCGGACCGGCATACCGCTGCGTGTTCCTGGACGCGGAGGGGTAGTCTGCGACCGACGGGGTAGACGGTTGGGACATGTAGTAGCCGTAGTCCATCGGTTTCGGATCAGCCGCGGGCGACCCGTGGTACAGGCCCTGGTCGCACTCCCAGCAGGTGCCCGGGTAGTGCCGCACCTGGGCCGTCTCGCGTCGGCGGGAGCGAGACGGCGACCGGGTCATCGGGGCGGCGTGGTGATGGCTGGCACTGGGATAGGAGCCGACCTGCATACTGTCATCACGCGCGGGGCGAGCCGTCCGTTCCTTTTCCTTTGCCCGGTCTTTGCGGGTGGAACGAACTCGATCTAGGTCGGCCCTCTTGGGGGTGGTGTCGACTTTAAGAGGGCCCGGAGGCTTCTGACTTGATGGGGTGGATTGGGAGCTGTTGACGGTGGCGGCGGTGCGACTGGAATAGCCGGAATCGCTGGCAACGTCGAGCAGAGGCTCGGGAGGTAATCCCAGATCGTTCTTGTTGGCGACTTGACGAGTGTCAGGAATGATAACACGAGCGTCCTCGTCGTATTCCTCAACAAAAGCGGCGCGAGGGACTTTTCTCGACATGACTTTTTCAGCAGGGAGGGGGGGGGGCCAAGGCCCAGTTGGGTCCCTAAAGGGGGGAGAGAGGGGAAGGGAGTGGCTGGATTGGGCCGGGCACAGAGTGGATGACGTGAAACGTGGATGCCCCAACAGGCTTCGGAGATGGGATCGATGGGGACTTACAGCAGCCACTGCTGCTGCTTCATCCGAGTGAGTCAATCGAGGGTTTTTTTCTTTTCTTTTTCGTTCTCTTTTTTCTTTCTTTCTTATTACCTGTTCCTTGTCTTTTCCCTCCTTTTTTTTCTTTTTTCTGTTTAGCTCTTTTTTGGCTTTCCCCCTGCCTGATGAATGTCTTTCCTTTCCTTTCTTCGTTTTTTTAGATTAGGGTTCTCTCGGAGGGATTGTTTTATTTCTTTCTCCGACAGACTTCAGTCCAGCCAGACTGCGATGGTCCGGAACTGGGACGTGCAGACGGGCCAGACAATAGTTCGTTGACAGCGCGTCCCGATCGCTTCTGTCAGCAACGAACCGTAGATGCAAAGAGGTCGTAATGGTCATCCACGGACTGGACCGTCTCCATCGAAACGAACGAGCAAGTGAAGGGGAATGATTGGACTGGATGGTAGGCGCCAGAGGGTCGAAGGAAGTTGGGCGGGAGTGAACAGTGGAGCCAGCAGGCAGCAAGCGGGCGTGGGTCAAGAGGAAGAGGAGTGAGTCAAAAGGAAAATCAAGAAGAATAATAATAATAACGAGACCAAACCGAATCGATCCGACCAAAAGGAGCCGGCGGGCTGCAGTTGTGGTCTGGCAGACGGTGAGTGGAGGAGAGGATGCAGTGGACAGCCGACAGATGCAGAGGGGACGAAGGGAGTCTGTCGAATCTGGACCTGACGAAGAGGGTCTTTACAGTGGAGACAGGCCAGAATTTCTTCCAGGCAAGGAGTGAAACAGACAAAAATGATCCCTCGGGGTGACTCGAATACTTAATACAATTCTACCACGGGGGAATATGGAGGGGGAGATTATCAAGAGGACGATCGAGGGGAAAAGGAAAGAGAAAAAGAGGGATTTTAACAAGGGGAGAAGAAAATACAGCAGAGGAGCAGGAGGAGCAGGAGGGGGCAGAGCAGTAATCGCATTACCGGATCTTACACTCTTCCTGCGTGATGACGGGTGGTTTTCTAGCTATTCTGTTCAGTCAATCAAATGATCATTTGAAGGTAAGAATCAGATAGGTTCAAAGAAAAGAAAAGAACCAACCTATCCAACATTTCACCCCCTGTCCGCCGGAATGAATCCAAGGGAATACAAGAGAAATGAGAAAGAAAGAACGATGCCCAGAGTGGGGAATGACGGATGAGTGGCCACGATCGATGCCTGATCTGCGCATCAGAAACACTATGGGATTATCAGAGAACCAGTCTTGTCTCCCAGTGCGGAACCGTATCTTTCGACGTCATGGGAAAACAAAAACCAATTCGATGGAAAAGAAAAAGATCAATACATCTTGACCAGGGTACCTCGAATACTTCCAGCACAGACGTCTCCGAACAAACTACTACACTATATCAACACGGCTCCACGGCGGGGAACCCTGGTTGTACCAGACTCAACCATGGAACATCTATCGTTCTATCTACTCTATATTCTATATACTATGAATGTCATTATTGATATCCATATAATATGATGTATATCTATATTTATAGACATGATATTCCAGTACTCATTCCCATACAGGTCATAAATACTCAATACAAATCTTGTTGGCGGCCCAAGGAAGAATCTTCCATTGCGGCCCAATAGTATTCGCCGTCTCCACCCGTCTCTTCCCTGCCTTTCTCTTCAAGTTGCCTCCGCTGCATGCACAGTCTCTGTCTTAAAATTTGAATTCTATAGACAGTAGACAATAAATATTGCCAAAAAGAGAGCGGAAAAAATTCATATATCAAATCGAAGAAAGTGTTATCTATGGTTGCATCCTACCATATAGATCCGAACAGGATATCAAATTAAGCATCCCTACCGAACCCTAACATCACAGTCAACCAAGAAAAAGAAAAAAAAAGAAAAAAAAAATTATTTTCAAAAAATCAAAAAATCAAAACTGTAAAATCTAAACGAAAAAGAACAGAAGAGAATAAACCAAATCCAATCTAAATAAGTCTCAAAGCAGTAAAAAGAATCAAATATTCATCCACTAAAAGTCCCCCAGAGCACCCCACCTCCCCCACTTCATCCCTCTCCCAGGAACTAGATAACGTCCTCCCTCCCTAGTCCGTTTAGCCTTTAGCTGCCGGGTTATATCATTCCTGCGACTTCCGTGCCGATGGAAATTGCATACATATGGGATGAACGTCGAGGAGGATATATTTCCGGTGGGGAGCTCGGTGAGAGAACGGCTTTAGTGGGGGACGCGCTAGAGAATTTCTATCCGATGAGGTACATAAAGTGTATACTACGGGTAATAAAAACCATTCAAATGAAATGAATAACCAGATACATGGAAACTAGAAGAAGAAAAAATAAGATATAATAGGGAAAAGAAAAAGAAAAAGCAAGAGAGAGAGAAAAAAAAACTAGCTGTGCATAAACAGTCAGCAAACGACACAGCCTGCCCGAATCTGCCTTCGCGATAACACCGACTGCCCGTCTGACCGGCGCGATGCAAGGGATACCGGACTTTGTTGAAGAAGGTGCGTCTAGGGGGCTTGTGTTCATAGATTATTTTATGGAATTGTTATGCTTGTTCTCCATGTAAAGAGGACACAAGACCAAGTATACACTTGACGTAGCTGTATCGATTTGAACTGACAACGTTCATACTTCGTGCTACACAGTCATATAAGAGAAGAGCTGACTCAGGAAGACATTCGGCCAAGGCAGCCAGTACAGTACATATCTAGCTACTGATTTGACTAGTCCAGCCGTTCATCTGGTACTAGCCCCCCAGGCAGCTACGTATCCACCAACTCCGTCTCTGACCAGATCCGTGTGGAGATCTCCGTTCCAGACACCACACTGGCTAGAACCCATCCTCCAGAATCTTGCAACGGGCCGACATCGCATCCCACTCCCAGCTGCGGCTGAGATCGTCCCCAACTTTATCACCGCGGTTGCGTCATGCTGCCATGGAAAGCACCCAACACGGGATGATCGGGCCCGCGAGATGCACGCAGCGCAGTACACCAGCTCATATTGGCTGCCAGACAGGAACTAGTCCTGTCTCCCGGTGTGCCAGGATCAGGCACACGGCAAACAGCGACGCGCACACCACAGATATACTTTCCAGACACGGAGACGGACGGGAGGACATCGCGACTAGAGAGGTATCAAGACGAGCTAGAGCTGAGCGAGCGTCTCTGTCACGCGATCCCTTGAAGGACAGGACAGAGGCAGTGTCACAGTCATTGCTGCCCAATGTGTCTGTCTGTCTGAGTGAGTCACTCCGTAGTTCGGAGAGGGAAAGGTTTCCTTCTGGCTTGTCTTGTTTTCCGTCTGTATCGATGAAGGGCCGGGTATCACGGACTGGATAGCATGGAGGGGCAATCGCATTCTCGTCCCAGGTCTGATCTATCCCGCTTTCTTCTTTCTTTTTCCTCTCGACCCCGGTCAGTTTGTAATGTCATCCCGGGCACACGCGCAGCAGCGCGATTCACGAGCCCGAGGCGGTCTGTATCGACAGGGTTGGAATCCGGTGGAATTCAATGGGGGACGGAGCCAAGACGAGGATGTGGCGTGGATGAAGTTGGACATTCGGGAGCCCCTCACCGGGAGGATCGAGATAAGATAAGGGCCATTGTCATGTGTTCCACTAGTGACACCCCACCAGTAGTGACTTTCATTTTAACTTTTTGACTCTCGTTGATATTATTGATTTATTGATTTTGTAGCAAGATGAAGACACGCTTCATCTGGCCGATAGTTCGGGGTGTCTTTTGGCTAATTGAAATGGTATCGTATATCAGCATCTACTGTATTTGCGGAAGTAGTGAGGAAGCCACAGGGATGGTTCATCTAGGGTCGATGTTTGCGTCCAGCTTGCAATTGAAACCGATGACTGTGTATTAGTCTTAGTAAATTCTCCAGTACAAATCAGGGATGGAACTATTCACTCACGATCTGTTGACATGGCCGCTTCAGAAGTTTAGATCCATGGTCTGCTGAACCCACTCCGGGTAGTACCGTAGTGGAGCCGCTCTGAGATCTCGAGTTCTTGGAATCATGGTCGAATGTATGCCAGTGGTACCAGTGACTGGACTCTTCATATTCAGCCTTCAATATTATAGTGTATCGTCTTCTATGAACTTATTGATTTGATGGTCATAGAGGAAACCAGTGAGGTAGATATCCTGCAGTGATGATGAGTCAGCGGGTTGTCCGGGACAACGGCCCATCTAAACAACAGCGTCATCCCCAGCCTCCCATCCGTTCCAACCACCGCATTTTCGAGCGGCAACCCTGACAGTCTGCCGTCTCTCCCAGGTTGTTCAGTCTCTTACTTCTCAGTCCCTGAATATCTGCCAATTTTCAAGTGTCGACTGATATCAACACTGTCCATTACCGACCTGCATTCCACATTCTTTATCTCCACAGCGCCATCTAGATCCAGTGGAGCCTGGGGTCCGATCGAGACTTCAAATCAAAGCGATCCATTCTGACGGGTATGAACCCACATTCGATCTGGAATGAAGATTTTGGCTAACATGATACATTGCAGAGTCCCGTCTTGAGCTTTGCGCTCTTGACTATTCTCTCAAACCATGGCGCCCGTCCAGCACGCGGGTGCCATCCCCGACATTCCGGGCGAAGCATCCATTCCCCACAGCGACCTGACAGCAGACGATATTCTTCTACCAGATGTAAACCACCTCATCAGTAGGTCCGACGGTCCGTCAACCGTGGATGACAGCCATACTCTGATTGCCCGATCCGATTCGAAAGAGAGCTACACTCCCGGCAACGGCACGGTTGATCCCAACGACATCAATATGCAAGGGCTGATGGCGCTGTTCGCCATTCTCGGAGCAGCCTTCGTCCTCGCAGCGATCTGGTTTTTCTTCTGGGCCAAGAACGGAGGGTTCGTCTGGCGCAAGGGCGACTGGGAGGACTATAAGTCGACGGTCCTGCGGCGCAAGGGCCCTGACGGACGAACACTCAGCAATGCCACAAAGAGCACCAGACTCGGAGGCGGCAGCGTTGTTGGCAGAGGCTACACCGACGATGGCTACACCGTGACAGACAGCGCACCGGGATACACCGACACCGCGACAACAGTGACCGAGAAAGAACCCAAACGCAAGCGCCGGTTTCGCGAAGCCGCCAAGCAGAAGCTACTCCGACGACGACCAGACGACGACCACTGGGAAGGCTCGGTGGATGAAGACGTGCGCGCCTATCGTCAAGAGAAAGCCGCCCGTATCGGCGGCATCAACCGCGATCCAGACGGCACCTACCACGGCAGCGACTACGACACATCGCAGGAGCCCAGCAGCTACCAACAGAGCGAGATGAGCCAAGTCCGCGACTACGCCTACGAACGGCCCTCCGGACCGCCACCCACCCAAACCCGCAACTTCTCCTTCGTCCCCGGCGGCGACGAATCAGAAATTAGCCAGGTTCCTCCTCCCCGCGCTGCGCGCGAGCCCTCTGCCCGCCGCCACAACCGCCGCCGCGAACGTCGCAGTCGCCCGCCATCCGCCGTCCCCTCCCGCCAGACCAGCCCGCGCAAGCACGGCGACAGACGCTCCGTGCCGGGCCACTACACCGAGCCACTGGACATGTCGTCTGCGCCTTCGCGCTCAGAGTACCAGTACTCCAATGTCGACACGGAAGACGAATCCGGCACCCGAAGCTACCACCATCCTATTCCGGGGCTGAGCAAGGGGTATCGCCGTGAGGGGGGACGCAGCCGACGCCGCGATAGTCTCAGTGACAGCGACGGCGACGAAACTCGATATACATGATTTTTCTTTTTCTTTGTTTTTCCCATCCGCGATATCCTTTTTTTCTACTTCACAGTTTTTCCACCTCATTTTTTATCAACCCCCCCTTTTTTTACGCTTTCAACCCATGGGTAACACGACGGAACTGTAAATAATTTGTACGACATTGACACGGAAACGAGACATGCGATATTTTTTTCTTCACGGATGGATGACAGGTTCAGGGATAGGATGAGCACAGGACAACAGATAGCCAATAAATAAGAATCAACAATAATAAACAAGTATCTTGATAATCGACTGTTTACCCAATCTACTCGGTACAATCACCAGATTGAGCATGGATGATGTCAATTAGGGTGCATATCTTCCAGAAACAGATATATATCACCCACCTAGTAATACTGGCAATATAAGGAGCCTCGCGAAGACCAATTTCAGTTAGTTGTGTAGGAGGTCACTAGTGATTTTTTAGATTGAACAGAGACGTAAATGATGAAGAATACCGAGAAACCGGCATCCAATCCAAAATATCCTTGGATTGTGGAAACAGTTTTATATCACTGTTGCCACCCTTGAAGCAAAATATCCATGCTAGTAGGCCAGCCAGAATTGCTCATGAAGACAACACGTGCTAGAATGCCAGGCCATTTCCAGCATATCACAACTTGGTAGAGGAAGTCGTTTAGAATCAGATGTAATAGGCTTGATGGGACTACTGACCACGGAGTCTATGGATGGTTGTATGATAGAAGACGTGTTGACAGCACTAACATCCCCTGTTGAATAATTGAAGTGGTCAGTCATAGACATAGGTAGGCTGAAGGATCCAATGAAACTTGCCACACATTCTATTCTTGTCGTCTGAGAAGCTTGATGGGCGTAAAGAAAATCTCCCTTCGGCCCATGCCCGCTGCAGGTCGATTCTCTTGCATACCAAATTCAAGAGGCTATCCATGCCAGCTGTGCTGTTTACGTTGCTCTGTTAGGGAAGACGACACTTTTGCATCTTTTGATTCCCTTTCTAGGCTGGGAGAAAGCTAGAATATACCGGATGCTGGGTACATACTTCTCCAAGAGTATTCTTTTCCCCTAGGTTTGGGAATGTAACGGAGGAAGATAACAGCCACTACACTCAAATGCCGAACAACACTTTGGACGAACTTGGCCTGACCGGTATCTCCAAAGATATATATGTGACGTGGAAGAACGGAGGAAAAACAGTCAACAGGGCCACAAGCTTGATGGTATAGAAATTTAGAGCTTTAAAGAAAGGACCGCCAGACTATAAGATGGTGCGGGAAAAAGATTGCATGTCAGTAGTCATGCGAACAGATTGCAATCACTTCCACAATTACTAGTGATTGGTAGAGTACAGCATATTGCAGTATACGCGATTTGCCCGAATCTCTCTATATACGCATGTATTGATGATTTACTTTTCCTTCCATCTGCTGCTTGGTGCTAGGGGCAGCTTATTGATAATGACCTAGCTACGCCTATATACAAAAATGAATCTCTTATAACACATCTTTCATATTGCGACATTACATTCACCAATCATCCGGCTGATCTGGGAGGTGGAATAGGATGATTCGAGCCCTTTCCACATGATGAACCCATCCCGGATACTGTTATACCCAAGTAAGCTTATGCTAAGCCTCATGACATGTTAACAGAGATATGTAAATACGTACCTGAGCTCGTGCCCATAAAACAATTATATCACCTTCTTGAAGAACGGGCATAACGCGTCGACCATTGGGATCATCTGTATCGCGGTACCATATGACCATATGCTCCTGTTTTTCCTCTGAAGCTTCATTTGTTACAACAGTACAGCTGATCTCCGCAGAACCGTCATCTCGATTCTCGGAACCGCCTGAAGCCACGGGAATATTCTCAAAATACCAGCCGGCCTCCTGTATATCATCTCCAAAGTCCTCCGGGCACGACTTGATGTCCACAGTTTCCAATAGACTGTCAAAGTCCGCATCTTCACTCCATGGTCGCAGAACAGAGCATTCAAACCAGGTTCGTGGCCCCTCCAATCCGTCGTTCAGCTGTCCTTCGCTGCGACAGGTTATCTCGAATTGGACAATGGCAAGGTCATCGGGTGCTGGCGCAGAGATCATATAAAATGATGTACACAGTTCGGAGGATGTTCGTTTGTGTGATGGGGGGACTTGAACGTAATTGCATCCGGTAGCGAGACGAGCCGTGTATGGGCCCACAGGAAAACGAAACAGATGCGACTGTTCATCCTTTGTCACTATGTTTCCTTCCTCAGAATGACCTAACAAGCATCGAACGGCATGGAGATCTTTGATGATTCCCTGACTGACTGGATCGGAAGGTTCAAACGACTCAAGGGCCACTGTTAATGCTTCTTCGAGGATTTGATTGGCCTCGGGTAGCCTCCCTTGTTCTTGACGCACACTTGCCAGTGACCTCAGTGCATGTAGTCTTGGGGATGCGTCTGGTGCAATATGTGTCAATGTATCCGACTCGGTAGCACCACTGCACAATGGACCCTCTACAATGAGAGTCCAAATTGCTTCTGCCTCGCAAATCTTGTTTTTAGAGCGATAAGTATCCGCGAGTCCATCTAGAGCAAGAAGAGTACATCTATCACGCAACCCGCACATCCTTTGCCATTCTAATGCTGTTGACTGGAAAAGCTCCTCTGCTCTGTCAAAATCGCCTTCATTGTGGTACATTCTGGCAAGATCATTGGACAAACAGAGAGCTATCATGGCAGCTTTTTTGCTCGTGTGCTCAGTTATTGCAGTCATTCTGGTGAGCAGCAACTTAGCCTTCTCGGTTTTGTGTTGACACCGATCATTCTGGGCTAGTAGCAAAGTCGCATATAGTGTAGTCTCATGCCCTGGACCCAAGTTTCTCTCAAATCCGTCTCGGGCGCGACTGAGCTCTCGTTCTACGGCCTCCAAGTTGCCTTGTTTCAGAAATACACCAGCGAGATTGAATCGAGCTTGCAGGGTCGATATATGTTCTGGTCCCAATTCTTTCGTGAACCCCATCACGGTCCTCTCAGTCATGTCTTTTGCTTCAGCCAGCCTATCATGATCACCGTAAAATGATGCGAAAGACTGCAACGTCTGCATAGTAGAGGGATGGGTAGGTCCAAGAATATTCTCCTTTGTTTCGAGCGCTCGGCGAAACATCATTTCCGCCTCAAGGGTCTTGTTCTGGACGCCGTAGAGTCCTGCCAGATTGCTTACTGTATCCAGTGTTGATTCGTCATCACTTCCTAAAACCCTTTCCTTTCTTTTCAAGGTCTGCAAAAGGATCTCTACTGCTTCGTCGATCTTTTCTTGATGTTGCAGGCTCAATCCGAGATTGTTCATTGCGCGGAGGGTGTATATATCGTCAGGGCCGAAAATCTCATCCAAGCCGTGAAACGCCTGGCGATACATCATTTCGGCACAACCCCAATCATCTTCATTTCCGTATAGAACCCCGAACTCAAAGATAGACATTAGAATGATCTCATGTTGGCCATCACCTAGGTAAGCTTCCAATCTCGGCCTGACATGATTGACATGAGGTAGTACACGTTTCTGCTGAACCCAATAGTCTGGCGTAAGTTTATCAGGTATGGTTTGACCGAGGGATGCCATAACAAAAGTTTTGTTTTTTTGAACATCATCCGTCAATGTTGGATCAATATTGGTGAGTTCATTCTGACACCAGTCTTGTATGACTGGATGCAGCGAATAGCTATTGATTTCGAGGTTCTTCTGGATCAGACTAAAGTCAAAGAGTAATCCCACAGTATCCAAAAAATGAATTTCGTCAGCGATGTCCACGATATACTCTTCAAGTTCATCCGAGATCTCATCTAGTTCGGCAGTCGTGGCCCAGGTGACACCTGGAGCCACTAAATCGTACCAAATGTCATTGTGATAGAAGTAAGAGAGAAGGAAAAACAATCGTGCAGAGGATGAGCTTCTCTTTTTCACTTCGAAGTAAGAAATGCACCAGGTGGTCATCAAGTTGCCATTCGAATATTGACGTGGAGGTCGTGCTGCACGGGCAGATTGCATTTCGTTCCACGCTTGCTCATAATATTGAAGATATTTAGCATGGCTAATCCCTGTGCAACGGATGTATGAGCCTGCAATGACTATGGCGAGAGGCAGTCCTTCCAAGCGGCTTGCCAGCTTCTCCATGTCGTCATTGATAGTGGTGCGAGGCTCTGTATTATACCCAGATGATTTTGCCAGAAGTATTGTCGATTCCAGCAGATGCATGGCCAGGAGCGGACACGATCTCCCTAGCTCAGCCAGCTGCTGCAGGCGAGTAGTGATAATTATCGAACCATGATCAGCAGATGGGAAATACTGTTCGATATCGTATATATCTCCACTGTCATCTTGGCCTATCGGCACTGGATTGTATTCATCCACATTGTCGAAGATCAGCAGCCATTTGGAATTTTTCTCTATTGAAAGCCACCTCAAGACCTTCTCTGCGCGCATTTGGGATTCATTCCTTGACCCAGATTGTTGACTGTATTCACTGGCCTGCTCGTACTGTAAAGCTGGAATCTTGCTGAAGATGGTTTCGAGCGAGCGGATCAGAGTTTGTTTATTTGAACCGTCAATCCAAAAGATTGCAGTGAAGTCTCCCTTGTGCACACGAGCTAGGTGAATTGCCAGTTGCGTCTTGCCAATCCCCCCCATTCCGTTCAGAATTGCTACTTTCCGCATGGGTTCAGTATCAGGACGTATTATGCTCCAAATATTCTCAATCTCGGTTTCTCGGCCAATGAATTCGTCGATCATAGGGACGCCCTTCGTATCAAATGGGATTTTGAATAACTCTAAGTCGTCAGTATCACTTACGGTCAATTTCAGATTTTAAATTTTTTTTTTTTTCTTTCTTTTTTTCTTTTGTTTGCCCTTCACCACATAGTTGCTATTCAGTGCCACTGACCTGCTTGCAAAATCTCGACTGCCTTTCTGCTAGCCGCAGTTTGGCTCACAGATGTGACCGAAAGAAGCTCCTTCGCGTAGGCTGCGGCTACAGCGGCAGCATATCCCTGCCACTTGTCGTTTTTATGCGAGTCTGCATAGTCGCAGATACCTCGAATTATCAGACATGGGAAGTTGTTCATCAGGCCTGCCGCTTCCATTTCCACGCAGTACGCTCCCAGGTCTTTTCCAATCTGGTCCCGCATATTGCTGTCTTTTATGACCTGGTTTCCCGACGCAATGAGACCATAGTATATCGTCGGCTGCTCTGTCTGTCGCGATGGCCGTAGGATTGTAAGCGATGAATCGCAAGAATCTCGACAAGACTCCCCACGCTGCGCGTGCTTGTACGTCGCATGGAATAAACGGTCTTCTTCACCCCCCGGATAGGCAAAATTTCTTCTCATTTGCGGACGTTCTTCAAGGACCTGAGATATGATAGCTGCCGTCAAACTATCCTGAATCAGATGATCTGCTTGCAGCTGAGCAATAGCCGTCAACAACACCTGGGGGGGCTGATTGAGAGACCCAGTCCGTTCTGTGCGGCCGTCGACCAATTTTCCATGGTCATACTGAACAACACCGCCAAACTCCCGAGTCGGTATGCTGACCACGACGTCACCCAGTCGGATATCAACTTCCGAGTTGGGGATGCCGCCACCGATTCCGACCATAAGCCCGAATCGAATATTACAGAACGTGCTGACCATTTGCTCGGCCACGACTGCTGCAGACACGGGGCCGATAACACCCGCAGACAACCCGGCGACCACCACATTATGACCCGATATCGTTCCCAGGACGTAAGTGTTGCGATCGGTGGGGGCATTTGGTAGGGGAGGATGTATCTGATCCAGCATCACTTTCGCTGCAGCTAGCTCCACCGGAAGGGCACAGATCCATCCCACGGTGTAATCCTCGTGAGAGAGAGACCCGTGCGACATACTCAAAGATTATCGATAATTTGGCAACCAACACGGTTTTGATGGCAGATGATGTACTGAAGTCAGAAAATATGTCAAGTGCGACGCAAGAAAAGGGGATCAGGGATTCATAGCCTACCGGTGACGTGCTTAGTGGTCCGGGGTAAGCTGCTTGATGAGTAGTGCCAGTTAGTTCGTGCGGGGTTTGGTTGGCCAACAAGTCATGTCGCTATTGAATACTAGATTACACTTATGTCGTAACAGAACCCTGCTCTGAGGCACCTGTTCCGTACTTTTTTTAAGGCTGTGGAAGGTAGATTCGAGGTTAGTGCAAAGAAGCAGAGAGAGCAAGAGCCTCGTGTTGGAAAGTATAGTCAAGTTATATTACCCATCTTGAAGAAGCCTGGAGCACCCCCCTTCGATGTCCTGGAAGTAGAATGGGCATTATTAAATAAACATAGGGCATGAGTAAAAATAGATAAACTCGCATCCCCACCAGACATGACATTGATAAGTAGGGAAGTCCATGACAACAGATTCATACACCATGATCCCATGCAGACTATTGTATTGTAAATAATTATGCGCGAGTGGTCATGCAGTACATGCGCGCCGAATTTAGGGCCAATTACAAACTTAGATACATCGATAAACTTCTTAATCTTGGATGAAGATGTAACAGGTTTCAAGAGCGAGTGTATTTTATGAGAGAAAACAGCAAGGTAGCTGATATTGATTGATTGTATGCTTCATAACTCAACATACTCATAATTAGGCCAACTTGGAGCTACCCAGTACAAAAAAACACACAAAAGCATGACACTTATCAGAAAAATCTGATGTTCCACCCTCTGGTAGCTGGTACTTCATGAACACTATTTCTTTTAAGAGACTATTTGCATCTCTCTGAGTGTTGGGAAATGCTTCGACGTTTTTTTTCGCGGGATAATCTCAGCATTGTGCTGATGTCCTCTCTTCATGAGGTCTTTCTCTTTTATCAGGGCAATCTTCACTTTATGTGAGAAAAATCCGGTTCATATAGGCAGTATCTCTGATTTACGCAGGCAAACGATGGATCCAGATTTGATTTGGATGTAATAAGCGCATGTAAGCTGCTTTGGAGCATTGGAAGGTCTTGATAGTCAGGATAGACGTGGGACATGTTGAAAAGAGCCATATTCGCAGGAAGTAATAAGATAAAGTGGGCATGGCGTTAGATATGACGGTTCAAATAAAGCATGGATACCACGGGAGTTGCAGAGGCTCCAGGCCCATAACCGGTGGGAGGACCGATGATCTCCACGACGATGAAGAACTGCGAATAGTTATAAGATTACAAAAAATATGTACATATATGAAGAAGTCAATCAACAATTTACGTGGGAGAAAACAACTGTAAGTCAGTGGATATTTGAACCATTGCATGTCTCACACAGCACACAGCAGGAGTAACTGACTGTTTTGATTGTCTTTCGAATTCAGATAACGTGGAAGATGAGTTGCGTTGGGAAATCTAATATTCAGTGCCATTGTTTTGGTTGTTGATGACTTGACTACATCGAGTCCGGTGATGTAAACGAGGGATTTATGAGCCGATCCTGTAAGGTAGTGTGAGTGAGTAAGAAAGTAGTATATAGCAAATAGTGCAAATGACTGATGCGGTTCGTTGGGCTCCAGGAGTACCGTAGTCTATGTGGATAATAACAGAACACGCCATGTGAGATTCTAAGCAAGAGTGAGGTGACGACGCCATGCAGATAAATACCGAGACGATGAACTGGAGAAGAGAGGAGAGAGGAGAGAGCGAGAGAAAAAGTAAAAAGTAAAAAAAAAATTCAAGCCAGAAGAAGACAACAAAGGAAAAGTGGAAACAAAGAAAGCAAAAAAGGATATCCGAAAATGTCACGAGTATAGGGAAACCGGGCAAGAAGCTCAGTTTCATGTAGATTTCTGCAACTGCAGAATAAAGAAAAAATCCCCGATCACCTATTATACCGAATGAGCGGAGCGAGGCCACCTGTCACGTAGGCGACCAGGCCCAGAAGTAGGTGCAGGAGCTCCGCTCATTAATCCCGTTATAGTAGCCCTCTTCCTTTCCCTGGTAGCTCTCTTCTTTTCCTTTCGTAGGTCATACAGCACACCATTGCCATCATGGGCGTTGTCCAACAAGCTCCCCCCATCTTCATTGTTATCCGTCAATCTACCCTCATCATCGCCAGCGGCTGTTGAACACGGCGGCGAGGGGTGCGTCGAGACGATCGTGTCGTCAAGAAACCACTCCGTCAGCGCCTTGCGACTGATATCGGCATTGTGGCAGCCGGCGCGGTTGAGCTCGCACAGCTCCGGAAGGGATTTGAAGCGGGCGATCTGGACGGATGAGTGGCGGAGCTGGTGTAGAATCCAGTTGTTGATGAATTCCACGGGATGGTTGCGGGTCATTGGCCAGGGCTCGGAGAAGGGGGAAAAGTCTCGACCGGCTGGCATTTTGAGGGGATCAGCTAGTTTTGTTTCCGGCCGTCCACGTTCATTCATTTCCTCACTAGTGTCTTGGTGTTTGATTTGCGCCCCGGTGTCGTCTTCGAATTGCTGTTGCTGTGCGGGCGCGTAACTATTATATGTAAAATCATAACCTCCAGGGAGGTAGTCCTCGGTTAGAAGTCCTTGTTCCTCGCAGGTGGAGCGAAGTTGATTAACATCAAGCTGGGTGGTATCAATCTTCTTCCAAAGAGATGCTCGGTCGGAGTCGTAGGTTTGGAGGAACTCGAGCGATTCCTCGTCCAAGGGGATGTTATGGGGCCGGCGCTGCTCTTGCCTTTCCGTGGTCTCGACCCACTGCATGTCGAGGTCCGCTAAGCTTTCCTGAAGGACGCGCAGGTCGCCTATGCGCGTGAGGTAGGTCACTACAGCAGGTGGGAGGTCCGGAGCCGAGCTAATAGTGGAATAGCGGTCATAATCTTCACTATATTGATCCATAGTACACGGGGGGAGACCTGTGAGGGTCCCATCCGGACATTGTGAAAGAATTCCATTATGGAGTAACTGAAGGAATGTTTCCATTGAAGTAGAGAGGCTGTACTCGTTCTGTTCTAACTGGTCCTCCTCTTCGTGGTAGCGATTCTCCAGGTCCAGATATTCATCCATGGCAGATTGTAGTCTATCATGCTCTTTCGCGATGCGCTCGGTTACCAAAAGATCATTCTTCGCGAACATGGAGTTCAGTTGCTTCATAAGCGATATACGGATTTCTGCTTCTTCCTCCCTTTTATATCTCAGGGCGGTCCGAAGTTCTCGAACACGGGAGCGTTCAGCAGAGACCGCATCCTGCTGGTCGTTTAATTTCCGGCCGGATACCATGAGCTTCTGCCAGGATGCAGAGCCCAAACCTTGAGGGACATCAGGGGAATGAGAACTTGGCGACATGAAGTCCTGTTCTGGTAATCCTAAAGTGGTTCCTGGGTGTTCATGGTTCACACGGGCATCTTCGGGTCCGGTTTGGGGTATAGTGGGATGAGCAAAGCCCTCAGTTTGGTTTTCAGCTGGCAATTTTTCGATATGTGGCTCCAAAAAGTCGTCAGGGTCCAGGCGATCCTCGGACGGGGAGGTGCTGGGCTCGGAAAATTGCAGTCGCGCCAATCCTGGGAGCGTCTGGCAGGAATTCTCTTTTGTTGCCTCTGTCGTCGACGGCGCCGGTGAACATGGATCCAACTGACCCTGGTCAGGGTACCGTTTTGAGTGAGCTTCGTACCGGAGCATTATCTTTCAACACGCGTGGATAGAGGAACCGAGGGGCAAAACAAAATAAAAAATCAAGCAGCCGCCCACCTTCGCATATTCAGCGCCTTTCCACCACCCCAGCATTTTGTGTGCAGCTTCTCCTATTCTTAACATGGCGAAGTGTTCATGAATTTCATCCTTTGAGTTTGCGGTACATGATGACAGTGGGAAGGCCTATACGGTGACAACTAGGTAGAACACGTGTTTGTATCAATTAGAGCTCTCAGAAGGGGTCTCAACACTGGAAACGGACGCGTCGTTGGGAGAGGTCAACGCTGCCTTAATACCCTCTGCGGGCCCGAACCTTAACACGGGCCGGGAATGCCTCTGATCATCATCCTTAATCTCCCCAAAATTTCATTGATATTCTCGTGGGAACGACGTGCTAATTGGCTGCCTAGTTTATCGCAAGATTGTAAGGCGAAACGCGCAGCTCTGACACGTCCGAGTGGTTGGCCCTATAGGTGGAAAATGTAAGCTAAGGAGGGCATGTGTGACCGTGTGATGTGGCATGCCCAATAATAACGGACATCGTCGGGGGGTCAACGGACCTGGCGGAGTTTGCGAGACGATGACCCGTCCATCTGGCAAGGATTGTCATCACCGACATATTACTTATGACATGGTGTGGTCGCCGCAAGGCTGTACTCAAAAGATCGTTGTTGACAGCCGACGACTTGGCGAGTCGACTCATCCCTCGCGATGTTTCATGATTTGATCTAAGCCTTCTGACCCAACGGAAGGATACTGGGCGGGTGGGAGAATGCCACGCGCCGTGGACGAACTAACGGACGGCCCGGCTTCGTATAGCGTGCGCGAGGATTGGATAGTGCGATGTTCCCACCCTCCATCATGTGCGGGGTTGAGCATGCATGATTCAAGGGATTGTGTGTCCTACACACCACCTCGGCCCAGTCAGACTGCACGGACTCGTATTCGGCGGACGCGAGCTTCCGGAATAGAATGCTACTGGTAATAGAGATCGGCGAGTCAGCAAGCGACAACAAACGAACCCATGAACTAGTGTCGGTCCGCATGTGCTTGCATAAGGCCCATGTTCGTTTACATCATGGATGGAGAGATTAGGAGAGCGGGGAGGAGTACAATAGACCGCGAAGAGCCTCATCCTCGATGCCCGAATCGATACATCCGGGAGACGTGGATTACGCCGTCTGGTAGGGTTTAAAGTGTCCGATCGGTCCTGGAGGCATATTTCTCTCCGAACATGAACTGGGGATATCACTGCAGTCGACAGCTTACCCCAGACGGTGTTGGCTGACTGCGGACCAATCGAGCACGCACTTTTTTTTCTTTGGTTTTATCTGAAATTACTTGCCAGTAATGTCCCAAGACTCAAATCACTACTCTCTCGGGAGGCATGGTCATGGTTCAAGACATCGTGATGACCGTCGGTCTGGATCAGATTCTCGACACTATGCCCCCCAGTACATGGTTGTGGACCCTTCTCGGTAGGCTGAAAGGAACGGTTATTATTATGCATCTCTGCTAAACTCTTGTTAGGACCCAGCCACTGCAGTCACACCCTTCTTCCTATCCCGAAGGATATCCCAGCATTCATCCGACTACTAGTGACCGTACCACCCCACGCCATCGCCCTAAGCCTTCCGAACAGTACTCCCAGCAGTATGCATCTGATATGAGGTATGTCGCTAATACTATTGTGCTATTATTATATAATTGTTTCATATGTTTTTCAACTATTGTCTATTTGTTTTCTTTTCTGTGTTGTACCTGTGCGTGTGGTGTACCGGATATCAGTTCTGACCGGAAGGCCACGATTTAATAGTAGCGCAAGCAACTACACTCATGAACGTACTTATCGAGAAGGGCATGGTAGTGGTGCAAGCAACTACACTCATGAAACAACGTATCCAGAACCTGGACATGGATATTACCCGACAGGCCATGAACTTCCTGCTTCATACCCAAGGCACCAGCCAAGACAAACGCGAGGTTCCGAGCCTCACGAATTGGACAGCAATCAAGGATATGGGGTGGCATCTGGCCAGAATCACTATGGACAGGGCGCCAGCAGGGCCCCTACCTCACCCACGTTCAATCGGGGAGGTCGGGACCATATCTCCACCCCGCCCAGCCGAGGAGGTGTGAGTTCTGACTATCCAGTACCCGCCCCCATTATACAACCTTCTGTAAGTATTCGCCTTCTTTGACACAGGCACAGATAGAGAATTCAACAACTAATCGGAATATCCAACAGATGCGAACAATTCAGGGTGGTATGAGCACAGAAAGCACACTTGATTCGAGTATATACACCTCATCCTGGCGCCCTTCACAGCTACTGACAGTCAAACAGGATACCAGGTACCAATTGATCCCAGGAACTTCTTTAAGCCTGGACGGGTACGATAGCCATCACAAGAGGTGTCCCCTAGACTAACAGCACTCGCCAGGTGTTCTCAACCTTGTGGCATGAAAGCCAAGGATCAACCTACTCGAACAGTACTGTGCTCAGCGCGGGTCCAGTCTTTTACAGCAAGTATGGAGAGCCAATCTTCAGCCAGATCCGTCGGATGGTTGTCTACAAACAAAATAGTCGATGTTCTTGGTGTTTGTATGATTTCTCTTTTGCATTCCCCTTCGGCTATAAGAGCGTGGAGCTCATCATGTCCTCTAGTCCGATATACACCTACAACGGTCAAGGTGTTGCGAAACGAGACGTGAACGTCCAAGACCACGCTGCTGTCTACAACCAGGGCTCGGTTTTTCAAGAAAATCCGTGGGAGCCCAGAATGACGAAAAAAGCATTGGAATTCGAGCCATTCACACCGGATCAAGCACTGGATACGATGTCCCGTCTGAACTTCGGGAAAATCTACACGGTTGAACACAATGTCAAAGTTCTGAGGGTGGGCCGTATCAGCTCTAAGTCCATGGGGACTTTCACGAATTATGCCAGAAGTTCGATGCTGAGCGAATAGATCTTTGGGTTCTCGACTTCTACATTTTTCCATTTCCCATATTTAACGCCAGGTAATGCTAGAGGTGTAGCAGCCTCTGAGACTTTTATTTCTTCTTCTTAGCCCGCCCCCTACTAACATACGTCCCTCAACGCCGAGAACAAAATGAACTCACTATCGAATACGACTGCCAGAAGATCACTGCTGCACCTGAGCCACAGCGCTGCTAGATCTTTCACTGCTTCTTTATATGCCATCCCGCTGCATCGCACGGTACATTCCATTGGCTCGTTTGTCATTTTGTTGTCCAGTTCCCCTGTGTTCGAGTCTAATTCATCTGTAAAGGCAGCGCACTTACTTCCTCTGCACCCTTTGAGCGAGTGTGATATGGAAATCCACGTTTTATTGATAACCATATGGATTTGCTGCTGTTTTGAAGGCTTTCAAAGCCCTATATTCTTCTTTTTTCCTTGCGTGATTTCCCTTGCGTCCGCTTTTCTTTCTGTGTGGGTCAAAGTTGGTATATCGTCAACCCATGGTTTCAACTTGAGCATCGATTTCCAATATTCGTATGGTGTAATTCAAATTGTTTCTCTGGTTTATAAATCAGTGTAGAAAATGTTATCGATAAGGATAAGCTCCGCCGGTGGAGATATGCCTGATCAGGCAAGTGAAAAATACTGCCCCGAAAATCGCTCACCGCCCGACAGATTTTCTGAAGCCATCTGCCTCGAAAACTTTCTCGATCCCCAGTACCGTTTCGACATCAAACACTTTTTCCCAACATATCAGTGCGCTCTAGATACAAAATGAAGCGCAAGCTCGACGCCAACGATATTCCCTCTACGGCTTCCGTAGAAGGTGAACAGGACAATGCGACGACCGCCGACTTTGAAAACCTCAATCTCGACCCGCGGCTCCGCCAAGCCTTGATCAAAGAGAAATTCAACAAGCCGACTCTTGTTCAGGCTAAGGCGATTCCGTTGGCTCTGGAAGGAAAGGACATTCTGGGTGAGTACTTTCTGCCTTTTTTCCGAGTTCAGTACTGACGAAGGTACCCTATCAGCTCGTGCGAAGACTGGCTCCGGCAAGACGGCGGCCTACGTGCTCCCTATCTTACAGACTATCCTTCAAAAAAAGACGGTTCGTAATCCTCATTGCAAAATACCACTCTTTCGATATCGGAAAATACTAACAGGCATGTACTGCAGACCGATCCCTCCCTGAAAGCCACCACTGGCCTCATCCTAGTCCCCACCCGAGAGCTGGCAGAACAAGTGCAGAATGTCATTAGCACATTTACTGCTTTCTGCGGCAAGGACGTGCGCTCAGTCAACCTGACCCAGAAGGTAGCCGATGCGGTGCAACACTCAATGCTCGCCGACTACCCGGACATCGTCGTCTCGACGCCCGCGCGTGTCGTCGCCAACCTGGGCAGCTCAGCCCTCTCCCTGGAGAACCTCACACATCTCGTCATCGATGAGGCGGACCTTGTGCTCTCGTACGGCTACGAAGAAGACATCAATGGGCTGGCAAAGGCGATTCCCCGAGGTGTCCAGACCTTCCTCATGAGTGCCACACTCACCGCAGAAGTGGATACGCTGAAGGGACTGTTCTGCCGGAATCCCGTGACTTTGAAACTGGAGGACAAGGAGGATGAGGGTGCTGGTGTCAGCCAGTTCGTTGTGAAGTAAGTCATATCCGCTCCTAGCGGACTCTAATCACTTATGCTAATACTTTGCTCAAACAGATGCGCAGAGGACGAAAAGTTCCTCCTCACCTACGTTATCTTCAAACTGCAGTTAATCAAAGGAAAGGTCATCATCTTCGTCGCCGACGTCGACCGCTGCTACCGTGTCAAGCTCTTCCTGGAACAGTTCGGAATCAAGAGCTGTGTGCTCAACTCCGAGCTCCCCGTGAACTCCCGCATCCACGTTGTCCAGGAATTCAACAAGGGCGTCTACGACATCATCGTCGCAGCCGACGAGCAAGAAGTAATGGGAACCCCCAAGAGCTCCAAGAAACCCAAGGCCATCACCAACCCCGACGACGCAGCCGAAGCCCCCGCCTCCGACGACGAACTCTCCAACGACGACGAAGAAGAAGCAGCCCCCGCAGGCTCCAAGCGACGCAAGATGACGGCGCGCGAAAAGGATTACGGCATCTCGCGCGGCATCGACTTCCAGAACGTCTCATGCGTGCTCAACTTCGACCTCCCAACGAGCGCCAAATCCTACACGCACCGCATCGGCCGGACCGGCCGCGCCGGCAAAGCCGGCATGGCGCTCTCCTTCGTGATCCCCTCCGAACAATACGGCAAGCACAAGCCGACGTCAACGACGACCGCCAAACGCGACGAGCAGATCCTCTCCCGGATCATCAAAAAGCAAGCGAAGCAAGACCAAGAAGTCAAACCCTACCACTTCGAAATGAAACAAGTCGAAGCCTTCCGGTACCGCATGACAGACGCCCTGCGCGCCATCACCCGTCTCGCCGTGCAGGAGGCCCGCGCGCGCGAAATCCGCCAAGAGCTCATCAAGAGCGAGAAGCTCAAGCGCCATTTCGAGGAGAACCCAGATGAGCTGCGCCAGCTGCGCCACGACGGCGAGCTGCGCTCTGCGCGTCTACAGCCTCACCTCAAGCACATCCCGGACTATCTCATGCCGTCGAAGGGGAAGCAGGGCCTGTCGCGTGAGGATGTCGGGTTCGTGGGGATTCGCAAGTCCAGCGACAATCGTATTCGGAAGGCGAGGGAGAGGAATCGTGGGAGAGGCAAGCCGAGAAAGGCAGGGAGGAAGATGGATCCGTTGAAGTCGTTTAATAAGGGGAGGAAGTGAGCTTTGTCCTTTTTTTTTTCTAGGCTCTTGAGGAGGGGGGAAGGTTAAGTTATTTAATCTAGGAGTGAGAGGGTAGTTTCTTGTAAATGCGCAGCTTATATAGTCATGAATAAAAGTCATATCTCATCTTGAATGTCGGATGGTCCAGGTAAAGCTCGGGTCCTTATCATTAGAAAAGAAGATTCTTTTGTATATCACGTCCTATCGGACAGTAGGAGTAGCTATATAAGTAAATCCTCTTACACAACTCCGTTCAATATAGTCCAGACCCTTTAGATATACGCACACCCACCAGCTGATTCCATCACGGCAGGAGACTCCAATATTGCGGTCCTAAAAACGCCCTGAGCACATCGTCATCCAAGCCTTCCAGCCCAAAGGCGAACTCCACCCACTTGCCGCGCCCTTCCTTGCGAGTACGTAGAATGCGCTGCTGTACGGTTTTGGCAGCCTTGACCGTCTCGCGGAAGCTCTCGAGCTCCTTCATGCGCCGATACTTGATGCGCTCGACCTCCACGTCCCAGGGTAAGTCATCGGTGGTCCCATCGTCGATACGGGTGTGAAAAGGCGGAGGAGCATGGGCGGAGGTGGCGAGTGAGCGAGACGGGGAAGACATCGAGGATGATGCTGAGGCCCGCGCGTTGTTGTCTTGTGACAGGGGCGGTTCGCCGTTGTCAATGAGGGGCAGCCATCCTGGGCCTAGACGGACAAAGTCGACGTCGCGCCAGGAGCCATTCCACTCGGGTCCGGCCGCGTAGCTTTCGCCGTTGGGGCCGACGCCGTCCCAGTTCAGAGCGGGGATCCAGCCCGCGCAGCCTTCCAGGTCTAGCCACTTCAAGCAATAGGTTGCCTTAGACAGTCGGCGGAGGATACCCGCTGACTCGGCCCAGTTGTTTTCCATTGCGGAATACATGTCCGTGCCGCCATAGGGGAGGGTTAGAGATCTGTTCGCTGGGTGGCTTGATCTCGTACCAATGGCGGTGGGGTTGACCGTAGGGACAGGCCAGTGCGCCAAAGAGAGGTGGGTGATGGTCGAAAGGCGGGAGAGCAGGTGGATGAGGGAGTTCCAGTTCGCAGCGGCGGGGGTTGGGTGAGCCAAGGACAGAAAGCGTAGGTTCTCAAAGCGTCCTCTTGAAGCAAGGGTTTTAAGGATGGGGCTGGTGTTGCTCGCGGGCGTGGTGTCGGTATCTCCGACGCACTCATCCTCCCAAGAAGGTGGGACAGGTGCCTTTTGCTTATCTTGGGCCGGCTTAGGCCGCTGTGAGCGAAGGAGCTCACTGGACAGTCGTTTGAAGTCCATCGAGTTCCCAATCGCCCCGGTCAAATCCAAACGTGTAATTTCCGAGTCGGCATTGGTAGCGATGTCCTCCTCGCCAGCAACAGAAGCACGATTGTCTGTCCCCTGTTTCTCAAACAATGGGCTCAGACCATGCATGAGCCCCCGTGTCGGCTGATCCCTCGCGTAGAATCCAACATAGCTAAGCAGGAGCACCTTGATATGATTAGGCAGGGAGGCAAGAAACAGCCCGTCATACGCGAGGTGCCATGTCCAGTGCAACGCCATCGATTTCAATAGCATGTGCAGGAGTCGATCGCGAGAAGGGAAAGTCACCCCGGGCAGAAGATCCAAACGGTAGATGACCTGTTTCGTTGCCGCGTCATCATATGCCATCTCCTGTTCGTCATCCTGGTCTCCAGATACCCAGCTTTCCGGAGGCGGGGGTCCTGCAATCCTTCTGCCTCGTTCTCCCCTTACGCCGACGCGGCGGATCGAGCCCGGGCGGGGTCGCGGGGGTGGCGTCTCCGGCAGCTCGAAAAGATTCCGGAGAGACGGGTGGACGGACCGTGCGGTCACAAATCCGGATGGGCTGCCAGGGGCATTCTCTGCCGATACCTGGGTGCGACGAAGGTGGTGGATCAGATCGTTGACGGAGCTTTCCTCCGACGCTGCGGGGGAAGAAGACTGCCGATAGCGGTCATGCTGATTGCGCGGAGAGGGACCGGGGGAGGAAAGGGTGTGGTGCGCAGTGCTTGCTGGTTTGATGAACGTGGTTTTCTGATGCTTCTTGGGCATAGGGAATTGCGTGGAATGGGTGGAGGTGGGGAGAAAAGAGTGGAGGAAGGGAGGAGGCTTTAATGGAGAGGGGCGCTCGTGAGTCACGGGCAGTGGTGCCCGCCATCGCCTTTTATGTCATAAAACATATAGTTGTTTTTATTCCACTACAAACGCTAAGATATATTATTCTGTATAAGGTTACTCTGATACTTAAATAACATTTTACAGGAATAGTATCAACTATAATAAGAATATTTGTGAGTCACCTATATATTTTCGATTAGAGCCGCTCTAAAACTATGGCTACTGGCACTAACATGACATCATCTTAGTATAGCACTCTCAACATTCTAATGTACAAGAAATTAGCACGAAAAAAGAGTCTTGGAAATATGTCTATCATTTATGTGATACACAGTCATCACGCGATCCCACTGGTGTGAACAGCCAATCCTTTGAAATATAGTGAGCGCTCTATCACTAAGAATAGAGGCACCCAGCCCTTGTTGATTGACTACCAAGTATCACCATCCAACGCTCGAACGCAGTCATCTTATTACAAAGCGCATTTTGTAGATTTGAGCGATGGCCGCTCTCCAATGGGATAAATCGAATAACTTACTCTTCCCAGCTCCTACTTGACAAGCTCCGCCCGAGGCAAACTCTGGGATAGCCTCGTTCGTAGTCAATCTGACATCGTTTTCCCTCTCTTTCTTGATCTTCTTCTTCTTCTTCTTCTTCGAACTTATGAAAGGGCTATAGACAAAGCTTCTCTAAACTTTGGTGCCCTGGGTGGGTTGAAAGGGATATCAGGAAACCGGATATATAATCCTTGGTCGGATCGGTCCGCCACTGGAGTGGGGTTAGGAATCCACAGCCCCGAGGAAGATCATAGTTTCGCTGACTGGATCAGTAGGTGGAAACCAAAGGACAGAGTATTGCTACTGATGAAAGACTGTCAGCGAATATGTACTGACATGGAGATTGATTTCAAGCTCTGTGTACATGCCGGATTGTTTACCATGGAAAGCCATTATTCCGTTCCGATGGACTCACCGCAACCTGCTTTCCTACATCTGTTGACCTCTTGTTCGATATCATTTCAGTCTCCTCGACTGCCAGGCTGATTTCCTTATACGTAGGCCGCCCAGATACGCACACCACAAAGCTAAAGAAGCTATTGTCATCTTGTCATCCGGTGGATATCCCGGTTCAGTCCTACGGACAACTTGAAGCTTCAGACAATTGTCCTGCTCGAGTAAAAGGAATCAATGCATCAACACAAAAGCCCCAAATGAAACGAACACATTCCGGCTCTCCTGTTCCTGCTGCAAAGCAATCTAAGCATGTTGCCGCCGCCACCTGCCTGACTGATGACGCTCTCAAGGAGCATGATCAAAAGACACGGCCGCTCTCATTTCTCACACTGCTTGACATGGATCAAGAGGGGAAGGTTAACAGCTTGTCAGCTGTGTCTGAGTTATCTTCTCCATCCAAACAGTCTTCTCAGAGCTCGTGGTCAAGCAGACTATCCAGGCACAGTGACGCGCGATATCGTGGCAATACTCTCAGACGTGCAAACATTCATGTCGACGGCGAGATACCAGCGGACATCAGTCATTATGCCAATAATAGAGTTTTCAATTTGTTTGATGGTGATGATGAGCATCTACGAAAAATCTCCCAGCGTCTTTGGGAAAAATCCAAGGAAATTGTCAGAATCTCTTCAGGGAAAACCGAATGGACAGGAGCCTTGTATAGAGCAATTGACGAGTTAAGTCCAACAGGGCTGAGAATCGCGTATAATCAAGGCAGGCTGCCGTCTTCCTAGCATCATTTGACTTGGTTGTCCCGGTGCTGACTTATTCCTAAGTCTGGCGTGGAGATTTGAAGCCTCCGGTGCATAACCCTTTACCCAGGATTCCGCGAAAACAGATCCAACCACACCAGCCTTTACCGGGAAGCTCTACCACCGACAAGCTGTATCGAACTACCCAAACTCTGCGTGAACTTGAATCAGTCCTTCCTATGTTCAAGCTCAAAGATCCCCGGCCAGATATAGGCGTCGGTCTATCTGACGAAAGTTTGAGCACTTCCCTCGAGCCCCAGAAAGGCCGCAACGCCGCACAAAACTTTCTGTTCGACTTGCAAGATATGTGCATCTTAACAAGTGATCCACACATCAACCCATTGAGCATTCGGTTCCCCTTTCTGATTGTCGAAGTAAAGTCCGCTGCAACTGGGGGGAATCTCTACGAGGCACAGAATAAAGCCGCGGTAGGTGGTTCAACCGCACTTCAGATCTTGAAAGAACTTGCAGAGCTTCGATTCAATCGAAATTCGAATCATGCAGAAAAGGCAAAAAAGCAAGAAAATATCGCAGATGACAGAGGCTCAACTCAAGCCATGACTGACATCACATCAAACATGGTGTTTTCTATCACCACCGAGGGCCCGACCCACGAATTATGGCTTCATTTCCGGCGACCTAAAAAAGACGACTTCTACATGGTCTGTTTGGGGGTCTGGAGGACAACTCTCAAAGATGATTCGCTGAAGTTTGTCCGCCGTCTTTCGGCAATCCTAAAATGGGGGAATGGTGCATTTAGAGAGAGTATTGACGGTATTCTCCAGAGATTATGACTGACCTAGCCTTCGACCACATTGTGCGATGACCTAGGCGATGGGCTCGTGAGCTAGTAATCATAATGACTGTACATAAGGATGCCGTTGCTTCTTACCTAGCAAATCCACTATGGCTTATACTATGTAGATTGGTGCTGGGAACGACAGCACTTAGTCTCTGCTTATGTTTTAGCGATCCGAACCTTGATAGTTTTTCCCAATTGCGAGTCATTTTGATGCTATACAGCTCTATGTATATCTAACAAGTAATTTACATGTGCAACAGCCAGGAACACGGACCTATATATCCCGGATCCAGGAATCATCGCGCATCTTGCCTTCGCGCTTTGGACCCTCGCGAATCCAAGTCTCGACCAGACCCTCCTTAGGATCCTCGTCGGGCAAGCCTCTAGACCGCCTAACATCCAGGACCAGATCGCGGACCTTCTTCGTCACCTCCTTCCGCAGCTCGACGGCCTCCCGCCCGTTGAGAAGCTCGTCGCTGAGGACGCCCAGCGGGAGATCCCGACTCTCCGGTGACGCCTTCTCGGCCTTCGCCTTGATCGCCTGCCATTTGCGCCGGGCTTCCCCGAACATCGACTCGGTGTCCACCATCTTCCCGAATGTGATGCTCACGTCCTTGCCGGGCCGCGGGAGGAAGCGCGGGAACTCGCGACTCTCGTGCATGACCTGGTCGATGCCCTCGAGCCACATGGGCACGACATCAGGGCATTCGCTGGGCTCCAAGATCAGTCGCGCAACGCCCCATTTGAAGTAGCGCATGGTCTTGTTGGGCGCCTGGTGGATCTTGCCCTCGGGAAAGATATGGACCCAGGAGTATGAGTTGCAGGAGTAGGCTGTCGGCGCCAGGTGGGAGTCCACGCCGTCCGTCGTATACGCGGTGGACAGCTCGGAGAACGGATCGACGCAGACGTTCTGCATGCTCCAATGCTGGCGTTCGGGTCGGGCCAGGTGGGGCTCTGCAGGAAAAGGACCTTTCGACAGGAGTCGGATTGCCTGCGTTACGGCGGGCTGTGCGAGCCCACCGAAAGGCGAGTGAGCGAGGCGGTGTGTAGGCAGCACTTGGCCCATGGTGAAGAACCAGGACAGGGGCCTTCTGACAGTCAATATACACTGTACAATCCGACGTCACAGATCCTCCTTCATTTTCCTGGACAGACGTACCGAGTCTGGTAGCAGATATCGTAGCTGCCGAACGACCATCTCTTATTCGAAGAGGCTAGGCCAAAGTTATACCGCAGGGGAAGAAACCCCCATATTAACGGATCATCCATGCTATTTGGACCCGCGATCGGTGTCAGCTCCTTCCCAGGTCGAAGAAATTCACAGGGTCGCGCCAGGGAGCGAATGGCGCATCGTACGTACGTACACGCTGATATGGTTGGAGACTGTCGAGAGAGTCCGAGTCAGTGATCGCTATACCGAGGCAAAACGTGAGAAAAAAAAGACTGCGGGAAGCTCACCTGTGATCAATCCCTTCGTCCTCTTTGTTGTATCTTGTCGCGAGTCGAGGATCTCCAGGAACGAGTCCAGACCATGCGTTTCAGGGCGACTCAATGTATACAAGAAAGCCCGACATAACGCCGATACCCCCAAGATAGTCGCAGAGGACGAGGCCCTCCACGCCAGCGAAGGAGAGTCGCCGGTATCTGCACCAGCATCCGAGGCGCGCGACATGGCTGTCTATAAAAGACCCATGAAAAGAACGAACAAGCAAAGCAATGAGGGGAAACCTTCAAGAAAAGGGAAAGGTGGAAAAACAACCGAGGGGGAAAAGGGAAGAGAAAAGCCGTCGGACTTGGCCCTTTTCCTTTCCGGGGCCGCGGAGGTCGCCTTCGCACGGACCAAGTGCCACCTCGACGGGATTTTCGTCCTCGCCGACCTCATCGTCAGACCCAAGCATTTCCCTACCCTCTTCCCCACCACTTCCCCCCGTCGCTCTATCTCGCTGCAACACCGCTGCGAATATGTTCAAGGCTTCATCCCCACTGTTCGGGGGTCTCCTCTGGTATGTATCTCCACGGTGTTGATGCCATTGTCCGGATTCCCTCGTCACGATCCCTTCACCCGACACCCTCGATAAACCCACCCATATTCACGATTGTATCCTAACCTGCCCATTTTCGAATAAACAGGAAGACCCCATGGCGCATCTCGTCGCCCCAGAAGGCCCGTCAAAGGAAGCGCCTGCGCGCCGTCGACCAGGTAGTGGATACAGTCGCCGCGGCTCTCGCGCGCCAAGGCCAGTCAACGAAATCCATCAACCGGTGGTACGACGAGATGCCGCGCGAGCAGGAAATGCTGCCCAAGGATAAATACACGATCTTCGACAAGAAGGAGCGCCGTTACCGCAAGAGCATTCACAGTATGTTTTGGATCCCCGGAGGCTTGATTGGGACTGGGATGGGATATTTTCGCAATTGGGTGTTGGTGTCACTGTCTCCGGACTTTGTGGTCATTCATCTGCGACGGGGGGATACAGGGCTCGTTGTGGTCTGCTTGGATCAGAAGCTAACGTTTGATCTTGATAGAATTGCCCAAGTGGACGCGTGTCAGCCAACGTGTCAACCCTCCTGGTTTCTAAGCGCGCGTTTCTGGAGGCAAGACTCCTATTTCAATACCGACCGTGGCGGACGACATCTCCCTGGTGGATGCGAGTATATGTTGGGCTCGCCGCTTTATGGAATGCGGACTCGGAGGTCGTGCCGTCGCATATGTGTGAGGCGAATACTGCAAGGATTACTGGAGTTCTCGGCAATTGGGGAATTTGCACCATGACTGCATTGTATTATAATGTTACCTACAATTCCCACTTTTTTGTTTGACAGCGCATGGGCACGAGTGGTCATTTCATGAAAATGTCGCGATGGTGTAATTCATAAGTCTGAGTCTAAAGATGGATCGCTGTGATTGCTTTGACATGGTTGAACGAAGGAGTGGCAAAAGTTTGGACGATGGATATCAGGAGTCAGGGGGAAAGTACCGAACTTGGCGTTGGCTTTGGATACTATCATTTGATAGTACCGTGTTATACCTGACGCTATTTCTTTGACTCTGGTTCTGTTGGCCCTGCCTTCGTATATTGCCTTGCGGATCCGATAGCCGCGCTGGACCCTTTGCCACTCACCTAGTGTCTCTTGCCAGCCGGCTCCTCCTTCGTAGTAAGTATCTTCGTGCTTCCTTGACAGAGCAACCCCCTGTGGTGGCTTGCGAAGAATCCAACAAGCCGGGTCGACCTGTCCGTCTGGCGGTTCATCTGCCGAACTATCAAAAAGCTCAACCACGCTGACTTCTCGTATACCAAAGGCGCGTCTGTGGAGGTTGACTTCCTTCCTCCATGATGTAATATGGGGAGTGTGGGCCTTTGTATGGATTATCTCGGGGTATTTCGTCTTTATTCCCCACTGAGGCATTGGATATGGTTTGTTGAATCGAGGGTCACCCAGTAGTCTCTTCCTTGGAATAGGGACTCGTGAGGCTGGGTCAACAACAACCCAAGTCTCCCAATTCAGCCAATGGTTGGGCAATAAGGTGAAATGGAACGGCCTTCGGCCAGGTTCTATCTGGTTTGACAGCCATTCAAGTTTCCGATCTAAGCCGTTCATCATTCGTTCTTCCCAATTCCTTAAGCCTGTGGAAGATGCTGCAACCCGATATTTCTGACGTGTGGAAAAGCACTCGACTCCCTCGGGACCATTACCTGCATTGCCATGGTCTTGGTGCAGCGTCGGATCATCTATGACTGAAGACGAGGCCCAGTGCTTCTGCTTATAGAAGACCTGTCCGCGATATCGATTCAAAGACATGACCATGATTGAATGAGTAACAGGATTTGGGGTGCACAGTAGAGGCTCGGATTTCCACCTGATCATACTTTCAGATTGATGAAACTTTAACAGGGATCTTTCGAAGTTGGTATGCTGTGTCACACTAGGTAACGTCGAGGTACTTGACTCTGAGGTAGCATGTTTTGCAAATACTATGGATCGTCTGGACAGCAGAGGGTAGACTGCTGGGTCTGAGGAGATACTTGTAAGAAGCTCAGTCATAGGCGTTCCAGGAGGACCCGTGAGGCCACACATATCGCTCCTGAAAAATGCAGCAGCTGCCTGCAACTCCATCCGTATCGACCATATCTGATATTTTAGTGTGTTTCGGGGTAAGGAGTGAAAGTCCGACTGGTCCAGACGATGGTTGATTGAGGTTAGAGGTTTGCATGATGGCCTTGAAAATGAAGGGATCCTTCCACGAGTGGTTATTGCACTCGAGAGACACGGTAAAGACCGACTGCGATAGTATTTTGATCCACCCATGGGCCGCTCGAAATCACTGTTCATGCCCCAGTGGGACGGGGGCAACGCTTCGGACCGAACCCTAGCTTTTGCTGATGATATGTGACTCAAAGGTGTGTGGTAGGCCTCCTCCCCATCACTAGACTGCTTTTCTTGGGACCTATCACCGGGCAATGAGGAGATATTCAATCTTTTTCTGACACGCAGCCCGCCCTCTCGTATCGATAGGTTGCACTCGCTTGGAAGTGTACCGCGAGAACGATGAGCGCCTGTCATAAGCGCCGAGGAGGATGACACCGCATTGCTCTCAAGTTCGCCATTTTCCTTGTGAGGGGGGCCAGGGTTCCAAATGACATCAGCGGGTGTGAAGCTATAGCTCCTCAGAAACTTCGGCAGCCACCGCAGAAGCCTTCGATTCTGCTCGTACTTTTCGAAATCTTTCTGTCCTGGATCCCACCAAACCCAGCGGTAATCAGCGTTTGTGGATTTCCATGCCGTCCATTCATAGAGCTTTTGTCTGAATTTTCGCCACACGTCTTTTTGAGCGTTGTGTTGTTGGAGTGGAATCCAACCGTACCAGGTCTTCGAATACCGCGTGCCAGGGGTGTTGCCTGCTTGAAGTACTCGATGTCGTGTCCAAGAGCGAAAGTAGTTTCCCAGTTTCCAGAAGAGAACGGCCAGTACGAATATGCAAATTGTTCCTGCGAGGAGCTCGAGGATCGCTTTAAGGTGAACAAAACTCCTGCTTGCGGCAGCTGATGTAGGTGATTCTTGGGGCGGACTGGGTCGAAAAACAACAGCATGAAGTTGTCGAGTGAGAACAGGGGCCATCTGGTGAGTCCTAAGTGATCTGGCCAGCGAACCATACCGGTAACAATAGATTCTGTCTTGTAGGACAAGACAGATACCGAGATGGGAGGATCTTGAGTGTCAGATGTCTACCGTGCTACCGGCATGTAGGAAACGTAAAAGGAAGGAGGGAGCAGAACTTCACTGTTCACATACAAAACTCATTTCAAAAGAGGCGGCCCTAGCATTGTATCTCCACAAAATCATTTGTTTTTTGATTTTCTTTTTTTTCTCCTGATCTTGTGTTGTTTTCTGTCTTTTCTATCTACTTATCACATGTTTTGGTGCTCTGGCCTGGGTACGAATAGTTTGTAAACAAGATAATGGGTATGTTCTGCTCCGATGTCCTGCACATGATACGCATCTGAAGTTGATGAACACAAAGCAACAGACATCCCCATTTCTATGTTAATGTCATTCTTACTACTTAACGTGGTGTCATTGACCAAGAAGAAATGTGTGACAAGAATAAGGTATAATACCTAGCAACGTACCGTTGCATAGCACTCTATGGCCATCATTAGCAATTCCATACAACAAGACCAGCAGCGACGCAAAGAACTCTGGAGAGGCTCTGTCGTATCTTACATGAGTCGTCTTACGAGAAAGCAATTCGTGTTTGACAGATTTGAACCTACTTCTCAACGTCTCTCTCATCATGGCCATTTCCACTAGTGTAATTGAATGTCAAATGTTGATCAACTGTATTAGGTTTCTATAATTTATTTCAGGCATATGACACGAAAGACAGCGTTGGAGATGGTTCCAAGCATCGATATGGAAATAATCTTTTCGTTATAGAATGGGGGCTTATATGCACCTTGCCCTTTACGATAGTGAAGATTTGGCACGCGAGAGGATCATGAAACTCTCGTCCATACCTGAGTTACTAGTCTAGCCCTTTCTGTTTTCACAAGCATTAGTCAAAGTATAGATGATGAGCTAAGATGTTATCATGCAGGCCTTGAGGCTTTCCTTGGCTCATCACTGCACGAACTAGTTATGATTATGGCGCCACCTTCCTGCAGTCAAAGGTACGAGAACACGTTCGTCCTTTTAGATCCAACCATTGACAGATAGCGATAGCTCTTTTGTGCCTGACTGTTTCATCACGTTGGACCCTCTTGACGCAGTCCAAGCTGATCCTGAAGATGCATTCGGCCGGTAAGTGGATCATGTCGTGCCGAACCCCCGTCAATTCCGCCATCACAGGGCATCACACTAAGTATTTGGAAACTCTTCTTCTTGTTACACAGTGACGCATTATCAGTCCATGACGAGACTAGATGGGTATCTAATCAGGCCTGGCACATAGACAGACCCAAAGCAAGGATTCCTATTTACGCAAGCGGCTGTCGGGATGTAGCCGGCTAGCAGAGCTGAAGTGGTGGCGGCGAGCCGTAGTCAAGCTGTCTTATTCCAAGGAGGCAACAAAGAAGGACTACTATTCACATAAAGTCTTTCATTTTTGTTTTTCCTTTCTACAGCCCCCACTTTGCCGCTTGCCTTGACTGGAGGAACGCATGGAACCCGTGTCCAAGCTGACAAGTCCCGTCGCAATCATCATCTCTTGAACGACACACCAACTTCTGCTGTCTACTCCATTTCTTTCTGTTCTGCTCCGAATTCGGTCTTTGCTCGGCTATACTTTCCCCAATATCACCCAGCGGTATCATGGCCACATGACTCGCTTTTCCCGTAGCCTAGACTGGTTGAGGGGGCCCAGTAGTTACTAGAGCTAGAGACAGAAGACCCTGCCCTGTCTCAGGCAACATAGTTCGGTGATTTCTACTGCACGACATATAACATATATGAGACCCGGGCTAATCCTGCCTTACCCGCACAAGTTCCGTCCGTCCGGGGCTGAGGATCTAGACCCACAATGATTGACCGGTGACTAGCCAAGGTCTAGATAAAAAACCACTATCTAAAGGTACCCGTGTACATCAAGACCCACCGTAGCGCCGGCAAAAACTGCGCCACCACTCGTGGGACCATTTCTGCGATGCAAACAGGTCTGCCGTCAGCCAGACCAAATGCCGAAACGGAACCTGGCCGAGCGGATGATCTGACGGTCCCTTTCCAGCTTGGATAGTGGGTTCAAGGCTCCTAATCCAGGGTGAGCTAGACAGGTCGCTAGGAGCTTAACTGTCTACCAGTAGTCCAGTATGGGCTAGGCCTGGTGGGTGTCTACGTAGCAACGTAGTGACCCAGTGACTACTACCAATACTGTCCTCGAGAGGCCATTTTGCGTCTGTTGCTATTCGCAAGATAGCTTCCTTAGCCCTTTACCTGTGAATGTTATGTCATGTTGGTGCCCCACGCTCGGAGCATGGCGCCTTAGTTTGAGCAAGAGTGCCTTGTAATAACCTTAACTCTGCTGCCTGGATAATGTCCCCATGTGTGATTGGGCGTGTATACTAGACCGAATGCTGGTTCATGTTAGTCTGCAGCTCTAAATGATGTTTAATAGTTCTCTTAAGCCTAACTATCGACAGAAGTATATTGTCAATCATTGTCCTGTGCAAGGATGATCAGAAGCTTAGTAGAATAGGATATCTGACCCACTCGCACCCATCTTCGCGTACTAGTACCTTGGTAACAAACCAAAAGATCATCCCAAGTTCCTTTATGCCTATCACCGGAATCACCCAAGCTAAGAACTAGTCATCATACCCTAGCCTATGGCTTCATGCTTATGCCAAGCGGCACTCGTCTTTTTGTCAGGAAATATTAGGTTTGTTTACTATGGAGTAGGGTCTGTCCAACCCTTGTCTTGTGGCGCATTAGTGTGATACAAAATTTATACACTAAAAGGAGTAGATCAAAGCGGTAACAAGTCACCCTGTTCGATACCTGACCGTAATCCTAGCTACTAGTGGTGTATCTGGGTCATGAGGTAGTATAACTACCAAGTGGAAGACTCCAAAATCCCAATGACTACTGAGTATGCATTTTGGACATGGATAACTCCAGACCGCTATTAGCGAGCCGTGTCCAACACTGAAAGAATAGTTCGAGAGCAGACGTCTGCTCGTGATGATCATGCATCTACACCATGATTTAGCACACCGCCACACCGCCACATCGTGGCTAGTATTACGTGGCTAGTGACTTGGCAGTGGCGCCTGCAGGAGTCCTGAGGCGGACAGATCTGATCGATCTTACATTGCATGGAAGGCAAACACCACAGAGATGATCACCTATTCCGCATTCACGATCCAACTTCCTGCTAACCAACGGAGCAAGGCAAATTGGAAGAATGCATTTTTTCGCTCACGATGACCATGAAGGACGGGTTGGTGGAGTATATTCTCGCATGGCGTATGGGGCAACTGACCCTTACCCAGCAACATACTCCACATCCACATCTACACGAACCCAAACACCAAGTGCCCTCTAGAAGGGTATAGCTAGTTTAATCGGGAGATTCGATGCTATACATGCAGCGACCAGCGCGATGGATCAGTCTTGATTGAGGCGGTCGCGCAAATTCCTCCCAAGACAGCGAAAAGACCTTACGTCTTCTGACATCCACGACCATCGTAACTCGAAATAATGTACGATGTTCGCTGGGCCATACAGGTGAGAAAGCCCTGAAAGAGTGTCGCTGAGGGAAACCCGATGGGTGGGACCACAAGAAGCATTCCCGGTTTCCTGGTTTGCAATGCGAGCGGATCCAAACCAGACTGGGGTTGAAGTGGGTCCGCAGGTCCGCAGATGACAAGTGCAGATGAGTGTGGCTCCTTCAGATCAGTTTAAGCCGTATGGGGTAACTGCTTATTGCGGCCCGGGCCCGAGGTTCAGCAGGGTTGCGTCTGCGCCTCTTCCTTCGCGACCTGACTTATTGAACCTGGGGGCGCAAACACGCTTCCTCCTATACCGCAAGGTCGCTCCCTTGCACGCCCAGGCTCAGCCCACACCCTGCCTGACCCATGTGCGTGGAGACTACTACCCGTATCCCGGATATGAGTACACGCGGGTGGCCTTATTGATCCACAGGTGCCCAACCTGTGGATTTCACCACGTCGGTATCGATAACTTAGCTCCTCAATGCAAGGTTATGCGGGAATTGGATTGAAGGTTATGACCGGTTGCCGTGGTTGTTGACCCCTTTTAGACCATCAAGATCGACAACACGCGAGTAGCATGGATTGTGACAGGAAAAAATGACATTCCTTACATCCATCGGATATATGCATGCTCACAGTGATAACATGGATAATTTACTTCCAGGCATTATATTAAAAGTGGCAGGACCGCTTAAAGGGCCTAGTGACGCAAGGAATCAAAAAGGGCACCATCTCCGGGCCTCCCAAGTCTCCCCATTATAACAGACAGCTTGGTCAAAAACTGGAATATAACCAGTAAGCGCGAGGTGTGTGGGTAATCTAGAGGTACTATAATAACCAATGAACTCACAAAGGTGAGCGAGTGGCTGAGAGGGCGACAGAATTGGAGACTAGAAGGGTGACAGAAGAATACTACCTAGGAATCATGTTGAGGATCAGTTGGGACAACCTTGCACATGGGGCTTCGGCAGGGTTAAGCGACAGTATCTGATCTTTTCCTTTCTTATTCTTAGCTGAGATCTGATTTTTCGATCTACATTGTTGTGCTTTGACCGCGCAATGTCTTAGCTGACACTCCCAGGACACCATCAGGCAGCCTGTCCTGGACGGTAATTTTGCTCTGGACCAGTCTAGACATAATGTCAATATTTTTTGGGTCATCGCCAATCGATTTCTGACACAGAGAAATCAATTGAAGCGGAATGATAGCCACAGGACAGTATAACGATGCCCAAGTGGGTCTTGCCTGCAAACGCTCTTCCCGCAGGACCATGCAGGTCGATTGATACGCAACGCTGGAAGAAGGTGGGTGGAGAGGGGAGCGATAATAAAGCCCATGCATTTGATCAGAACGGTAATTCTGGACGGATATCACATCTCTTGGCTCTTAGGGTTTCTATTGACTTTAGTTCCTTCACAGTGGCGAAGCACGCCTCATTCATACACCTCGCTTTCGTTTTCCTTGGAAACAGGTGAGCATGTTCCAAGCACTTGGTGGGCATTATTTGGAGGAGCATAGATTGGGAGATTACAACTACCGATTTTCATATTTTCAATATCTCATTATGGGTGGGAGTCACTAGTTTCTCTCTTTATAACTTTTCTCTGATTCCTTCCCTCCCTCCCATATTTCCCTTGAGTATTCCTATCTCATTACAATCAAATAATACACACTCTCTCTTCCACCCTCTCTTTGTCTCTTCCAATCACTTACCCACTCACTCTGTCTTTCACACATACACATATATAGATCTATATTCATACTACCTACAGTACACCATACGGAATAGTATCACCATGGTCCAAGATACCACCGACAGATCCTCCAGCAGCTCCAGCAGCTCCAGCCGCGAATATTGCATGAGATTTGAGATCGCGCCCCCGGCTACCGCATGGCCCGGTGTTTCCTTTACGCTGCCAGTCATTGTTTCTGTCCGCACGGTAGGGGCTCCGCAAGACCATGCCGTGCAGCAGTTGGCAATGAATGTCTCTTTGCGGACCGAGTCCGGAGACCCTGTTGCTTCTCAACACCTGACGGGAGCTCTCACGTCGAGCGTACGCAATCACGACGGAAATACCACCAGCGGCTTTGCTCGATTCGGCCCGCTCGCCATCACGCAACCAGGGCGTTACCGACTGCGAATCGCGTTGGCAGCCGCATCCGCTGCCGACATCACCATAAAAGACTACATTGATTCGGACGTAGTGGATGTTCGTATGGAAGCCGTGATTCATCGTCCCAGTAGGTCGTTTCTTTCTTTATTCTCTTTTTTTCTTTTCTCTCTCTTTCTCAACAGGGGTCGGAATGGGTATCCACTCCCAGTGCACAAGTACTTGTGATTGACCTGGCTTCAGCACCAATGCAGATCTCAAGGCTTCAAAGCCTCGTTCAGGAGAATCTTGACATTACCAGAGCGGAGATGGAGGAATGGGAGTATGCTTGTTTCAGAAGTTAAAGCTTTGGCGTTTGGTTTCCAATCCATAAAGCCTGGAAATTTCTCTCTCGAGCTCTATATCTCTAGACTCGACTCATATCAAATTGTTGTCTGCTCGCTTTGTTTTGTCTTTTAGCTAACTTGTTTTTGTTGTCAATATAATCTTTGTCGTCGCGTGAGTCCCAAAAGGGGTAAAAACCGTGCCCCATAGAAGATACCGCATGGTCACCACGTAGACACAACCTTAGCGGCCCGCCGTTATCGGTTTGGATGTGACTTGTGCGACCTCCTGTCTCAACAAACGCGCTTGATATCTTTAATACGCATAAGCTATAATGTAACTAGGTCTATCATATGGAAGCCCTTGTGCATCGAGGCGATAACCTAACGTGATAGAGATATTTCGCGGAACCACGGGAATTGCGATACGGACCATTCAACTACATGACTGATATGAGAGGGCAAGTCTCTATTCAGACTCATCTTCACCGGTTTTATCCAGATTGGTTCGTGCCCCCCTGAGCTAACACTCGCTAGGCATGTCGGATGCGACGGCATCTTTCTTAATTGCTTTAAATGCCCTAACCATTACTGAAGTAGATGCTGTTATTGATGAGATGCAGAGTTATACCGTCGTATCAGGATTTCTATGTCCGACCAGGTGGTACTAGCTTTTGCATAGAATGCGTCGCATAAAAGTACGGAGCATTTACCATGCCGCAGAGCAGTCTGGCCGTATAGCTTTAACTCGCAAAATGTGCATACTCTTACATCATCTATAGATTGACTGATAATCTCACGACTTATGCGGTGGTTGCCAAAAATTCAAGTGCATAAGCACTCGGCCTCTGGCGAATACTTTACTGGCATGTTGCACTAAGACTTCTATATATTCAGTCACGACCAAACACGGTGTTGGGGATAATAGGGCTTATTGGAAGATTTACAATATTCCGATAAGTGATGATCTCATAACTGGCGGCTTCTATATTGAAAGACTTGAACACGGGATAGAAGATGATAGAAAAACATCACGTCTAGAGGGCAACTAAGACCTCATGCAAATCTTTGAAGAATATGTTAACAAGGTGGTCAAGCCCTGTACAAACCATCATTGAACTCTTATCTTAGCTTTTCCAGGGATGCATTTTATATAGAACAGCATAACTATCCATTGTAGTGGATCTGGCTCTGGCAATGACTTTTTTATAGTACTAGGTTTCTTTTCACGCCTCATGGCAAACGTCAAAGTTTTGTATCATAAGAGACTAATTCCTAAAATTTCTTTTCGATTCTTGTTTGCGATATGACAATACTACAGTACGTACTATAAAGTGAAAAAGCACTACTCGGGTTTCATAAACTTGCGAAGCAATTTCAAGGAAAATCAATGTGTTTCAAGATGCACTCTCTCTAAGAGGAATAGTCCAGCATCATACTATTTCCAGCACATGTAAGAAATTGTGAACAGATGAGATTGACCAGCAATAACAGAACCCTCCAATAATCGGTCAACGATAGCAGGGCGCGATAGATGGTCGACACTGCGGCGATCCACGTGCCTTCGTCACATGGTCATGCGCAGTTGCCCGTACCCGACACGACCTCAGCCAACTCGGTAGATTCTAAGATCTCCACAACATTTTGGTCCACATCAGGGTCGGTCGGAGGGGTGATAGTGAGGCGTCAATTCCCCGGAACGAACAGGTCTGTTCTCGAAACAAGCGAAATCCGGATATGCACGGGGGCAGAGGCGAGTCCAATCAATAAATGACAGATGAGTCAACAGTCGGATCAGGCGCAATTGGTCAAAGGATAGATAGTAGCTGATGCATCTCTCGTTCATCAGCAGCACTTGAGCAGATCAGTTCCTATCTCCCTGGTGAAACATCTTGTCGACGCCGTCGCGGACAGTGTCCCGCACACTGAAACCGTTGAACAACCAATCGTTAGAATGTCTTCCGCAGTGATTTACGGTGTTGTTATAGCGACGGTAGTCAGAGCTGCTCTTTCTAGAGTGGAACGATCCCGAGCTACGCTTGATGCTGGTGTCGGGGTTGGACTCCTGGGTGGGAGAAGGGGGCGACATGGTTACTGGACTGGCTGACCGAGAATTACGATCCAAGACTAGTTGAGCTAGAGGAAAGCGACGCTGAAGGGTCGGCTTGTTTGAGAATGATAATGCGAGATGCGAGCGAGAGAGAAACAAGCTCGTGGAACTTCGTGATTAGGTTTTCCGGGCTTAGGTCGGGTTTCCGGGATTGGTGTTGAGGTAGGACCTTTTCGAGACGGAACACGGGAGGTAGAAGAAGAGACGGTAGGTGTGTGAGAAAGTGAATACTCAGGACGGGTGAAATGACCTGACTGCAAGCTCTCAGGAGTTTGACTGATTCGTTTTTCACTCCTAGGAGGTGGGGTATAGATACGATAAGCTTTGTTTTGAGGAATATGAACTGCCAACTATCAGGAAGGATGAAGGATGAAACAAACTTCCCAGATCTCGGGGAAATCTGTGGTATTTATGTTCTTCCCCAAGTCTCGTCCCCCGTCTGTCGGGTGACTCCCATCTCCTCCGTGTTGATCTTCCCTACCGAGTTCAGCCCTAGGAAACATCATCCCGAGTTACGGGCACCCTTTGACCTATCAGAAGGTGGTCTCGCGAAAGTGAACACGAAATGCATCATGCCGGACTTGACCGAGCGGACCAATCGATGAGCGCCAACGAGGTCGCGAGCTCCATCAATAGGGCCGAGGACAGTCCTTTTTCCTTGCATCGGTGAGAATCCTGGGGCCTGACCCACTCTCTCGCCTTACCAGGCTCGTTTGCCCAATAATACCACCGGATGCCCACAGCTTGCCCCACCTAGAGGTTCCCCTTCACCGCTTCTGCCTAGAGGCCTGATTAGTTTACTTCTTTGTAGTTGCAGGAAAGTGAGGAAACAATTGAACTCCACACCCTATTGAGCAGTCGAAATGACAATTGGCATATGACCTGCATGTTTTGAGCTCAACTGGCTTTCGCCGAGTCATTGATCTCAGCAGTGAAGCCTGTAAGGCCACCTGCCCGGCCATTGAGGTTCTGACAACGCCCGACTGGGCGCTACCTTCTAGCGTCGTTCGAAGGGGTGACATGGATGATCAATGGAACGCTGACCCACACTGCCGTCTGTAATTGGCCAACAGAGATGGGGAAGGAACCAGTTATGCAATGCTTACGCTTGAATCTGGGGGTGAGAGGAAACCAGGTGTCAGCAATCCCGCTCCCCTTCCTGGTCCGTATTCCAATGGGAATAGACAGTTGAAATCGGAGGGGGAATGGAAAAGAAAAGGAAACAAAGACAAAACCATAATTGAAGTCATTTCTCACTCTTTCAAACGACATCCGGGCTATGAAAACCACGTAGCGTCCAAAGCAACAAAGCCAGAAAAGATCCGACCCACATGAGGCTCTGCCGGGCCCAATGACATCACAGTTCAGGTCAGTCTACTGTGCCAAGAGCAAAACAATGCGCGTTGCTCGTACAAGGAAGCGGCACGGGATTCCGCCTGTGACTCAGTGTGGAGACGGGCGTCTTTGTGAGGGGGTTCGGCCAAGCATTATTCTCACACAAACTGGCCCATTGTAGAGTCACCGGTTTCTTGTTCGTTCATGTGATATTCGTTCCGCTGGACGAGGTCTGTTTATTTTGATTTCTGATTCCTGTCTAGCTCCATAATTATGTCTAACTAAAGTATACATGCTTGGGCGCCAGTTCTATGCTAGTTGTCTATGCATGCATGCGCCGCATCCAAACCCCGCAGGAAATAACAACAAAAATCAATGAAGAAACAAGGCAGCAAACAAGGGAAACAACGAATACAAACACACTAGAACAGAAAAAAGAAAAGGAAAAGAAAAAGAAAATCACTCTTCCGACAAAGTCCACAAGCTCGCGCTCGGCTCTCTCCACGACCGAGGCTGTTCCGAATGACACCTCCGGTGATACCCCTCAGCCCTCAACCGACCAACCGCCGCGTCAACCGGCCTTCCACGCTCCACGGTTTCGGAGAGCGCAGGCGAAGGGGGAGATGAAGGCAAAGGCGAAAGCGAAGACTGCGACGGAACACTTTGCGGCACCCAGTAAGAGAGCACGACGTTCTCTCCCGCCGTGGTAGTCGTGGGCAAGACAAACAGCGACCGGGCCTTATCCAGCGGCGGCCGCAGCATCCGTCTCAGAGGACTCCCCATACTGGTGTCGGTCCTAGCGGGAACAGACCGTGAGCCAGCAACGACCTTGTGGTGATTGTAATGTGGCCACAGTCGAGAACGGGTGACGCTGCTGTCGGTGCTGCGGTCCCCAGACCGAACAATCCCCGCCGATGCGGCGTCATCGCTTTCCAGTAATTCCGCCGACACCAGCGGGGCGAGAAACTGTCGCTCTGGGGGGTCTTGGGGCTGTGAGACCGTGACCACTGGAACGGTGGTCTTCCCTGGGTCGCAGGCGGGCCAAGAGTGACGTCGTCGATGTGGCATGTTCGCTGCGTAGGATGTATAGAACACGTGAACTGAGCTTTTTTCGACCCCAACTGACCCCAGGGTCGACAAGGTCTTTATACTCGGTAGAGAGGGAACAAAGCACCAACTACTCTACCAAGACAGTAGCTCGTAACCAACGTAAGCCCAGCCCAGACCAGCCTTATCGCCCCGTCCGTCTGATTCAAACACGAAGATCAAAAAAATATCAAATACCGATACAGGCGACATCTATCCATGGTGAGGCAAGGAAGGCAACGCAATAACGCACTATCGGTACTAGGCACTATGACTCGCAAATTCCAGTCCTGCCAGAAGGTTCGGCGAGCTCTTTTATATAGCAATTGCCCTGGTGGGTAAACAGGTAGGGGAAAGTGGCAAGCTCAGCCTCTCAGGTCGGGCGATGCGGGCAACACGTGCAGGCTGCATGCGCCTACGGAAGACGATCTAGATCGCCTGGTGACTAACTTGAGGTTATTGTATGTACGGATTACTCATAGGCTGTGGGTGTGTATGTGGTCATTTTGGGGACATTGGTGGTAGAGTCATCGATTAGGGCTTGTTCTGGTTGGTCACATGGGGAAGGCGGGTGAGGGGAATGCGTCATGGGCGGATGGTGAGTGGTTGTTTTATGTAAGAAAGTCTAAGGTAGTATGTATACATTATATTAGAGGTGGGATATTAGTAGTTGCCTAGTTGGTGATTACGTTCTATTTAGATATATTGCCCTGGGCTGGGGCTATGTTTTGTGGAAGGAGCAGAGGAGCAGGTGCTATGGTCGAGTCCATGCATAGGGAAGATGTACTTTCCTCTTTTGATCTGGGTTTGTAATTACGTGCTTTTATCGGGCTAGTTGGCGTAATAATTTTATATGCTAAATAGTTATAACTACATGATATTGTCTTTTATAGGTAAGGTTAGGGCCAGGTAGCTGCGTCATACTTGCAATCAGTTTCATCAGGCCAGGGATTACTTCGAGAGATATACCACTTTACATAGTCTACCTCTCTTCTTTTCATCACATGAACGAAACAAGTGATAGTTTCAAAGAAAGATACACGTACTCCACAGATAGGTGAATTCCGAGAACGAACGTGTGCCACCACAGCAGCCAGCAGATGCAAAGACCACTACACCGGAGGCCCTTGAAGCTGATGCCTATTATTTAAATGTCACACAGTTGCTAAATACGGGCTTAGATCATAAGTATTCCAACAAAGCTATCATGCAAAACTCTATCCGTCAACCACAGTGCCTCCGCCGGAATAAAGTGTTATGCCCTATCTCACTGTATGCGCAGTAGTAGCCCATCGCCATGAGCCGCAGTGACGCTATCGCCCATAAGGCCGGTATCCAGAATAAACATCCAAGATGGCGGTAAAGTCCTCACAGTCTGGCAAACATTAGTTCTCATGCTGGCTCAAATCAAAAGTTGGAAGCACGTACCCCTTATGGAGGGAAACACTAGGGCAATCGGCCCGCTTCGTCGGGCCATGTTTGGGTCCTTGGGACTAACGGCGGCAATGTCAGCCATGTTGAGGAATGTGCCGCGCGAGTAGGAGGCAATCGTGCGAAAATCGATGCGATTGGTGCCGTGGGATAGCTCGGCTCGTTCCGGCGGGATGGTCACGGTCAGCCATCTGTCTGGAATGTGATCGCTCCATCGGGCGGCTAGCTGGTAGCTGGTACCCTTGCGCCATATCTGGACTTCAGCCTCTCCTTTGCCGGAGTTTCTGGACCGGAAGAGACTTTTCCCTTTGGTCGTCAGTGAGACAGCGCGGCGTGAGAATACCAATTCGTGTGACGAGGCGAGGGAGGTCATGAAGGCTCGCATGGTGTGTTCGTCGTTGAAGTCTACGCTCATGTTGCCCACTTTCTTCTCGCAGTGGGAAAAGGTGACTGGTTGGTCGGCGCGGTAGAGTTTATCAACGTGGGATGAAATGTAGTCGGTGTAGAATATTCCGGGGAAATGCACCCGCAGGTTGGAGTGCTCGTAGATGTAATCCGTGTCCCTGTACAGAAAGTAAAGGACGGTATATTTCCAAGACAGCCGTCTTTGGACTATCTGGATCGCCTTGTACTGCTTCTGACTCAGTACCGGATCTACCACGTCATAGACGCACCCGGAGCTGGTGGGCTCTCTCCAGGAGCAGATGGGCTTGTGGCTTAGACTCAAAATGACTTGTTCAAACTCTTCCGCCTGGCCCTGCGTGCGAAAGTGCAGGCTCAGGCCAATGTTCGGACTTTTGTCGTCATATATGTAGGAGTAAAGTTCGTTGTACTTGCCGTCGGATTTGGTCTTTTCCTGACACACGTCGGACCACTGTAACAAAACCTGACGAGAATCTTCCTCACGGCAGACCTGGACACGACTCATGGGCATGAACAGCTCCATGCAATGAGGCATGCTCTCGGCTGCTGAAGAACTGATCACCAGGCGCCTGGTAAATCTCCAAGCCTCTCCATAAGACCGTTCCAGAATGCGAACTTCACAAGATTTGTGAAGCATTGGGGGGTTTGTAGACCTCATGGTGACTGCCTTTAGCTGTTCGAAAAGCTCGACTGAGCTTCGAAAAATGACGGTCTCGGAGAATTGCTCCGAGTCCACGGGCTCCCGCTGCCAGACGGCGTCGAAGTATGCTTTCGGTATACTGATGAATTGCATGAGATCCCTTTTATACTGAAACGAGATACTGATGTTGATCGAACCAAAGGTGAAAGAGACAGGTTCTGATATTCGGGCCCCGGGGTACCCGCTAATGGAGGCATTGGAAATTTTCATCAAAGGCAATAGATCATTCGGCACGACTTGATCTAATATCAGTGTGAATTCTGACAGGGGATATGTAAAAGAATGTGGATGAAAGGACTTACAATCTCGCTGTAGACAGAAAGTGCCACTCTGGTTACAGATGGCAATCTTCGGTTCGCTTTCGCCCTCTCTTGTTGTCAAAAGCAGCATGTAAGGAGCACCTTTTTTGCGCATTCGGAGCTTCTTGCTTCCAATGCCCGCATTTACAAACGTTCGTAATATCACCTTTTCCTCTTCGTCGCCTGCGTCTTCTTGCTCTACAGTCATCCAGCGGATATTGTCTAGGCCCAGTAGCGAATCACCATCGTTCTCAACCGCTTCTCCCGACTGTAGAGGCTCCCATATGTCAAGGTTTTGAGTGTGGATGGTTGAGGGCTCCGGGATGTCAACGTTGTTCAACGGAGCAAAATCGTCCTTTATGCCCTAGACTTTGGTTTAGCATCAGTTGCTCTGGTGGTTCTCGGAGACAAACCTCGGATAAATCCGATATCAGTTTCCTATTTTCATCTGTGAGAAGTGCCTGTGATGTTTCATCCTTGAGTACGACGTCATATAATATATAGGACGCCTTCAGCAGATCCACGTAGGCTTGTTGGCTGGTAGACGACGAATCGACCGACGGACTCATGCTACCTCGAGTATTCGTGAGGCTTGGTCTCTCATAGTTGGCAAAACTTGTCCGTGCCTAGAAAGACTTAGCCAGATGAGCCTCAATCAAAGGCAGGTATTACCTTCAATAACCACCAGACGGCGACTCGTAGCCAGTCGCTCGTACTCAGTCGCCTGATCTTCAGTTCTTCTTGAACCAACTCGTCGAATTTCTTAGTAAGTTCGGGATCCGGCCGGTGGAACTCGTCTCGCGGTTCATACTTCAGTGGTCGTTGCAATTGATCGCGCAATCTGATTTGATGCAGATGCTGCATGGCATTTTCGATGGCTTCTTTAACTGCAGTATGTTCTGTCTCCGTTTCCGCCGGTTCGTCCGTTTCCACGGTGCGGAGCTTATCATCAAACTCCGCATAGTAATCGAGAACCCCTCGGTCAAGTTTGCGCGCACTCGGGAAGACCGATCTAGGTGCTTTCGAAGAACCATATTTTAAGGTTTGAGATACGGATCGCTGGGTAGATGTCTCACTGGATGGCAAATATGTAGCTGTTGTAAGAGCCGACCCATCTGAGTGCCCGGACATAGCAGAGTCGGAAGACGTTGACTCGCGTGGACGGGGAGCAACTGTAACTGTGGCTGCTCGAGGTCGAGGTGTAGGTCGCCCATGTCCGGGCCCATTTGAACTGTCTTCACTGATCAGTCCACTTTTTTCCTGCACCAATGGCGAACTGTCTGTGTGAGAGGACTCTGGGTTTAAGTGAAAGGGTTCGTTCTCTAAAGCGTCCGACATCGACTGCTCAATCCGCGCCCACGACGAACTGGTTCGTTAGATGTGGTTGGCAAGGTAACTAGACACATGGGAGCACCTACTTGGTGATCGAGGTCGTACACAGACTGAGGTTGCAAGCGCATATCATAATGCTGGATTTGAGCTGGTCGATCTGCCCGCGCTGTGTGACCCATCTGACCTTGTGCCAAAAATTCCTCCCGTCGCCGACCCCCATGTTTCGATATCGTGTGATTAACTCCTTCAGCCTTTGTAGCGTTTTCGAACAACTTTCCAGGGATCGATGCAATATGCGCTTGCGGTCTTCGGCGAGTTCGTCAAAGAATGACTGGTTGGAGTTTACATGATCTTGAAGCGAGCGTAGGACACCCTGTAAGGAAGCTAGTTCGTTCACAAGTTGTCGAAATCCGTCGGGGGCGTCTCGAGAAACGAGGTTGCAATTGTGATATAGACTCCATGCCATCTTCGTGAGGATGCGAATGTCCACCATCTCGAAGTTGGACGCCATCTTGACAGTGCGCTCTCCCAGTATTGCGTCACCACCACACTGGGCTTACTCGCATATAAAATATCACGGAGGCGATCGAACCAAGCGGAAAGAACGTCGTACGTCCATACTCAAACGGCGGTATGCGCGAACAGTATCAAAGAATGGTCGAATACTTGATATGATCAATGAGTGATCGCAGCCTGGGGAGCAATACGAGACTTGGCCGAAATGTAGAGTAGCTTCGAGGGCGCGGACGAGGGCAAATCGAGTATCGTGGTCACAGATCACGCTGGTGTTCTCTCGCCTCATATGCGATATGGCAACAAAGGATGGAAGTCAACCTTGAGTAACGTGTTCATTTGAGACAGGATCACAATCAAACGAGAGTGAGTGTAAGAGTGAGAGTGGGAGTGGGGGAGGAGGTCGCGGAGGCGCAGCACCGATTTAAGAGAATTGGCATGACATGGGTCGGAGAGAGAAACCACCCGCCGCGGTCTCAAAACAAAGAACAAACAACAAAGAATACCGACCCCGATGCTCCTATCTGGCACATCTACTATTGTCTATTCTACTCAGAATAAGAAACTGTCTATTCACGAGGCCAGTCTATATCGGTGAGGGCTGAAGAGGTTTGGTTTGCTACGAATTCTGATCGGTTGTTTAGATCATCAGCCTTCCTGACTCGACCACTCACGACTGCCTTGTAAAAGCCTTGTGCTGGCCCTGTACCGACTTTCGGATAATATTACTTCTTCCGAGCAGCAGAAATTACAAAGAGGGCCAAACAGAGCCTTGGACACGATTTCCAGCCACATGGACATGTTCCAGACCGTACCATCTGCTTGTTCCACAGGGTCATATTCCATCAACGCGCCTCCTTCTTCCACCCACCCCAATACGATGCAAAAGGACTAATAATAAGCGAAGACTTTGGTCGAGCTCAGTTTACATCACTAGGCCATCAAAAGTCAAACAGAACTAGCGCAGGAGGCCTGTCTGTCAACACGTAAGAACAAATGAGCCCAGGATAATGAAACGTCATTTCCCTATCTTCCAGGTGTCCTAGAAAATGAGAACAATCAACTCAAAGACTGGATGACCACCAAGTCTACTGACTCAGCTGTCATCAGCATGCTACACGGAGCAGAAGAGCTGCGTTCATAGGCCAGCCCTATATGGTCTGCACACTATGGACGATGATCTCGTCCACTCACCCATCTTGCAACCTGATAAGACAGTGAGAAGAGTGGGTGTATCACCTTATCCCTTGACCGAAATGCCTTTACCAGAAGAAATATTTGTCACAAGAGCAAGGATCCCTCAGATAACATCACCACGCCGCAGGATATCTGAGCCTGCAAGAAACCGCCGTACGCGCTGAGAAGAACGCCATGGTGGGAAACGGGCTCGGATGCTCAAGAATGCGAAGCCCAGGGTGCCGAGCATGATGAACCCAACTACTCAGGCGGCCCAGGCGAATCCGAGCGAGGAGTCAACCATCCGCTTGAGGGCAGCTGGGAAAATAACGCCACTAAACGAGAAGCCTGCTATGGTGATTTCCATAGCGGCCGCGCGTTTTTTCTGGAAGTATTGCGCTGTAGACGAGAGTGCGGGGGCTAGGGACAAGCCCATGCTGTTTACGCCGATGATGCCCTGGGCCAGGAAGAACTGGTAGTACTGTTTGCACCACCTGGTCATCATCACATTGGAGACAGCCATCAGGGAGGGGACCCAAATGACCTTCATCCATCAATAATCCCCCGGTCAGTAACTTTACTCATCATTCTCCTCGCGAATGGCTGGCTCGCTTGGGCATCATGGCGATCAAACAGGGACCACCGACAACACCGGCCCCGAAGAGGAAAAATGTCTGAACAGATCCAATTCAAGCCATTTCGGATGCGCGATAGCCGCTCAGTTGATGGGTCTTGATAGACCCTAGACGCAGTGCCCCGCGAATAAAATGTTACAAAGGCAAACCCAAAAGCATTTACATATCCAAACGTACAGAAGATCACCCAGCTAGCTCCCAAAGTCACTATCCAGGTTCGTGTTCCACAGTCGGAAAATGTCATTTCTGGGGGTTTCATGGTGACGGCGGTTTCGATACCTATTTCCTTCTCTGCGCCCATTTCCCTTAGACTTTAACGGGTAGATGACATAGCCTTGATTTGATCCCTTCGCAGAAACACACTGAGATGCAGATATCAATAATAAGAATTGCTCCATTCGAGGTTTCTGTGATCTATACCTGCGCGTGGTTTGTGGCCGACCACGGCGAGGCCCGAGGATCAAGTCCGAATATAGCTCGGCCTCGGTGATGAACCCCGAGATACTATACCCCGAGCCTACCGTCATAATTGGCGCCAAATGTCTCACCAATCTACATACCTGGGACAGCGACGCCAACAAATCCTGCTCCCAGTGTCCTCGGGAAATATCTCAGCCTGGATGCTATGTCTCAGTCCTTAAGGTATTCTTCGAAGCAGAAGCGAAGAATAGTAGGTAGTGCACAAATATCACCATCCAGACTTGACAGGAACTACTTCTATCAAATCAAGTTTATGCAGAAGAGGATAGTAACTTTACTTCATTATTGCCAGCAAGTTTCGATGGAGTACATTATAGAGATTCATGTTCTACAGAGTGCTGAAAGGATATCATTGAAGCTCTTTTAAACTGAGATACGTATTACACGATTTGAAGAAAACAAAGCCTGCTACCAAACTATCAGACACCTTCATCCTGGCAGTTTGGTAATTTATTTGCTGCAAATTTTTGGGCATAATCGTGCTTAATAGCGAGTTATGGGGATTGACCATCGCTTCGGGCACCGGCACTTTGATAAAACAATATCAGTCAAAATCACCTCACAAAGACCGTCATCTAAACACACGAAGCATAAGATACCGACTTACAAAATAACCTTTTTGCAGATGAAGTAAGTACATGTCCCCACAAGGGCTACTTTCACCAAACCCCCAACGCGAGCGCGCGGACCGAGACGGCGGAAAGAACTATGGCGATGGTGATAACCATGACCACCACAATAGGGACTGTAGGCCCGATAGGGGGAATTCATTTGGCCTTTTGCAATTTGTGAATCTCGTAGATTTATTTCCAGAAAACAAGAACTGCGAGTCGTGATAATAAGCAACATGAGGAGAAAGATATCACTGCTATTTATAGTTCGAGAAGGAAGGTCGACCGGGCTTAAGCCCGAGATTTCGGGTATCATCACCGAACTTAACGCCGATATTTCTCGATCAGGAGTTCGACCTCACATTAACAACGTTTTTATATCCGAGAGCATCCCATACGCCGAGGACACAACCCTCCAGGTATATCCAACAATATTACAATTTTCCGGTCTGACAGATCAGCCAAGGCTCGTATTGTCAGCATCTTCTGGTCTATTGTACGACACCCACAGCAGCTCCATTGGTATCAGGGTGTAGACCCGGCTGTAGACAGCCAACGTGGAAACACTCCTGCTCAGTGCTTCTCCAAATTGAACCCATCGCAGGAAGCTGTTGACCATCCTGGAAGTATACTGGAATTGTGCCCTCGTCCTAATCAGGACCTCGGGCCAAAACGCCTTACACTGCCGGCAACAGTGCTATTCAAAGTTCCGGCCCTGAGCTGTCGGCTCTCTGACTACTCCGTACCCTGAAAGTTTGTCTGCACAGGACTCGCCATGGCCGGCGAGGGAGGTCCCCGGAAGCGCAGACGCCCAGCCCAGTCCTGCGAGCAGTGCCGTCATCGAAAGGTGCGCTGCGACCGCAACATTCCATGTGGCCCTTGCACACGTGCACGATCTTCTCTTCACTGTTCCTATCGTGATAGAAGCCAATCTCCAAGTTCATCGGGAATAGGAATCATCGCTACTCCGGACACGACACATCGCCAGACATTAGTTACCGGGGCCTTCGAGCGAAGAGCATCGAACCGTATGACCCCGACAGAGCATGGAGACACCGACCTTCAATCTGGCGTTGAGTCGTCGTCGGGGGAAATTCAGCGTCGAATACAGTCACTTGAAGATCGATTAGCAACCTTAACAGAGAACACCAGCTTGCCCCGGGATAATCAAAGGCTGGAAAAGGCATTGCATGATCTGACTGAGAGAACACAGAACATCGAACAGCAGCTTGCCGCGGCGCCACAGCTTGCACATACTCACCCAACAAGTGATTTATCAACTTCAAATATTCCGCCACGTCTTCATGCGTCAGCCAGTAAAACAAAATTTTTGGGTCCTACCCATTGGATTCATAAGGTAGACAAAGTATGGCGCCCGCTCGTTGACCTGGCTCTAGTGCAGAGGCTAACTGCATGACAGTTCCAAGTTGCTGAATCCTTCATTGGTAAAGAATCAGAGGCTGAATTCAAAGACCTGAAGACGGATCTGACAAACGTGGTCAAGGATTGTCGGGCCCTTCGGACGTCCATCAAGTTTCACCAGTCTGTGCCACTCGATGAGCCCGTCCCTAATCTTTCTAGCACTATTCCGCCAAAGCCCGTCTGCGACGAGTTGGTTCAATGCTATCTTCGGACTATTGGTCTAATGTATCGTGTGCTACATATTCCGTCTTTCTGGAAAAGCTACAAACAATTCTGGACAGAACCCAAGCTCTCCCCTGTGTCATTTTTAATGAAGCTGGTACTGGTACTCGCTATCGGGACTGCCTTCTATCCAGATTCCACCGGTGGGATCAACGACAAGTGCACGCATCTGAAGCAGAAATGGGTGTATGCAGCTCAATGGTGGCTTACGGGGCCATCCGAAAAGACAGCAGCCAGTCTAGATGGGCTACAAGTATTTTGCCTGTTACTAACAGCGCGCAAAATCAGTGACTTGGGGACATCACATGTGCTTTCTACGAATTCACTGATAGAGATGGCAATGAGATTAGGGCTTCACATTGACCCTTCAAATTTTCCAACTTTATCTGCCTTTGAATCCGAGATGCGTGTTCGCTTGTGGGCTACAATCCTTGAACTGGCCCTTCAGTCATCTTTGGAGTCAGGGTTACCTTGCAACCTACCGTTGGGATTTGACGCGAGGCCACCATTGAACATCAATGATCAAGATATCGGCCCTGATAAACCCCTCATTGCTTCACCTTCAAAGCCGAGTAACGAGTGGACAGATACCTCTGTTTTATTATTGTTCCATGAATCGGTCAAACCTCGCATGGGAATTGTTCAATTCGTGGCCAGTCCCGGTAGGAAGTCATATCAACAAGCTTTGCAGTTCACAGCGGACATGAGACTCGCCTGTCGCAAATTGAGCAGTGCTGCCCAGAAATTTGAAGCTTCAAAGACGAGCCAAGGGCTCGGGCTCACCGACTTCCACAAAAAGTTCCTTGATATAGAGTTACACAGGTATATAGTGGCTCTTCATGCACCATTCACGGTGCAAGCTCGAAAAGACCCTCGGTTCTACTACTCTCGCAAGGCCTCTCTCGAGTCTGCGATGGCCATTGCATTCTACGCTAATGACTTGCACCTCCCATCTAGCGCATTAGATGATTTTTCAAAACTGACCCTTGTCGGCGCAGGCAGTTTCAAGGGTCCTCTAGCACTAGACATTGTCTCCGCCCTTGGTCTTGAGCTTGTCACCCAACTAGAAGAGGAATCTTCCGCGCAATCGCTGTTTGTTGGTCTCGGGAATGAGCTTGCTAAGGCCGCTCGTGCTCCTGTAGTTCAGATACTTGAGCATATTCTTGCCCAGCTCTTGCAGATCATCTCATTAGGTAGTCCCAACTTGAAGCGATATAATTTCCTCGCGGCGATCCTAGCTCAAATTCGGGCCATGCAGTCAAATCAATGTGTGAAGCGAGTTGTCTACGAGACCGTAACCCATGGTCTACAAGAATGCTATGTCATGTTGCAGTCAATGATGGCTGGGATGCCCCAGACTCCGATTGCAGATGTGCCAATCGGCACGGCCACTCCAACTATCCCTGGTTTGTCTGATCCGACCTCCACTCAATTTGGTTTCCAACCAACGGTATGCTTCCGCTTCCGACGGTATATTTATAAAAATTACGTTGTCATTTTCTAACTTTCGAGTAGGACTCCATATTTGACATTGATCTTGCAAGTCTTCTGTGCCTCGAGGGTATCGATGACCCCAGCAGCTCTTATCTGTAAACTCAGAATTGTCAGAACTGTCTGCTCTGCTTTCACTTTCTCCCTTGTTTTTTCTTACCCATGGCTTTTCTACTATAATCGAATGCTCCAATGGGATCGTTGGCAGATATTATCTCAGAAACGAAGACAACGTAGGACACGAATGAGGCACAATGACTAGCTTGACAATCAGTCAGTCTAGAAGTTCATACTTTGGCAAATCAAGGATTATTGCTGATGCTAGATATCAGGGACGGCGATAGCCTTAGATTACCATGGCTATTACATTAATAAGGGCTGGAAAGGATTGAAATGATTTTACGGTAGGACCGTAAGAGAGGGTCGATCGCCTCTTTATATATTTCCGACGGATAGCTAGGCCGGTGAACATCAACAAAAGTGCTTAACTGCGCGCCCATTTGACATAGAGACCTGTATACCGGTTCAGATAGAGGCTTGGAGAATTTTATACGAAGTTATACACCAAAGTCTACATAAAAAAACAATATAACAATTAATGCGACTAGCAAAATATCTGTATAGGAGAGCTGACTAAGTCTTATGAAAAAGCATAGTCTAGTCATGGGATCCCATGTGATATTCCATTTGAGCACCGAGCTTTTCGGATAATGGACTGACTAGAATCTGGAATCCACTGAGGCATTGACTTGGAACCCGGAGTATTCTAACTGTGAACCGACTATAGCTACGACTGATCCTGTCATCTGTGCGTGGGTCTCTCCCGGCCTGATCCTAACCGCGCTAGCTTGACCTCTCCAACCCAGCGACAGTCTCCACCGACAGAACACCTATTAATTACTACCATCGCATCCTCATATCTCATACTCTTATTCATATCCAAGTCGGCCCCTTGATCAATTCCACCCGGTATCGACTGTCGAATGGTTTGCGTGAGATGATGGCTATGTCTTAGTTGGCGATCAATTCCCCTCGCGTCATCCTCCCCATTTCTCTCCCCGCGCTTATCCATCCTTTCACCACTCCGACTCCCTCCATTTCTCTCCCCCCCCCCAGGTGGTGGCTGGTCCCCCCCACAAACAACCCCCTCAACTCCCCCCTCTCTTACCCCGGATTTCTTAATACTTATTTGTCCCCCGCCCATATGGTGAGATTGCGACACTCGTCATGCCACCGGACATCCAGGTCTTCGTGAAATGGAAAGATCAGACTATCTTTGCCGGAGAAGACGTGGAATGCACCATCACCTTTAAGAACGTCGCGGAGAGCGTCGATTCCACTCGTGCTGCCCACAGCCCTCAACAACGAAATCAATCGCGAACGAGGGATATTAGTCCCCACTCCGAGTCGCGATTCTCACTCAAATCCCCCTCCAGCATCTTCTTCAGCTCCAGCTCTAGCCGCCGTTCCTACCCGTCCATTCCGAAGAAGAGCCCGTCCCATCGCATCTCATCGTCCGTTAGCTCCCCGTTGATCGGCTCCCATAGCTTCCCACCTCCGTCGTCGCCGCGCAACGGCCCTCCGTTCGGGCATAAGCACAAACGGTCCATCTCGATCCTGTCCATTGACAGTGAGGGTGGAGACAAGACTCCGAGGACTTCGTCGCAATATGGCCGCCCCATGGTACCGGCCAGGGGGCATGGGCGCTCTGCCAGCATGCAGGTAGTACCGAGGCGATATGAAGGCTACGAGGACAGTTCCAACAGAGGTATACAGTGACGTACATGTCCCTTCAGTCGGACCGAGTCTAACGAGTGACTTTTCTCCCAGATGGATACAGCCCTGGCCGTGGTTTGCCATCCGTGTCGCCCCTAACCCCGTCGCCTGGAAAACTGAGGGTCGACGTGGAGGGATTGACGCGACCAGGTCTCCCAGCACAGGGACGCCTCAGTCCCGGCAGAACGATCGAACCCCAACGGATGCCTGCGCGCCGGCCTCAATTGCCTCCGATCGACTTCAAGTTTCCCGCCGCTCCACCTTCAGACACCAGCAACGGTCGCCCGGGAACGTCTCCCTCTTCTCTATCGGCGGAAGGTAGTGCGATCACAACGAGATCGCGAGGGAGTGATGGGTTTGCCCTCGCTCCTGGAATGACCAAGATCGCGTCGACATCGAGCGTGAGTGGGAGTCATCGGAGCAGTGGGGAGTTTTATGCCCCCAGCGACAAATCCTCCGAGACGTTTCAATCAGAATACACGAACTACTTGATGGGCCCGCCGCGACCATCGCCGGTGCGGATGCGGCACGCACGGCACATGTCCAGTGTGGACCCGGTGGGCTCACATCCTCATGCCCAGACACTCCTGATGGGCTATGCGCAAATCAGCGCATCGTTCACCGTCGACGGATCGTTGATCAACCAATCTATGTTTGAAGAAGTGAAGCGGAAAGGGGTCGTTGGGGGCCAAGGGGGGATGGCCGGCGGTCCCAACGGGCGAGCGACACCCAGCGGCGATAGAGGTCGCAAAGGCGGTTTCTGGGGTGCTCTGAAGTGGAACAGTATCGAGGAGTCTCTGAGCGGACTCCTCCAGAACAATGAACTGGACGGGCTACGGGAGATGCGGGGGGTGAGCTCCTCCCGATCGATTCCTTTACTATCCACATCACAATCGTTATTGTTTGTCGACCTACGGCTGGCACCCGGTGAAGAGCAGTCCTACTCGTTCTCTTTTACACTGCCCAGCGGCCTGCCAGCCAGTCACAGGGGCAAGGCGATCAAGATTGCCTACAACCTCGTAATCGGCACGCAACGCCCAAGTGCTCCGAATGAAACCCAGCGGATGAATCGCATCAGTATCCCGTTCCGTGTCTTTAGCGGTGTCAATAGTAAGTGCTCCCAACTGGAAGTGTCTGCACATAGTTAACCTATTCTAGGCCAAGGAACGATCCTTGGACATGACCTGATGCAACCCTACGTCCTTCTCCGCGACGAAGCAAGGGTGCAAAAAGTCAACTCTAGCATGCCCCCTCCTGTCAAAATGAAAAGCATCAGCGGGGCCACATGGGCCTCGGCACCGGAGTTCTTGTCCTATGTGGACGAGATTCTGGAGCAGCGGTCCCGCAGTACGCTGCTTCGACCACCCGATAGCCTGGCGGATAAGCGGCTCAGTCACGACGTGTCAACCCCTGGGCCGCTGACCTGCAAGGATGCCATTGACCTGGCTGTTCTGCGGAGCAACCAAGCATTGGCCTCTTCCCGTAGCCCGAACCGGTTCGAGATCGCGCGCAACGGACGCCGGATCGCCGTGGTGGTACTCAATCGGCCGTCGCACCGACTAGGGGAGACGATCATCGCGACGATCGACTTTGCGGACGCCGCGCTGCCATGCTATGCGCTGCGGGCGTCGCTCGAAACGTCGGAGCGAGTGGCCCCCGAGTTGGCGGTGCGGTCCAACGCGAGCATCCGACGGGCGACGCGACGCGTACACGCCACCTTTTTCGAGAACACCCTGTTTGCCTCGCGGGTGGTGTTCAGTCCGGCAGTTCCCATGGCGGCCACGCCGACAATCCTGACGACTGGTGTCAATCACGAGTGGGAGCTGCGATTCGAGTTCGTGACCAACACCGCGCAGCACAATCCGCCATCGGGAGCAGGTCTACTTGAGACTGCGACGGAGGACGACCGCGGCGTGATTAGAACGGCGATCGAGAGCCTGGGATGTGAGTCTTTCGAGATTGCAATCCCGATCACGGTCTACGGGGAGACAGTGCGAGAGCAAACGCCTGAGGAGAGTGAAGGGTATTCTATATAGGACGTAATCATATAAACCTGTCACGCAGAGACGTGGAGTTACTTCTCTTCTTTTTATTGCAGAGATGCCGGGGAAAAGATGGTTAATCAAAACACAACCCTTGCATGTATAAAATAGTTACTGTTCGTTACATCGTGTGCGTACGGAGGAGTAAGTGATATGGATTACTTGAGTCGTCGGGGCAACGACGGGAGATGCCCGGGGCATCCAGGGATCGGGCAGTGGAGTCCTTAGGCTCCATCATCGAGCAGAGCGATACTTCGAGTTCCATCTCCCGATGCGATCGCATGACAGTGTCTTCCTGTCTTCCCACTATCCTCCTCTCGACATCCACCTGCCTTTATCCTCCCCTCGCTGAAACCTGGTGAGTTTATCGAATTTCCTGCTTACGCGTTCCGCATCTCTAACCGAGGGGCTCCTCTGAATGTAGGCGCATTCCGACCGTCCACCACTAAAGGCTGCACCGTCGATCCAACCGCCCGCTTGCGTGACGTGACGATACTATCTGGAGCTTTGAGGAACTGAACCGAGGACGAGACGAGTGGAATAATGGCTTCGTTGATCACTACCATGTCAGTGCCCATGATCGCTGGGAACTATTCTCTGCTTCTGCCCCGCCATCGTCGTAATCATCATCATCATCATCATCATCATCATCAGCACTCGCACATTCCTCCCATCTCCACAAATACCCTGACCGAATAGTACTGGGTTCACACTCCCTACCTCCCTATGATCGACTCTTTGCGTGCCCTCCCGCTGAACCCACTGCACCTATACCTATGACCGATGGAGGGAACCGTCCACCTCAACTCTGTACTGACAATTCCTAGTAATGCGCGCACGCGAGCGCCCTTTAAGCCGCGTTCGGCCGCCAAAGGAACTAGCAGCTACCAGCTGAGACAGTTTGCCGAGGCGACGCTGGGTAGCGGGAGCTTGCGCAAGGCCGTCAAGCTGCCCGAGGGGGAAGATTTGAACGAATGGCTCGCGGTGAATGGTGAGGCTCGCTTCTCATGATACCTACCGTTGGGTGGACGTGGGGGCTAATTGGAGGCAGTGGTCGACTTCTACAACCAGATTAACCTGCTCTACGGATCCATCACCGAGTTTTGCTCGCCGCAATCATGCCCCGAGATGAAAGCGACCGATGAGTATGCACGCCGTTATCTAATCCAGTAGGGGGTCACATCGCTTATAATGGAATAGGTTCGAGTATCTGTGGCAGGACTCGGAGAATTACAAGCGCCCGACCAAGATGTCTGCTCCGGAGTATATCGAGCATCTGATGAGTTGGGTGCAGAGCAATGTCGACAATGAGCAGATGTTCCCCAGCCGGCTGGGTAGGTTCCTCTTCTTTTTCCCATATGCCGAGATGGACCGCGAGGCTAAGACTGAATAGGCGTCCCTTTTCCCAAAAGTTTCTCCTCCCTCGTTCGCCAGATCTTCAAGCGCCTGTACCGCGTGTACGCACACATCTACTGCCACCACTACCCCGTGGTGGTGCATCTAGGCCTGGAGCCGCACCTCAACACCAGCTTCAAGCATTACATCCTGTTCATCGACGAGCACCGGCTGGCGACTGGGAAGGACTATTATGGGCCGCTGGGAGATCTGGTGGACAGTATGATCCGGAGTGATTAAGCGGACAGGAAGAATCGGCGTTCGGTGTTGGAGCATCATGTGGAACGGACATCACATAACTAGGTATTATTATGATTTTTAGCGTTAGTCGTCACGAACGTAGGCAAGAATAAACAAGATTGCACGAAACGAAAGACCAAGATTTGCACAAAGCGATGACACTAGTACAAATATCGCTGCCTCAGGCTATAGTCGAAAATTCGGCGCGAGCGGGAACTCACGTGACGCCGGGAGAAGTTGGAATCGGCAACTCCAACTTCGTCTCCCCCTCCGCAGAACCACCTCATACAAAACCTCGTCTTCTCGACAGCTACTCGTCCCCTCCCTCCCCTCTCCACCACCCACCGGTCAATCTTCACCATGCTCCCCGCTAGCGTCGCCCGCGCCGGCCTGCGTGCCACGGCCCAGCAGTTCGCCATGCCTCGCACTGCCGTCATGAACGGCCTGAGGACCTATGCCACCGCGACCCAGGAGGTCAAGCCCCCTGTTGCCCTGTACGGCGTTGACGGCACCTATGCCACTGCTCTGGTTGGTTTCCTATCCCTCAATGGTTGAATAGATGCGGGGGGAACAAGTGGTGGAATTGGATGTTGCAGAACGAAACGGGACACCCGCTTCGCTTCTCCATTGACCCGACAAACATCACCACCCATCAATATCCACAACCAATCCCAACGCAGCCGATCGAAGAATATCAATCAGACCAAACTAACCATGGCATCATAGTACACCGCCGCCTCCAAGGCCTCCGCCCTGGACCAGACCGCTCGCTCCCTCGCCAGCCTGGGTGACACCCTCCAGGCCGACCGCAAGCTGACGGGCATCATCTCGGCCCCGACCCTGACCGTCTCCGACAAGCAGCAGATCGTGCAGGAGCTGCTCCGACTGACCGGCGACAAGGGCGAGGTTGTGAAGAACTTCCTGACTACGCTGGCCGAGAACAACCGTCTGGGTGCGCTTGAGGGTGTGTGCGAGAAGTTCAACACTCTGATGGGTGCTCACCGTGGTGAGGTTGAGCTGAACATCACCAGTGCTCAGGTATTTCTTTACTCCTTTAACAGTTCAAAAGAAAGAACAAAAGACAAGATATACTCGCTTGGAAGAGAAAACCATTCAAGAAACTAACGATAATAATAGGAACTCGACACCAAGACCATCAACCGCCTCGAGAAGGCCGTTGCCAAGTCCGAGTACAGCCAGGGCAAGAAGCTCAAGGTTGTCTCCAAGGTATTCCATCTCCCCTTTCACCATACATATATTCCCAATACTAACTAAGTAAAGGTCAACCCCGACCTCGTCGGCGGCCTCGTTGTCGAAATCGGCGACCGCACCATCGACCTCAGCGTGTCGTCCAAGATCGCCAAGCTGAACAAGGCCCTCACCGACGCTTTGTAAATTATCTCTCGTCTTTTTAAAACCTGTGTCCCTGTTACCCTATCTATCTATCCTCTAGATTATGCGGTGCACCTTGTCTAGTATCATATAACCAATCAACTATATTATCTTCTTCGTTGGTTTTTGAGTGGGGTTGTTTTGATGGGGTTCTTCTGAGCTGTTGAGCTTGTCTGTAGGAGAGTAGCAGTACCTCGTGATATCGATAGAGAGACACAGTATACATCTACCAGAAGTACATTCAACCTAGCAAGGAATAGCAGTATCAATGAATCAAACATGGCGACAAAAGGCATATACCAAATATCCTTAATATATACTAAACAAACCATCATGTAGTAAGTAAACTACTCTGTCGTATACCAATCGATAAATATCCATCTCCGTCTCAGCCATCATCATCGTCATCAATTATATTAGTCCATCCATCCACCCACTCCACTCTCGAATACCGAGACCCTAGCACTCGCCAACTGGTGTTCGACCTAAACTCGAACACCAGAGGTCAAACAAAACGCACCTCATTCTCGTTAGTACTAGGTCAGTACTAAATATGACTACGCAGAGAGAGACAGATATAGACAGTCCAAAGCTAACAACAGATTCTACTATACTATATATGTAAGCCAATGATATATGTATATATGCACGCATAATTGCAATAACTCTACCTCAAAACACACAACCAACTATATGGTCAAGTATATCAAACCCTGCCACGCCCACGCCCACGCCCAGCACCATCATCCCCCTTTCCATCTCCACCCCCATTAGAACCACCATTAGGATCCCCATCATCAGTCCCATCAACCTGCGTCTCGAACTCATCCTCATAAGCCCCCATCGACTTCCTCCGTCTCACCTTCTCCAGCTGACTCTCCACATACTGCGACACATGATCATCAGCGATGAGCGATCCGCCCGGAGTAGTCGGCCGAGCCTCATCCTTCACGGCGGAGTCGGCCGCGCCGGGAGTGGCGCTACCGCCCCCAAAGGCAGACTCGAAGTCGCTGCGATTGCCGATGGAGCGGCTGGTGGAGGAGCGGCGGATGTGGGGGCGGCTGCTTGTGCGGTGGTGGGTGTGTGGGTTGGGATGGGCGGAGGAGGAGCGGGCGAAGACGTCGTCGAAGTAGTGGGAGGCTGCTGCGAAGGGGGAGCGGGGGGTTTGGGGGAGGCGGCAGTTTATTCTGTTTTTCGTTTAGCATATGATTTATGTGTAGAGAGAGGGTAGGGAGAGATAGATGGAGGGAGGGAGGAAACATACCCCGTATCGTGAATAACTTTGGCGATCAGGCCCGTCCAGCCACACTGGTGAGACGCACCCAGACCCCGTCCGGTGTCGCCGTCAAAGTACTCGTGGAACCACATGTAGTCCTTCCAATGCTCATCAAAGTCAAGCAGGTCGTTATTGTCATGGACAGCACGGCGGCCGTGGTCGTTACGCGCAAACAGATGTTGCAGACGGTGCTGGAGCTCTTCGGCCACATGTCCCAGATGCATGTATTCCCCAGATCCCGTAGGACACTCAACCTGGAACGAATCCCCATAGAACATGTAAAAGCGAAGGAGGGACTCAACCAGCAAGAAGTTAACGCAGAGCCAGACCGGCCCGCGCCAGTTACTGTTCCCCCCGAATAGAGCACTATCCGACTCGCCAGCGACGTAGCTAACGCGGAACTCCTGCCCGTTGACAGCCATCGAGTAGGGATGCTCGCTGTGGTACTTGGACATGGAGCGGATGCCGTGCTTGGACAGGAACTCCGTCTCGTCGAGCATCCGCTTGAGGATCAGTTCCAGTCGGTCTTTGCTGACTAGCGAGAGCAGCAGACGGTCGTCTTTGCCGCGGCGCTTCATGCTCGCGATGTTGCGCTCTGCGACATCCGCGCGGTTCTCGATGAACCAGTCCATGCGCCGCTTGAAGGAGGGGAATTGGTTGATGAGTTCGGGTTCTAGGGTGAGGACTGCGTAGAGGGGGATTAGGCCGACTAGGGAGCGGACGGGGAGTTGTTGCGTCCAGGGCTCGCCGTAGGAGATTGCGTCGTAGTAGAATCTAGTATCTTTAGTATGATTGGACCTGCAGTGTCAAGAGAAGCAATGCATACCCGTCTTCTTCGTTCCAGAGCGATGATTCCTGCCCGCCGGATCGGAACGTCATGGCGTCGCTGATGAGGATGAAATGCTCGAAGAATTTCGACGCAACTGACCCATCATTAGCATGTTCCCTTTCTTTTCATTTCTGCAACAAACAAGCAACATACTATCTTCGTAAATGCGACGGTGCTTCGCCAGCTCGAGCGCAATGTTCAGCATACACAGGCAGTAGAACGCCATCCAGCCCGTACTATCCGCCTGCTCCAGAACTCCCCCCGTGGGCAGCGGCTCAGATCGGTTGAAGAGCCCGATATTGTCGAGACCCAAAAAGCCACCCTCGAAGACATTCTTACCCCCCGAGTCCTTCCGGTTAACCCACCAGGTAAAGTTCAGCAGCAGCTTCTGGAAGACGCGCTCCAGGAAATCCAGATCCTGCCGTCCGTACATCTTCCGCTCGATCTTGAACGTGCGGAACACGGCCCACGCGTGCACGGGAGGGTTGACATCGCCAAAGTTCCACTCGTAGGCAGCCAGCTGGCCGTTGGGGTGCATGTACCACTCGCGCGTCAGCAGATCGAGCTGCCGCTTCGCGAACTCGGGGTCGATCATGGCCAGCGGGATGCAGTGAAAGGCGGTGTCCCACGCGGCGAAGAAGGGATACTCCCACGAGTCGGGCATGGACAGGATGTCGTCCATGTACAGGTGCTTCCACTGTTGATTGCGGACGTGCTTCCGACCGGGCGGCGGCGGCACCATGCCCGGGTCGCCGTTGGCCCACTGGTCCCAGACGAAGTGGTAGAACTGCTTGCACCACATCATGCCCGCGAAGGCCTGGCGCTGGATGTTGCGCAGGTCATCGCTCATGGGCAGCGGGCTGATGTGGTAGTAGAAGTCGTCGGCTTCGGCCCGGCGCTCCTCGACTACCTCGTCCAGTGCTTCTTCGTCTACGAATTCCTCGCGCTTCCGCGATAGTCGGAACCGGACGACGGCGCACTCGCCTGGGGGAATCCCCTCCCCTTCGTCGAAGGCGTACCAGGCGGCGAACTTGGTGCCCTTCTGCGCGGGGTTCACCACGTCCTTCTCTTCGTCGACGATGTGACGGTGGAAGGCGTCCTTCACGTACGCCTGGTCGTTCTCCGTCTGCCACAGCAGCTCATTGTTCGTCTCGTTCTCGGTGAACAGCATGCGCGGCAAGACGTCTTCCTGGCTGTCGGCGAACGCGGGCGACGGGGAGAAGCGGACGTAGCGCTCCCCGAGCTTGTGGTGGGTGGACTTGGTGACCATGGGACCGACTTGCTCAAGGACAGGCCTCGGGGCATCGTTCTCGTGGCCCCAGGACCAGGTGTTGCGGAACCAGACTTGAGGGACGATGTGGAGGGGCGCCGGCTCGGGGCCGCGATTGTAGGCGATGACGCGGAAAATGAGCTCCTCCTCGTCGTCGCCCTCCTTGGCGGTCTCGATGAAGATATCCCAGTAGCGGTTGTCCTCGAAGACGCCCGTGTCGAGGATATTGTACTCACGATCCTCTCTTCCGCGGCGGGCGTTTTCCTCCACGAGGTTCTGGTAGGGGAACTTTTTCTGGGGGTACTTGTAGAGGTATTTCATGTACGAATGCTGGAGTCATATTGTTAGACTCCTTGCGATACTGGCGGACGAGAACCAATTACCGTCGGGGTGTTATCCAGGTGGAAGTGCGCTTCCTTGACGCTTTCGCCATGATTGCCTTGAGGATTGGAGAGGCCGAAAAGGCGTTCTTTGAGAAAGTCACTAGAAGATGTCAGTTTTCACCTTTTCCAAAAGACAAAAAAAAAAAAAAAAAACACATACTCCTTCTCATTCCAAAACGAAAACGCAATATTCTGCAAATTATGAGTATCGGAAACACCGGCGATACCATCCTCGCCCCAGCGGTAAGCTCGGGAGCGGGCATGGTCGTGGGAAAAGTCTGGACCAGCGGGGATCAGCACAGGTGGGGAAATCATCCAACCATCTCAACCAACTTCTTGGTGGAGATAGAATGAATTTGCTCGCAACACAATTGGGAAAAAAGAAAAGAGAGGGGAATTTACAGCTCCAAGCGTCTCCATTTTCACTATCACGGCGCAAAAAGTCAGCAAAAAATACTGATTGTCGTCCAGACAAAGGAGGGGTAAGTGGTTGTAGTGGGATAGCGGTGGACTTACGAGTAATCCTCACGGACTGCAGGTATCGTCATATCATGTCAGCGTCTAATTGGAATGTTGGATTGTAGAATGGAGGGGATTGGGGAGAAAAAAACTCACCGGTGGCCCATTGCCTCTCTGCGACGTAGGGACCCCATCGTTTCCAGTAGCGAGTGCGTTCCTTGTCTTCTTTCAAGCGCTTTTCTTCGGCGGATTCGTAGACGTGGCGGTCAATTAAGACCATGGTGGGATAAGGGAGAGAAGTCGATGAAGTATGGAGGAGGGGTGAAGGAGTAGAGAAGAAAAGGATGGAGAGGAGAGACGGGAATGCGAAGAGGTCAAGAAGAGGGGATTGAAGAAAAACTGCAGCTGTCAGGAAGATCCTCTGCAGTCCAACTCACACCTGCGTCTGCTTATCATTTTGCTCTCTTGGTCTTGGTTCAAGGTCGAGGTCAGTGCGGGGTGATGTCACTGCGGTCCAAACCTTGGAAGTTCAACCCGATTAACCACTTTGGGATGGATGTCTGACCCGTTTGGAGAGGTTGGGGGGGTTTATTGGTTGGGGATCGCATTTAACTACCTATCTTACACGCCACCGGTCCACTCTGCGATATTAGCGGATGGAAGGGTTCGTCAATCGGAATTATTCATACAGGGACGCATCTTACAGATACATCGAGAGGGGTTCGAGCTGGGATATCCACCAATGCAAATCCAACACAAATTATAAGATTAGCAAACATGCAAACGAAGACTACGCCACAAAAGCGAAGACTACCCCCTGTCGAAGACCGGGGGGTAGCACGCGATGAAATAATCAGGTCCCTCAAACATCAGTCGCCATGCCCCGTCGCCGTAGCGAGGAAGAGGCAACTGACATACTGTGAGAGCCACTAGAAGGGAGAAGAGAAGAACGGACGTCGTCCACCGCACAACCGATGCAGTCCTGGACGACGTAGAGGGGAATAAAACCGACGACCAAAACCAATTTCTCCAAATATGCCCCGCCAGATAACAGTAAAACGAATGAAGCCAAATCCATTCCAACCCCGTTCGGTACCGACTCGAACTCGATCGATTGGATCGATCCACAAAAACAAAAAAAAAAGGGTAATAATAATAGTTGGTGATTAGAAGGAGAGTGAGAGGGACGATCCCAGGATGACGCGATTTTCGACGGTCGATCGCTCACGAATTGCGGGAGGCATGCTGGTATCGCTGCTCATCCCCGCTGGAGTACTGGCCTGCGGTGTCCGTGGGGGATGTGGTCGCTGACGTGGATGCTGCAGGGTCAGTCAGTGATGGGACGGGTTGATCAGACGAGTTGAGAACGGCCTCACCAGCGGATTGTTGGTAGTCCCCGGTCTGGGCATGGGGGTTTCGCGAACCGCTCCCAGGGACGGGCTGGCGGGCCTTCAGACGTTCTTCGGCCTCGCGGATCCTAGTCTGGAGTTCTTCCAGTTCCTTGTTCTGGATCATCATTTGATATCTCCTGCGGGGTTTCCTTGTTAGGGGGATACTTTCGGGAGGGGATGATTGGGTCGACCATACTTGTTGTCCACACTCTGGGACAGCTCGGTCACATCCGAGTCTAAAGAAAAGGCACTGTCAAGGGCAGTTGAGAAAGCCTGAGCCATGGTCCTGACATGTATGGTCAGGCGATATTCGGGAATATAACGGGGGTGGGGGGAGAGAAGGGGAGACGAACGACTGCGGGCGAATGCGACCACTTGGCTTCCAACCTTGGTCTGCGTCCGACATGATGTATATTTATCCCAAGATTATATATATAAAAATATAAAATCGTATGTCAAGTGATATGGATGTTGAATATCACGATCCAAGTGGGAGAGGGAAGATCGAGTCGGGGAAGAAATAATCGACCGGTCAAGCGCACGGGGAGGAGTTAGGAGGGTTCTCGGGGGCGCAACAAGAGAAGATGTGAGGCGTGGGCGTGGCCGATCGCAAAGGACGAGCCTGGAGGAGGAGGAGGAGGAGGGGGGTGTGGAGAAGGGTGGTTGATTGGCACGATGGGTGGTTTGACAGGTTCAACGACCATGCACACGATGAATCGATCGAGGGGGAGGGGAGAAAGAAGGAGGAAGAGGGAGGATTGGAAAAAAAAAATAAGAATGAGGAAAAAAAGAGAAGATCAGAAAAAAAAGCACGATCAAGAGAATAAAAGGAAGGAAAAGGTAGATCGAAATGGAGGTCGCACTACTGGTTTCGAATGGACCAGGACCACTTTTTCCCGTTTGGGATGGGGATGGACTCTTGATCTTATATTTTCTATAAGTATATCCTTAACCCGGATGGAATTGTTGATAGAAAAGCAGATGACGATAAAGAAGATGAGAACAAAAGAATTGCACAAAAGAAATCAAGAGATTGAGAAAAGGAAGAAAGAAAAGGAAGAGAGAAGAGAGAGGACTGCTATAGTTCCGATTATACTTTGGATGATGACGCAGGGACCAGAGAGGGGGAGATAAAAGGGGGAGAGAAGGAGTGGAAGCCCCTGATGCGTGGGGATGTATCGGTCTGGTGATTTACCGTATTATTCACAGTACCATGGGGTTCTTTGGGGGCTGCCCCGACAACGCGCTGTACGGTGTGGTATTGATCAAATACGAGCTATGAACTACTATATAATGTTCATGAGTCAGCTATACATCACCTGACGACCATCCCGTTGTGCATCGTTGCTTTTTGCCCTCTTTTGTCGGCAGCAAAGTCTGCCTGGATTCCTGGATTCCTGATTCGGGCTCCTCGATTTCTCTCTCCAACTTTCTTCTTTTCTCTCCATCTTTTCTCTTTCTCTCCTCATCTCATATCTCCATTGTCTCGACTAGTCTCGATCGTCATCATCCCTCTCGTCCATCTTCAATCTAAACAACCCTTCCTCATTGCTCCCTCTCTTCCCTCTTGTCTTTTTCCCTTCCGTGGTTTTCCTTCTGCCTCCCTTCCTTCACTACGCAACTGGTCTCATCCGCCTCCCGCATTCCATCCCGTCGCGTCTCCCAAAACACTCACCCAGAAATCCCAAAGAAGAAAAATTAATCATCATCTAACGCGATCGACATCCTCTCGGTTTAGTCCAGAATAATACAGAAAATTAAAGACAAAGGGACGACAAATTTGATTGTTTCATTTAACCCATCCAATCATCCATCAATCACCCGAATGAATTAACCCGCCAAACCCGCTCCTGATTGAACCCTGCTCCTTGAATGGGATTGATTGACTCTCCCAACTCGCTCCCATCTCCCACCTCACCGCATCGCTCCTCTCCCCCCACCCCATCACCGTGGCACCCATCCCAAAGGCTCTTTCCCCCAGTGGCCGAGCCAACGGACAATGGGGGATGCCTCCTCTGTCGGCCTACACCCCTTTGGAGTCCCTCCTCTTCTTCCAGTCCCTTGCGGGTCTGGATGCGCCCCCCGCTAGTTTCGCCGCCATCTCCAATATCCTCCGCTCCAACCCCTTCGTCCGTCACAATGTCGCCTTTGATGCCCAGCGTCTCTCCCCAGAGGCTCTTCAGGACCTCTATGCCACCCTGATGCGCGACGGGGACCCCCTCGCCCTCACCGCTCACGAACCCAACGGCCATCCCGACGACGGGCCCGCTGCCACCACCAATCCCAAGAAACGCAAGATCGCGAGCCCCCGATCACGATCCCACTCCACCGTCGTCCCGGGTCTCGTCTCGCGTCTCTACTCCCGCTACAAGGAGCTCGTCACCAGTGAGATCAAGGACGAAGAGCAGCGGTACCGCGCCATCAATGACGAGATTGACCGCCTGCAGAGGGACCGCGACGCCCCGCGGGAATCCCTGCCCGCCCCGGTGACCCCGGTCGCGCCGCCTTCGTCGCGCGGACCACCCCTGGAGCCGATGGAGGTGGATGCAAAGGAGGAACAACCCCCCGGCCCCACGCCAGACGCCGCCCGCACGCAGCCGGCCCCGCTGGTCGAGGGGCAGAAACCACCCGGGGAACGCCCGCGCAAGGAGCCGGAGACGTCGACTCCCCCAGCCCATGCGGTCCCGCCGCCAGGGGTCACCCGCGCACCGCAACCACCCGCGCCACCACCTACGGCGCCTTCATCCACGGAGACGCCCCTGGCACAACCCCAACCCCAACCCCCGTCGCGGGGCCCGCCGGTGGTCCCGCAACCACCCCACCGACCGTCGCGACCACCACCCCCGTCGCCGTCCCAGCAGCCCCCGCCACAACCCCCGCCGGCAGTAGTCCCTCCATCGCCCACGGCCCCACGACCCATCCCCACACCTCAAGGCGCGTCGGACCAGGCAGCACCCGCGGTGCCCCGGCCGCCCCCGTCTGTGTCGCAGCCCCCGGCGGCGGCGACCGTTCCCGCTGGAGTCGCACCGCGGCCTCCCACTGGGACGTCGACACACCCGCCACCTCTCATCCCCGCGTCCGTGGCCCCGGCCGCGATCCCGCCCCAGCCACCGATCAAGCACGCTCCCTCGGTCCCCACCCCGCCGGTACCGCCGTCACCCGCCCAGTCGAGCTTCCAGCAATGGTCGCTGAACCCGCCCCAAACGCCACAGGCGCCCCATTCCCGACCCAAGCCGTCCGCCAAAGCCGCGGCCGGGAAGCCGTTGCCACCGCCGGCCCCGCCGGCCTCACTATCGAAGCCCCCCTCGCAGCCGTCCCCGAAACCCGAACCCCCTGCGCAGCCCAGTCCGGCCTTCCTTCCCCCCACCGTGCCCACCACGCCACGGCCGACGGCGGGAGTCGCGCCGCTTCCGGCCGCTGGGGCCCGTGGCCTCGAGACGCCGCTCGCGGCGGCCACCGCGCGGTGGTCCGAGTCGCGGGGATCCCGTCCGCCAGCACCGTCGGTCGACACCGCGGGCTCCTCAACCCCGTGGAAGAAGACCCCTCTCCGATTGACTATCCCCGAGTCCCCGCGGTCCCCGGATCGCCCACGCCCCGAGGATGTCAGCCCGATCAGCGACCGCGCCTCGTCCCCGCCGGGGTCCCGTGAGGCCACCCCCGACGAGCCGGTGGCCCCGCCCGTGCGCCGCAAACGCCGGGGCCCCGGGCGACCAAGCCGCGCCGACAGCCCCCGGACCGCCGAGCCGGAGAGCAAGGTCGCGACCGCCCGTGGGGAGAAGGCCGGCCGGTCCGCGCGGCGACGCGAGCGGAGCCCCGCGTCGTCCCGCAGCCGTGGTCGGTCGGTCTTGTCCCCGGACGCGACGGCTGACACGGGGAAGAGGATCAAGCGCGAGCTGCCGTCGACCCCGGCGGGCGTCCCCGAGATGGCGGAATCCGAGCCCCGCGCGTCTGGGCGCAAAGCCACGGTGCCGGCGTCGGAGGAGCGTCCGGCCCGCGGACGACCCAAGCGCAAGCGTGCCCCCAGTGAAACCCCCGGGGAGGCCGAGTCCCTGCCCCCGCTGCCTCCGCCACAAGCAGCCCCCGAGGCCAGCCCGCTGGGTCGTCCGGATGCCAGCCAGTCGAGCCCTTACGTGCTGTGTCCGCGCAATTTCCCGCGCACCGGGGCCCCGATCATGAACGACGTGACCATGCACAAGCACGCCTCCATCTTCACCAAGCCCCTGACGGAGCGCGACGCCCCAGGCTATCGGGATCTGATCTACCGGCCGCAAGACCTGAAATCCATCAAGTCGTGCATTCACCAGGGCACGCGAGCAGTCACAGCGGCAGCAGAAGCAGCCAACACGCCCATGGCAGACGGCGAGTCGCCCGCACCGGGGGGGACACCGTCCAAGAACGCCGTCCTCCTGCTCCCGCGAAGCGAGGAAGTGATCCCACCGCGCGGCATCGTCAACTCCGCACAGCTAGAGAAGGAATTAATCCGCATGTTCGCCAACGCCGTCATGTTCAATCCGGTTCCACAGCGCGGATTCGGGCCGGCGTTCCCGCTCACAGCGGACGGGGCGTCCCGCGAGAGTACCCTGGTGCCGGAGCCCGACGAGGGCGGCATCATCAAGGACACGCTGGAGATGTTCGAGGACGTCGAGCAGGCGGTTACGCGGTGGCGCGCGGCTGAACGCACGGCGGATGAGCTCGCCAGTAAGAGCGTGCTGGCTTTGCGGCGGAGTAGCGCTAGCGATATGAATACCGATAGTGCGGATGAGGTTAAGGGGGAGAAGTGAGGTGGGTTTTAAGTAGTTATGAATGCATGTACTATGATAGTTTTGTTGAGAGACTGACTATCTTGTGTTACGATATCAAACTCGGGCTTACACGTAGAGTTATATTGATCACCCATAGAAAGGCTCGACACAACCACCACAGTATCTACAACTCCAAATCCACAAGTCATACATACCATCACGACAATAATCCCAAAGACATCAAAGTCCGCAACCCGACTATCGCAAGTCCGAGGCAACCACATCATCTTGATAGTAGTAGTAGTACCTAGTTGCTATCATGTGGCCAATATTTCCAACCTAGCAAGATAATAGGTAAGGTTGAGTAACGATCTTCACTGTTCTTGAAATTGTTTGTTTTGTTATTATGAAGCCTGTCTATAGTACTGGCGGGCTTGGTGCTGTCTAATTGGGTGGTTACTGTTTGGCAGGGACTGAATAACAGGTAGGTAGTAGTAATCTGGAATCAATATCATACTTTAGATGATGGACTATTTGGATAACATATTTCAATGAAATTCTCGAATGAGAAACTAGGATCAAATACTTGATGAAACAATTACTTGAATGAAATCAACTAAACAAACGCATAAACAACCAAGTATATAGATGATGAACGCCTCTATGCAAAAACCACTTTTACCCTCAACTCAACTCCGCAACGCAAATCACGCCGCCGGAGTGGCAGCCTGCACCTGCGGCCGGGTCCTGCCCAACCCATCCTTCGCATAAAAGTCCATCGGATACACGCCCTTATTCGTACGACCCCAGTCCTCTCTCACACCCAGCGCAATCAGCGCCTCGTAGGGAGTCAAGAGCGGTCGCGGGAACGCATACCCCCAGTCGATGCTCAACCGCGGACAGGCGATCTGCACCCAGCACTCGACGTCGGCCATGGACGCGAGCTTACCAGGGAAGATCTCGCTGAGCAGGAGGTTGATAGTGGGGATGCCGCGGCTGGCGAGATGGTCCTGGATGAGGGCCATCGTGTGCGGGTTCCCCTGGCGGCCGAGCGCGCCGAGGATGATGCCCCATTTGCGGGCGCCGCGGGCGGAGGCGATGGCGTCGCGGCGGAGCGCGTGCATCTCGTCGTGGCCGTATTCCTCGCGGGAGAGCGTGCGCGAGTAAGGGTCGTAGCGGTAGGCTGGGATTGTGGGGTTGTGGATCATGGCGGACTCGAGGTGAAAGCGGCCGTCGCCGAGGTAGAGGATGCAGTCTACTGCGTCTTCGGGGCGCATTTGCGGGGAGGTGCAGCCGAGGATTTCGCCTTTGGAGAGGGGTGTTATCTGGGGGATGAGGACGCGGTAGCCGGCGCGTTCGAGGACGGGGCGGAGCCCGTGCAGGGTGGCGTTGAATTGGATGGTGCCGACTATGGCGAGGGTGCGGCCGGTGGGGATGTTGCGCTCGAGGGTGGCGAGGAGGTGGGTGGTGTCGATGCTGATGTCGACGAAGATGTAGAGGGTTTTGATCTGCGTGACGTCTACCGGGATGAGGCAGCTGTGGGCGTAGTGGACGAGGAGGTCGCAGCCTAGGGCGCGCGCGGTGTAGTCGTCGATGCAGCAGGCGCCGTAGGTGACGTCGCCCATGATGAGGGTGTCGATGCCGGGGCAGAACTGCGTCAGGATGTCGGAGATGGTCGTCGCGAAGATGAGCAGGCCCTCGGGGAACTGCAGCGCAACGCGCTTGGCGCCTGATGTGCGGATGCGGTGGATGGTTTTGGGGATCTCGAATGAGTAGTTGGGTGGGAGGAGCCCGATGGCGGCTTTGATGTCGGGGTCTTCGAGGATCTCGGGAGGGACTTGATTGAGGGTTCGGGGGGTTCGACGGGGGGTGGCTATACATGATTAGCATTCAAGTGTCACTTTTCCTTCATCTATGCTAGGGATTTCATGGATTGATGTATCAAAGACTTACCCCGCTGAAGACTGGTGGACTCGACATCTTTCTGGCTCGAGTCCTTTTGGGCCTGTGCGTCGGCAGTGCGTCGACCCACGAAGCGCTTCTTGGGCTGACGGAGGGACTGGCCCGCAGGGGCTTCGTCTGGTTTAGACTCCATGGTGTAACTGGTGATGGTGTGATGTTGAAGTTTGAATCTTGAATCGGATCGTGAAAAAAGTGGCGGTTGTTGACTAAGCGGTTTTTACTCCACCGACGAACTATGTGGTGTAGAATGAGCCGATAGTACGGAGAGCACTATCGAACATATAGCTCAAATCTAACCATGTCAAAGATTGAAACATGCAAAGCACATCTACCGTTCATCATGTCATTGTATTTGCAGGATATTCAAAGTCCAATTAACAGACAGATGTTCCACCATATCGTACAAGCGACCAGCGCAACCCCAAACCCCACTCCATAGTTTTGTATCCATGTCTATGCGCACCACTCAATCACCAAGAATCCAATCCCCATAGTGATAATTTTAGTTCAGAAGCACCTTGGAGAGGCGTCTAAAAATCAGTAACCCGCCCTCCATAACTCCAATCACCCTCAGCCCCCCACCGCAACGGCTCATTCTTAGGACCGCCGACTTCCCCCGTCTTGGGATTCTTCTCGCCCTCAAACTCAGGCTTCACCCCGACCACCTTATCGGGATGCTGCTGCTGGCCATCGGCAGCCTCCTGCGAGTCAGGGGACTGGTTGACGCGCGGGGTGCTGAACGCGCCCGTCGAGCGCCGTTGGAGATCCTCGAAAATTTCTTGCTCTTCTTTGGGGAGGCGAGGGGGCGCTGGGCCGCGGTTGAATGGGAAACCGGGAGCTTGGGGCCCGTCAGAGCTGTTGTTGAAGCGGATGGTGCTCGTGGCGAAGGCGCGGGTGGTTCCCGTTGCGCGCATTACCGCTCTGCGGGTGGGAAGGATGCGGGATAGCATTGTGTATTTATTCTTGATTGGGTCGACGGGGACCGAGTAGAAATTATTGTAAAACCAGATAGACGTATGGTCGGTTGAAGGAGGATGCAAATCGTCGTCGGGAATGAAGAAGTGGGTGTCGGGATGAGATCGGAGAAGATCGCTGCTTATGCCGACTGTGGCGAGGTGGAGATGAGTCAGCGGGTATGATGCATCTTATATCTTACTTTATGCTCTCCCATACTCTGCCATCCAAGGCTCGTTTTATTGATCTGTCCTATTGGTTCTAATGTCTATTGGAACTGTCCCGGCCTAGTTAAAAGAGAGGGGGCGTTTATAGATAGACTAGTGTGATCAGTTAACCGTCATGTTTAATCCATAAAGATGGCCCAGAAGGTACATTCTCATGAACTGGGGGCTCAGAGTAGACGCCTGATTGGACTGTGACCACAAACCTATATAGACTCGACCTAAGGGGTCTGCTTATCAAGTACCGAATCTCTCGGTGCCCAAGTAATGGTGACCGTGATACATAGCCCCATGTGTATACCCTTGCTGTCTGGTACTGTCTCGTGCCCTAATACAGGTTGTCAACCTTCTGATTTCACCCCGAACAGAAGACTTATCCATAGTATGGACCAGTATCACTTTACATACCTCAGGTACCTGTATAGAACTTATGCTCACCTGATCCGTCACGAGATGCTCTACCTCCACGTGATGACTCTCCCTTCTCTCTTCTTTTCTCTCTTTGTCTTTGGATCTCCTTTCTATCTGTCGATCCCTTTACCTCTTCTTTCATTTCTCATGATCCTTTCTCCTCTTATCATCCCACCATTATATTACTAATTGCTACCGTCAACTAGGTACATATTACATACACTGAATGGACCGCCGTCCACATTCCAGTACTTCTTCATCCAATCATCTCCGCCGGTGGGGCCTTTCACATGCCTCTTGATAACCATCCACTTCATCGTCATCCTCTTTATCATCATCATCCTTGACGGACGCCACTCCTCATGCTCTTCCGTTGGTCAATCTCATGCTCAGCGGTGCATGGATCAGTGCCCTTCTGATTTTCCCTCTCTTGCTGGCACCGCTTTCCCACGGCCCCCTGTTCCAATTTAGCTGCTGCTTTGATGGCAGTCACTTAGCTAGACTATGCCTCACTTTACATAGAGGTCCCTGTTGTCGACATATTTAGCCGTTGGTGTTGTACGCCTGGCTCAGAGTTTTCTTGTTCAAATTGCAATATCCTATATTTGAAGACACCACGTACCTGAACTATACAATCCATCGCGAATTAGACACCTTTCCTTTCCTTTTCCTCTCTCTTATCCTTTCTCCTGGAGTCTTCTTCCATTATTTTCTTTTTGGGTACGCAAATACCGCACGATGATAGGTACGAAGTACGGAGTGTGGCCCGGTCGTTGTCTCTACTGACATCCTTCAGACCACGTCCTCGGACGTCCGTCCACCAAGTTCCGCAAGATCCAAGTCTTTGCCGTCTTTGTCTTCTGGTCCCTATACCTGTCCAGGTGAGCTACGAACAGTTGACCGGCTGGAACGCCCACCCTAACCGGTCCAGGGGAAACAAGCATGGCCCACCAGCCCTTCGAAACCTCTCTAGCCGGCTCTCCCAGCGCTTGACGGTCTGGCAGACCACCGTCGGCGTGTTCCTGTGGCTCTACATCTGCCGTAACTTTGCCAAGGTCATGGGCCTGGAATGCCCCGAGCCTTTGGCCAATCTCTACTCCCGCTCGTTCTTTCGCGCAACATGGATCACTACCGCGCTGGATGCCGGATTCTGGACGGCCATGAAGATCAAGCCGGGCTGGCTGCGAGATATTGCCTCACTCACGTTCACGGTCTATTATCTCTTTGCCGCCGAGCAGGCCGACGAGAAGGTGCGCCGGGTGCGCGCAACCCTGACGGTGGACCACCTGCGGGTTTCATGGAATAAGGGCACCACGCCGTACCTCTGGGCCCTGGCTAGCCTGATGCGGCCGCGGTTGACCAAGTATCCGCCGCGCGCCATCCGCATCCCCCGTCCGCCGCAGTCCGCCTACCGCGAACCCACCCACGCCTGGCTCTATTTCGACGGACCTCTAAGTACGCTACGAGACCAAACCTGCGTCCTTCTGGACATTCCGGGCGGTGGATTCGTCGCCATGGACCCCCGGTCCTCCGAAGATCGGCTGCTGTCATGGGCCGGCCGCACCAAGGTCCCAATTCTCAGCCTCGACTACAAAAAAGCGCCCGAATATCCCTACCCTTACGCCCTGAATGAGTGCTTTGATGTCTACCAAACCCTGGTCACCACGCGCGGCCGTTGTGTGGGGCTCAGCGGGCAGACACGGCCCCGAATCGTCATCACGGGTGACAGTGCCGGGGCGAACCTGGCCGTCGGGACGACGCTGATGGTGCTGGAGTCGGGTGGCCCGACAGGCTCCCCGCGGTGGGACGGCGAAATTCCCCTTCCCCGCCCGGACGGGTTGGTCCTGGCCTACCCTGCGTTGAACGTGCGCGTGGAAAGCTGGATGACAGAGGAGCAGATGTCGCTCATCCAGGACAAGAGTGCGCGCCGGACCAATCGGAATGTCGTCCAACGGAAGAACATGGAGTACGAGCGACTAACGCCGTTTACCTCGCCGGGCCCTTCCTCCATCGACAACCTCTGGAAGAGTGCCCTACCGGAGGCCGACAGCGAGGCCGTGGGTCCCCAGCCGACGTCGGGCGAGATTGAAGAGCGGCTACAACAGGAGAACATCGCCGCGCAGGCCGCCGCACTGGCCGACAACCAGCCCAAGCCGGTCCGGACGCGGATCGCCGTGTCGTCGATGATCTCCTACGTGCACGACCGCATCCTGACGCCGGAGATGATGCGTGCCATGATCATCCTCTACATTGGACCCCACAACCGGCCCGACTTCAGCACGGACTTTCTACTGTCGCCCGTGCTCGCCCCGGAGGCCCTCCTGGCCCGGTTTCCCAAGACGTATATCATCACGGGCGAGCGGGATCCCCTTGTGGACGACACCGTCATCTTTGCGGGGCGTCTGCGACAGGCCAAGCTGCGGCAGTTCCGGGAGCGACAGGAGCTGGGACTGGAGCGGTCGCGCCGGGAGTTCGACGAGAAGGACCACGTGGAGGTCTCGCTGCTGCCGGGCGTCTCCCACGGGTTCTTGCAGATGGCCGGGTTTTTCCCGGAGAGCCGAAAACACATCGCCCGTTGTGCGACATGGATCCAGCACCTGTTCGAGACGGCGGCCCAGAGGGACGCGTCGACCGGCCTGCGTCACGCCCGTTCAGGCCACCCGGTCTTCTCGGACCCGTTCGACGGTCGAGAACTGCGACACCACGTCCGCCGCCAGACCGGCGAGTCGTCCGCCGACGAGGACCGGCCGCTGGAGATGGGTGCTCGCACGGTGGCTCCTCTGACGCAGCGGGGCGATCTGTCCGGGGATGCCCCCCCGCGCGAGGATGGCACGTCCCCGGCCACACGGTCCCCTGGTCCCTCGCATCACAAGCCACCCACCACCGGGGTCGCCTCGCCCGAAGGGACGGAACTGCACCGGAAACGACGCAACGCCCCTTCACGCATTTCCCTTCCGGGGGCCGACGGGTCCGTGTCCAGGGAGCGTCCGGGGGCGGAGCGGCCGCGTGCGCCCAGTCTGGGCAGCCTATCGAGTGAGGAGGACCTATTAGACCGGCGGATGAACGGGCTGGCGGGGGGACTGATGGGAATGGGTGAAGGGGCGCAAACACCTTGATCTAGCATACGGGCAGAAAGGGGTCAGATGGCGGGACATGTGAAGCGGCACGGCATGTGAAGGGGGATGTGGATCCCGTGTATTATTACGGGTATCAGTACTGACCGGCCGATCACTCATCATGATAATCCACACCGTCCCTTGGTCGCACACCGACACTGAAGACACTAGTGCTCATTGGCTTTTATTTTGACACAGAAGGAATCATGTCGGGTTCCCGTATCGGGCCGATCGTGTTTTCAGCTGTTTGTCGGCACAATTCACGTTACAGATAGGTTATGAGGTATTCGTCTTGCCAGTGCTTCTGATAAGGCTCCTGTGTGTGCAATGCGTTGATTTATGCTCCTGATTTCTGGGGCCTCCCCGCCATGGTCCGACCAAAAGAGACTAGCTGAACAGCTCCACCGCCGATACAGGGACCCGTTAGCCTGATGGAGGCGGTAGTCCAGGCCCAAATCTGCCTGATCTCTCGACATTGTCAGGCAGAAACAGCGATGGAATGCATTCTATAGTTCTATCAGGATGGCTTGTCTATGGTCGTAGAATGATTATACTCCAAAATAGGCAGGACAGTAGATAAGCAGAATAATAAGAAGAAGGACGACCAGATCCACCAGCCAAGCCTTGCTCATATGGCATCTGACCTCCGATGCAATAACTCTGATGATGACCACTGCGGCTCTAATTGCGTGCTTCTGTCGCGTGCCGCAACAGCCTCGTATTTGACTCTTTGTTTTCTTTCTTTTCATCTCCTTCTTTTCTCTCTTCTACTTTGTTACTCTTGATTCATACTGCTGTAGATATATATATGTGAACCATTATCTACCTATTCTCGATCCCCTCAATCCCCTCAATCCCCTCGAGATTCCGCCTACACATGATCTACAATATTCAACCACAATAGACCCCCACCAACCCTACCTCCCATGACCCAACCCCACCGCCATCACCCCAGGGCCTCGATCTAAAATGGCTCCCCCAGCGTCCGAAAAGGCCCCGTCTGAAAAAGTTCCCTCCTTTTCAGAAAAGGTGGTCGCACCGTCAACCTGCGCAGCCCTCGAAGCAGGCGAATACGACGCTTACTCCCCCACCCTCCTCGACGACCACCCCCTGCGGTCGTATCCGTGCGGTAGTCCGCCAGCCTTGCGATCGTACTGGGGCTGGAGCGGTTGCTGTGCGGGTGCGGGTGGTGAGGGGAAACGCTGGTCGGAGAGGTTGTTTTTGTTGGTTTGTGTGGGGTTGATGGTTTTGTATGTTTTTTTTTTTTTTTCTGATCTATCTTAGGAAAAGGGAAAGAATAAAGAGAAAATAAGGCTAACACGTTCAGGGTTGTTCTCCAATTCCTCTCCATCTTACCATACGCCATGTCGTACCTGTTTCTCCGCGGACACCCAGGCGGACTCCTTCACACGGGATCGATCCACTGGCCGGCCGAACTGACCCGCCAATCCAGCGCCTGCATCGCCTATGACACCAGCCCCCGCGCGGACCAAGACGTCGTCGACAAGGCTATCTCCACGGGTTGTACGGGTGTCAGAGCTGACGTATGGATCGATGGGCAGGGTCTCGTCGTCGGACGGTCCAGCAGTAGCCAGCGGGACACCCTGCGCGGAGTGTACCTACAACCGCTACTGGAGCGGCTCAATGCGAAGAAAGAGATAGAGTCCGATGCGATGATTGGGCTCTGGGACCATGATCCCGCTCGCTCGTTCACCCTGTTCCTGGAGCTGCAGTCTCCTGCGCAGGAAGCATGGCCACTTCTAGTGAGCCAGCTAGCGGATCTCCACAGAAACGGCTATCTGACAGAGTTGAACGGATCACGGGTTGTCGTCCCTGCCCCAGTGACAGTCGTCATCACAGGCGTAGACGCCGCCTCTATCAACGAAATGGCTACCGACCACCACTCCGACGAGGAGTCATTATTCCCACCATACATATTCTTCGAAACCCATCTACCACAACTCTCCCAGGCAGAGAAGAACTCATCAGAAGAATCCACAATTCAACAACAGCGCCTCCACAGCGCCACCAGCAACTTCCAGCTTGACATCCTAGGCCACAGCCACTGCAGCCGGCGGTTCTCGCTCGCGCAGAAACAGATCGACCGCGTGCGCTCGCAGGTGGAATCCGCGCACCGGCGAGGTCTGCCGGTGCGGTTCACGCATTTGCCGGAGGGGTCGAAGAGACAGCGACGGAGGGTTTGGAGGCTGTTGGTGCGGGAGGGGGTTGATTTGGTGGATGTGGATGTGGGTGTGGATTCGGGGGAGGCTCCTTGGGGGGGATGTGGAGAGAGGTGGTGGGAGAGGATTTGGCCTTGATTTTTCTTTTTCTTTGTTGTTTGTTTTATTGAGGATGTATGAGTTGGATCAAATAGGAGGGACATGGTATATATATAGTAATGGTCATGATCTATCACCTGTATCTTAAGAACTGACTATTCTTGTATATATCCTTGGGTACAACCACATACTCTTTTCTACTCTACTCCTTTCCTTCTGCACGAGGTCTGGATAATAATAGAGTGTTGACAGAATTCCTAGACAGGAGTTGACTGGTCATTAGATATATTTATACCATATATATATATATATATATATTAAATAGATAAATAATAATAAGAAATATTATATCAGATGTAATCCCGTCATCGTGCTCCCCGCCGATCGGGGCAGTGAGGATGCATGACACGTCGCAGCGCAGATGCGCCCAACGGTGTGGATTTCTTGAATAGAGATCGGATGGATGGGATATTGGGCATCGTCCGATATCACAAATATACAGAGTATATATTTATATATATACATTCTTCTTTTTGTATAATAAATATATAACTCCGTGTGGATTGATTCAATTTATCATAGGTATATAATTATATTTACTTCATACCTATATTTACTTATAGAATATTGAGACCCACTGAAAGAATAGGAGCAGTTCCCCGCCGTCATCAGCCAACGCTAATTGGCCGCCGTCGGTATTTTTTCCTCGATTCTTCCATTCCTGTTGTTTTCTTCCCCCACTTGCCTGCATTGCATTGTTCACCGTCTTCTTTTTGATTCTTCTCTATTTCTTTCTGAGCTCTTGGGTATTCTCCTTTCTTCTTGACACATTCCTAATGGTATATCTCTAGCTTCTGTCTATCCATTCTTTCGTCCAGTTCGGTCTATTCTCATCTGTCGTCTCTCCACCGCCATTCGACCAAAGGAACAGAGAAGAGGAGGAGTTGGAAGAAAGGAGGAAGAAGAAGAGATGATGGATTATCAGAAACATCCCCCCCCTCATCCAGCCTACGCCCACGATCCTCGCGTTGTTCTTGCTCCGCCGCGTCCGTTTGGCGCCCCTCCGCCGCCATCACCACCACGTCGACATCAACCACAACAACTTCAACCGCAACAACTTCAACCGCAATCACCACAACCACACCTACAACCGCAATCACAACCACCCCCACAAACCACCTACTACGACCCATTCAGCAATCGACGGGAGATCACCGCCCCTCGCGGTTACAACCCCTATACACCTTCGCCTTCGACCTCATCTTCGTCCGCCTCCTCCTCCCCCTCTGTGTTGGCTGCGACGTGGACACCATCGGAACCCATCTATGCGTCATATCGAACGGATCGGGGCGGGCTTGTTCCCGCCCCAGTTGCGGTGAACCATGGTTCCGGGAGGAGAAAGGCACAACCAGGGGATGGGAGACGGAGGGAAAAAGGGCACTCGAGGGGATCTCAGAGTCTGTCTCATGGTCAATCTCGATATCGAACTGGTGGGTTCTTTTCTTCTCTCGTTCTATCTTGAACCCTCTGTCCTTCTGTCTTCGTCTTGACTCTCTGCTCCATACCTTGCATACCCAACTATCTCATATTTATACTGGGGATCTCGGGAACGCTAAGCCCGAGTGGGACTAACCCCGGACGGTCACGGGGTTTCTCACCTCTCTCTGCCTTTCCTTCCTTTCCAACTGCCCGTTCCTGATCGTTGCTGATCATCTTTCTCTTCTTCCCTTCTTCCTTTTCCTTCATCTTCTCTCCCTCCTTCTCTTCCCATTCTTCCCGTCTATCTGTCTATCTGTCTATACCCATCCCTTATCTCGTCCTTGCTTTCCCCTTGGGTCCCCCTAATAGGGCGCCCTGCGACATGAATCCGCCACCGTCGCAGAACCCCCAGCGTCGGAGATCGTTGGGCAGCGCTGGTGGCCCCATCTACCCTGGTGAGCCTTGTCGTGCCCGGTTCCTGGCGCCCTTCCTGGCCCAGTTGCCATCTGGACCTCATCTCTGCCGATGCCCGCTGTTTCTGTTTTCCCCTCTCGCGTGTACTTTGTCCGATCGGGGTGTTTGGGCGTGTTCCTTGTTCGGTCGAATCCCCCTGTCGGCTGTTTGTTTTGTCCATCGTTCCTCGTTGCTCCATTCGTATTATCATTCTGTTGACTTTTTCTTCTCTTTTTCTGCTTGAACCTTGAATATCACTAACCAAACTCGCTGATAGCCCCCCAAGAACCCGCCCTCGCTCATCGAATGCCGCCTCCTTCCCCCCCACAGCATTATCCGTCGCGCGCGCCGGCCGGTCCTACCCGTTCCATGTCCACGCCCTTTTCGCGCGAGCCACCCACCAACCCGTCTCATCACCGTCCCGGCAGCAGTATGTCCATCTCGTCCATGCTTGGGTCCGCCGACGCCGAGCGACCCCCCCGGGACGCTGGCGCGTCGATCTTTTCGCGTCTCCCTGCCGCCTCCAGTCCCTTCGCCAACGCGCCGTCCGCCGCCCCGGGCGCCATGTCTCCGCCCGCCGCGCCTGCCCGGACCTCCCCCTTGGAATACCCGCTCTTCCGCCGGTCGCAGACGCCTGAGAAGCCCTACGCCAAGTCCCAACCACGACCTTACCGGTCCAGTTCCGGCGGGACACCACAGTCCGCGGGCCCGGAATCCACCCGGTTCGGCGCGCTGACGCGCACCCCCTCGGGGTCCCAACCCGGGTCAGCACATCCGTCTCCCCAGATGCCGCCCGCCGACGGGCCCTACAACGGGGACCACCGACGCTTGAGCTTCACTGCACCCGTGCCCCGTCCTACCAGCCAACCCCAACACCTCGACCCGCCGTCGCGCCCGGCCGGATACAGTCCGTTGTCCCGCCCCTCGGCGCCACCGGGGACCGTCTCGGACGGTGCCTATGGCCCGCGCAATCCGCCGTACGGGGGCCCCGAGCACGCCGGGCGCCTGGGCCCGTACGGTGATCGACTGGCGGAGGACCATGCGCACCGGGAGCGAGAACGAGAACGGGAGCGAGAACGAGAGCGAGAACGGGAACGGGAACGGGAACGGGACCGAGAACGAGAACGGGACCGCGACCGCGACCGGGCCTCTGAGGGGGACATCAAGCCGGCCCTCGCCCGGTACGGGTCCTACGGGGAGCGCGACGCGGGAGGGCCCCGGCCCGCCTGGGAGCTGGCCCGCCCACCGGCCTCCCCCGAGGCCAAGCGACTGGCCGGCTCCGACGCCGCCGCGGGATTTGGGTTCGGCGCCATCCAGAACTACACCAAGTCTCTAGGCGCCCAGCTCGGCCCACGCCCGCCGCCGCTGTCAATCCAGCCGCGGCAAGACACTCCCACGGGTGCGCCGCCCGAGCGCTCCCCGTACCTCAGTCAGCTGCCGCCCGACGCGCGACCGCTGGCGGGGCCCCGGGGCCCCACGCCAGCTGACGACCGCCGCAAGGGCAGCGACGAGCTGCAGCAGCATCGCACGCTGCTGCGGGTGGGGCTCGACGCCAAGGGGGGCCGCATGTCCCCGGCCCCGCAGGCCGTGCAGGGTGCCCAGGCCCAGATCCTCGGGCCGGCCGCCGAGGCTGGTATGAAGTCGGACCTGGGCCGCGTCTTCTCCGGCATTGGGAGTGGCGTCGGGGGCGTGAGTGCCGCGACAGGCGGCAGCGGGTCGTCGACACCCCATGCCGTCAGTCCCTTCAAGCGCGACAGCCATCCGGCGCGATCGAGTGAGACGACGGACGAGCTGAAGGGAGGGGCGGCGGCGCGGCCCCCGTCGACCACCGGCAAGCGCTCCCGACCCGCGCGGGAGGACGAGCTGCGGGACGAGAACGGCAGCGGTCCTCGCGGGCGTCGACCACGCCCGCACCATCACCACCATCACCATCCGCATCATCAGTATGAGTCGCGCCCGTCCCGTGCGCCCCTCGACGCGTCTACTGACGTTGGCAGTCATCACCATCACCGACCCAAAGCGGAGGACGACGCCGCCCGGTCGCTGTCCATGAACTTCTTCCACCACCCCGCCGCAGCGACCCCGTCAGAGGCCGCCGCCACCACACCCGGGCCGGGCGGCCCCCATCACCACCATCACCATCACCACCACCATCATCACCATCACGGGCCTCGCTCCGCCGCTTCCGGGGACCCCCCGGTGGCGATGCCGATGCGCGAGCCCCGGACGGTGGTGACAATCGAGCCGGTGCTGGCCAGCGTGGCGCACCAACCGCGGCACCACCTCGGGTCGACGCTGTACGCGCCGCGGATCGGGACGCCGACCGACAAGGAACCGATGGAGAGCGCCAAGTTCGGGTACACAACGACGCCGCAGCCGCTGCCCCGGTTCGACGGGCGGGAGAACTGCACGGTGACGATCCGGGTACCACGCTTCCGGGTGGACGCCAGCCACCGCGAGGAGATCTGCGCGCGGCGGGCACTCTGGGGGTCCGGGGTGTACACGGACGACTCGGACCCGGTGGCGGCGGCCATCCACTCGGGCTTCCTGCGGGGCGCCTGGGGGGAGGACGTGGACCCGGGCCTGCTGGACCTGGAGATCAAGCCAGCGTACCAGCACGCGCCGCGGACGGCGGAGGCCGTCGGCGGGGCGGCGGATGACGACCCGCCGCAGGAGCCGCCCATCCCACCGCCAGACCGGGACCTCCACATCACGCTGCTCATCCTGCCGCGGCTGGAGCGGTACGAGTCAAGCGTGCTGTTCGGGATCCGGTCGCGGGCGTGGGACGGGCGGCACGACGGGCTGAGCTTTACGGTGCTACGGACGGTCTGGGTGGATGAGGGGGTGGGCCGCGGGGAGGAGCGCAGCGGGGAGGCGCGGCGGAAACGCCTGCGCAATCTGATGCAGAGCGGTCGGATCTGTACCGGACCGGGTGTGGTCAAGATGGACCAGCTGGACCGATTGCGGACAGGGATCCCGGTGCCGCGTCGGAAGGCAGCGGTGACCGCGCCGGCGGTCTCTTAATTTCTTATTATTTTTTTGCCTTGGATCTTTACCTATTATTTCTTCTGTCTGTTACTCCTATATGTACCTCTCTATTTAGCGTGGCGTGGAATGTGAGCACCGAGCCCTTTTGGATTATGTGATCATTCCTGGGTTCAATAGGCACGTAAGATTCATCGAGGAGATCGGATCACGAGTGCCAGAGGTCATCTGTGACGGCACGCGATCTGATCATGACCCGACCTGCGCGATCCCCTGGTTCCCTCCATGCTCCATAATGGACTTGATTATAGGACGCAGATGAACCGAGGCTGTTGATTTCCTGCCTCAGGCATGCATACCGTACGGACGGTCCCAGCTGTAACGGTACCGTACCAGCTCCCCCTTCTCTGTTCCCCTCCCCCAGCGGCCAAGGGCGGCTCCGCAGTGCTCCGCATTTCCGCCTCTTCGGCCGGACGGACGATCCCGCTAAGCTGCGTCTGCTGCCCTTGGGCCATTACGTAGTTACTGCTTACCATACAGTACGGTACGGTACCGCCACCCGAGCCGTCCGCTTCTGCCAGCCGAGGTATTTCATCTGCCTCTCTCTCTCTCTCTTCTGCTTTTCTTCCACTTCAAATTTCTCCTTCTCTCCCTCTTCAACTATCCTCCTTTACCCTTTCCCTCAAACTCCTCCCTCTCTCCCTACTCCCTTTGAAGCCCCAGATGTTCCCAGCGGCCGCTCGCAGCCGTTTGTCCACTCTTTCGCGGCCTCGCCTGTCTCCAACTTACTCCCTTCTCCGTACCGCCGTATGTCCTCTCCCCGGGTGGTGATGATGATGAGAGATGCTAACCTGTCCAGTCCCCCGCCATGGCTCGCAAGGCCTCCTCCGTCCCTGAGGGTGAGTAATACCTCCGTCGCGTGGAGAAATACCCGCTAATAAAACCAGGCTACAAGGAAGACCTCAGCAAAGGCAAAATGCTCCGCTTCGAACAATCCCTCCCCAAGTTGCCCGTCCCCGACCTGCAGGAGACCGCGCACCGCTACCTCAAGTCCGTCCACGCCGTCGTCTCCGAGGCCGAGTACCAGCGCACCAAGGAGGCCGTCGAGACGTTTGTCCGCCCCGGCGGTCAGGGTCAGACCCTGCAGGAGCGCCTGCAGGCTCGCGCCGCCGACCCCAAGATCGGCAACTGGTTGACCGAGTGGTGGAACCAGGCCGCCTACCTGGGCTACCGTGACCCCGTCATCCCCTACGTCTCCTACTTCTACTCCTACCGGGACGACCGGGCGCGCCGCAACCCCGCCCAGCGGGCCGCGGCCGTCACCACGGCTGCCCTCGAGTTCAAGAGCCAGGTGGACAACGGCTCCCTGGAGCCCGAGTACATGCGTGGCAAGCCCATCGCCATGAGCTCCTACGAGTACATGTTCAACTGCTGCCGCGTGCCGGCCGACCCGGCCGACTACCCGCAGCAGTACCCGGCCGCGGAGAACGAGCACATCGTGGCCGTCCGCAAGAACCAGTTCTTCAAGGTGCCGCTGGTCGTCAACGGCCGCCGCCTCAACGTCTCCGAGCTGCAGCAGCAGTTTGAGCGCATCTACCAGACGGCGACGCGGGCGCCCGCCGTCGGTGTCCTGACGGCCGCCAACCGCGACCGCTGGACCGAGGCGCGCAAGCAGCTGCTGGCGGCGCACCCGGCCAACGAGCAGACCCTGCGCGACATCGAGTCGAGCGGCTTCCTCGTCTGCCTGGACGATGCCACGCCCGTGACCCTCGAGGAGCGTGCCCACCAGTACTGGCACGGTGACGGCACCAACCGCTGGTTCGACAAGCCGCTGCAGTTCATCATCAACGACAACGGCACCGCCGGCTTCATGGGCGAGCACAGCATGATGGACGGCAGCCCCACCCACCGCCTCAACGACCACCTCAACAATCTGATCTTCAACAACAAGATCGACCTGTCCGCGCAGACCGTCCGCTCGGACCTCCCCGACCCGCGCCCCCTCACCTTCCACCTCAACGGCGCCGTCGAGGAAGCCATCGACGCCTCCGGCAAGGAGCACCGTCAGCAGATGGCCGCGCACGAGCTGCGCGTGCAAGCCTACCAGGGCTACGGCAAGGGCCTGATCAAGAAGTTCAAGTGCAGCCCGGACGCCTTCGTGCAGATGATCATCCAGCTCGCCTACTTCAAGATGTACGGCAAGAACCGCCCGACCTACGAGTCGGCCTCGACCCGCAAATACCAAGAAGGCCGCACGGAGACCATCCGCTCCGTCTCCGACGACAGCGTCGCTTTCTGCCGCGCCATCAGCGACGCGAACGTTCCCCGCGCCGAAGCCGTCCAGAAGCTGCGCTCCGCCCTCGCCGCCCACAGCAAGTACACCGCCGAGGCCGGCGACGGCCACGGCGCCGACCGCCACCTCTTCGGTCTGAAGAAGTCCCTCCGCGAGGGCGAGCCCGTCCCGGCCCTTTACGAGGACCCGGCCTACGCCTACAGCAGCTCGTGGTACCTGTCCACCAGCCAGCTGAGCTCGGAGTTCTTCAACGGCTACGGCTGGAGCCAGGTGATCGACGACGGGTTCGGCATCGCCTACATGATCAACGAGAACAGCCTCAACTTCAACATTGTCTGCAAGCGTATTGGCGCGGAGCGCATGAGCTATTACTTGAACGAGGCCGCTGGTGATATGCGGGATCTGATGATTCCTGAGTTGGCCAAGGAGGCTGAGAAGGCTAAGATCTAGTCTTTTTATGCCTCGGTTGTCTTTTTTTTGCAAAATTTCGATTTCTTTCGTTGTATATGCGTTCTTTCTTGTATGATATTATAGATCGATGAATGGATATACTTGGATCTTACTTTTCTTTGGACGAGTTTTTCTCGTAACTCACTGCCTGCCTACTGTTTAGCGTATCCTGTATATTAGTTCGTATATACTGTCGCATTCTTATTATAAACCACTCATACTGTTATATAAACTACACTTCCCACAAAGACACCTACCTGTCCGGATAAATGTCACACTCGATAAACAGGGGCATGGCATGTTTCGCGAGGTGTATCTCTTCTGTTCTATACTTCGATCACATATTGTAGTATGTCCTGTATGTGTCTGATGGAGTGGTAGCGAGAGTATTCCTATCTCGGAGAAATTATTTAGTCGATTGATAGAGGTGGAACATTTATATAAAAACTCATCACATCTGATAACCCTTCATACAGCCCTACACATGGTATAACGTCTTCAATGGATCCAATTCTAGATTCCCATGAACAACCCTATTATTCTATCATCCTATACTACACACACGCGATAACAACCCACCTATATCACACACCACATACTCGGACAACTTCCTATCTACCTACTCCACTCTAGCTCCACACGCCGATACCTTCCCATCCGGGCCTCCCCAAAGGCCGTCATCACGTTTTGATCAGTTTGGATCACGACGCCGGGGGATGCACTAGACTGGTCTTTGTGAGTGGTAGATAGGAAAATATAAAACCCTTTTTGTACGACCTGTAGTGCCGTGAACTGATAATTATTTTATTCGCCATGTGGGTCACTAGATCTCTTGCAGTGTGTTCGCTGCTGGTGTCGGCTGTTCTGGGCTCTGCTCCTACTCTTGCCTCTTCTTCTGCCTCTCCTTCTGCCTCTCCTTCTGCCTCTTCCTCCACGCAGAATGCACAGGAGAAACGATATGCCATCCTCGATAACGACTGGGGCGCCGTGAGCTTCATCCCCATCCTCCTAGCCCTAAAGGGGGACATGGAAATACTAGGCCTCGCATCAAGTACAACCCCTCCCCAAACCAATCCACCCGACCGTCCAACACAGCTCATAAATGCACAGACACAGCAAACACCTGGCAACGCCAGAGCGCCCTCCACGCCCTCGCCAACCTCGAACTCAGCAACCTAACCTGCATCCCCGTCTACCCCGGCTCAACCTGGCCCCTCCTGCATACCCCGCACAGATTCCACACCTGGGAAGCCCTCCACGGCGTCCTCCCCTGGCAAGGCGCTTTCGCGCCGGAAGCCCAAGACGGGAATGATCCCACCTCAGGAGACCCCAACCGTATCGTGCGCGAAGCCTTCATCGAGGGATTCCCCCGGGGTAGTATCGACAGCTCGACCAGCGCTGCCTCGTTCATGGTAGACATGGTGCGGAAGTACCCCGGGCAGGTATCGATCTACTCGGCCGGCGCGTTGACGAACGTTGCGCTTGCCGTGCGGCTCGATGAGAATTTCGCGCGCAATGCGAGGGAGTTGGTTGTCATGGGGGGGTATGTGGATGTTAATCTTTTGCAGGTTAGGGGGGATGTAGAGCTGGCGAATGAGAATTCCGATGTATTCCTCCATTCAATTCCACTCGAGTGGTGATGGTGACTAACAAGAAAGATAAACCTGATGATCGATCCCGAATCCGCCAAAATCGCCCTCAACGCGCCCTTCCCGGAGGTAGTCATCGCAGGAAACGTCGCTAACCAGGTTCCGTCGACGCAGGACTTTTTAGACGAAGTGCACGAGGTGCGCAATCCGTTGACGAACCTCTTCCATGACCGCTACGGGACGGAATTCCCGTTCTGGGATGAGACTGCTGCGGCGATTATGGTTGATCGGGGGGTGGTGCTTAATTCGACCACGGGTATGGGACTCTTCGTTTCTTTGTGTTCTTTTTTTGGTTTGAGTTTTGTGTAGGATGATGCTGATAATGGTTAGCATATATTGATGTGGACATCGCGTATGGAAGCCCTAAATATGGCAATATCCATGTCTATCAGAAGGCGTTGATGCCTCCTGGGTTGAGGAATGTGACGTATGTGCATCGGGTTGACGGGGAGAGGGTGAAGGGGTTGATGAAGGATGCGATGCAGGATCCGCCTTCCTGTTGATCTACTTCTCTATATACGGGTGGGAGGATGGGGGTAATTAAGTAAGGGTATAGTGGATGGGCGACGCAGGAAGATATTGGCTGTGAGGCTACGCTTTGATATAAATTTGGACTGTGGGGGGTTTGATAAGGATGGTTCATTGAGAGTTGAGAATGTAGGGAAGCCCAACTTTGGGGTGTACATGAATACATGTCTGCATCTGCACGATCAAGCGACACTCTTGTAGCTATCCAGGAGCGTACTACTGCAGAGCACTTAGGTCAGTGAATGCACCAAAAACCGGCAGACGTAGCAAGTCGATCTACTAGCGATGGGATCCACTCGCGCGTATTACTCGGCGAGACAATATCCCTCGTCATGGAAGGAATCCTAAGCACCCACATTCCGCCTGTCTAGTCAGAATGTGGTCGGGGAAACATCAGTCGTAAAAGGGTGAATGACCATCATGTCTTTTCCGTGGTCTCGCCGGTAGCAGCCGGAACCTCCGATCGGGCGGGGTTCAAGTCGCTAACCTGCCGTTCTACAGTTTGTTAGGAAACATCCCGAGAAATATTACTGTATGAAACTCACCCAGTTCACGAATGCGCTGGCGCAGCAGTTGATTCTCCCTCGTCAACATGGCTGCCTCCGCCTGGTAGAACGCGCCGTCATCTCGACTCCCCCGTCGCACCGGACTATCCCCAGCCGCAGCCGCAGCTCCTAGCCCCGGCCCCTCTGGCACATCTGAACCCCTTCTCATCGGCCGTAAATTCGGAGACGCCGCTTGACTCGAGTGTCGCGACGAGCGACGCCCAGACAGCGACGACGGTTGGTGGACGGACGTGCGATGAGCCGGAGGAGGCGCAAAAGGCGGAAAGGAGGAATCGTCGACAACAGCCGTACCCGGTTGCTGCTGCTGCAAGTTCTGGAGCTGGCTCTGCTGACTGCGGATCATCTGCAACAGACGGTTCTACACTTTGTTAGTATCGCTGACTGACGCGACCACCTTCCGCGGGGGGGGGGGGGACATACGACTTGCGCCTCTTGCTCCTGTTCCAACTCCTGGTGCAACTCCCCCAAGGACGGAGCCCGCTGGTGGTGTGGGTCCCCGGTTGCGACGATGGGGGATCCCGCGATGCTGGAGGGACTGGAGGTTCGTAATCCATGAGAGCCTAGACCGGGGGGCAGGTTGGGGTCATCGCCGTAGCCGTTGCCGGCACTGCTGCTCAGACTGAGATTGGCGGACCGGCGACGTTCAGAGCCGGACATCGCCTGCGAGGATCGACGGGGGATGTCGGCTGCGAAGGTTGGGCGCAGAGAGTTCGGACTGTGCTGGTTGTTCTCCATGTTGGTGGATGATGGAGTGACGGGTGTCAGGCGGGGTGGTTTGGTAGCCAATGCGGGGAAGACTGGAGTAAGAGTTTGACACCGGGACGGATGAACAGATGGAGGAACGGCCGGAGAGATCGGAACCACGGTGTTTGATCAAAGAATAGATGAGTCAGGCGAGATGGTTGCGAACAGAGAAATGCACGATGGATGGAAAGAATGATGTCGACACAATCCGGCAGGTGGTATGACGGCGTCGATCGATGGGGAAGGCGGTGTGGCAGCACATGAGTGTCTGAATGCGTCATTCTTCCAATCTCTTGTCAACTCTCTGCTCTAATGCAGACATTTACTCATTCTGATCGGCTATTTTAGCTGGAGTTCAGTGCCCAGATCCAACGGGAAGGTATGATGCGGTCCAGACCCTGGGCTGTCTCATCGTTTTATGGGCCAGATCCCGAGATATATACTTCATACGGTGAGGACGAAATCTACAAACTGGAGACGACGTCAACACATGATGCTGATATCCTAGAGTAAAAGCAAGGAGGGAAAACCAAAAACATCATATCTACTAAAGACTATAGGTCGTTTGTATCCCAAATATTCAGTGATCGAATATGCAGCAACTGCAATGCTCCATCCTCTCCTGCCACATCGACTCAGCTGCAAGGGAGAGCTTCTAGACTGGCCTAGCATTGCTGTCAAGATTAGACTCTGTTCTCCAGATGAATGATAGGCTTATAGCACCTGGAAGAGATCAAACGGTCTCACGGCTGGGAAGAGCTGTTATGTTTAACCCTCAACCCTCGTGTTAAGAAGAACTTTCTATTGCTTATCCCTTGCCTATTAGGTACCAAGTGTATGGTTAGTGATTATGATGGACTTAGTGTACACTTAGCGAAACGTTTCCTTGAATATATCGCTCAGTGTTTCTACTCCTGGACATAGTATCTGCCGATCTTTCGAGTTCCTGGGATTATACCTTTCATAGTTTTCTTAAATTTGTTAGAACCAACAAGGTTTGATAGTATCAATATGAGGGAAATATCATCTAATCATATAATTCCATGAAACTCATACCACGGTCGTAACTCATTCCCTTACAATCTCAATCGGTGATCTCTCCTGAAAAGGGAAATGCAGGATCCCTTTTCCCCCGTACCACAACCAAGATGGTAAAGGTACATGGCGAGGCGGAACCACTTGGTGTACGCTTGGATCAGTCTTGGCGAAACAAGGCGACTTCGGTCCTTGGCTGTTCTCTGGTCTACTATCCTCTCTTCTCCTCGGAACTCACGGCTTTATTTGTTTATTGACCGGTCCATTCCAATCCGACAAGCCAATGAAACGTCACATCCGTCCAGTCGTCAAGTCGAACCTGGAGAAATCCCCACCATCCCCCGGTGAAACCGGGTCCCCATCTGGGGCACAAGGAATCGGCCGGGGACATTGAACAACCGACTTGATAACAGGTGAGTAGACAAGCGTTCATCCTCTGACGTGAGAGGCTTTTTCTCCTTTTCTTCCTTTCTTTTCTGTCTTTTTTTTTTCTGTCTTTTTTTTTTCTTTTCTCCTGTGTTACTGTGACCAACGGTGGCAAGAATTAACTTTGCACACGAGTGGGCAAGTTCGGACCCTGGCCGACGATCACCGGCTGGTGGCTGTGATATTGACGTCAGGCTCGGATACCCCGATCCGCAACCCCGGACAACCGTCAGGACGATGGAGCATACGAGGGGGAAAAAACCGAGAGACGGAGAGAGAGAGAGTTCAATTCTATAGTATCGTATCGGTATCTCGTCCTATAGAGTTGAGTTACCGACTCCAGTCCCTCGTGGAAAGGGCCCCCCGTCCCGAAACGGCATCCCACATTCCTGATCTTTTCCTCCTTTCGGCCCTAGATCGTTGGAGAATTTTATAGTCCGTCCCATTGCGGGTGCCCGTGGGGTCTCAATCCGTCCAATCTCAATCCAGATCCAACTGTTTCTCGTGGCAATGGTCGGCTTATTCCACCGTCCTTGCTTTTTGCATCCGGCCGGATCTGAGAACCAGCCAGTCCGGGGGGAGAGAATTGGAGTAAAACTTATTCAAATGAAATTCCTACACATCCGAATCGACCTAGAGATAAAGTTCCTGGTGGGTATCCAGGATCTTGGCCATGACTGCTCCATAGGGTGGTATTTCCAAACCGGCTGGTGACCTACAGTACACCGGCCAGATCGAGGTACTTCCCAATGTATGGGACCGGCCGCATCTTGTCAAGTACCTCCGACTCCCAGCCTTTCCTGATCGAGCCGATCATGACTCTTTCCTTTTCTTGACCGTTCATCACCCTTTTCTCTTCTCTTCTTTTCTTCTCTTCTCTTCTTCTTCATCTTTATCTCCTCGTCTCCCCTGCCTCTCTTCCTCTTCTTCCTTTCTCTTCTTGTCTGACCTTCTTCTCTCTCCCCATCCTCTATACTTGCTTCTCCCTCCTCTTTCTATCCCACCTGATATCCTCTCTCTCTCCCTCTCTCTCTATCTCTCTCTCTCTCTAGATCATCTTCCCCATCCTAGATCTCACTGTCGTTCTCTTCCCTCTCTTCCCGGAGGTATAGAAACTTTAGACTCTCTTCTCCTTCCCTGTCTCGCTTGGGGACCGATCCTATCTTCCCGTTTACCACTTTGATCTCATAGTACTCCTCCTCTGGTAAGCCCTCCGATCCCGATCATCTCTTGCCAACACAGGGCTAATCTATCGAACATCCAGCTGGCGCATCGCGTCACCATGGACCCCCCCAAGGAGAAACCGGTGCCCTCGGATGAAAAGCCCCATGAGTCCGAAGCCTCTTCCTCCACCCAGGGCGATGTCATCGCCGAGGCCCCCGCCGAAAAGGCGGCCGATCCCACCCTTCCCAAGTCGCAGTCGGACGACCCGGTCACCGGAACCATGGACCAGGTGGAAGAGACCTTCACCGACAAGGTCGAGCTGACCGAAAATGATTGCTACCACGAACTGGGCTATTCCTTCCCCCGCTGGCGGAAGTGGATGATCATCACCGTCATCTTCCTCGTCCAGACCTCCATGAACTTCAACACCAGCCTGTACTCCAATGCCTTGACGGGCATCTCCGCCGAGTTCAACGTGAGCATGCAGGCCGCTCGCTGCGGCGCCATGATCTTCCTAGTCCTGTATGCCTTCGGCTGCGAGCTGTGGGCGCCTTGGAGCGAGGAACTGGGCCGGAAGCCCATCCTGCAGGCCAGTCTCTTCCTCGTCAACATCTGGCAGCTACCCGTCGCCATCGCACCCAACTTCGCCTCCATTATGGTGGGTCGTGCCCTGGGCGGCCTCAGCTCCGCCGGGGGTTCCGTCACCCTGGGTATGATTGCCGACCTGTGGGAGGCCGAGGACCAGCAGTATGCCGTCGCCTGCGTGGTCTTCTCCTCCGTAGGGGGCTCCGTCATCGGCCCCGTGGTCGGTGGCTTTGTCGAGGCCAACCTGGCGTGGCGGTGGAACATCTGGATCCAGCTGATCTTCGGCGGGTTCGTCCAGCTGGCCCATCTCATCCTCGTGCCGGAGACCCGCACCACCATCCTGATGGATCGCATCGCCAAGAAACGAAGACAGAGTGGCGAGGATCCCAATGTCTACGGGCCCAACGAGATCCTGCCGTACCGCGAGCGCTTCTCCATGCGGGAAATCCTCCTGACCTGGATCCGCCCCTTCAAGATGTTCCTCACGGAGCCCATTGTCTTGACCCTGTCCTTGCTCAGCGGCTTCAGCGATGCTCTGATCTTCATGTTCATCCAGTCGTTTGGCTTGGTCTACAAGCAATGGGACTTCGGCACGGAGGCGCTCGGCCTGTCCTTCATCCCCATCCTCGTCGGTTACTTCATCGCCTGGGGTGCGTTCATTCCCGCCATCAAGCGAAATATCCGGGAACGGCAGTTGCACCCGGATGATGAGCACACCCAGTACGAATCCCGTTTGTGGTTCTTGCTGTGGACCGCGCCCTGCCTGCCGATCGGACTGATTGGCTTTGCCTGGACCAGCCTCGGGCCCCCGGTCCACTGGATTGGCACCATGGTATTTTCCGCCATCGTGGGCATTGCCAACTACAGCATCTACATGGCCACCATCGATTACATGGTCTGCGCGTATGGGCCATACTCTGCGTCGGCCACCGGCGGCAACGGATGGGCCCGAGACTTCCTGGCCGGTGTTCTCACCATCCCCGCAACGCCTTTCTTTGAGAGTGAGTGCATCCTCCCCCGGGTTCTGTAATTTTCGGCATCTGACCATCCACCAGATATCGGCGGCAAGTATCATCTGGAGTATGCTTCCACGATCCTCTGTAAGTAGCCCCCCCCCTGGTATTCAAACGACCAGACACTCATGTGGACTAGTTTGCATCTCCTTCCTCCTGGTCATTGCGGTGTACATCATCTACTGGAAAGGACCGGCCATGCGCAAACGCTCGCCGTTTGCGCAGCAGCTATCGCACGCACGGGCCGAGATCCAGGTGGACGGACGGCGGCTGTCGAAGATCCCCTCGGGCTCGCGGGCGAATTCCTTTGCCCGGTCGCAACAGAACCTGCGGATCCGACAGAGCAGCTATATCCACTCGCGCCCAACCTCCCAGGTCAACTCGCGGGTCAACTCCCGGGTCAATTCGCGTCGGAACAGTTTTTCGCAGCAGGTCATCACGCAATGAATCTTGTGACTCGTCGCAAGACGACACGTGCTAGCCACGACTCATGAAATTCCGATACCCTAATTCGCCGTCGAGTTTTCGCATCCGTAGGGCCGAATCCGCGTGGTGCTCCGTGTTGGGCCGCCAGCTATCGTCTGGCATGTGCTTTTGTTTCTTTGCTTTTTCCTTATGGCGTCTGGAATGCGAAGCTGGCGGGATGGACTGGCGGGATGGACTGCGCTCTTCGTCTCATCTCAGATGGCCGGGCCAGCGGGGGCCGGTCGCTGGCATTTGGACGCGACCATTGTTTCAATTCAAACTATACACATTTCTTCTGTACTTTGTTTCTTTCTCCCTGTGGTGCTTGTGTGGTGTAGTGTGGTTTTACATCCCGTGTAGGAGCGAGACTTTGCTGGTCTGATTGACCGTGGAGATAAATTCAAGTTTGGATCCTGTATTATGTCACCGAATAGATTGATCGAGACTATTTCCGCGTAGATCACTGGTAGTCAGTCGTCTTAGTTGTCTGGTGGAGTAGAGTGAATGACTCGTATGATGTTGATCAGATCCAGATCCCTATGACCCCTGCGGCGGAGCACCTCCGAGGTGGTCATGTGACCGATAAGCCAAGCGGAGCCCGCGCATCACCGATGAACCTCAACTCCGAAGAATAACGACGACAAGATTCCTCCACACATTAAAAATGAACGCCGTCACCCGAACCCTACGGCCCAGCAGTTCCCTCCTCCACAGCCTAAACCCCACGCGACGATGCTACCATCGGGGGCTCGCCCCGGTTACCTCCCTAGCTATAGCGACCACTAGACCAGCTCTCCATCTCCGCCCCAGTCCGACATCCCCTCCCCGCGGGTCGACCCAAACTCCCTTCCTACCCACGCGATCCTCATCCACACAATCACAACCTGCCCCGAAATTCGCAGAGGGTGTTGATGTAGCGACAGCGACGGAGGGGGTCGACGCACTGTGCGAGCAGGGATGGGTGCTGGATGGGGATGGGGCGGGATTTAAGAAGACGTTTTATTTTCGTTCTTATTTTAAGGCTGTTGTATGTCTCCTTTCTTCTTTTCTTGATTTCTTTGCGGGGGGTGGTTGAATCAAGCTAATCAGGTTAACGTTGATGGTAGAGTTTCGTCAATGTGATTGCTTCGCATAGTGCGACGAAGAAACATCACGCTACTATGACTGTTGTATGTCTATCCCCTCTCATACCATATATCCGTCTATCATCCATTTCACCAGATGAGATGAAATGAAAGATAGATAGATGATGAGAAAAGGCACTAATAAAAATTAGCGCATCGGCTCAGTCGACGTCCACTGGACGACTCACCACCCGCGGGGTCTGACGGAGAAAGATATCGGGATGGCGCGGGTTTGCGAGGACGCGGCGGAGTTGATGGGGGTTGTGGAGGAGGGGAGGGGGAAGAAGTGTGGGTCTGTTTGATTTGTAGCCCTTTAGGTGTGAGGTAGTGGTGTACGGAGTATCTACCTGGGGATGGATGTGGACAGTGTTTGATATGAACCTAGGAGGAGATGTATAGTATGGTCGATCTTCATGTGATTGTATGATTCGTGTTGTATTTTAGTCAGTAATTCAGGTAACTTAATTAACGAACTAGTGAGTGAACTAAGTTAAGGAAATGTGATCAATAATAATGTCAAACGTGGTGGATTAAGTGGGTGCATAAGCAAGGAGTATACACGTGCATCAATTCTTCTATATCTCTCTCTGTGGATGATAGTTGAGCCATCTCTGTCGAACAGTCAACCCATAACAAACTACCATCCTCCCTAATCCTGATCATCCACTTCAACCAGGTATGCCAATGCCATACTCGAGTCCCCACACGGATAAACTCAGACAAAACCTACAGTAGGTTCAGTCCCCACCATCGCTTACTGGAGCTATTTCAACCCGAGACTAAACATTTCAGGTTAAAATCCTCAACCAAGTCACGGAAAACCGTTAGCCCGAGGTGGAGACCCGCTTACCTTTTCCCAAGGGACGATGTGCGCCGAGCGGGGCCTTGATTCAGGGGGAGAAATGCTCAGAAGAGACTGGAGGAGAAGAGAGGATGATACTTTCTTACTTGCTGCCTTTGCTCGATCTGACTTTTCGCCCCGAAACTAGAGAGTAGAGACTAACACGGACGATTGACCAGTGTGGATTGTGCTCGGAGAAATCATCTCGATCTTTTATCATCCGAATATACTGGACCGACAGGACGATTCCTGCACTGTGGAGGTGGTCGATATTAAGTTGCCTGTCATACAGTTTCCACTTTGTTCCTGTCTGTCTTTACTTTGTTCTCTGATTGTACCATTGCTGCTGGAACAACCCATCTTCCCTCTTGTCAAGGGACCACTTTTCTCTTTCTTTCATTCCTTTCGTCCTTTGTTTCTTTATTGTTTCTTCCCCTGTGGGCAACCGGTTCAATCACACCCCACCGCCACCGTCCATTTTATCGTCACCACGCCTCAGACGGGCTTTCTTTAGGCGCGAGCTAGTGGTTTTGGCAACGTCTAGGTTAATCTAGCCACAATCACTTAGGGGGGTACCTGGAAAAAGGAAAATCAAATTAAAAGCAGGGGAAAAAAAAGAAGAAGAAAAGAGGGAAAAGAAAAGAACAGCAGGAAATTGGAAATCCAACAGATTGAAGCTCAAAAAAAGAAAGAAAAATAGGAAAGAACAGAAGGAAGAAATAAAGAGAGACAAAAACAAAGATCGGACCAACTCGTCGTCGATTCCCTGATTCTTGCACTGGTTTAGTCTTCTTTCCTTCCTCTACTCAGCTCTCGACTCTCGACTCTCGACTCCGGATTCGAGATAGACATGGGAGGATTCCACCCGTCCAAGTAATTCGATCTTCACCATACACCATACATACAGACTCGGCTCCATCCCTCCTCTCGACCTGAAACCAGTACGCCCGAGTCTGGATCCTCCCTCGACTTCTTCGCTATCCTCCAACATCACCCTCTCCCTCTCCGCTGTCGACCCCTATTACCGCAATTCACTCCTCCATCCACGGTCGGATTACCGACACGAGTCGGAGCGCGTTCTGCAATGACCGTGGTTTCACAATCGATCCAATATTACTCCGAGACGTACAGTTAGTTCCTCAGCTCGGTGTCATCCCCTAATCGGTCTACTCTCTGGCCTGCGTATCCGTGCGACCTCGAGATCCTCCCCCAGGGCACAGCTCGCGAGCGAGTAGTCTCACCTCCTATACACCTCCCTAGTCGCAGAGTTGGAAAGTGCACAAAGATCCAGGATGAGTCTGAATATTCCCCCACCACGCCCCTCCGTCAGTGAGCGCAGAGGCCAGCAATTGGCTCCGCTGCAGACCAACTTCAGCCGTCCCAATGGCCAACCCCTGGTCCTTCCCTCGCGCCCACAGCGCCCCCGGCCGGAAGAATACCAGGTCTACGGCGAGACGGACCGAGTCCCCTTGAATGCGCCGGCCAAGCGACAGTCCTCTAAATCAAGCCTCCGCACCATCTTCACTCGCGACAAGCAACCCCGCCGCCCTCACGACAAGCCGCTGTCCGGTATCGACGAGGCCCAGAACCCGACGCCCCAGGCGGCGACAGCGGCCGCGGCCCCCCTGTCCCCTCCCCCGACGGCGGCGACCTCCAAACGGACAATTTCAAACCCATCGGTGGTCGCATCTCCGACGAGAGGTGAAGTCGCGCATCTGACGAAGATCCCCTCGGCATCGCAAGTCCGGCCGAGTGAAGATGGGGCACCGGCGGGTGACGTGATCTGGAAACCACCGCCCCTGTTCCAGGCGTACCCCCAAGCCCTCAAGCATGACATACTTCCCGCCCCGGTCTTGTCGGCGGATTCCATCCTACGGATCCACGCGACCTCGATGGCCAAATATCGAGACGAGGCCGCTCATTCGCACCGGGACGATTCGGCGGGGGAGATCACCGCGCGGAAGAAAAAGGAGGACAAGGAGAGGTCAAAGCATCTACGTTCCCTGTCCGGGACGATCGGCAAGGCCGAGTGGACGAAGAAGATCTTCGTCCTAGCCACCTCGGGGTATATCATGCAATACTCCGGCGGCGGGAAACACGACCGGCTGCCCGAGAAGGTGCTGCAGCTCGGACCCGCCTCCGTGGCGTTTGCCAGCGACGCCATCCCGGGAAAGCACTGGGTGCTGCAAATATCCCACACGGCCGAAGCCAACGATCCGACGACCGAGGCCCCTCGCCCGCGCTTTTCTCGCTTTGGCTTCCACCGGTCGCACACCCGCCGACTGGCGCACAGCTTTCTCCTCGTGTTCACGAGCCCGGAGGACATGAGCTCGTGGCTGCTCGCGGTGCGCGCCCAGATCGAAGCCCGCGGCGGCAAGAAGTACGTCTCCGAGAAGGTCTTCGACGAGGACATGGAGCACGAGCTGCACCCGAAGTCGAGTGTCCGACAGCCCGCCAAGAGGGACCCGAACCGTTTCTCCCAGGTCTACCTGCAGCCGCAGCAGTTGGCCGCTCCCGACGACCGAGAATCCCAATCCGACGCGCAGTCTCGCCAGGGGTCCAACATTTCTCTTCATCGCCGGTCATTCATACGGCAGAACACCTCGGACTCTCGCTCGGCCTCGGTCTCGACAACTCATACAGATGTCACCTCCCCGTTGAATAGTGGTTCGGGACGGTTCTACGGCCCCACCACGGACAGCAACTCCAACTCCCCGGGTACGACTAGCTCTGCGAGCGTCCTTGCCAATTATCCTGCGACTCGCTCCATTAGCCCTCCGCCTATCAATATACCGGTAGAGCCATCTATGCGTGCACCCGTGAAGCCGCCGGTTTATCATCCTGCAACCCGCCCTGTCAGTCCTCCTATGCAGGCGCCTCTAAACATGCCGGTACAGCCTTCTATACGTGCTTCTATGAACCCTCCGGCCCACTCTTCGGCTCACCCTACAACCCGCCCTATAAGCCCTCCTATGCATGCACCCTTGGACATGCCAGTGCAGCCTTCTATACGTGCTTCTATGATGCCTTCGGCCCATCACCCTGCCGCCCATCCTATCGGTCCTCCTATGCATGCCCCCTCGAACATGCCAGTACAGCCTTCTATACGTGCTTCTATGATGCCTTCGGCACACCCTGCCGCCCATCCCATCGGCCCTCCCATGAACGCTCCTGCTAATGCACCTACGCGCCGGCCCACGAAACCCGCCAATCCCCCGGCATTGCGTCCTATTAGCCCACCTATGCACCACCCGACGCATCCTACTACAGACTCCCCGCGGCGGGAACCGCCCAAGGCCAGCGCCATTGAAACGGTACTGTCGTCATTGGACGAGTACGATAGACCTCGCAGCCCAACCTCGACGGGCCCAAGGAAGCGCCAATCAATGTATCTGATGCACGCAGCCGCCGCTTCAGACACCCCGGAGACTCCACGGTCACAGTCGACAGTACCCGAGCCTTTCCGCAGCGCCTCGCCTCCGGCACCCAACTTCAGCGTTCCGTCTTTCAGCCGGAGATTTGGCCCGGCAACGCCGTATCAAAGCTCACAAACTCCCCGCCAACATGTCCATCGACAGGGTTCTAATAACGACATGTCGAGGTCTATCGCTGGGTCTCTATCTCCTCCACAGTCTCCCGGACTAAGCATCCATGACGGACTGAGCAACAGCGGACTGAGCAACAGCGGACTGAGCAACAGCGGACTGAGCAACAGCGGACTGAGTAACAGCGGACTGAGCAACATTCATGAGTCGCAATGGACCTTCCAGGACAACCCTAAAAGACGGTCATTACGTATGGCCAACTCCGAAGACGCACTGTCAGAAACTCTACGACACCACGGGTCCAGTACCCATCGCCTTTCCCGAATGCCCCCAAGCAGCATCATAACCTCCACCCCCTCCCCCCGATTCCCCACCTTCGCAGAAGAAGATCCAGAATCCCCATACGGCGACATGCCAACCCCCCAGCTCCCCCCAGCAAACGGTGACCCATACTACTACGATCCTCCCCGACCACGGCCACCCGCCCCCCACCATGCAGATCAAAGCCGCCTCTCAATGGGCCCGGTAGCCCGGCGAAAAAGCATGCCCGGCCTATCAGTCGGGCCCCCCGCAGCCCCTCCCCCCAACTGCCCACTACCCAAGATCCCATCTCCGTTACAAGCCTCCCACGCCCATTTCCCCTCCCCGCCGAGGCACGATAACATGCCTACATCACCGCCGAGGGATCCGCGCGCGCGCCGGAGGAGCATAGCCCGGCCGGCGCATCCTACGCGCGCCCCTGCACCTGACATGCGTGTCGCTAGCTCGGGTCATGCGAGGGTTTGAACAGGCGTGATATGTTTTGTTTGAGGTGGAAATGCTCCTGTGATACCCACTGGGCTAGTCGCCCATTTCTTATATCTTGTTTCTTGTATCATATCATATCATGCGGTATTTCTCATTATATCCACGCTCCTTCCCGTCTTGTCTTTGAATTGACAGTCGACCTTGCATATGTCCTACTTATCATCATCATCCACCAGCGATCCAGCGACTTTTCTTTCTTTTATTTCCTTCTATGTCCTGTTCCGCCCGATCCTACACTATACAATACAATACCCTGGATAGCTAGCAGCATATATCCTGTTCTGTTCTGTTCTGTTTGGTTGGTTCGACTTGGTCTAGTGGCTTGTCTGTATTGCATATACATACTACTATACTACGTACTATATTTGAATGTTTTCTGATCGATCGTCCTGCCGTCGTTATAAGAATTTACACTCTTGCTTAGTCCATTACTATATTGTACACGTACCCCATCCTTAGGATTCCACTCTACGAGGAGGATAAAGTCCTGGACTATCCCTTGGGATCACCACAGGCTAGTCAACGAATTGATTAATCAATTGTAAGCCACATGATAGTCTGATCCTAACTGGCGCTTCCCTTCCTACCCCGCTTCCTAGGTAGGTAAGGTACCTAGTTAACTACGTTAAGGAGGTGTCTTTGTAAAGTCCTTGAGCACGCCATTCATCTTGGCAGTATGCCGGTCGTAAATCACTATATAACTATAGGCTAGTTATCCCAACCCCTTCCCAACCCCCTACCATCCCCCGCCCTTTTCCACCCAACCATCCCCCTTCGAAATTCTATATCTTTTCCTTTGCAACTATCACAACAAGATTCATCCAAGCGCCTACCATCTCTTTCTTACAGTCCCTGTCACAGTCAACCATGTTTCATCCTGAGTCTCTCAGAGACCGAAACCTCGCGAGAGCTGAGGAAATCATCTCTTATCGATTCACCAACCCGCTTTTACTTCAAGAAGCATTGCAGTTAGCAGGCGTTTTCGACCAGATCGGGAACAAGGATCTCGCTTTGCTTGGTGATGCTGTCATCCACTTGATTTTTGTCAAGGAAGGCCTTCGTCGACGTGCGACGCGAGGTAAGTGATGACATGTCACGCACCGTGTTATATAATATGGCCCTGATGAGTTTCTCTGCCATTTCTTATAGGTCAGATAAACATTGTCATATCAACAAGGTCGTGCAACGACTATCTTGCGCAGCAAGGCTCCTCCAAAGGCTTGGCAGAATGCGTATTTGCCAACCACTGCCAAGGGAACACAGTCCACCGGGGCCCTATGGCTTCTACCGTAGAGGCTATCATCGGGGCTGTCTTCAAAGATAGCGATGAGAAATTGGCGACCGTCAAAAGAGTCATGGAGACTCTAGGCATTTCTTGGCCGGAGTGATCTCCGCAGGTAACGTTTTGCCCCTACCCCTTATCAAAAAGAAGAAAAAAAAAGCAAGGTCAGAGCGACTGCTCGTGTTAATAGGACTCTAGTTACTCCTCGCGGAGGCCTATGGTTGATCCTCTGCCAGGTCTGGTGGGTGGGACTACAAAAGCGCGGAAGTCGCATTCTAAAGCAGGTGATGAAGTGTTCCTTCACCTACTTCAGAATGGATTGTCGCGCTTTCGAAGTCCCACCCACCTGACCCAGCAAAGGAGCTTCCATACGCCCCCACGAGGATCAAGTAGGCTTCCTCAACTTACAACACTATGTCTCATCGCAGTCGGCTTGACATCAACCGACGAGGATGTCCGTTCACTGATGGCATCTTAGGCTGCTGCCAGGCCCTTGCCTGAGGGGCGGACTGAGCAAGCCATATTTTCATCAACTGAAAAGCATGGCGACCCCTTGACTCCAGGCTCCAGTGTTTCATCAACTGAAAACACAGACGCTCATTAGATAGTTGAATACAATGCCCGATCTACAATCTTCCCAGCCTCTGGAGCGTCTAAGTACACGAAGATTTGTCATTGATAGAAACAACAATGATATTTACCAGAATAAAACGTTGGTTGAAATATATTCCACTTTGTGGAGACTTCGATGATTATCATCGAATTTCATACTTTCTGACGTGGTTCCACCGCGTATTTCCACAACTTGGACTAGTGTGCTCTAGGTGGGCCATCGGAGACCAAAGAGTGAAATTGGAGATAAACAGAGATCGTAGATACTATCTGATCAGCTGGATAATCTACAGAATGTAATAACCGTGTCTTCAGACCGAACTTACTTGTGATGACTCTTTTTAGGCCCCAGTATGTTGTCGATATCAGCTTTTGGACTTTCTTCCTAGCACTCACTGGGTGCTACAACCGAATCCTCGTCGTTTACTCTATTCAACGTCCTGTAGTCACGTATAAGCTTCCATGCGATAGTATTGAGATCTCTTGAGGCGGTTGCTCATCGTGATAAGTGCTGCTACTGCTACTGCTGCTGCTGCTGCTGTCAGATAGCAGGTAAAATGACTATCTACCTCCCATTATAGAGTATATAAATACTGCATTCTGTATCCTGAACAAGAATTCACACTTAGTACCCAGGAGTATGTATCACCCCCTCATCAATCCATTGCTTGATGATGATTGATTAATCGATCGTGGCTGGGAATAAAGTTACGCGCTAGGATTGAGCGGGGTTCCTCGATAAATGTGGGGCTGTATTCACTCCATCCACTCATTGCTGCTGTTCTCTTCCAATGGGGATCACCCAAGTGAGCACCTCTATATCCTTAACCCATCTCTGGTAATTCAAAGACCCGCATCTCAAGTTAGCTCTCGGCCCAATGCAACCACCACTCTCACAATCCCACCTCATGGAGAATATGGACGATGCATCAACTTCCTCAGGCGAGTCAGGGATGACGCCCACGCATACCAGCCTACTGGAACCGCCATACGCCGACCCCGACCCACCGCCATATCCTGCCCCGGCTGCAGTCGCTCCTCACAAGGGAGCAACGTTCATCATTCGCGATCCCGAGAGCAGCCTTGTCATCACCCTCAAGGATGGCAAAGTAGGCTTGGCCCCTGCGAACAAGGAGAGCGCATGGACTTATAACAGTGACGACGGGCTTGGTAGCCACTGGCGCTGCGTTGAGAGCAAGGATCGCTGGCTGGGCTTCTACAATGCAGTTTCGGGGGGGTTCCTCGGGCATGATAACAACAAGAAGGAGTGGCGCTTCATAGCAAAGGCCGAGACACACAGGCAATGGGAGTATTTCTGTGTCCGTCAGCATCCAGATGGCGGCCACGAGCTGCTTGTGAAGCATTGGGATGGGTTTCGTGCAATGCAAGTAGGAGGCGACATGGGCAGGGATCTGGTTGTTGCTGGTGAAGGACACAGCGGGACAGCATGGGAGTTTCTTAAAGTTTGTTCTGAGATTTGACATTATTTTTGATGCGTTGTGAAAGTCTTTGGAATTGGACACTAGTGCAGTATACTGGTTGATTCTCTAATAAACCAGGGTCTACTTGTGGTCTTAGCTGTGAGGATCGCTCGCTTTGAAGCACAGGAATAACCAGCTGATAAGCAGCTTTTCCGTATGTATTTGGTATGCTTCTGGATCATGTAGTCCAAGTACATTTTGGGACTAGTATCCTTCCCACATAGCTACACTGTGTATGGACTGGTATGTATTGGCACTGCTTCGTTGAAGCTGATTTTGCAAATTGCTGTCCTGTTATCGGCAGTTAAGAAATGCTTCACCGTTGATGTTTATTGGATTAGGAGAGATGGGGCAGGTTTAATTCTTTTGTACTTGAGTAAGGTCGTTGAGTTGGCGCGGTTTTGTTGACAGCTGTTAGTTATCATTTGTCGCAAAGAATACCACTCGGCTACAAAAGATATCTAGACACTTCTGAGCTCTGTGGGTATCCTTTTGTGCACTTCTTACATTGTGACATTATTTGAATGTTCGCTCGGTCTGTTGGCTCAGTCAAAGTCTCGTGCCGTGTCCTTTCCATTGAGTGTTGCGCTTATGGGTAGATTGTTCAGGTAATACGAAATCATCAAATCCATTCATTGCCAAGTTATCTCAATATAACGCCCAGAATAACAGGTTCAGGAAAAGAAAAAGGAAAGATGATGATTGCCGAATGCCTCACACTTAGCCTGTAGTAGACTCGTGTTGAGCACTCGGATATGTCCAGTGACATGTGGAGCACGGAGATCGGCACACTGATTTTAATCAAAGGACAATAGATTAAGCCCGACAGTCCCATGCATGGATATCTTGACTTCGAACGCTCTCTCTATCGCAGGTTTTATTCGTCGGTGACCTCTTCCACTCGCGCCGTTAGATCGCGCTTCACGGTGCCCGATGTGTCTGGCGCCTCGGTAGCGGTTGTCGAGGCCGAGGGCGCGGCGTCTTTTCCTTTCTCAGCGGCGGTGGGTGCAGGGTCAGCCTTGGCCTTCTTGCTCTTCTTCTTCTTGGTCTGTAACGCCGTTAGTACACTAGATGGGAGAAAAGGCTAGAAACTGGTAGGACATACCTCTTGCCAGCCCCACAGAGGCTTGAAACTGTCAAAGAACCCTACATCCTCGAACAAATTGGGGAACAGCCAAAGACCGGGTGGCACCGTAAACACCGTGAGACAGAACAAGATAAGACGGAAGATCGACATGGCGAAGAAAAGACCCAGCAGGCCCATCATGCCCACACTGAGGTACCACACTCCCTGGCGGAGCATGATCGGCCACAGCGGGAAGAGTACGACGGCGAAGATACCCGCCACCACGGCCGCCGCCATGGCCTTCTGCTTCCACTGCGGACCCTCGTACAGCCATACGTAATGCATCATGGGGTCGGTTTCCTGGTGCTGTTCGATCTTGACCGTCCACAGGCCCTTGACGCGATTCTTCGGCTTGGCGTGGTTATGGCCCGCGTGGGGATCCACTTTGCTCACGCGCAGGGCGAGGAGCGAGAGGGGAAGTAGCTTAAAGGTGTTTTCGGCCGAAGCGCGATCTGTCACGGGGGGGAGGAGAGAGTTCTTCTTCGCCGCGGCTTTGGCGTACGCGGGAGATTCAAGGGCGCGAATGGCACGTTTTACTGCAGATCCCTTGATTAGCTTGAAGCGGATAGGAAAGATCGAGATAAGATCAAGAATAACAAAAATAAAAAGAAGACAAACGCCAATACAATAATATATGGGACATACCTTTAAAGAGGTCCTTTCTCTGTCCATCCATGACGCAGGTCCTGGTCTTCAGGTTTTGCGACCGTAACCAGTTCGCGACGGCAATGGCCTTGGGATCCGCCGGATTATTCGGATTCACCGGGACCTGGTGTGTAGTCTGATTCTGCTGCTGTTGCTGGGGCTGATCTGGTGATGCCTGCCCCGATTCTTGGGCCTGTCGTTTGGCCTCCATCTGCTTCTGGTGCGCGGCCAGAGCGCGCATTTTCAATTGGGCGACGTATTGCTCGGTGGTCATGCCGTGCTTAGCGGCTTCGGCAGTCAGTTGCTCTCTTTGCTGCTTCGCAAACTCCTCTGGAGACATGCCACGTTTGGCAGCCTCTGCGGCGAATTGCTGCATCGCAGCCATCTGCTGAGGGGACGGCCCTGGTGCCGCCATTTTGGTAAGGTTGGTGATGAAGGTAACAACGACAGTACAGAAATGAATAAGCTTGTATAGTTACAAGGGAGGTTTAATCCACAATAAAACCCACCAATCTATGATGATCAGAGGTGGGAGGGAGGATGAAGAAAGTAACAACGAGAGAAGTGAGAGGTGAGAAGTAGACGACAGATGATGATGCGGAAGTGGCCAGATGGTTCAAGTTTACTTGAGCCTGAGGCCCGGCTGGGTTTAGCGCCGGCAGGACTCCACCGCCCTCGACTCCGCCTCCGCATTCCGTCTTCTCCATTTCCCTTCGTTCTCCTCACTTCTTGTTCTTCGTTTCTCCAGTTGTCATCCATGCCTTATTATTATCCTTAGAAACGGATATCTGGGCGCTTGACCCACGATAATTGCCCCCCTGGAAATGATCCCATCCCCTCTACTGTTGCGCTGCCTTCTCTCCGCAGCCCCATGTCATTGAAGTTCGACCCCGATCCGGACCTGATCGACCCAACTTGGGAATCGGCATTACTGGTGAGTCTGGGATTTGACAGATTATATATCTATGTCTCTGAACTAGCGCTAACTGACTCAGAGCGAGCGAGATGTTGCTGGCCAGATCCCCGTGAATTTCATCAGCAGCTCCGGGGTAGCCGTGAAAGCGGCATGCTTCGACACCGTGTTCGACCGGCGCACCGTTGGAAAATGTCTCTCGAATCTGATAGCAGTGGGCTTTCGTCGCCTCGTTGTTGATTTGTACTGGTCGCCCGAACGACGGGTGTGGAGCTTTTGTCCAGTCCGCCTCCCTCGCAATGCCCATATCGTCGAGGTCTCAACGACACCGGCCGCGGGGCCAGCGGCGACTGCGACTGCTGATGCGTCTGCACCGACGGTAACCGCGGTCCGCGGCGACTCGAATACGATGCTCTACCATCTAGGACCGTACCTCTGCTCGAGTGACATTGATATTTCAGCCTTGATTGACGTGTTCCTGGACTATTTCAAAGATACCGGGTCGCAGATCAACGTATACACCAGATATATCACGCTCAACCTCCATGTCGGTGCTAGTGCCAGTGCCCCCGATCAGCCGGCGTCTACGATGTCTGGACGAGACCTCCCGACTTCGATGGAGCATATCAGCACGCTATTGGACGCGCGCCTTGTCCAATTCCTCTATACCCCACACCAGCTCGCTGCCGACCGCACCAACTTGAACGAATCATGGTATCAAGTTGACGATGGGTACAAACCCATTGCGGAGTACTTCACGACCCACTCGAACTCGAAAGGGGTCCAGCGCACCCCCGATGGGTGGCCATGTATCAAGTACATCCAGCTCGCCAAGGAGAAACGGCTCCTTCTGGAATATGGCTCTGTGGATTCGCAATTGGGCGGCTATAGCTTGACTGACAAAAACCAAAACATATTCCCCCCAAACTACATGAGCGCCCCGGTAGCCGTCTCATACGGGAAGGGAGGTCACCCCTCGCACTGTTTCTACGACCCGGACGCAGAAAACGTGTCCCAGGTCAACGCGTCCTGGGCGATTTCAAGCAGTATTCCCGGTTCGGCCGGGGCAAATAACAGCGAAGGCCTCGGCCTGCTGTCAGACATGGTCCAAAACCTGACAGCGTGCGGCGTGACCGCACTCCTCAACAGCACCCTCTTCCACTCGACCGCGAACAGCGCGGCCGGTATATACAAGAACATCTCTCTCTCCACATCGTGGGCCTGGGCCATCGGTCAGCCCGCCGGATCCACCGTGACAGACGACATCGACGAGCCCAGGAACGACCGCTGCGCAGTCATGGACATGTCCTCGAACGGTCGCTGGCGAGTCGCCAACTGCACCGACGTCCGCCACGCCGCCTGTCGCGTAGGAAGCCACCCCTTCACCTGGGAACTATCCCCCACAGTACACGACTACCAGGGTGCATACTCGGACGCCTGCCAGGGCGACACCAGCCTCGGCGTGCCCCGCACAGGCCTCGAAAACACTTACCTGCACCGCTTTCTCCAAAACCAGTCCACCAAGCTACTCGACCCCGCGTCGGATGATCCCGCCATGCGCGAAGTCTGGATCGATTTCAACTCTCGGGATATCGCGTCTTGCTGGGTCAGCGGCGGGCCTGAGGCAGAGTGTCCTTATGCTTCGGATCCTCAGCAGCTCGAACGGCGGACTGTCCTTGTCGCTGCCGTCGCGGGTATCGTTATTTGCGTCATTGCCGCTTTGACGTTGTTCGTGAAGTGTAATGCCAATCGGCGCAACTCGAGACGGAGAAATCGTATAATGCAGGGATGGGAGTATGAGGGCGTGCCTTCGTAATGGGCTTGTTCGTTTTCCTAGTTTGGTTGGATAGTTTATTGTCTACCTACATGTATACTTACTAATACCCACTGTCTATCTATTTGTATAATGAACCCAATTTTAATATGCTATTGAAACAATCCATTATTTGACTCCAGGCTCGAGAGTGGTACTAACTACATAGAACAGAACAGGGGAATATGAAACATTCATCAAATTAGACCTTAGGTCGATACAAATCCATCCAAGCAGTCCATCCGTCCATCATAGCGCAGTCGATCGATAACCCATTTCACATGATTCGTAGAAAGGGTAGAAAATTGTTGTCTTTGTTTTCTCCATTCGCTGTTTTTTTCCCTTGTTTTTTTTTTCTTTTGGTGTTTTTTACCGTCCTCTTGTTCAATATCATGACATTCTAAAATGGTTCATAGACAGGTTACAACCCAGCGAACCGCGCCCATCCAGCAGCGCGGGTTGGGCTCTGCTGTTCAGCCGGTGGTGGATCCGGACGACTGCGCCCTTCTTCGGCAATCTTGCCGCTCACGTCGCGTCGTCGACCGACCCCCAGACCGGCGATGTAGTTTCCATACGACAGTGCTGCGCCGCCGCCTATACCGCGGCCGAGATCGGCTCCAGAGTTGCTGACAACGCGACCCTTGCGATCGCTGTCGACAATGGGTGCCGAGGCGGGGCCGTCATCTTCGGGATCGTGTTGCTTGAGAGCGCCGTAGGCGTTCTTTTGGCTCTGACGTTTCATCAACTTGGAGGTTTTCTTGCGGCCGAGGGTCTGCCCCTGTTCCAATTCCAGGCTGATATTGCGGGGGACGCCGAATCCTAGGCTTTCTTCGACTTCGTGGTAGAACCGGCCGTTCTTCAGCGGGCTGTCGATGGGGGGTACGCGGGCGCTTGGGGGGGTCGGCGCGAGGTTTGGAATGTCGGTTAGAGCCATGCGCTTCATCGGCGTGGACTGCTCTGGGGTGGGGTCGACGTTGTCCTGAACGGGCTGCGGAGTGGGTGGATTCAAAGCCAGGGGGTTGACGTGGAGAGTATCAGATGCATCTTGGTCGTCATGTTCTTCGGGGTCCGGGAAAATGTGGATGTGGTTGTCTCCAATATCCTGCTCCGCATGATCGTCATCGTAGTATCCTTTGTTTCTGGGTGCCTTGTCCAGGCCGTCCGCGTCTTCCTGTCCGTAATGTTCTTTGGCCGGAACCGAATCGTACTCGCCTCGGACGTCCTCTCGAAGTATGTCACTGATATTCCAGCCATTGCGCTGAGCCGAACTGATCCAGTCAATTGCGCCTGCGATGGTGGATCCAGGCGTGACAGAGCGACTGTACGCGGAAGATGGCTCACGACGGGCCTGATTGCCGTTTTGAGAGTCGGTCTGGACTGAGCCCGACCGCGAAGGGAAAGCAACCCAATTTGCAGATTCCGGACTTGCACACTGAGAACGGTTTGGGAGGTTCGGGGAGGGTTCTCGCACCGGAGCGCCTCGGGGAACACTTGATGTTGGCCTCGTGAAGATATCATGGGTTTCCTCCGGCAGGGGATCCATATGCTCGTCTTCGTGAAGTCCCACCGAAGTATACGGCATCTCCGGGATGCGAGACCGCATTGGTGACCAGCGATTTGGCGACGAACCCGGGGAGCGTTGGTAGTCCCCTCCAAACCCAGGCATGTCCACAGAAGAATTGTTGCGGGTGTGCATGAATGCCATCATACGAGGGGACCCGATCAACGGGTCTTCCGACATCGCAGAGTCTAAAGTGGACTGACTGGCATGCTTTTCGATCAGCTCAGACTTGGTTCGCTTGTGTGGGCGGGCGGTCAGGTTGTCCTCCAGCGGGTTCAGATCTGGTGGTAGCTGCGTAATTTTTTTGAAGACGATGCCGAGGAAGACGGAAATCCCGAAGGATATCAAATGAAATCCACCGTTGGCCACACTAAGGATAAAAGTAGTCTGCGCGATCTTCGTTGTCATCTCGCCATCGGAGCTCAAAATCGTGCCCCAGTGGTACACGTTACGCGTATACTGTAGGTATGCCAGGTATGCGGTAAAAACGTAGAACGGTATCAGACAGAAGTCGAGGATAGCAGCAAACAGCATATAGCTTGCTTGCGAACCAGGGGGCCTTGCGATGGGCGACCGACAAAGGTGGTAGATACTGTAAAGAGTGTGGAGGATTGCAATCGCAGGCTAAAGGCGATTCTTTAGCATTGTGTCTACCCAGCATCTGCAGACAATGTTGACTTACTGCAACGCGAACAATCCAGACCATGGTTACCGCCACGTTCTTGATAACAATGGCGCAGAAAAGAGACCCAAGAGCCCCCAGGAGAGCCAGAATGCGCAGTCCAAGCTGGACCTGTCGACCGTGGATCACACTACTCTTCGTTCTTGGGTGCATTGGAGTCCAACGAGACTTGCCATTGGGGATGTTCGAATACTGCAGGGGATTGTTGATGATCAGCACTGCGCTCCCCTAGCTCCCTGACACCGCGATACCAGAGACCTAATACTCACAGAGTCTGGATGTCTATTGAAATTGACCAGAGGACCCTTGGGCTTGGGCTTCGGCTGTGGTCGAGTCCAGCTCGCCTGGGTCACAGCCTTTGGGTTGAATGGACGATCTGTTGGGCCATAGAAGTTGTAGGCAGACGAACTGCCATAAAGGAATGGAGGCGACGATCCTCCCATGATGGCGACGGTGACTGAAGCGTTTACTCGAGATGAGAGACCGATCCAGGCATCCACCCACCTACCTATAGAGAGGAATGGTGGTGGATGCAACCGATAAGCTTAATCAAAGAATGTGGGGAGGGAAGCGCAACGGAAGAATTGAGTAAGGGCATGAACCATGGAACGTGAAGAATGCAGGAGGGAGATTTGGATGGAGAAAAGATTGATTAAAATGTCCATGGAACGTGCATACCATCGATTGTCAGATCGAGCCGATGCTGCGGAGTTGCCCGATCCGTAAAGCGGATCAACATCCGATTGTCGACGCGGCAACCACCCCGATAAGCACCCACGTGACGTCGCATATCCACCGCTCTGCGACTCATCCCGCATTGATCTTCCTCTTTCCCCCTCAGCTTCTTCTTATTCTCTCTGTTCTCCCTCCCCTCCCCACAACATGTTACTTTCCCGGCGGGTGCCTTATGTCTGTGCTCAATGCACTGGGCATCCGGTGCGCAGCCCCCTTCGTCCGTTGTTATCTCGTGCCTCTTGGCAACGACGTCATAAAAGTCACCATTTGCAGGGAGATCGCCCCGTCCGTGTGGCCGTTGTGGGTTCTGGACCTGCGGGATTTTATGCAGCATATAGATTATTGGGAAGGATCGACAATGCCGTGGTAGATATGTATGAAAAGCTGCCGGTGCCGTTCGGATTGGTGCGCTATGGGGTAGCACCCGACCACCCGGAGGTCAAGGTATGTTGTCACCTGTCACCCTCGTTCGCGATCATTCGGATATGCGACTGGAGCTCATCCTGGTAAACTTTCAGAACTGCGAGGAGAAATTCACTGAAGTTGCAACATCGCCACGTTTCAATTTTATTGGCAACGTCGAAGTGGGGGGAAACCTGTCGCTACAGAGCCTAAAACCGCACTACGATGCCATTCTCTTCTCATACGGAGCGCCAAAGGACAAGGAGCTGGGAATCCCCGGGGAAAAGGCCACCCGTAATGTGTACTCCGCGCGGGAGTTTGTGGGCTGGTACAACGGCCTTCCGGAACACCGGGATCTCGCTCCCGATCTGACCGCAGGCGAGGATGCGGTGATCATTGGACAGGGGAATGTGGCCCTGGATGTGGCTCGGATCTTGCTGACTGACGTCGATGTGTTGCGCAAGACCGACATTGCGGACTACGCTGTTGAGCACTTGCTCACGAGTAAAATCAAGCGGGTCCGCGTGGTCGGCCGACGAGGGCCAATGCAGGCTGCATTTACTATAAAGGAACTTCGCGAACTGCTCCAACTTCCTTCCGTATCTTTTGATTCGGTCCCGCGGGATTTACTTCCCCCGGAAGAGGTCATGGCTGCCTTACCTAGGGCTCAGAAACGACTGATCCAACTGCTGGCCAAGGGCTCAACCAATGATCCTGCGACGGCCACCAAGTCTTGGTCATTAGACTTCCTCCTCTCCCCTGAGAGCATTAACCACTCCCCGGTACATCCCGAACGTCTATCCAATGTGACGTTTTCTCGCAATGAGCTGGACCCGTCCGACCCATATCTGCCCACCTCCAAGGTCAACCCGAAATACCTGCCAAACGGCGAACGGGCCCAAGTCGACATCCCTGCCAGCACTTTTTTCCGCAGCGTCGGCTACCAGTCGATCCCTCTCCCAGGATTAGAAGATCTGGATATCCCGTTTGATACCCGACGTGGTGTCATTCCCAACGACGGGTACGGCCGGGTCACCAGCCCCAAGCCCACTAGCGACACGGCGCGCCTACCAGACGGTTCTCTGCTGTCCCATCTGCCCGGAATCTATTGTGCCGGCTGGGTCAAACGCGGCCCAACAGGCGTCATTGCCACGACCATGACAGACGCCTTCAGCACAGCCGACGCCATAGCAGCCGACTTGAACGGCACCGGTCACACGAAGTATCTTCTGAACCCACCCGCCGAGAGGACCGGCCTTGGATGGGAGGGCGTCCGTCCTGAAGCGGAGAAGCGGGGCTTGCGACCTACCACCTGGCAGGATTGGCAGCGGATCGACGCTGCGGAGCGGGAGCGCGGACAGCAGAAGGACAAGATCCGTGACAAATTCGGCCGGGTCCAAGAGATGTTGGACGTCATCTCTTAAGACTACAGTGTTCATGATCAACGGAAATTCAGTGTATCATATCTCTCCTCACGAATGTACTATAGAATACCCTTCATCGCCGGGTATAGGGTTTACGATATGGGGCTGTATCATAGATGCTATATATATATAATCAAGAATTGTCATGTTTAGTTTTCTCGAACCCCCAGCGAACGAACCCCCAGCGAACCCCCAGTCCACTAAACCTCTCTAGAAAATAAGCATACAAGCCCAGCGAAGTAAAGTCTGACAAAACGAACATGTCCGGTTCTGCACTCACAGTATCCCAATATACAGATCGACACCCTACCCCACACCCCCAACCACGGCCCGTGGGTCAATCAATCCCAATCTCGCAACTGATCTACGGTAGCCAGATCCACCCGTGAACCTATACAACCACGAGCATCTAGTGCGAGTGCTTTACTTCCAACATGAAAAGGAGATGAACTACTATAGCTGCGTGATATCTCACTTGCTACTGTTTTCGGCGTAGGACGTTCGTCACCTTGAAACGTGGCTTACTCTAGTAGTTGTCGAGAGGAGTTCGTTGTTGAATTGGGTTAATGTGGTTCAATGGAGGTGTTCTATGGTTGATAGGGTCGGAAGATTGGTGCCTTGTTTCTCACCCTGTATCACACCGGAGTATATAGACTGTCCGTTAGAACTGTGTTACAAGGCATATGGAATCAAGGAGAACTGGAAGCGATTATGATCAATGCATGAGTAAATTCAAAATAACTAAACTAACTCCGGTCATGTGCTAAAGCTGCAAAAACAATGACTCGTCTCTTTCATTCATCTCTCAGTCACAACATAGATCTCTTCTCATCAGGCCCAGGTTCGGCGTGCCGCATCGACTCCCACAAATGATATCACCAGAAACAGTTTCACCATTTCACTATTCCCGTCCATCCTGTCGTAACTCCATGTCGGTCGCCGTCACTGACACAGCCTGAATTTTTTACTTGAATCCACAGAGAGCGCGGTCCACCTCGGTGTAGGTAGCGTCCACACGGCCCAGCTGCTCCGCCAGTCCGTTGGTCAGCTTGTTCATAGCCCCGAGGGCAATGTTGAAGCCGCCGGGCGCAGAGTCAATGGCCGCCACGTAGATCGATTTGTCGATTTTGCCCGCCTTGTAATGCAGCTGGTAGCACTTGCCACAATTCTCGCTGTTCCAACCCGGGATGGTGGGCGCACCACCGATGTTGGCGAAGCCCGGCACCGAATCGAAGGTGGTGAAGCCCTCGGTGAGGAGCCCATTCACACCATCTGAGCAGGCAACCGTGCTCAACGAGGTACCGCCCACATCATACTTAGGGTCATATGAGACCGAGACCGTAGTGGCGGCGGTGGCAGCATCTTCAGGCTGCTCAACGGGCACGGCCTGCACGGAGGAGAGGAAAAGAGTGGCCAAGGAGGCAGCAGTGACGAAGAGCTTCATTTTGATAGAGTTCGGAGATTGGTAATAGATAAATAGAGGGAGATAGATAAGCGGAAGCTGAGATTGATGCTTGCGAGAGGATGTGCTGCTATCGTGGTGACTTCAGGTTTGGAGGTTTGGCTGCTTGGGGAATGAGCTGAAATCGGGGGGATTCGATGGGCCTTTTATATGGTTGAGGTCCACCTAGGTCTCTCGAGCAGTGGATGTAATGATCCCGTAGCACTCCCACTGTTCTCAGAGGAGGAGACCTGACGCATCCATGCTGGAGCGGCATCTCCAGACTTGCACACCGTGAATAGAAACTTGATTCCTACCTATCACTCCACAAATGAGAAACCTTGTCAATGGTAGCCGTGACGCTAGTGAGATTGTAAGACAGTCCCCTCTTTTCATGATACCTCGACGGCCTAGGACGAGTCGGGATCGATGCGGGGAAGTATCATGACACTGAATCGCTGCACAAGAAGAGCCAGTCAGATGACACTATACCCGGCCTCGTATGAGACATACAGCGTTAGGCCGCCTGCCGTATACCCGGCATGTCCGCAAGAACATGCACCGAGACGATGATGCTATACAACGTGAACCGACACCGCTTGATCGGGTAAGATGCCAAGGCTAAGTGGCTCCATTGTGGAGTTACTCGGAAAGCCTGGGAGTTGAGATGACCCGATTGCTCGGTCAACAGCTTGCTGAGCAGTCGGATAACCCACTGAAAAAACAATAATTGAACTAGTTTCTGCATGTTTCAGCCAGGTCTAACCACGAATGGCTTATAACAGATGTATCAACAGTCAGGTTAAGAACCTTCCAAGAAAAGAGGTCTTGTATGGCAGGGCACGAGCAGTTTCTGTTCTGATCCGGTTCGGTTCTAAATATAGTATTATCCGTGGGTATGGCCAGGAGTGCCGCAAAGCCGCAAGAACCACGCATGAATGTGGCTTATTGTCTCGGTCGGGCATGTATGTGCTGGAAGAATTAAGCATGGGCATTTTCCACTCCCGGTCACGCAGCCAGTACCCGACTGTGCCGACCGTATGGGGCCTTTGTATTAGAGACACCAGTTCTTCAATAATGATGAACTTTTGTCATACTCGCCAAGAGCAAAGTAGAAATCTCGACGAGGACAGGAAAAGACGCGGGTAAGCGTATTACTCTCAATAGAATCGCTTCAAGGGATTTGGGAGTAATAGTCTGGTAATCGTCCATGCGATGATACCAATCCATGCATACATCCGGCCGAATCGATGGAATCAAGCAGTGGGTACACTATGAAGCAGTAGCCTCTCGGGTCAGCTACAGCTGTGGAACGCCGACCTCGAGGATCTTCCCCAAATGCACGCATCTTCTCGTGTTAATGACCTCTAGGTGGGCTGCAGAGTCCAAATTTGGGTTGTTCTCCCATGTATTAGTGTTTTGAGTCATGCACGCTGCTAGGACTCCCTGCTATTTCCGGTCCCTGGCGCTGCACGGCATACCGCAGGAGGTACAGGAGCACTGCACCCTCAGCTTAGGCCCGCAGTTAGTCGGATGTAAGGCCACCCATGATTCACCCGAAGGTTCCTGAAAGTTTCTAGGGTATCCAGGCCAATTCCGGTGTTGGCAAGTTTGGGCATAAGCCTCTCGCTCAATCATGCAAGATTTGACCTATTATGCCTCTGAATAGGGCGCAGTCTGTTGGATGCAGGCCCATTTGATACGGTACTTACTTGGATCCCACGTCATGTGTTCAGATAGCTGGCACAAACACGAGCCTCTGATATAGGATGGTCAGTTGACAATGGTTCGAAATGAAGTAGGATGGGGGGAGAAGAAAAAGAAAGAGGCGAGAGGGACGTGAGAGAAAAAGAGGAAGAAAAGAAAGTAGAGGTGGATGAGAATGGCCTCAGGCTGGCAGGCACTCGAGCTGACCTAAGCGTCGCTCTTTCTCGCTTCATCTGGTCCTTCTTGTCCATTTCTTCTGTTCTACAGTTTCTTGATCAACTTCTGATGATAAGAGAATCTACAAGTCATAAACTGCTTTGTTGAATTGAAATACTGGCCCTAACCGTGGCCTGGCCTGCTATTCCGGTTCGATCACTACATCTTGGGCCTTCTTCGCGTGGAATGCGATATAGAAGACTATGGGGTCGTTGCTATTTAATTCATGGTGAGAGCTGTGGTCATTTGCTAGGAGGTGAAGGGTGTAGCATGCTGGATGCAAGTCTTCTAAGGTAGTTGAGTATCTACAGGGCTGGTGGAATTACTATGATTTTAACTCTATCTTCTGTGGCTGTCCTCTTTATATATATAGGGCGGTATACGGTCACGGACATGATCTACAGGCATTACACCACTAATGACAAACATGACAGCATCCATTGATCCTTGAGTCCAAAGAAGTTTATATTTACTACCGAGAAGCATCCACGATTAGAATCTGCCATTGATCTCTACCATGCAGACGACGTGGGGGCTGCCACTAGAGGGATGATCATTTCCCCTCTCTTACAACGGATCCTACTCAGGATCCGATGCTCCATGAAAACTTGACCTCCTACAACACCCTCGCCATGATGTTCCCAGCCCTCCTATTGCTGTTATCCTTAGCACATAGGGTCATAGGCGAGCTACACACCTCGTCTCGATGGATCCTCGACGACAAGGACCAGCGCGTCAAACTGCGCTGCACCAACTGGGCAGGGCACATGGAAGTCAACATCCCTGAAGGCCTCCAACACCAGCCCATCGACACCATCGCATCCTGGATCTACGACAACGGGTTCAATTGCGTGCGTCTGACCTACTCCATCGACATGGCACTCAACCCCTCCGTGTCCGTGTCAGACTCATTCAACACGGCCGCCTCCGCAGCGGGCGTCCCCCCCTCCGCCCTCCAAGCCCTCTACACCCAAGCATCCAAGCACAACCCCCTCCTCACGACCGCGAGCCGACTCGACGTCTTCGCGGCCGTCATCGACTCCCTCCACCGCCGTGGCGTGTACACCATCCTCGACAACCACGTCTCGCGCGCCAGCTGGTGCTGCAACTTCACCGACGGCAACGGCTGGTGGGACAAAGCGCAGGGCTACAACGACCTCAACAGCCGCTACTTCGACACAGACGCCTGGCACCGCGGGCTCGAAGCGATGGCGCGATTTGCCTCCTCACAAGCAGGCGTAGTAGGCATGTCGCTGCGCAACGAACTCCGCGCGGTCCCACTCATCCAAGACCTGAACGTCCACGCAGACTGGTACGACCAGTTGACGCGCGCAGCGCAGAAAGTGCACGACACCAACCCGTCAGTCCTCATCATCATCGGCGGCGTCTACGGCGGAACAGACCTCTCCTTCCTGCGCATTAAGACCCTAGACGCTGGGGACTGGGCCCAGAAGCTCGTGTGGGAGTTCCATGCCTACGCTTTCTCCCTGACGCAGCCGAACCCCGGTCGTCACTGTAATGTCGCGTCTGCCGAGTACGGCGCCTCCAACGGCTTTCTCCTCACCCAGGAGAAGGACTACACGGGTCCACTGTTTCTGTCTGAGTTTGGCGTCGCCATGACTGGCGGCGGGGAGGAGACCTCCGGCTTGTCGGAGGATGATCTGGGCTACTTGAAGTGTTTGGTGGAGTATATGGAGTCTAATGATGCCGAGTGGGCGGTGTGGGCCCTCCAGGGGAGCTACTATGTGCGCGATGGGCAGGTTGATATGGATGAGAGCTTTGGGCTGCTGACAAAGGATTGGAGTCGCTGGCGCAACCCGCAATTTCGAGGGTTGCTGGGTGGGATGTGGGATGTAACGCAGGGCCCGGGCAAGGAGTAGAGTCCGCGTTTGCATGTTACATGTACATACTCGATGATGCGGGCTGAATGTCTGATATGTACTTGCACTTGTGCTAAATGTGCTTTAATTTAGTGGTAATTGCATATGATTCCAATGATGATATAGTTAAAACAGATATTTTCCAGACCGAGAATACCACCGGTCCCTCCAATTCACGGGTTATTTTGAGAACTCGATTGAGGCACCGGCCGTCGAGGAACGGCCGGTCGTTCAGGCAAGGCCGGCCGCTCACCCTCACTAGACGTAGATCGTCTCCGTGGACGGGCCGGCAGGTGTTCCTGCGTGCGACGCTCCAACTGCCTCTGGAGGCGAGCCTCCTCGTCGGCCGCCGCGCTCTCGTCCACCTGGTGCTTGTCGGGGTCGACACCCGCCAGACGCTCGTTTTGGATGCGCTCTGCTTCCTGGCGACGGGACTTGGCCCGCAGAGCTGCCTCCTGCTGCTGGATCTCCTGGACGTCGATGCTCTGCAGACCAACTTGGTTGAGGATACGTCCGACCAGGAACTGGTACCGCAAGTGGCCGCTGATCATCTTGCTCACGTCGAAGTTCTCCACGCCCGGCACGTTTTCAACTGGCTGGAGCCCTGCGACGCCCATCTGCAGACTGCTGGTCCGGTACAGCAATGCCAGCACGCTGTCGTTTTCGGAGTACACGTTCACCAGTCGGCCATTGACAACCCCACGCAGACGACGCCAATCTTCTGTGTCTGACGGGATGGGAGACCCCATCAGCACGGCTGTCTCCACGATGCCGTACGCCCCGCGCCGCGCAAGGCTTTGCAGGCAGGAGTAGATGACGCGGGATCCAAGGGAATATCCCATCAAGTTGACCGACCGTTTGCCTTGCACTTCGTGAATCAGTGCGTCGGCAAGGACCTCGCCTGCCTTGTCGGCACGAGATTTGGCGACGCTGAACGGGTTGTCGACCACCTTGGTGACCTTCAGAAGGGTCAGCGGGAGGGCCACGGCGCTGAGGAGACCTGCGAAGACGGTTTTGGTGGCGATTTGCTCTCCCGCTGTCCATGCCGCGCTGGTGACGAGCAGGTCCATGGCGTTGCCTAGTCTCATTAAGGGTTCCATTTCCCAGCGCAGCGCGAACATCTCCGAGTCCGAGCCCACAACGCGCCACGGAACGACAAAATCGTCTTTCTCAGTCACCCAGCCCGTGATTCCGATTGTCACCCGCAGGCGATGATCCTCCTGCGCCGCTTCCTTGTCGTCTTTTGGCCGGGCGGACGATCCCCGGATAGGGATAAACGCAAAATCGTTAACTTCACGCGCGTACTGGTCGATCATCTTTCCCGTCATGCGGCCCCCGTACGCCCCAAACAGGCCTCCCACAATCACTCCGCTGCCCGCCAGAGCGCCGAGATATCCGGCCGCGGCCGTCGCGCCCAAACCTAACCCTCCCATCACCGTTCCCAAGCCAGCCGCCACCAGAGGTGCAGCAAGACCACCCGTAACCCCAATCAAGACGGCTCCTGTGACAGACGCGATGCCAACTTTCCATTTTCGGGATGAGTCGCCTTTTTTGCTAGCTTCCGCCGCCTCGGGGTTTCCTGAGAGCGCGAGCGCGTTGTCCAGTAAGCCCCGGGCAACCTTGACTTCGTCGCCGTTCAAGATTCTAATGCAAAGTCCCAAGCTTGACGAGACGTTGAGCATCAAAACACGCGATCTGGCGTCGTAGTGTTCCAAACTGAGCAGGAGCAGGAGCAGTGCGTGAAGGATCAGAAGCCTTTTAGCTTCCGGGAGATGGGAGAGCGGGGTGTCGACCGGAGGATATACACTGCGTAAGCGACCTAAGGAGCGCTCATCCTCGGCAGCCCCCTTCAACGGTTGCTCGTCCTCCTCGTTCCCGATCGGATCCTCAGCTTTAGTTTCGTCCTCGTCGTGTTTGTTGACAACCTGACCAATCCGAAGGAGAACGGAATCTCTCCAGGCATCGAAGCCGGACAGGGCGCTAGATTCAGACTTGCGGTCCTGAGAAGATGGTTGACTGTCGTGCCGTTCATTGTCTAGAGGTGATGAAGACGACTGCAAGTGGCTTTCTTTCTGGCCCTGGTCATCGGCCGGTTGGCCAGCGGAATCGTAGGTTGCCGACTTGGACGGATGGAAATTCCGTTCAATTTTGTGTCGCATATTAGCCGTAATCTGTGCCACTAGGATCGTGAGTTCGGCCCTTTGGGAACGGTCCAGGATGGTGGTGAGGTCCTGGTTCTGTTCGTCCCTCTTCGGAGCAGACTCCTCGGAGCCCGCCCCGAACTTGCTTGCATGATCCTTGATGTTCTTCCACATTGAGCCCAAATGCCAATTAAATCGATCAAAAAGCAGTGATAAGTATGATACCGATCAGCAACCGGCTGTGGGGAAATATGAAGGCGATAGACCCGGGGAGGGGAAAGAACAAGGTTGTCGTCTGTTGATCTGCCTGCTGTCGGAGGCGATGAAATCATCGGCTGACTCAGCGCCCAGAAATCATAGCCACCGTTCGTCACTCTCGTTACTCCGCAGTGTTGCTGCAAACGAACATTGAGCAACATCACTCTCAGCTGAGGATATGAGGAAAGGTAGGAATTGAGTACTCCGTATTACGGTGTACCCTTAATTGCCATTGCCATTGCTCTTGCCTGTGTCCACAACGAAAAATTTCCCCTTCGTCCGTGAGGCATATCCCAGCGCATTGCCGTCCCACGCATCCCCGTCAGGCCGTTCGTTGCGTGCGCCCTCAATGCGCTGGATACGCTTGTGACGTCCAACTACTTGCTCCTTGGACATGGCCGTCTTGAGCTGCTGCAGTCCGATGGTCTTCTCCTTGACTGCCTCGGGGCTTTCGTCCAGAATACTCTGCAAAGGTTCTACGTTCGACGCGTCCACACGCTGGATTTCCTTCACAAAATGGATCTGATCCTCGAGATCTTCCAGCATCTTCTTTTCCTGTTCTTTATTGGAGGGTTGCGGCAAGGCCGACAGACGCAACAGATGACGGAGTTGTTCCGGGGTGACTGACGGCGAGCTTGTTCGGCTGGTTTTATCGGGGAGCAGAGAGTGTGTAGACCAGGTCGGCTTGGCCAGAATTGCTTCGAAGTCTTGCGAATCTGCATTCGACGAGTAGAGTCGGAATCTCGACGGTTGGGAAGGACGTAGGGATCGACGATAGGTCGACACCAGTAGAGACGGAGAGAGCCGTTGACAGCGCATTGTAAGGATTAGGGTACTTATGATGGAATTGAAAAGAGCACGATTGTTGTAAACCTCGAGCAGGAAATTAAGTCTGCGATAAAGAGAAGAGAAGTCTAGAATGAATCCAGTTGACTCTGTTGATTGAGTGAAGAAATTCCAGAGACTCGGTCGATCGAGTGGTGGTTCTCTGACCGCCTGCCGCATTGGGCGTCCATGCTGGGCTGCTCTTACGTCGGCTGTTCACCACCACCTCCAGACTTCGATATCATTTCCAAGTATCCTCCTCCATCCTTGGATTACACGTTTGCTTTATTCCAGTGTCTTGACTCTTTTTGTCCTCAGTGGTTGTTGCAGTTTGTTCATCATGGCGCAAGATCCCCGAGTCCTCATCCAACGAGTTAGTCCTCCCCCCTCTACAAGCCCACTTCCCCCCCGCTTCGGGTGATCATTGACCAAACTCCCCAGGCCGAAAAAGCTCTGAGCGGCGCCACCAGTGGATTCAGCTTCTTCGGAGGCCGAACAGAGAAGTATGAGAATGCAGCCGATTTGTTTACCCAAGCGGCAAATGCCTTCCGGGTACAGAAGCTGAGTAGGCACCCCCCCAGCGCCCCCCGCCTTCCCACGGCCGTCCAGAACCTCTCCGACTTTCGGATAGACATGAGATGCTAACCACCTGTTACTTACTTGTTTAGACAAGGAATCTGGTCTTGCTTTTGAAAAGGCGGCTTCTATCCAGTCCCAGAACCTAAATGAGCCCGATGACGCTGCCAACACCCTTCAGGAGGCCTTCAAGGTCTACCGCAAATCGGACCCCGAGGATGCTGCCCGTGTGCTCGCTAGCGCCATCCAACACTACGTATTAAAGGGCAACCTTCGTCGGGCTGCCACGCAGCAGCAGCATTTGGCTGAGCTGTATGAAATGGAGATGGGAGATCAGAAGAAGGCCCTGGAGGCGTACGAACAAGCCGCCGAATGGTTCGATAGCGACAATGCCGAGGCGTATGTGTTCCACTTCGTCTGATATAGTGTGCCTGTCAGGACACCCAACTGATATCATCTACAGTCTCGCAAATAAGCACTACCTTAAAGCGGCGGACCTGGCCGCCTTGGAAGAAGACTACTACAAGGCCATCGAGCACTACGAGCGGATCGGTCGCTCCTCCATCTCCAACAGCTTGATGAAGTGGTCGGTCAAGGATTACTTCCTCAAGGCCGGTATCTGCCACATGGCCACCAAGGTTTGTTCTATAGCATTCTGCAATTCCACCTACGCCGCAAATCTAACCTCCGAGATAGGACTTGGTCGCCACCGGGCGTGCCCTCGAAAGCTACCGGGAGATCGACACGACGTTCGCGTCGACGCGGGAGCACCAGCTGCTCGTCGACCTGGCCCAGGCCATCGAGAACGGCGACCAGGAGGCCTTTGCGGACAAGCTGTTCCAATTCGACCAGCTCAGCAAGCTGGATAAGTGGAAGACCACGCTGCTCTTGCGAGTCAAGAACAACATTGAAGAGGCGGGCGAGGACTTCTCTTAGACTTCTTTTCTCTTTTCTTTCTTTCCTTTTTTCTTGTCTCTATTTGTTTGTCTCCAATCTATTCCCTTTGGCGTGTGTTTTGTTTTTCCAATAGGGTGTCTGTTTCACATTCATATCATCTATAAACTGGGCCGTACGGTCGCTCCGAGTGTCTGTCTCTACTTTACTGGCGCTCGCCAGTGTCACTTATATGCGGTCATGAATGATTGATTACTTGGCTTCAACGAATGAGTTGGTTCAACTCAACCTAAAATGCAACGGATGGATAGGTACCTACACAGGTAGTCCAGTCAACTAATTGACATACTTCATTTTAACCTAAATCCACCTGCGAAACCCACAAGAGGCAAGAAGCTAAGAATATCATGAAAGTAAAATAGAAAACTCCATTAACATATATCTATAAGAAATGAAAGATGCTCGTGCTTTTTTTCCTCACTTTTTTGAAACGACGTCCGCTCCATTCTCAGACAGACATCGTCTCTTTCAGACGTTAGACTCATCAATTCATGCAGCGGTTTAATTTGGTGGTATCATATCCGTCCAACCCTTTCCATCATCCATCCATCCATCCATCCATTCATCCATACGTTCCTATCCGAAATCCTCTCAGCTTAGGCCGAAGCAGCAACGTCTTCCAAAGCCAGCGCCTTACGCGGAAACACGCGCTTATAAAGACTGATGCCGACAGAGTCGTGCGGGTTGATCTTGCTGTCAAAGGTAGCCTTGAAGTAACCATGGGTACCCAGACTCTCCTTGATGTAGCCGCTGCGACCGCGCTTAGTCCACAGCTGCAGGGCCTTGAACCAGGCGATGTCCTCGGCGTTGAAGAACATGTAGCGGACGGTGACGACGCGCTTGTGGATCTTGAAGGGGTGGCCCGTGAGGATGGAGCGCTTGGCGACGACGCGGGACGGGTCCGGCGCGACGACCGTGCCGGTGGCGATGAGCTCGAGGCGCGAGGGGCCGTTGTCGGCGGCGGCGTCGTCGAGGACCTCGGGGTCCTGGACGCGCTGGTTCTTGAAGACGAGAACCGGGACGGCGCCCCATGTTACGGGGCCGATCCACGTGGCGAGGGCGCTGCGGCCTGGGTGCAGGAAGCGGTCGAACTTGTGCACATTGTTGGGGGTGTTGTCGGCGGAGGAGAAGACGGGTTTGACGACGAGGCGGCGGGGGCCGACTTGCACGATGAGCTCCTCCTTGGATTTGAGGGGCTCCTCGTAGCTCGCGCTGAGGTGCATGTTCACGTTGACGGCGGTGTGCTTGTGCTCGTGGCGGAGCAGCGAGAAGAGGGAGAGGGGCTGCGGCCGGCTGCGCAGGGTTGCGGGGACGGCGCGCAGGTGGACGTCGACGCGGTTGCCGGGGTTCACGCCGCCGATGAGGGCTTCGCGGAGGGTGCGGTTCCTGATGCCCTTGTAGTCGCCGACTTGGAGGAGTCGGCGCCAGTCTTCGGGCTCGTAGGGACGGTCTTCTGACGTCTCCCAGACGCTGGTCTTGAGGCTCTTCAGGCCGCGGAAGCGGGCCAGTCGCTCGCGCGCGAGCACGTTCGGGTGCAGTTCGATTTCATCGGGGAACTCGCGATCCTCGTCTGCCTCTTGGCGGCGGCTCGCGCGGTACTCCTCCAGCTGGTCGGCTTCGTCCTCCGGGGACCGGTCCTGGAACATCTCGGATTGGGGGTATTCGGTGCCTCCAGCCTCGGTCATGGCGTCGCCGGCATCGGGGAACACGCCATCTTCGGGGGCGCCGGCGGTGTCCATGTCCATCTCTTGATCCTCGTCCATGTCGGAGACGTCGGAGCCCGAGTCAGATACGTCTTCGAGGTACCAGGCGGCTTGGTAGTCGGATGTACCCCGAGGCAATTTCTTGGGCTTTGCGGGGATATGGGCATCATCGTCAGAGAAGTAGTGGTGGTCGTCCAGGAGTACGCCTTTCCGCTCAGCCTCGGGAACTTCCATGGTGTCATCTTCCATCTCGATCTCCTCCGGTGCCACAGTGGCCAGGTCATCGCGGTCGTCGGTGGGCACATCAAGGACTTGCGTCGACTCGGTCTCGTCGACATTCATGGTGTCGCCGCGCTTAGCCCGCGCAGAGGGCAAGGGCGCGGCTGTGATAGAGTCGACTTGGAAGTCGCCCCAGCCGGGAATATGCACCAGACGGTCTGCTTTCAAACCCTTCCCACGGACCACACCCGTCACGACAACGTCATCCACCACTTCGGAAGTAGCCTCGGGCCACTGAACATTCTCGATCAGCATCCAGCTGCGGTCGTCGCGCCAGTGGATTCCTTTCGGCGTCGCAGTGCAAAGAGACCGGATGGCGTTGGAGCACTCCTGTCGGGAGTCGGTGGAAAGAACCTTGTCGACGGCGGGGAAGAAGTGGTTCATGAACGACTTCAGCGACCCGGCCACCTGTGGGCGTTTCTTGGCGGGGTTGATCTTATCAAGGCCCTAGGAACAGCCCAGTCAGCGCGACATGCTCACCCACGGGAAAACTTGGATACCGAATGTACTGACCTGCACAAGCGCAACCACGTTGGAGATACCCTGACCCTCAACCGACCTCAACAGCATCTCGCCCTCTTCGTCAACCTCCTCCTCGGCGGAGAGCACAAACACCACGAAGTCGGCCATGCGGCACACATCCAGCGCATTCATGAGGTCATACTTGGCGGGGATGTACTGCAAGCTCTGGCGAAAGCGAGCAATGTGCACGCGGGAGACGGAGTCATCGGACATATCGCTCGAGGCGTCGACACTCTCGTTCAACGAGCGCACGACGGCGGGGATATCGATATCGGGGGTGAGGGGAACGATGGCGACATGGCGGGGGGCTCCATGTTGACCGGCAAAGACGCTGACCGTCTGAGCCTTCTCCTGATGCTTCACCTGCTGTCTCTGGCGGGCCTGGTTGCGACGATCGAGTTTCGACATGAGCTGTTGGTGGGGGGTTTTGCGCGTGCCCCGCTCGGATCTCTCGACTTTGCCTATGGGGTGTCAGTTGCCGGGGAAGATTATTGGAGGATATAATGGTTTCGTGACATGATCACATACCCTTCTCCCTGTCCTTCAGGGTTCCCTTGGAGGCATGGCGGGGTTTGTAGGATTTGTTGGCGCTCTTGGTGGTGGAGCGATGGTGGTGCTGGGTGATAGGCGCCATATTGGCACCGCCGGACCCTTTAAAACGGAATGGAAGGGAGGCCAGGGTGGATATGTACAGAGTTGAAACCCTGTCCAGTGGATAGAAAAGCGATATAAACTTAAATCAAGAAAAAAGGCAGAATAGCAAGATATCGTGGAGAATCAACAGTCCCAGACCAGAGACAAGCTTAACGGAGGAAAAAAAATCGGGCGGTGGACGATCAAGCGAAGTCTTGGCGGGTTTTTTGACCCGCAAAAAAAAGTTGCTGCTCTTCGCATCGCCCGTTCGTTCCAGACAAAACGCTCGACTTTGCGGATTTCCCTTTTCTTTGGCCTTCGTCGATATTTCAAGACTAGTCCAGTTCATCCTACCGATTTAAGTTCTCATCCATGCCCGACTCCGCGCCCACCACGGCCGTGGCGCCCGCCCAGCGCAAAGAGAACAAACGGCTGGCCGAGGCGCAAGAGAAGTATGGCCGCGGCAAGGCCATCCACACGCAGGGTGTGCGAGACAAAAAGCTCCGTCGAACACTGAAGGGCGTGGAGGAAAAGTACCAGGATGCGGCACTGAAGGCCAAAGACGCGGAGATCCTGCTGGAACACGATGCGGGATTCATCGAGACGGAAGGCGAGCTCGAACGCACGTACAAAGTCCGCCAGGATGAGATCCGCCAGAACGTGGGCATCGAGACGGCGAAGAAGGGCTTCGAGCTGAAGCTGAACGACCTGGGCCCTTACCGGCTTGACTACACGAGGAACGGAAAGGATCTGCTGCTTGCGGGCCGCAAGGGACATGTCGCGACGATGGACTGGCGGGCTGGCAAGCTGGGGTGCGAGCTCCAGCTGGGAGAGACGGTGCGGGATGCCAAGTGGTTGCATAATAACCAGTACTTTGCGGTGGCGCAGAAGAAATACATTTACATCTACGACCACTCGGGAGCGGAGGTGCACTGTCTCAACCGGCATCTGGAGCCGCTCTTCCTCGATTTCCTGCCCTACCACTTTCTTCTCGTGGGCGCTGTAAGTCTTGTTCAGTCCGTTTACAAAAAGCTTTGACAGACGCTGACTTTAACGATGTGTAGCAAATGAGCGGCCACCTCAAGTACACCGACACCTCGACGGGCCAAATGGTGGCAGAACTGCCCACCCGACAGGGCGCACCCACCTCCCTCTGTCAGAACCCCTGGAACGCAATCATGCACGTCGGCCACCAGAACGGAACGGTGACCTTGTGGTCGCCAAATTCGCAAACGGCTCTCGTCAAAGCTCTGGTCCACCGCGGTCCCGTGCGGTCAATGGCCATAGACCGTCAAGGTCGATACATGGTGTCAACAGGACAAGACATGAAGATGAACGTCTGGGACATCCGCATGTTCCGCGAAGTGCACTCCTACTCGTGCTACCAGCCGGGTGCGTCCGTCTCGATCAGCGACCGCAACCTAACAGCCGTCGGCTGGGGCACGCAAGTCAGCGTCTGGCGGGGCCTATTCGACGCGGCGCTCGCCGACCAAGGCAAAGTGCAGAGCCCCTACCTCAACTGGGGCGGCGACGGCCACCGCATGGAAAGCGTACGCTGGTGTCCCTTCGAAGATGTCCTGGGCGTGACACACGACAAAGGCTTCGCGAGCATCCTGGTCCCCGGCGCCGGCGAACCCAACTTCGACGCCCTGGAGGCCAACCCGTACGAGAACACCAAGCAGCGCCAGGAAGCGGAAGTGCGCGGCCTGCTGCACAAGCTGCAGCCGGACATGATCTCGCTGGACCCGCACTTCGTCGGCAAGCTAGACACCATCCGCGACAAGAAGAACCGCGAAGAGAAGGACCTCGACCGCCGACCCGAGGATCCCATGGAGAAGCTGAAGAACCGCGGGCGCGGGCGCAACAGCGCGCTGCGCAAGTACCTCCGCAAGAAGGGCCGTCGCAACGTCATCGACGACAAGCGCATCAAGGCCGAGATGCTGCGCAAGGAGCACCAGTCGCGGGCTCGCGATCGGTTGCAGACGGAGCGGGAGGATCTGGGACCTGCGCTGGGGAGGTTTGCCAAGAGGGAGGTTTGATCTTTTCTCTCCCCTTCCTTGTTGTTTTCACTTGTCTGTTTTTTTCGAGAAGGGGTGCGCTGTCAGATACCCAAGACCTCTCATCGACTCATGATATGTGTGCATTTGTGGCGTTTTTCTACGAGATCAAAAGTTTGTAAATCTAAAGTGAATGAATCTACCACCTCAACCACCCTGATATACTAGATCCGTCACACCCACATAAGCCATCGTCAACACGATCATAACAGAGACAGCACAAAGAAAGAAAAGAAAAAAAGAAAATGAGATAAAAAACTACTCATCCAACGACCCCGACCCCCTAACCCCCCCAGCCTTCCACCTCTCCACAGCAACATCATAAGCGCCCGTACTCCTCCAGGCACTCAAAATCAACCCCACAATATGCTCCAACCCCTTCTTCCCATTCTTCACCTCCGCAAAGACCGTCGGCCCCCCCTCCCTCATCTTCCTCGCATCGCGCTCCATAACGCTCAAATCCGCACCCACAATCTCCGCCAGATCAATCTTATTCACAACCAACAAATCAGACCCCGTGATGCCGGGCCCGCCCTTGCGCGGCACTTTGTCCCCGCCGGCGACGTCGATCACGTAGATGATGAAGTCGGCTAACTCGCGCGAGTAGTTGGCAGCGAGGTTGTCACCGCCGGATTCGATGAGGAGGAGGTCCGGGGAGAATTGCTTTTGAAGGGATTGGAGGGCGAGGAGGTTTGCGCTAATGTCTTCGCGGACGGCGGCGTGGGGACAGCCGCCTGTTTCGATCGCGCGGATGCGGCTGGGGGCGAGGGCGCGGTTGCGGGTGAGGAACTCGGCGTCTTCTCTGTTTGTTGTTTGAGCTGTTTAGCTAGGTGTTTTTTTTATGTAGGTGGAGAATATATGGAAGAAGGGGGAAGACGCACTTCGTAAAGATATCATTCGTCACAGCAGCGATACTATACTCGTCTCGGAGAGCTCTCGACAGCGCGAGCATCAGAGCGGTCTTTCCGGATCCCACGGGCCTAGATTCAATCATCACGAGTTAGTCAGTTCAAGATCGCACAGAGTGCAAGAGAGAGAGAGAGAGAGATGCACCCCCCAATCCCAATCGTAAACGTCCGCTCCTTCCAGTCCCGGCCCTCAACGAGGGGCAGCTCGCGGTTGATGTACGAGCCCGGTCCATCGAGGATCTCATGCGAGTGGCCGTGCTCAGCAGCGTGGGAGTGGCCGAGTTCACCGTCGTGGGAGTGAGAATGCGACATTTTGATATAGAATCAGTGTTTGTGTGTCAAGTGGGAAAGGAGGCAAGGTTGGAAGGAGGGGAATTATGAGGTATGGAGGGGCAGCTAAATAAGGGCTAAACCAGCCAAGCCATGTCGTATCGGCCATCGTCCGCCGAGTCCCCCGCGGAGGTTGCCGAAACTAGGTACTCACTCCAGTATCTAGTCCATGGCCGTTTTTGTCGGTGGATCGTGATACTGTCGGGTTTGGTCTAGCACGACCAATAAGGTTACCTTGTTGTTTTGGCGCTGACATGAATCCATTTGTATCATCAAACCCGATAAGATAAACCGTGACGATCCCCCGGTGATCGTCCTAGGCGGGCGCTTTCGGCGAACGACCGGCTACTTAAGACTGACCCTCCAACTACCAGCTACTTCCACTACGAAATGATACAGAATTATGAAGTGACCGAATCTTTCCATTAACAAACGTATAACGCAGATCGGCCCCGGACGAAAGAACATCCCAAAAAAAGCAGAAACCCAACGCCACGCAGCAGTCGCCAATGGTCGAACATGGATATCAAGATATGAAAAAATGAAGAACAGACTAGCATCGTGCGAACATCGCGCTGTCAATCAGTCACGCGTCGTGATGCAAGCGCAACAACCGAAGGAACATGGGACAACAGACACACCCAACATGGCGAGTGGACAGTGAGACCATGTCGGTCACAATAAGGAATCGCATAAGAGTACATGGGGCCGCGATGAGATACGAGGCAGACTCAGGGTAGAAGAAGAGTCCCCTGTCGACCACACCAAAGCCCGATTCATGGCACGTAGGAATGCAAGAAACAGTCGCTATCGACCAAAGCTTCATCCGCAAATGGCAAACACAGAGAGCAGAAAGATTAGGATAAAAAAACAAAAATATGAGACCACCCGATATGTTCAGAAAACAAAAAGCAGCGATGAGACAAGAGACCCGATAAGAACGCAACGACGGGTAGAGCCTCACGACAGGTAATCCTCAAATACGCCGATTCCCCGCCTCTTGAGAGTGTAATTGCAAGATAGATGGAAAGAGAAAATGGAATGAAATGGAAGAGAGATGTCAAGGAAAGACAAATCCGAGATGCACCCCCGCTCAGCCAGGAACTATCCGGCGCCCTTCTGTCGCTTGCCCATTCGGGGGCTGGGCTTGACCTTGGGACCAGGAGCGCCAGTGCCGTTCATGTCCCCGCCGTCGCTCTCCATTTTCACCGTGCTGGGCCGTCGGCGTTTGTTGCTGACGTTGGGGCTGGCGCTGGCGCTGGTGGCCGGTACCGCATTCGGAACTTGTCCTGGCATCATGTGCGGAGTCCCCGTCATATTACTCCCGGCAGGACTGGCATGCGCCGATCCGCCCAGGTGAGGCGACCCTTGCGCCCCCGGCAGGTTCAAATGCCCCGCCGCGGGCGAGGCGAACTGGTTCGGGCCGCTGTAGCTGGGTCCGCGGGGATGCTGACCCGGCTGCATGCCGGGGTTCATCGGGTTCATCGCTGGATTCATCCCCGGATTCATAGCGGGATTCATAGCGGGGTTCATCATGGCAGGGTTCATGGCGGGGTTCATAGCCGGGTTCATGGCCGGGTTCATGCCTGGGTTCATGCCTGGGTTCATTGCTGGGTTCATCGCAGGATTCATGGCCGGGTTCATGGCCGGGTTCATGGCTGGATTCATGGCCTGGTTCATCGCCGGGTTCATGGCCGGGTTCATCGCCTGGTTCATCGCCGGGTTCATCGCCGGATTCATGGCGGGATTCATGGGCCCTTGCATCATTCCAGGGTTCGGGTGTTGGGACTGTAGAGTATTGACCAGGCTCCGGAGAGCTTCCGGAGCGGACAGTTGAGGATTTTGCTGGGAGAACTGGAAGAGCATCTGCATTTGAGAGATCGTTTCCGCGACCTACATCCCCGTCCTTCATTAGCACAACAACTCTTCATGTAACTGCATCAGCCGAAAATTCGCACTCACCTCGAGAAAGCTCATGACCGCGGTGGGCACCCCGTTGGCAGTCACCATGGATTCCGGGAGCGTGAAAGACGGCTGTGGGGGTTGTTTCTGCTGTCGCTTCCCCGCACCTTTGGTGAGTTTGGGGCTCTGCTTCTGGTCTGCCAGCTCCAGCGCTTGCAGCTGACCCCGCGGCAGATACTCGGTGTGGTTCATGACGACAATATCGAGCATTTCGATCTTATTCTGCGCGTCGAAGTGCGCTCGCATGGTCCCGTCCGTATGGAGCTGTACCGGAGGTTAGCGATCCCTTCACATGTCTATCCCTCTAGATTAAAACTGACCTGGGTGTCGTTCGCGAACCAGTAGAGGAACGAGGTCTTAGGACTGTCCACAATATGACCGCCGTTCGGCACTTCCCGCTCCCGCGCAGCCTCGACGACCATTTGAATGCGTCGGATCCCGCTGGTGAATTGGGTCATGTAGTACCGCGCCAGGGCGGGCGTCGCGATCTCGAATTGTTTCGATCCCGCCTGCGGATTGTAGACGCCCTGGCGCAACACTCCTCCCGGGGAGTAGAATCGATCCACGAAATTTTGCCAGTAGCCTAGGTCCGGTGACTCGCCGCGACTCTGGAAGGCCCCTAGTTGCTCCGCGAAGGAGTTCAAGATCAAAAGCGTCGCACCCTTGGCGCTCATGCGCGACTGCATCATCAGGGCCGCATTGTTCTGCTGCTGCTGTTGTTGTTGCTGCTGTTGCGCCTTCATCTGGGCCTCCTGCGCTGTCATGGGTGGTTGTTGTGACTGTGGGCCGGGGTGACCCGGCTGCCCTTGCGGCTGCGACTGACCCTGCGGATGTTGCTGCGGGGGCTGCTGGGGTGGCTGACCCGGCTGCTGAACCGGCTGCGGGGGCTGTTGCAACTGTTGGGGGGGCGGGTTCGGGGTCTGGTGCGGCGGGGGCGGCGCGGGCTGCTGTTGCGGGGGTTGCGATGTGGGTACCGACGGAGGATTGGACTGCGGGGTACTGCTTCCCTGGTGCGGCGGAGGGGGCTGGGGTTGGGGCGTCACACTCTGGGCGTCATGGAGATTCTGGGGTTGGGGAGCGGCGCGTTGCTGGGGGGTGTGGTGCCCCGGTTGGCTGGTGGGAGTCGCCTGTTGAGCTTGCTGGGCCTGATGGGCGTGTGCCTGTGCCTGGGCCTGTTGCGCCTGTTGCGCCTGTTGCTGCAAGGCGAACAGGTGTTGCTGTTGGATGCTCTGCGGCTGTCCATGTGGCATTTGCTGGAGTTGCATCTGCATGTTCATCGGTCGCATCCCTTGGTTGGCCTGCATGCTGGCAATCTGCGCGCCGGTCAGCCCCGGGGTGCCATTTGGAAGTGACACGGGGAGACCCCCATGCTGCTGCTGCTGCTGTTGCTGCTGCTGTTGTTGTTGCTGTTGCTGTTGTTGCTGTTGTTGCTGTTGTTGGAGAAACATGCGTTGCCGCATCAATTGCTGTTGATGGGGCTGAAGGAGATGCGGATTATTTGCAACTAGAGGGTCGAGACAGGGGATGTTAGCGTCCGATACCAATGAGGTGAGAAAATGACGCGTGATTCTGATGAAACCGTCCCACGGTCACGCGCAGTAAGAAAAGGAGGTATGAAGAGAGTAAAAAAGAACGAAAGGAAAGAAGGAAATTTTTCGCAAAGACAAGAAAAAAGTAAAAATAAAATAAAATAAAAAAACACGGTCGGGTTTCTGGGTTGTAGGATATTGACTTACAGTTTTGAGCGAAATGAGGCTGCTGAAACAAGTGAGCCTGGGGCCCCAAATGGGAGAGGGCGTGGGCTTGAACGGGGGCGCCAGGAGCGGTGGTGCCCGCGCCTGGTGGCATCCCGCCCATCATCGGAGCGCCTTGGGTGACCTGAGGCGCTCCGGGCGCGGACACCCCCGGATGGCCCGGGGGCACCATGCCGGCGCCGGGATGGGCGTTTGGATGTTGACCTGGGGCCATTGGATGATGACCAGGCGGTAACCCTGGGTGCTGAGGGATGCCTTGGTGGCCGGGATATTGCTGCGCCATCATCATTGTGGTGCGAAGTCGCCGATAACGGGACTCCTACGAGGGAAACGCGAGGATGTCGGACGCGGTCGGAAAACACGGAGCGAACGAACGGAAGAATCGAGGGGAGCGACGGAAGGGGAGAGAGAAGAGAAAAGCAAAAAGATCGGTGAAACGGTGAAACGAAGACAGGTGGAATGAGAGGCGGGCGAGGGACTCGACTGAGAGGGCTTGACGTGGTGCACAACACCAAGTCGCTTTTTTGTGGTGTTGTCGGAGCGGAGGCCAAGACGCAGCTGACGGGGGGGGAAGAAGAAAAGAGAGCGATCTTTAGTGAGCCTGCGCCGGTATCATCCACCAAAACGACACGGGATGACCAGCATGGATCGAAGCCGACCAAATCACCGCAGCCTGTCAGGCGTTGAATAGTCTGAAACCCTCACGGAGGGATTTAAAAGGAGGAGGGGAGGGGAGGAGAGAGGAGAGGGAGAAGAGGCGGTGGTGAGGGAGTGGGGATTTCGCGATGGGTGGGAACCGGAGGAAACCAGAGGGAGTCGGAAAGATGAGAGCGCGCGAAAGAGAGAAGAGATAAGAAAGAAAGAGAGAGGGAGAGGGAGATAGAGAGAGAGAGAGAGAGAGAGAGAGAGAGAGAGAGAAGGATGATGGGGAGGGGAGGAGAAAAGGGAAGAACGGGAGTCGGTGATGAATCCCAGACTGTAATCCGTAATAATAAGGCGGGACTCTGTTGATTAGGAGGGAGAGGAGGAGAGAGAAAGAATGGCAGAGGGGGAGTAGTAGAGAGGGAGGAAAAGAGAGAGAGAGAGAGAGAGAGGGAGGGAGATCGGGTTAGGTTAGGTTGGGTTGGCAGCGGTCGCAGTCAGATGTAGCAGCAGTAGTAGTAGTAGTATAGTAGGTTAGGAGATCGGTGGAGGAATCTCGGAGCCCACACAGCTATGGGGAAAAAAGGTAAATAGAAAATAGAATGATCGCCAACAAAGTCAAACCTTCTATTAATGTGTTGGTCAACCCAGAGATCGATCAAATCAGTTGGACTCCAGATAGGATTCAGATGAAAAGATAGTGGTCAGGGAGGTTTTGTATGGAGTGTATCAAAGAGAAGATAGAGAAAAACAGAAGAGTAAATCAGGATAAAAAAAAGATAAAAGAGAAAGACTAGGGGACTTCAGATATCCAAGAAAACTTCAATGTCAAATCAAGATTGAGTCCTCTCCTGATTTCCCTGTTCGCTTCTCATCCTCTTCTCTCTTCTTCTCTTCTCTTGTTTCTCGTGAGGCTTTTCTTCGCCCCGCTCAAAAGGGATTAGCGTGCCTGTTCTTATTGGCTGTCGCGGTCACTCACCCGTCCCGCTAGTCCGGATCGGGTGTGTAATCACGTGAGTATTTAGCCGGCTCGGAACATTGTTCTTGCGCCCCCGCCGATCTTTTTTTTTTTTCCTTCATTTACTCGATTTTCTTCAACTTCTTCTTTTCTTTCTTTCTTTCCTTAACCTCTACAATCCTTCTGTTGAGCACAGAAGGCTTTGATCGCACCCTGTGGCCTGACAGCAGCTGATTCTTGCTCTGTTCTACAGGAAGACCATCAATGGCTTGGTTTTCCTTCCACTAACACTGACATCTGATGATCACGCCACACTGACCAACATCAGCTCATGTCAACGTGCTCCCCATTCATCCATGGTTGGTTTCCTTCTTTTCCTAAATCCCGCTGCTTCCATTCCCCTGTTCGAAGATGATAAAACCTTTTTTACTTCTTAATCCTCCGAATCGACCATGAGGAGACTTGTCGGACCTTCCTTTCCCGGTCGGTCTGTACTTGCCAGTATCTTTTGTCTGAGAACTTTGATCTATGCTCTTTCGCTGCCACTATATTCTCTTGAATGACAGCTAACAGTGCATCTAGTGTCTCTGCCGCAGTATCACCTCGAACGTCAACCCACTCGTCATTAGGTGCATCCTGGATTGCGAGTGGTGCATGGGATCAATGGAGATGGGGTGCTATAGATCAGTTTCAATTTCAAGCGAGATCCAATCAGAATTTTTCGATCAAGAATCATCCATTTGCTCGTACACGTAGTGGTATTCAGGGCCTGATGTCCTGATCCTAATATGTATGCATCATTCTATCTGCTCGGACGCCTGGTTAGTTACCTAACTGGCATGCGATAAATGGAAATTATTGAAAAGAGTCTGCCTGCTTCGACTACCTAGCTCGGATTTCAACCCACCGATTCAAATCAATGGTGGATGGTTCGGATATGAGGAGAGGCCATAGAAGCTATCTATGAGAGGTATGGAAGTACCTGATAGGAAGCTTATAGTAAATAAGATTGTGGCGTAAGGAGGCTTCAAACATAGCAAATATATACCTCGATGGGCCGGACTGCGACTGAGGTCAATTCAAGAGCACACATAGCTGGCTGGTCATGAAGTCTACATAGTCATTGAGTAAGACATTCAAATAAGATACAACGAGGATATCACATCAATCGCAGGATCATCCCCAGACGAAAAAATAAACTCCATAGATGGATGCGTTCACCGCCTGAGGTATCAAGCCTATCCGCCAAGACCTGCCACATCACGTGTCAGCAAACTCGCCCGCATACTGGATCACGATGGCAATGAAGCCAAGAAAGTCAAGCCTGCCCAACCTCTCACCACGCTCTTCTCTCTTCAGCTGATGCGCATCTCACAACTGGTAGCATCGGCAGATTCTCCATTTTTTTGATCCTGGTGGCAGTCTTTGCCCTGGATGTTCCCATCAATGCAACAAGGTCGGTTGCTCAGGTCTCTTGCACGACCCTGCCGCTTTGTCGCCCATCGCCGCTATCCCGCCGCCGTTTGTTCGCGTCGCTTCCATATCTCAACCCGATGGCTGTCGGCAGCACCGTCGGACGGAACCCCAGGCTCAACGCCCAGTAATATCGCCAACGATATTCCCTCTTTCAGTGCCGAGCCCAATGTACCTCCCCAATCGGGCGCCTCGCCCATCACCGCGCCGTCGGTAGAACGTCCGGAAAAGAACGACTCGAAACCGTATGGGTCAGCCATTCGGAGATCGCTGCGGAACAAGAAGGCCGCCGCGGAACAGGCCGCCCCGAAAGTCACCGTGCCGAGGTGGTTCCGGGAACGGAATACGGTACTCCACGATGGCGAGGGAAGGATGGCGGCGGATACAACACAACACTTGAAGATCAGCGCACCGGAAGCTGAAGCCGACCATAGCAAAGCGGGCCGTGAGGCCCAGGGTGGTGAGGGCGGCGAAGAGCCCTCTGTGTCGGGCGGATCCTCCAGCGGCGACCACCGCTATGTTGTGGCCGAAGCGCTGTGGGAGGAACTGTGCGCCTCTGCTAGGGCGGGTATTCGACTGCCACCCGCGAAGTATGCGAAGGAGCCTGCCGCGCGGAAGTCACATCTCGTCCTCCAGTACCCGGGTAATGACGGTGTGCTGTTTTTGGATGCGGTGGTTAAGAGGCTATCGCAGGAGCTTGGTGCGGATCTGGTGACGCTCAATGCCCAGGATATTGCCGAGCTATGCAGTCAACAGGACCTCGCTGATACGGGTGCCACGACGGCCATTCGTTCCCTAGGCTATGAGGTCTATCGTCCGTCCGTGTTTGAGAGTTTCCCCGAAGCCGGTGACGAAGCGGAAGCTGACGACGAGGCCCTTGATACCCCCATGCCGTCGCGCAACTTCCGCCCGACTGTGAAGGGCCCGAAGTTCATTACCATCGATGGGTCCCGGGACACGGGCGACATTCCGCTTCCGAACCTTTTCGGATTGAAGTCCTTGGTGGCCTCGTTCAACGGCAACGAGGGCTCGGCGGGGTCCGCATCACAGTACCCGACAGACAGAGCTGAGGACCGGCGACTCCAACTTCTTCATGAAATAATTTCATCGCCTGGACAACAACGGATGCCGGCGGCGAAAGAACAGGAAGCACAAACCTCGGAAGCTACGGAGTCGGGTAACTCCAAGCCCAACAAGACCCGCGACGTCATCGTCCAGGTCCAGGATTACGGCGAGATTCAAAATACCCGCGAAGGCGGCCGGTTCATCTACTTGCTACAGAAGGCGATTCAAGACCAACGGGGCGACGGATCCCGAGTCTTGTTCGTTGGGACGGCCGCCCAAGATGCCACCCCCGAGTCGGACGCCTCGCGGTTAATGCAGAACGCCTTCGACGATCAGTTCTCCCAGATGCTAGTTGTCACGCCGGCCATGCGCTCCGAGGCGGTAGACAAGGCACTCACGGAGGATCGAACGAAGCGCACATTGGACATCAACATTCGCCACATGCAGGACATGCTTCGTACCCGCTTGCACGACAGTCCATCCGCGCTCAAGGATGATATATTTTCGAGCCGTAACTGGCCGCTGGACATTGCGGCCCTGAAAGATTCGGGCCTCGACGAGCGTTACTGGTCGTACAGTCAAATCCACTGGGCGACTACGCTCGCGCTTGGCGGTCTGAAACCCGACGAACCCTTTGGTTTTGAACATATCCAGCGTGGGATTGAGATGATGCAGAGGACCGATCAGGTCAAGAACAACTGGCTGCAGGACAAAACGGCGAACTCTACCGGAACTGCCGAGAACGACAACGACCGCGAGAAGCTCTTGAGCTCGCTGCGGAAGACATGCAACACCCATGAGAAGAAGCTTCTGAACGGTGTCGTCGATGCGAAGAGCATCCGCACCACATTCTCCGACGTTCAGGTTCCCCCGGAGACGATTGATGCGCTGAAGACGCTCACGTCCTTGTCGCTCATCCGGCCTGAGGCGTTCACGTACGGTGTCCTCGCCACGGACAAGATACCCGGACTGCTCCTCTATGGGCCCCCGGGAACCGGTAAGACGCTCCTGGCCAAGGCAGTGGCTCGGGAGAGTGGTGCTACCGTCCTCGAGGTCAGTGGATCGGAGGTCTACGACATGTACGTGGGTGAAGGGGAGAAGAACGTCAAAGCCATATTCACCCTGGCCAAGAAGCTCAGCCCGTGCGTTGTGTTCATCGACGAGGCCGACGCCATCTTCTGCTCCCGGACGGGAGCCAGCAGCCGCACCTCGCACCGAGAACTCATCAACCAGTTCCTGCGCGAATGGGACGGGATGAACGACCTGTCCGCCTTCATCATGGTTGCGACCAACCGACCGTTTGACCTGGACGACGCCGTCCTCCGCCGTCTGCCGCGACGACTCCTCGTGGACCTTCCCAAGGAGCAAGACCGTCTGGCCATCCTGAAGATCCACCTCAAGGACGAAACCCTCGATACCACCGTCGACCTGGCCGAACTCGCCCGCCGTACCGACCTCTACTCAGGATCCGACCTGAAGAACCTGTCCGTGGCGGCCGCATTGGCGTGCGTGCGGGAAGAGAACGACCTAGCGGCGCAACACCAAGGCGACGAGCCGTATCAATACCCCGAACGACGCACCCTGACCCAAACCCACTTCGAGCGCGGCATGGAAGAGATCAGCGCGTCGATCAGCGAAGACATGTCGTCACTGTCGGCGATCCGCAAGTTCGACGAGCAGTACGGCGACCGCAAGGGCCGACGCAAGAAGAGCCCCGGTTGGGGATTCATGCCAGCCAGCGTCGAGGAGAAGGGAACGGATGCCGCGCGGGTGCGTACATGACGGGAAAACTTACATTCAATACAGTTGGAATTGGAATCGGATGGGATGGATTTGTACTATTAGCGATATGGGCCCATATAGAAACTGTACCGATAGGTGTTATATGTGTAGATAGACTATGATATGCATTCATTTTGACTTCTTTACTTTACAAAAGAGACCTGCGTGGATAGGGCTGATGACTCAGCCGGCAGTTGGCCATGCACCAGCCGCATCGGGGCTAGACTGTTACGGTAATACGAATACCAGAGCTGAGGAAAAATACAATGACATCGACGAATGAATCCGCCCGAAATCCCTTGACTTCATCTTCTCACTTCTCCCACTGCTTTCTTCCCCAATGCTGTCTATACACTTATTCTAGTTCTTCTCTCTAGATTTACTTGTCATATTTCGCCGAACCGAAGACTGGGAGAACCGAGTCCAAGAGGGGTATTCAGTCACAACCGGTCGAAAACTACCTATCCATTGTCCGGTCTTTTCTCCTCACGCGATTTGCCAGCCACTTGCCCCTCCTCTTACATCTCCCACCTCAGCCACCCTCGATCTGACAGATCACAACCATGGCCGTAGACGCCCGCGACTCGGCCATCCGAGACGCGAAGCGCTATATTCGCGATGTCGTGCGGAACGACTGGACCTTCCAACCCTCCACGGACGACGGAGCTCCCGCGAGCTCATTTCCGCCTCCGCCCCAGAACGAGGTCGCCGCATGGCGACTCCGCGAATACGACAGCTCCGGGTCGGAGCTAGAGCCTCAGATGTCACCCACGGGCTATGACGATGACTCGTCGGAGCCAGGGAGCCCGATGATGTCGCCCGTCGGCGGTCGCGTGGAACGACGCCGCAAGCGCCGGAGGGACGAGGAGGAGGAAATGCGCTGGAACGAGGGCCTCAGGACGTGGGTGGAGAGGCGCGATGCGTGGTCTGGGGCCCGCGCGAAACCGGAGATCTTGGGTGAACCTCACCATGCGCATGTGTCCTCGGATGAAGCCGCCGCAAGGACGTCGAACTCCTCGTCTGGAGACTCGTCCAATCTGGCGAATAGGGCCGGCGCCTCCCTCACTATCTCCGACAAGGACGCTTCTCCCTTGCAGCATGACCGCGACGGCGAGGGCCACTCCACGACGGCGGCAGACGGGCACCAAGGGTCGACCGAGACGGCGATTACCGAGCCCGACACGCAGGGCGCAACGGCGGCCACCCCAGCGCCCGCGCCCGCGACCGCCGCCTCGAAAGCAGTCGCATCTACCGTCGCGCACCAGCAGCGGCCCGAAGAAGCCATCGATCCCGTCATCCCCGTCGTGCCCTCCCTCATCTCCACCACGAACCCCATCCGCGCCTCCATCACCCCGGCCATGTACCCGAGCATCTACTCTAAAGTTGTCGTGCAGGGCCTGACGCCCACAGTCCCGATCAACCTCGCCGATGTCACCAAATCCATGGTACAGGGCTGGAAATCCGACGGCCAGTGGCCGCCGAAACCGACCAACATCGTCCTCCAAGACGACGCCACTGTCCCCCGCGCTAGGGACGAAATTTTGACAGCAACTACATCGGCCGCCGCACAACCGCCGTCTCCGGAGTCGAAACGCCGCTCCGGGGTCGCCAGCGCCGTGCGCAAGGTATTGCACTTTTCGGGCTTCCACCCATCGCATCCGTTCCATCGGCGCGGGTCCAGTCAGCCGTCTGAGGAGGCTGGCGCCGCGCATGCTGTTGAGCATACGGGGGAGAACGCATAGACTGTTCTTCTTTTTCTTGTTTTCTCTTCTTTTTCCTCTTATTTTCGATTTCGTTTTGTGTACTCAACGCAACGCAACGCAACGCAATGCACCGAGACGAGGAAAGTAAATCAGTCTGGTAAATGATGATGACATGATGCATTGGGCCGGTTTTGGGAAACAACTCCATTTCTCGTTTCTTTTTTTTTTCCCTATTTCTTGATGTGTTGATTCTGGTTTTGAATCTTCTTGTCTCTCTGTCTGTGTCTGTCTGTCTGCCTGCCTGCCTGTCTGTGTCTGGTTTTTCTTGCATCGCTTGCACGAACTTTTCTATTCTTATTATACTCTTATTCCTTTTTCCTTTCTTTCTTCATGATCTTCCGATCAAAGCATCTATACACACCTCAACGGTTATAATTCACTCTATTCCATCCTGTTCTTTCTACTCTATTCTATCCCATTCTATTTACGCGTTGTGCTATCATTGCATGTGTACGGGGTATCATATCATATCATTCATCTCATGTCTATGTATCCTTTTGCGCGTCTCTGGTCTCATTATGTCTATTTATCTATTATGACTACTACTTACCTACCTGTGTACTGACCTATGGGCTAGGATTAGCTAGGCTGGCATGTTTTGCTCGGTTTGATTTGGTCTGTTTTATTTGATGTTGTCATGGGTGGATCTATGTGCCTATCATGACATTCATTCCACCTACCACCTACCACGTAGGTATCTAGCTATCTAGCTATCTGGTACGCTCTCGAAGAAGCAGCCTGGAAAGCATGACTTGACTTCACTATTCATGACAATATCTTGTTTCCTTCTCCTTTTCCCTTCTCTAGGATCGATTCTTTCCTAAGTTGTGTTTTATGGTCTATCTCTAGGTGCATCAACTAAGTTATTATTATATCACTATATTTTCGAGTTAATAGTAGAAACAAATGTGTGCTCTATATTAGTGGTTCGTTTTCTGTTCATGGTTTACATCGTGGTTATAGATGTGGATATATATAAATTCTAGCCCTCTTCTCCGCTCCCTTCTAGATCTAGGGGTTTTGACTTGGTATTGGATGATTTATTCTCGCAAGACATGCTATTTATTATGATCGTAGTTTACATTACTTGGTACTATCTGATAATCTATCTGTTGTGATCCACGCCCATGGTTATCTCTTTCTCTTCCAGCCCATCTCTAGCTTCGCTTTTGAATTTCATTAGACAAGGTACATGATATGACAGGTATGATATAATATTATATGATATATGACATGCATATATGCACATACAGGACGGTTCAGGTTACTTCAAGCCTATAGTAGAGAACTGAAAGCACTCCAGCATTCAAGTCTGACCAGCATCTGCCGACTAGTCAGACTCAACCAAGCCCAACCCCCCCACCACCTCCAAAAACCGCATACAAGCACCATCAAACACCTCACTTGAATACTCCAGCTGCGCAGCGACAGCCGGCTCCAGCGCTACCTCCTGCGGGTGGTGGCCGCCGCGGCGCGTGAAGTAGTATTTCGCGTTGTGGCGGGACCAGCTCTCGTTGAGGTAGGATTGGAGTTCGCGGGTGGCGGAGTGGTAGATTTCGTGGAAGAAGGGTGGGTTGGTAATAGTGGTGGGGGTGGTAATAGGAGAGGGTGGTGTGAAGATGGGGGAGCAGGAGGGCGAAGGAGGGAGGTCTTCTGTTGCGGGGTTGCTGTTGTGGAGGGTGCATGCGATGGATAGGACGAGGGTTTCGAATGCGTGGATTTGGGAGATGAGGTGCGTGGCTGTGTTTGTGGCGCGGTGTATGTAGTCTGTTACTTTGAGGGAGGAGGTGAGCATGTCGATGAAGGAGGCGGCTGTAATTATTGAGGGCGGGTCCTGGAGTGTCTTGTTGGGTTTCTCGATGAGAGAGTAGAGGGCGGTGTAGGATGAGCGGAAGACTGCGGTGATGAGATTGACGACGGATGCGACGCAGTGAGGGTCTGTGGTGTCCATGTGGAAGAGCAGTTCCTGGAAAGTCTGGGTGATGCTTTGCGTGACGGGACGGCTGAGCATCCATGCGGCGGGGTTGGTGAACGTTGTCTCGAGGTAGGCTGGGAAGACAGACTGCAGGAGGATTGCGCGCAGGGTCGGCTTGCTCGGGTCTCCGGCTTCGTACGTGTCTGTCATGGAGGCATGCAGCTGCTGGACAAGGTACATCTGTTGCCCGTCGATGGCTGCTCGCTCTGAGACCCCTTGGACGAATATGATCAGCGTCTTTGCGACTTTCTCCGATGCGAGCTTCGGTTCGTAGCTCTTCAGCCTGGCGACGATATACGTGGGGTCTGTTGAAGGGAGCGGGAAAGTCGCAGGATCGGTGAAGAACGGATCAATAGGGCAGATGTCTCTGGTGTGCTGCTGCAGGAACCCAACGACACGGTGGACGAAATCGACGTATGCCCCTCGTGCGCTTGTTCCCCCATTGCCGAGCTCCTTGTAGTTCTCTTTCATGGACGACATCATCGTCTGGATGAGCTCGCGGTACTCGTGCTTCGTGCTCGAGAGCTCCATGCTTTCTGTATCCTCCAGGTTCTGGATGTGGGCGCGCATGTTAGACAAAAGACTCGACAGTAGGGACAAACGCCGTTGGCTAAGGTCTTCTAGTGTAATCGAGAATTTATTATCTCTGACGTCCTTGGAAAATGGCAGATTGTGCAGGATGGGATTCTGCGCATCTCGATTCAGCAATGCCTCGGTGAGACTGTGCTGGAACTTGAGCATCGACACCCGTTCCACCAGGCTCGTCATCCACATCCCAAAGATCTGGGTCCGACAGTCAGACACAAATTGGGCGTCCTTCTCAATGCAACTTGCAAGAAATCTGGGCGTGAATTTTCTCGTCTGAATAGTGCCTCGAAGCGTTGCCCAAGAATCGCCATCATACGGGCTCATGTAACTATCCCAATGCCGTATCCGATACTGGACCAGGATCTGCGCTATCGAAGTCCAGCAGTCCACAACAGCCAACAATATGGCATCTTCGGGGCTGTGGTCTTCGCCAAAGCAGTTGGATACAAGACGCGACACAGCAGGATGGAAAAACTGTTCCACGTGCACTATCCCCTCAGGGCGCGCCTCAGAAACCTCGTCTCCACAGATCGCATCAAAGTCTAGATCCCTCCAATCCCCGTACTCTTGACTGTCTTCGTCCGTTGCGGCTGGTCCGTTTGCCACCCCGGATCTGGTATCTACAGGGGCGGGACGACATTTTTCGATGTAAGCCATGATCACCTGGAGGGCCTCCGACACCGTGGCGTTAAGGCGTGCAGCCTTCGAATTGAAAAGACCTAGGACCCAGTTTATGGGCGTCTTCGAGACTATCTTATAGGCGCGATCCAATGTAGAGGCCGATTGCACGATATCTTGTAAGCTGTTCAACGCGGTCTTCAGCAACGATTCGATCTGTTGCTGATTCTGCGCTATCGTTCGCTCAATCAGCTGGTGCGAAAATTGGTTATCCGCAGTGCTCTGCGATTCGACTTCCTTGCGTGCAAGACCGTGCTGCTTCAACAGCTCCGCGACAAAATAACAGTGCCAATCGGCAAATGGCTCTAATCCCAACGCATCCTCCTCCGTCGACATCTTGAACCGCGCAAGCCTCGTCCATGACCGAAGGCTGATAATGCAGGTTTCGCGATGCGAGCTGCCAGGGTGCACGAGGTTCTTGATTGCCTCGATGCGTGGACGGCATCCATCAGGCACCGCGTAGTACAAGGTGCAGAGAAGGTCATGGTGGTTCCGTAGAGCGTCCAAGTCGGTCTGATGGATAGGCTTCTCTTTGGGATATACTCGACCGTGATTCGGCAACAGGCGCCAGGCGAAATTCCGGACCTTCTTCTTATCGTAGAACTGAGACAAAAAGCGCAAACCACTTGCGACGATCTTCAGCAAGATATGGAAGCATGGGTCACCGGGTAAGACGTCAAGCGAAGGGTTGCGGTCCAGTTCATCCAAGAAAGCAGGAGAGCTGTAGCTTTCCTCGTGTTTCAGGTTGTACAGGGTGTTTTTGGCGAAGAAATCATAAAGAGTGTCGAGGATAGGCTTGCAATTGCGCCATCCCCAGCCATTTATCAGGTGGAAGCATCGGTGGAATAAGGCTCGGCAGTAACTATTATAGGATATCGGTTGCGTATCGGAGTGCGCATCATAGCTGCCTAGAACCGGAGCCAGGAGCTTCTTGACGACTGTCCAATTTTCGTGAGGCTGCTTGAAACGCAAACCGGTTCGAGTGATTCCCAATGGGTCGATTTCGTTCAGAGGTAAAGTTGCATATACCCGCTGCCACCCATTCTCTAAGCAGCCGACATCCTTCAATCCACCCAAATCCATAACTTCGACCAGGGAATGGGCATCGGTGACAAGCTCTTCAAAGCAGGATTTGAGATTGTCTCTACTATGCAATACGTGGTTCACAATGACATAAGCTTCGACAAATGGCTGATCGTCCCGAATCCCTGCCTCACGCCATGCGCGAGACCTGTTGTTTTCGAGAAACTTGAGGATACTGGACTGCCCTGCTGGGTTTGAGACGATGAGTGCAATGGCCTGTCTGGAGGACGACTTGACTAGCTCAAACGTCTCATTAGCAATGGCATTCTCCACAAGATCATGGCAAGCCGTTTGGCTCGTCAAGTTTGCAAACACCAGGTTATATGATGCCAGCTTTGCAAGAAGATCTGCCTCCTGTGCAGTCGTTGGGATGAATGTCATCAGATGATCATTGATCTTGTAGACCAAGCCATGCATCCTTTGCACGAAACCCTTGCGATCAATAGGATCGATGAATGTCAGGTTTTCTGTAACATATCTGATTAGTTGTCGATATACAATGGGGCTATTGCTCGCTGCCCTTTCATCGACTGTGTCTGCATGTTCCTCGCTTTCGGTGTGGTTGAGCATGCAGTCAAAAGCGATCCCAATCTCAGACGAAACCGTATCGTTCCACGGTCCCCAGCGACAGCTCTTTTCGCCCAAATTTATATGGAAGGAACTGGCAGCCTCGTCGAAGTTACGCTTGCCAGCCGCAAGAGAGGCAGAAAATTCACCACTCCCGATGAACGTGGACTCATGGAAAAAGGTCCCCGTAGCCAAAGGAGTTATGTTGAAATCAACACTGTATGAACGCTGAAGGCCTTTCAACAGTTCGAAATCTTGTTGTAGAGAGCCATTCGTCCCAGTAATTTCTGGCTCTGGTGATGGTAGCGGAGGTGCTTCTTGACTGTCTGATGCATCAATTTCTCTTCGCGTCGGAGTGCGTTTTCTAAGCTGACGGCGCCGATTAGACAAGTGGCCCGTAGGATGTTTGTCATGGGATGACGCCCCATTCTCAGGTGCATCTGCCCGATTCGTGCCAGGAGTACTCGGCGTTAGAGGGCCATCTAAAAGGAATCGATCCATAATCTCATTCCGTGGTCTTGACTTGGGTAACGGTCTTTGAAGGCGGCTCCGGTTGAGCGACGCTAGGGATGTCCGAAAGGTTGTGGCCGATATACTAGCTTGTTTAGAGCTTACTGCCTCTAGTCCCGCTGGTCTTGGGGCATCTCGACTCAAGGAAGAAACCCCTATATTTCGACGGACGAACCACCTTGGGCCTTGGTTTTGGGGCTGTGCGGACTCGGTAACATCCTGTGTAGCGTTTGACGCCTGAACAGGGGCTGGAGCATCGGGGGTGGGAGTCTGTTCACGAAGGACGCTGGCGTTTCTGATTTCAGATATCGAATCCACATCGATCGCAGAGCTTCTTGCTTTTCTGTTGTGACGATTGCCCAGTGTACCCTGTTTATTAGTGGAGAGGTCCGCCAAAGGTCGCCTTTTTTGAGGGCGTGTCCGAGGCTGAGGCAACTTCGTCTGTCGCAGACCGCCTGAACGCCATTGGCGCAAGGCACTATTGACGTCTTCGCTGTCTGATCTCGAGTTCAGTTTGAACACTTTACGTGTGGGACTCTGTCGTCCCCTGTCTTGACGGAATCGTGCGTTGCGCGCAGCAACTCGAAGGAACTGCGGCTGCTCGGTTCGAGATCGAGCAGCGACGTCCGGAGCGTCCAAGACACCAAGTCTTGGAGGACTTCGTCGGGATGGCCGTTTCTCTTTGTGTGTTCTTTGTCCTCCGTAGACGGAGTCAGTGAGCCTTGACTGTCTTTTCAAACGCGATCTCTTTAGATGATCACTGGGGTCAATCCCTCTCCCCCCCGTGTTTTGTCGGTATTTGTTCAGCTTCTGCTTCCGTGGACCCGAAGAACGAGTGGAAGACTCAAACATGTAATCTATCCGATTGTCCTCGGGAATGTCGCCCCCGCCATCTTGCTCGAAGAAAGGATCCTGCGAACCAACAAATTTGGCTAGTATCTGGCGTGCATCGACGTCGGCGGCATTGGTGTCTCGTTCTTCATCACTTTCATCATCTGCAAGTTGTCGCAAGGCGTCCAACTGGCCCCTTGAACCTGGTTGTGTCGTGGTATCATTTCTTTTCATTATTTTCTTAGCAACACCTTTGGAGTTCTCCTGCCGAGCCGCTCTCTCCAGGTTTCGTTGCGTGGAACTTGGCAGCCCATCCTTCTGCTTCTGCTGGTCGAGTCGAAGCCATGACGCGGGGAGTACACCTTTGATTCTGCGCTGGAACTTTCGGACAGCGTTCGTATCCTGGCCGTTCGGCTCCACATCTGAGCCAGGAGGGCTATGGGATGCCACCGACCGGTCATCACTCGAGTTGTGATCGACAGGTTCGGATACGTCCATAGCGTCCTCGTTTGCAAAACCGTCCCTAGACTTTGGTTCTGCGTCGGGGGTGTGGATCGGGGGTGGACTGAACCCGCGGGGCCAAATGAACTCATTGGGTCGTTGGGCAATGTGAGGCGACGAGGCGCTTCCCGATCGCGGCGGACTGGGAGGAATACCAAACCGGCGAGCAGGTGAAGAATTATCGACCACCACTACTGGTCTTTGTGAGTGATCTCCGTGTCCTCCATAATGCTTTGATATCCTGCGTCTCTTAGATGCCCGAGCATCGCGGATCGGAGAGCTATCCACAGGGTGTGAAGGGTTGATGCCTTCATGAGTAGAAGGTCTGTGTTCAATTTGCTCAGAATGATAGTCAAGCTCTAAAGGAGACGAGGGCGCGACCCCAAGCTCCATCGCAGAGCTACTCGAAGGAGACTCGGCGTTGGGGGCAAAGTCTTGCACTTGGCTTTCGCCAGCCGCCGCTGCGGCACGCAATGCTTCTCGATATTGAGCGATGCGTACCGGTTTGACACCCCGTTGCATCATGAGATTCCGATATTTCGCGTCTTCCAGCATATATGGGTGTAGCTGGATTGGATTCCGCTGGCGCAAGGACCTTCTTCCCACGGGCCGTGAATGGTCCTGTAGAATATCTTCAGGGATTTCAGATGGCAGTGGCAGCAACTCTTCTAACTCCTCTAACATGCCTCTTGGTAATTGATCTGGTCGTTCATGATCGTTCTGCTCATCCTCATCGAAACGTATTGAATGAAGAGATGACGGCGGAGAGGAAAGAGGCGAAAGATCATTACTGTCATCGAATTGGTGCAATAGGCTCCCTTCTTGAGCAGGCGCAGTGGGCGTAGTCTGCCTAGGCGGAGGTTGGACGACAAGCTGCAGTTCATCCGGAGACGAGCTCGGGATATCCCATATATCCTTCTGCGGTTGCGCCTTGGGGGTCGATGGCGATTCAGCGTAGTCGGGAGCGGCCGACAGCGTAGGAGACGGCTGGGCAGGTCCCAGCCTCCTAGGAGTAGTCTCTTCGTCTTCGGGCTCGTCGAGTTCCATCGGGTCCGAAGCGGGGGGAGCCATGTCGTCTCCAGGATCTTCCGTCTGGTCGAGCGTGGTATTCCCAACAGCGTTTCTGCCGGGTATGACGATCTCGAAACCAAAACCGGTGGTATCATGCGAGGTGTTGGGGTTTTGCTCCGCCTTATCACTATGAGAGGGTTCCGGAGCCGTCGCAGCGCGAAGGTCGACATCCAAGTCGATATCATGCCCAGTAGATTCACCTCCACCCTCCACATCCCGATTCACCCTCTCCGTACCCTGACTATCGAACCCATCCTCCGAGTCCGAGTCCGGTACATATCCTCGTTCCCGCCATGATTCCATTTGTGTACTGGGCGTTGAAGGCCCATTTCCCTAACCAAGCATAACCGCGTTCAAAGCGAAGCCGAAGCCGTAAGTCGCAAAGATAAGAACCAGCGTTCGAGGTGGACTGATTGAAAGGGACAGCTAGTCGTCCAATTCGTGAAGGGCAGCGCAACCTGATTTAAAAAAAGGGTGGACGTCGCAGGGAGAGAAGTTTAGGCTGAGTAACGTTGTAACGGGGAGGGGGCAGGCACCTAAACGCGTTGAAAATGTGGGGAGCAACGCAACGCGACGGAAGGGAAGCACTTTAAGCCTGGGCGGAACTTTGGCGATTAGATTGGGCGGGTCGGCCGGACCTGACTTAGTACCTCCGCAACGCCGGGTTTCTTTCTTTCTTCCAACAACAACACCATTGTCGGTAATTTCTGTCGCTCACCATGGGTCGCAACCTTTTCCCTGCTGTTTTTGCCATCGGCATGGGTATAGTCTCTGGTTAGTACTTATCTCCAGAACCCGAAAAGTCCTGGTCTCGTGCCATCCGCTAACAATCAGGATCATTATCCTAGGATACTATACCTTCCAGCCCTCGTTCCAAGAGCTGCAGAGTGAACGTGAAAACACCCAACGGTATGTCGCTTCGCCTGACACTCTTACCTGCTCCTTCCTCAGTCCCGACCTCGGATACTAACACGGAGAAAGCCCCAACACAACCACAGGACAATCGCTGGACCAAAAGACCGCCGCAGCTCCCTCCCCAGCTCCCACCAAGGAAGACACAAATGCCGGAACCAACAAATGAAGTGGCCAATGTTTGAATGCAAGGCTACAACAGGGCACGGGAGTTGGGAAAATGGGCTAGCCCAGAGAATGAATGAATCACGGGCTGCGCCGTGTCATCCCGCTCTTTCAGACGAGTCGAATGAATTATTCGGATTCGGCCTCCCCGCGTCCACGCGAGACATGGCCTTTTATACTTGTGCATGAAATGGAATGAATGGGAGGGAGCCTGACGACAGGGAGATTGTGCGATTCTTTGGGCTCCTGGGATGCTCAATGTGATCCAAACCGGGCTCATCGATTGCGATGGTTTGATCAATTATGAAATGACTGTCGGTTGATTTGAGTAATTTTACAGCGGTCGTGCGTCTACATCTGATCTATAAATTAGTGCATTTTCGCAATTTCTAGTCGCTGGAAATGTATTGTTGATCTGGTGTTGTATATAGCTAGTTGCGCCTACATTTACTAGAACTTTAGACAGGCGAATAATATAGATGTAGACTCCAATGTACAATAGTGAAAAGAGAGAAAAAAAAAAAAACGAAAAAAACATGTCGATAGTCCTGTTCTACCATAAACCAGTCATATAACCCCTGGTAATTTCAAAAATACAAGTCGCATAAGCCCGACCAAATGCATATAGTACAAACCGCCGAACTGTCGTTCCAAATTCAAACCCGCAATCACGCCTAGCCCGGTACGCCCATCAGTGTCTGTGCAATTACACCTCTTCCACTAACTTTCGGGGTCCATGGTTTTCGAAAGGACGACCTGCCGGTGTCCCAAGCCATTCGTTCGGCACGCCGAGTCTGCTGCCGTCGCGGCCGCTGACCCATCTGGCGAAGATAGGATCGACTTTCTCGACCTCTTGCGTCTCCTGGTCTCCCGACGCCGCCTCTGCCGCCTCCGCGGCGGGAATTCGACCTCGCCGTTTCGGGGCCTGTTTGCGGAGAAGCCGGTTGATGGTGTCCATCTATTTTTGGGTGTCAGCGTCCTCTCTGTCACGTCAAATGGAAGGCCATGTCCTACCTTCTCTTCCTCGTTACGCTTTTCACTCAGGTTCTTCCTCCGGCGAGCCATTTCCGTACGACGCATGGCACGCTCTTCGGCGGTCAGATGCTTCTTCACCTGTGGTTCTGTTCACGGTTAGGGTCAATTACAAACGCGGGATGCCATCAGCGCTCACCCATTGGAAGTTGAAGGAAGTCATTGCCCAAGGAGCCTCGTTGGCGTTTCGTCATCTTGTTCGGGTCACCGGTGGCGGCGTCGTCGCTATCAAGCTCTAGATCCTCTTCGTCTTCTTCATCGCCCAACTCCTCGTCCCCTGCTTTCACCGCGCTCTCGTCCTGCTCATCGGCTTCGCCCTCGGCGTCCGAGTCCGGTTCGGAAAGCTCCTCGTCGTCATCTTCATCTTCTTCGTCGTTCAACTCCATCTCTTTCGCTTCCACGCCCTTGATCGACTTTCCGGCCGGAGCCGAAGCCTTTGCGTGTCGTTTTGATACTGGTGGCTGCGGCGGGGCATCGTCCATATCGAGATCGCCATCGGCATCGGCGTCTTCGTCTTCGTCGCCCGGGGCATCGTCATCAATTTCATCTTCTTCCTGGTCACTCAGGTCCTCTTCGTCGCTTGTATCGACTTCAATGAGTCTCTTGTTGGGACGACTGGTCCGTGGCCCACTGACTATGGGATTCTCTGTAAAGACATTCACGGAGCGCTTGGTGGATGCACCCCCTCGGGAGCTTCCACCCGTGGCCTCGCGTAGCTTATTTGAAGGCATTTTCACCGTCAAGCGAATCGACTTGGGCGAGTCTCCCGTTTGTTCTGCAGAAGACCGCGAAATAGTTACTGACGTAGACGAAACCGCGCGGCTCCGTCTTGTCGACCTAACAGGTGCATTAGAATCCGGTTCTAGTAAATCATCTCGCCCATTGCGGGCACGCAGCGAGCGACGTAAAGACATGGCGGGGATTTCAACAGGGGACAGTGCAGGTCGCTCAACAGATACCGCAGACCATTAAACAACGGGGGGGTAAGAGGAAATTAATAAACGAGTCTGAAGCGAAACAATCCAAAAGATTGCGGTGGGGAAAAAAGCAAACAAAGACAATCCGCCCAGTCCAGAGGGCAAGTGATGAGGGGAGAGTGTGCGAAAGGAAGTTATTCAGAAAAGCCCACGAAGACTGTCCGACGGTCTGAGAGCCCCTGAGATTAGGGGGAAGAGTGGTTGGTGAGAGGGGAGGAGAGGGAGGCAAAAGGAGGGGAATGGGGGGGGAGAAAACGTAGGAGGGAGGGGGTTATGAAGACAATCCCCGACCACCGGTGATGATGACCGACGGACTACGTGGGCCAGTGTGTTCTGAGGATGCAGAACCGGAAAGGCACAAGCACAGGTGCAGGCCAACCATCCCTATCACATCGTCCTGACGCCACTAGGGACTTCCACAGCCAACGTTGGGAACAGAGCCAATGGGAAATTTCCGATCTCAGATACTAAAATGGGCCCCAGTGATAGGAAGGCTCCATTCTGGATGTCGGTGGCATTTTCTTTTCCCCGCGACTCCCCGAGTGACTAGCATGAACAGGGATCAATCTAGTTGGGGATGGATTGATAAATCCAAGAAGATGGAACAAAACCATGGAAAGAAACCAGTGGAAGGGAAGTTGCACCGTCATGTCATGTATCATGATGAAAAACAAGGGAGGGGGACAAAGAGCAAACAGGGAGAAACTCACTCAACCGGCCTCTCTGATGGGATGTCGGATATGAGGCTGTTCAATGTTACCAGGGTTGAGGTATGATTGGCAAATGGGCTAATGGCAACCTGCAGTGATACCGATGGATACCAACCTCGGGGGTAATTTCCTTTGAAACTGCTGTCCGGAATAAAGGGGAGGGAATCGATCAGACCTATCAAGGACTATCCAGACAATGAATGAATTCAGGGATCGTGAAATCCGGATGAAAGATGAATCCCGATGAGTTGAAGCGTTGATTGAGTTCATTTCCCCGTTTCTGCCCAGGGCGGTCAGGGCGGTCTATCCTGGGGTAATTTACGGTACGACCCATACGCACTAACCGGATGGGGTATACTATCTATACAGTGGAGTATAACATGGAACTGCATCGGCTCGAGTTTCATATGGTCTTCTTGATAGATGTTCTGTTTGCTGAAACCTGTGCAATATGAGATGAATGGCTTCTACCCTACAGTACACTCGACCGCAAAGTAAACATGTCTTGGCTTTGCCCAAAGGGTTCTCAGAACCCCCCCCCGGGGTGATAACCCAATATGCATGGGAGAGACATAATTTATGAATGATCAAATCAATTCCACTTGGTCTTGTAAGAAGCTATTCGCCTACCATTTTAAAATGTGTTGAATCACCCATTCTAGATTCATGGCGGCGTGTTCATGTTCCAGCCTTGTCTTACTCCTCCAGCAAACGATCCGATCAGGTCGCACGAGCACCGCACCGTCTGACTCCATGCCCCGTACATTGTGCCATATTTTCCCCGTGTCCAGATAGTCCTGGCCCCAGACAATTCCGAAGACGGCGGTCTCGAGCCCTGGGACGCCGCATGAGACCAGACATCCTTGCCGCCCAGCCCCGTGAGGATGGTGAACCGTCCCTTTCCAGCCAGGTCGTGCGGCAGTGTAGTATGACTCCTTGTCGCGGGTGTACTTGGGCGTTTGGGCCTCCAGAGGCTCGTCCTCGATGTAGACACTGCTGCTCTGGTAGAACTGGTTCATCTCGCTACCTAGGCTGGAAAACTGCAGCCGTGTGAGTCGGAATGCTTTATTCAGCCTTGCGCGGTATTCCTTTCCGTTTGGGCTATCCTCGCCCATGAGCTTGAACCTCTCCTCCCTTTTCTTGAGGTCGGGCTCGAACATCCCGAGCGCGTCGAAGAGGTTCAGGTCGATGCGCCAGGAATCATTTGCACGCCGCACAATGTGTTGCCCGACTGGCTGCCGCTCGATGGTGTAGGTGTCTAGGATTTTGGAATCAGCAAGACCCTTGAGGACGTAAGCAAGTTTCCAAGCAAGATTGTAGGAGTCATGGATTGAAGTATTTGAGCAAAGGCCGTTCGCGGGGGGTAGGCGGTGGACGGCGTCGCCGATATTGAAGCTACGGCCAGACAGTTAGCTCATTATTACAGTATATGAGGAAATGATGCTGGGAAGGCTTGCTGCACGTACACATTGCCCTTGGAGAAAAAGTCGGCCACGCCTTCATTGACACGCCATTTGGTGATGATTTCGATGGTGAGCTTGAGGTCGGGATCACCAATCAACTCACGTAGTCAACTGACCCAGTCAACCCTGAAGGTCCTTGAGCACAGGGGCTTCGGAGGCTGGGATCGCGATCAGCTGTTCGAGGAGGAAATGTTACCTGCGCAAACGTAGGTCTACTAGAGGACAGTAATAATCGTCTCTCTCTGGTGTAATAGCTGGCTGCATGGACGTAGGGGCGAATGCTATGCATGCCCTTCGGGGGCTAGTAGAATGGAGAGAGATGAAGGGAGCGTCTGTTATCTAGTATCAACCGGGTGGTACCTATATATACCTAAAAAAGGAATACCCGCAGCCCGTTGCAGGATGCTGATCCAAGGTCTGCTAAAAATATATTCTCACAAGCAACCGAACACTAAGGTCACAGTTGTTTATGCACTTTCAGCCGGCACATCTTTCACAGAGTTGCATAGCGCCCTTGCAATGACTGCGAGTCTGGCGAACAGCACCGAGTGCTACTATGGATGAAGCCACAATCAACTCTGCTTCTTTGATGGAGAGCACGGTGCTTCCACCGATCAGGTAGCCGAAAACGGTGGTGTGCGCATAGTATGCTGGATTGCGTTCATTAGCACGGGAGTCAACTTCAATACTGCAATTCGCATGACAGGGAGAAGGACATACTTACCTATCTCAGGTATGAGCGTCGAAACTCATCGAATTCATCTTCTCAAGGTCTACCAGGATGCCGCCGTCGCGGAGGAAATTGGCTGTCAGTGAGTGGCCGCTGGATTTGATGGCGATGCGGAGCTTGTGGGCCCTCGCATAGTGCACTATGCTTTGCACGTCGGCGTCGTTCTTAGAATACACGATTAAAGAAGGGTGGCGGTTGGGCACGCATCCGTTCCAGACGGAGTTGGTTCGCGCTGCTTCGTATTTGGGGTTGCCCTTGTGCAGGGTGCGAAATGACCAGAGGGTTGGATGTACGGTGCAGAAGGATAGGACAGACTGAAATAGTAAAGAAGTGATCCCGCGATACAGATATTAAGGATCAAGACGCAGTTGATGAAATATATATAGACTTGGACGATGTGTGCTGATCCCAGTCGCTGTAAATCCCCCCTGTACCACTCTGTATCCATGAAAACCCTAGCAGCGGGATGTGAAGAGTGTGCAGCTCGTGGAAACCCGTGGATGGGAATGCCAGCCGCGCATCTCCATGGATCATAGTGAATCCTGCGGACGATGATCCGTGGAAGCCTGTGGGGGAGGATGCGGCATGCGCACCTCCGAGGCGCCCCCGCAATGTCGAACCAGATTCTGTTGCAGCCGATCCACCCCTCGCAGCTTTCCCACCACGAACATTCCGGCAACCTGTGGAGTGACTGTATAGCATACATGATGCCCCCGTGGACCCTCACCCCGCAGCTCAGACTACACCCCACCCGAGCGAGCGGAATCTCCGGTGGATAGGTACTTTATATAGACAGACGCGACCTCCGTAATCGCACCGTCTTTCTCCTTCCCATAGTAGAGTAACCTCAACCGACATGATCTCTCCAACCCCAACTCGCTGGCTCCCCCTCTGTCCGCCCGAGGAGTCCACCGCATACCCAGGCTTCCACCCATCATCAACCACCCGCGATGGGATCAAGATCTACGCTGATGCTTACCGGCCTGTGGATGCGGGTCCTGTCCCGGCCATTATGGTCTGGGGGCCTTATGGGAAGTCGGGGAGTGGTTAGTCCTCTTCCCTCAGTTATATACACGTGTGGCGTATATGTATATGTGCTAATATATAAATTTACCATGAGTTAATGCAGTAAGACACAGCATATAACTAGTGATATATCTGGCAGTAACCAATAGATTTTCAAGAAGAATATCTTGTTGGCATTCCTTCTATATCGACCATTTCACCAAAAATACCAATTGACGAGTGAAAGGGTCTTGATATCCAACACACCCCCTCAACAGCCTGATACTTGCTTCTGGCTCAGGCCTCTGGCTCTTGGCTGCATATGGCTCGATTAGGTGCTTTTCTAATGTTATATTTCATAAATCAAATAGCAAACAATTAGGTAAGAATCAAACTCACAAGCTCTTAGGACTTAAACCAGGCTCATAAATTGATTGTTAGCACGTCTTTTACCTTGATTATTTGATAGAAAACACTAGTTATGAAGTGACACCATCTATAGATTATTTTCTGAAGATATTGAGTAAGAAGACTAGCTACCTCTTCTAGATGGTACCTACTGCAAGAACAAACAGACTGACTCACAAATAAAGAGCACAGTAGTCACTGACTTGATCTATCACAGCACATGTCCACGGTACCAGCAGGCTACCACTGCAGGCTGGGTACCTAAGACCTCTATGGTATACATTAGGCCCATTCACTCTGCTTGCTTGCCTGGGAAGTAGAGTCATGGGTCACGGGTCACTCACTCATAGTACCTATGTAGAATCTCTCACCCCCGCAAGTCCCTCACTCTCTTTTCCCCTCTCTCTCCTCCCATGACAGCTGGTTCCTTCTAGCCAAGTTGTGGTTTCTCTATCTTTTTAAATAAAGGCACACTAGATGTGCATTGACAAAGATCTATCTTTGCATGGAATCTATCGATTCTCTTCTTGATATCCATCAGCCCAAAACCAATCAGTATCTACCAGGTTACTTCTTTGCTCTACCCTTCACATTTCAACTCTAATGCATAGATCCTACCAACATGGAGGTCTTTCTGCACAATCTTCCGATTCACCTCAGCGAGGATAAACTCAAGGATCTATTGGACCCGTTCTTGAAGCGCCTTCACGTTGCAGACTACCTGTGCGAGAAACCGAAAAGGAAACAGATTGGAAATGTCACTTTCTTGAATCGAATCGACGGGGAGAACTTCCTCAAGACCTATGGGGAGGAAAAAATATGCACGGGACAACATAAACATACACGCCATTGCTTCATGTCTAATCTGAATTTGATAGGAGTAGGTGTCTTCTGCAAGCTCAGCAATCGCGACCCACAGCCCTTCGCCCTCAAGTCTCTGGCCCTGGAGGCCGAGCAACGTGAGAACCGTTCATTGCCAAGCATTGATAATCAGGGCCCTGTAACTCTGCTGTACCTACTGGACTCTAGCTGTGGATACTGCACCTTTGCTGATGACCACTTGGTGTATGTTCCTGAGGTCCGGTGGCCCGGAGCAGGAACTCTCAAGTTCACGAAGAGGAGCATTATCGCTAAAATTAATGGCGAATTCATCATCAGCATACCCATCAGCACGGTCATTGAGTTGGTCTGGTTTAGCAACGGTTCTTTAACTTTCACACTGTCGACCGTGCCGCAATTTTTCTCGACGAACGACCCGCTCGCTAGTATCTTGGGAGCCCTCAGCATCGGTGCCAAAGGTAGCTTTTCCCCAGCAGACAGAAACCGATTATGCTCGCTAGGAAACAGGCATGCCGATGTTGTTGGACAATGTCTTGTTTACCAGTTCATTGTTCCTCTAATGGATCTCCCAAAGTGGATCGCCGAGATCAAGAGCTTGGAAATAACCGTCGTTAGGTATGATCTCTCTATGAGCAAGGCAATCTCGGTGAAGACTGGGTTATTTCACTTGCAACTCGTCTGCCTCAAGAAAATGCTTGCGGAATTCACCAGGGAAGGTTCCCTACCCTTCGAGATCTTGTTCCAATTGCAGGCTCTTGCATATAATGCATACCTTCATCCTGCCACAGTCCTTGGCCTTGCAGCAGAGCTACAACTCATGTTCAAGAAAAGCAGGGAAGCTGGTAAAAGGCCCTTGTCTTCCCATTCCATCCAAAAGATGTTCGACATGATTGACTGGCCACGTCCATTTGGAGACCCAGCCGAGTTTGAAGTCAAAGGACTTGTCGAGCTGCTAAAGCAGAATGAACAGGAAATCCAAGATGGCTTTTCCCTGAGGCGTGGTCTCTTCGATGCCAGCGGGAATATGGCGCGAATCTTCCGAGTCATGGTTACGCCTTCGAGAATCACTTTGCATGGGCCGGAGTTGGAACCCAATAATCGCATTCTGCGAAAGTTCCCTAACCACCATGACTACTTCATTCGAGTGCAATTTTGTGACGAGAATGGACAAGATGTGCACTTCAACCCCCGTGTGAACAATGATTACATATCTTCCAGGTTCAAGTATATCCTGGCCAATGGAATAGAGATTGCCGGGCGTACCTATACGTTTCTGGGTTTCTCTCACTCCTCACTGAGGTCTCATTCAGCTTGGGTACGTTTGTTCCTATAATCTTGGCTTTAGAATAGAAGACTTCACCTGCAAGAAAAAGGAACTGATTAAACCAAATCATCTGCTAGTTCTCCGCTCCATTCTTCGACGACGATGGCCATCTGCAGACTTACTTCACCATAATCACGGCTGTCGGTCGGTTCTCCAATTTCACCTCACCAGCGAGATGTGCCGCCAGAATCGGACAGGCCTTCTCTGATACACCTTTTGCGGTCGATATCCGCCAAAACAGAATTCGTGTTACTGAAATACCTGACGTGATGTCGTCTGATGGCAAACGCACATTTAGTGATGGGGTCGGAACTATCTCGTGGGATGCGGTAGAAGCTATTTGGTCTAACATCTCCTCTTCGAAAGGATCCCCTACTAGTTTTCAGATTCGCCTCGGCGGTGCCAAAGGAATGCTAGCCCTAGACAGTCGACTGCCTGGCACGGTCATACAAGTTCGCCCGTCGATGGTAAAGTTTCCCACCGACGATATGAAGAACCTGGAGATCTGCAACATGGCATCAAAGCCAATGCCACTTGTTTTGAACCGGCAAGTGATCAAAATAATGGAAGATATGGGTGTGCCAGAGAGCTGGTTCAGTGCGCTGCAGGACGTTCAAGTCAACTATCTGCGGACCATCACTTCCACCCCTCTCAAAACAGCTCGCTTCATCAAAAGGCAGAATGTCGGCGATTCCATCCGACTCAATAGACTGTTTCGCCGATTGTGCTCCCTGGGACTTGACTACAAGGACGATGTGTTTCTCCGATCGGTCGTGGAGGCGGTCGTCCTTCGAGAGCTGCGCTTGCTGAAACACAAGGCTCGCATACCGGTGGAAAAGGGTATGGCACTATTTGGTGTTATGGATGAGACAGGCTACTTGCAAGAAAACCAAGTCTTTGTTACATACGAATCCTTGAGGGATCGGTATGCCGCACCACCGGGACCATGCCGGCTCCTTGTTACTCGGTGTCCGGCTTTGTTCGATGGTGACGTACAATTCGTTGACAATGTTGTCCCGCCCGAAGATCACCCATTGAGAGAACACGCAAACTGCATTGTCTTCAGTCAGCGGGGCAGGCGAGACTTACCCAGTCAGCTTAGTGGGGGAGATTTGGATGGTGACCTCTATCATGTCATATGGGACGAAGCGGCCACCCCACGGCGTGTCTTCAAGCCTGCTGATTATCCACGGATAGGACCTTTTGACATCGGGCGCCAGGTGGAAAGAAAAGATATGGCAAATTTCTTTGTCGATTTCATGAATTCTGATCGCCTAGGCGTCATAGCGACACGGCATATGATCTTGGCAGACCAGATGAGCGAGGGAACCCGCCATCCGGACTGCAAAGTACTGGCGGAGTTGCACTCGACTGCAGTTGATTTCTCAAAAACCGGGATCCCAGTAGAAATGAATCAACTACCCAAGGCAGTACGCTACAGACCAGATTTGTGAGTTCAGTTCGTTCATACCTTATATCACCCTTATAGGCTAGGGCTATATTAACGCTTCTGTCGATAGTATGGCACCCGGCCCAATGGCATGCATCGTAGATAAATCGATCATAGAGCTTGAGTCTTCAAACTCCCAATTACATCACGATGAAGACGAAGATTCGGTCCCGGTATACAAATACTACAAATCACATAAAATTCTGGGGAAGTTGTATAGGGCCATCGACGAAGAGAAGATCTGGAATGACAACGTCCGTGTCAAACGAAGTCCGCAGAGTGAAGCATTCTGGGAACAGCTTCTCCGTTTCTCAGACGAGCAATGCCTCGCTTTTGGACCGGTCAAGTGGATACAACGCTCCGATGAAGCAAGCCACATTCGATCAGCGTAAGCAGACAGACCCCCATGAAACCAATCATTCCCAACTAACCCAGCTAACCCGACACCACAATTTGAAATGAAACAGATACGAAGACGCACTATTCTCCGCAATGAACAACTTCTCCGAGCATCCCATCCACCCGCTCAGCGAAATCGAGGTCTTCACAGGCCACATATTCAACAAAACAGGAGTGCAGACCCACCGCCAGCGCGAGCGCTCCATCAAGCTGAAAGACGAATTCGGACGGATCGCCTCATGGATAATGGGCCTCCTGCGCCGCCACGGCAACAACATCGTTCCTCTCACGGGCTACGAAACCGAGCTCGACGCCCTGGAACTGTGCCTCGCCTGCGTCCACATCGGCTGCGAGCGGGTCCAGCCCGCGACGTCGCGCACTGGCAAGGAACTCCAGAGCTTCAAGGTCGTGGCGATGTGCGCTTTGTTAGCTGAGCTGGAGCTCTTCAAGAAGGGCCAAAAGAGTGGTGGGTTTGTTGGAGTTCGTTAAACTACAAGTCATGGATACAGCACGGCGGCAGCTGGCAGTAGAAACAGGTTAGCCACTGTTTTGTAGTTGCTGACTAGTTATTACGCCCTGTGAAAATACTAGATAGTGCCACGATCGAGATTGAATGGAATTTGTTGACACTAGTAGTAACACTATCCGCATCCATGGCTGGGATTGAGGCATGGCCCCGATATCCTGCACGGACATATATATAGTAGGCATAGACATCTCCATAACTCCCATTTTTCTAGAAAAATGATCGACATATAGACAGATGAGTCTATCTGATGTTAATAGTACTACAATCACCCGTACCCACCCTCATAATACCATCTCCATATACCATAAGTAGACCATGTGCACCACAAGCTAGAAGTATACACCAACTACATATACCTCAGCACACCACAATATAAACAAAATAGTATACGACCCAATCATAGATTAATATGGAAAAAAAAAATAACACAAACAAAATCAACATTAATAATAGCTAGCATAGACATATAAAAAATGAAATAAAGTAAAAAAAAAGATATGGAAACAAGAGCAGGCAGAACAAAGGAAGACAGGGCAGGTTCTAAAAAAAAAAACCAATCAATCACACCACCACACTATCACCACGACAATAACAGTATAGCCAGCCAGTCAACCCTGCTTTTCCTTTTCTCTCCCACTGTTTCCTTTCATTTCTTTTCTTGTACTTACAGTAAAAGAAATGTTCATCATGAACTTTCTTTTTCTTGTGTTTTTTCTCGTTTTTTCTTCCTGTATCATCCTTTCTTGTACAAGACGACATACAACCCATGAAATCTACCCACTCACTACCTTATCAGCCCTGACGAAGCCAATCAAGGCGTAGCCTTGCTCATCATGATCAAACGCTTGACACCAACCATCCAGGCACCGCACTCATCCGTGCGGTTCGTCATGATATCGACGTGGATAGTCTTGGCTGTCTCATAGTCACGGGCCTGGATAGCCTGCGCCAGATGCGTCATGTCAGCGATGGTGTTAGGCTTGAGCAGGTCCTCGTTGTTGAGGTGGTCGAACAGGATGTTCAGGCGGCGTTCGGCGTCGTCGACTTGCGCTTTGAAGGAGGACGGAGCGCGGGACTTGACGCGTTGCATGTCTGCGGTGAGGATTTCGTAGACGGGCATGGCGTCGGAGGGGATGTGGGAGCGGTCACCCGGTGCTAAGGAAGGAGTTAGTGGGTTGTTATTTCTTGAATGGGGGGGAGGGGGGTTTTGGGGAAACACTTACGGTATTTGGGGGGAGCGGCCGCTTGCTTATGGGAGTTGGCTGTGCCGGGGCGCGAGATCGAAGCGGCTGCGGGAGGCGGCGGGTGCTGCATTGGCGGCACGTTGGGCGGCGTGCTAGGCGCGTAGGGGTTCGCCGCAACGGGCTGCGGGGGCAGCGGGGCGTACGGCGAAGCAGCGGCCTGGGGTGGGGGAGGTACCGGGCCCCGCGTCTGCAGCTGTGGGCTGGGGGTGGCTTGTGCGGCTGGGCTCGGGGCGTATCGGTTCGTTGGCGGCGGCATGGAAGGCGGCGCGTTGTACGGAGACGGTCCGCGCGGGATCGATGCCGTGGGGACAGTCATGTTGGTGGGTGCGCCCATCGGAGGAGACTGAGGCAGGGCAGCGTACGGGTTCGCTGGCGGCGGGGGAACCTGCGACATGGACGCCATCGGGGGCGGGGCCACGGGCGGAGAGGTCATCCGCGGCGGAGGCATAGTGCCCGCTTTCGGTGGTGGGGGCACCGAGGGAGCACGTTGAGCAGGACCAGGAGGTGGCGGAGGAACCCCCTGACCGACGGGGGAAGGCTGGTGGGGAAATGGCGAGCTGATCGGTGCTGCGGCGCCGGCGGGGGTTCCGCGGCGAGGCGTGGGGGCCTTCTTGCCGAAGTCGTCAGGCAGGTCGTTCCAGGCAGGGAGGTTCGTGGCGTTGGTGTAGGAGCTGACCGTCGCAGGGGACTGGTTGGAAGCGCGGGGAGGAGGAGGAACCCCGCCGCCTAGGGGCTGAGCGCCGTAGGCAGGTGCCCGGGGAGCTTGGTATCCCGCGGGTGCATACCCGGCACCAGACGGCGCATAGGGGTTGGCCGCCGGAGTGGCAGCCGCTGCGGGCGCGTAGGGACTGGGGGCAGTAGCACCCATAGCAGCCGGAGCATACGGATTTGCAGCCGGCGCGACAGCAGGAGCAGCCGGGGCGTAAGGGTTCGGAGCAGATGAGACAGGGGCGAAAGTACCCTGGGGTTGATAGGCACCAGCCTGCCTGCTGATGGGCGTCATCGTCCGAGCCGGCGTCATCGTCCGGGCCGCGGGGGCTGCTTGCTGCGTGCGCTGAGGGGTGACCTGCCTCATCGCCAGCTTGATGCGGTTGCGGGCAATCTCGGCCTCGGGATGCTTCTCGGGAACGAGGTCGAGGTAGTTCTGGGCAACTTGAAGGCGGCCGTGCGTAGCAACGACGTCGGCGTACTCGATGTACTTGTCGTACAGGTTGCTGAGCTTCCAGTCGGACTCCTTGGCGCGTTCCGTGTCCTGGAACTTGGTGACTTGGCGGAAGATGGTCACCTTCTCAATCAGGCCTTGCAGGGCACGGACGTGGATGGAGAAGCTGGAGTCGTCGGTGGCCGTTTCAATGGCCTTTTGCTCGCTCTCGCGCAGCTCCTCAATCCAAATAGACACCACCTTCTCCAACTTCGAGCCGGCCAGGAAACAGAACGAGGCATCCTTGCGGGCTCCCTTGTCGCTCTCGTTCTTGAGCTGTTCCTCAAGACGATCGCCCAGGGCCTCGCAGAGATCCGCAAACTCCTTCTCGTCGGCAAAGGTGCAGAGCGCGGCCATGACCTCCTTCCAGTTGTCCAGGTCGGCATTGTGCACAACGTCCCAGAGGTTCTTGCCAACGATGGACGCCAGCAGACGCACGTAGTTGGGGCTGTTGGTCTGCTTGGAGAAGTAGTGCTCTTGCGCCTTCTCGACGCACTTCTGGCCGCCGCAGATGGCGATCATGAAGGCGTCCGACAGGCGGTCTTCCTTGAGGGCGACATCCAGAGCCTTCTCAAAATCGCCGAGCAGCAGCGCCTTAGTGATGCCCTTCTCAGCCTCGGACTCGGAGCCGCTGAAGATCTGGAACGGGTTGTTGGTCTTGGCTCCCTTGGACGCAGCCAGATCCGTCAGGAAGCTGTCTTCTTCCGGACCGCCATCGAACATGGATTGCAGACGCTTGTGCTTCTTGGCTCCCGGCCCGCGGGACTCCTTGGGCGAATCGCCACCAGCATTCTCCTTGTCCAAGCCGAGCTTAGCCAGCCCGTCGGCGGCTTCGTCCGCCTGGTCCTGGAATCCAAGATATTCCACGATGCCCTTGCGAGGGTTCTGAGAGATCAGGGCTTCGATGACCTTCCAGTCCGCCTTCTCTTCGTCGCTCTTGGCATCGGCAGCTCTGGTCTCGCAAATGCTGCGCAGGTCACCTTCCCTCAGTGCGCTTTCAAACGTCTCCGTCGACTTGCCAACCGCCTCGTCGACTTCGAAGGGGGAGATTTTGATCTTGGAGGCCCGTTTGCCCTTCTCGGCCAAGCCAACGGACACGACGCGGCCCCCGAATCCGAACGACGCGCTGCAGGGTCTCTCGAGCCACTTAGGCGGCTTGGGCAGAGAGAAGCTCGACACCTGAGGCTGAGTCTGCGCCTTGGCGAAAAAGTCCTCTCCATCCAGAGACTGGTTCTGATCGGCGATGGCTTGGGCGGTTTCCGTGGAGGTGTTCTGAATCGTCTGGACCGAGATCTTGCCGTCGAATGAAGCAGTCGCGAAGAAGTTGGGGTTGTGGGGATTCCAGCGGGTCTGGAAGGTCCAGTTCGTGACGACCGGGAATTCACCATAGAGATGGCCATTTTGCGGGTTCCAGCACATGGTGCGATTGTCTTTGCCGCACGACAGCAGCAGATCGGGGTCCTGGGGACACCAGGAGAGAGACAGCACACCGGACTCATGGCCACGGAGGGTCTAACAGAAGTTCATCAGTCTCCGAGCTGGAATTTGCTTTTCTTTCCAATGCAGCAGGTGTAGACTTACCCGTTCCGGAGCGTGAGAATTGCGCAAATCCCAGACGCAAATCAGAGGGTCGGACTCCAGAGGAGTCGCGGTGACCAGTTTCGTGGGCTATACTCCATTAGACCTTGATCTCCAGAAATTTCAGACAGTTGCCATCCTACCTTCTCCGGGTCCCAAGCGACAGAGCTGACGGCTTTGCGGCCCATGTTGTTGAGCGTCAGGCTCTCCTTCCGCGTCTTGACGTCCCATACCGTCACGAAGCCTGCACTGCTACCGGACACCAGAATATGCGCGACCTTCTTGTTCCAATCCAGACACTCGATATCATCTGCGCGGGCCGCGGTGCCTCCAAGTCGGTACGGGTTTGCGATGTTGTTGAGGTCGGAGATGTAGAGCTAATCCGATGTGAGTACCACGAGCATGACTAAATCCAACGATGTATGCGAAATACCTCTCCCTGTGCGCCACCCGTCGCCAGCAAATTCGAGTGTTTGGGGTTGAATTGGAGGGCCTTGATGGCCCCGGAGTGGTTGGAGTTTCGGGAAATGACGGCGTCACTATCGGAGCAGTCAGTCAATCGCCCATTCCAGCAGGGCGTACATCATCCAAACACGAACCTCGATCCGTTAAGCAGTTTGTCCGCGTCCCACAGATCCAACGATCCATTCTCCAAAGCGCCGGCAATCACACCGCGCGAGTTCTCGTCGGATTCCGTCCAGGCCAAATCGTTGAAACTATAGGAGCGAGATTGTTAGTCCTCCGCACGCTTCCTCATTCGCCGAATTGCGGATGGGATCCTTACCCCGAGTCGGTATCAATCTTGGCCGCGGGTTGCAGCTCCCCGCCGGCATCGCTGCGGTCCAGAGCCAAGTCCCAGAGCTCTAGACACGTCTCATTGGAGAAGTTGACGTCGACCGCACCAGCACGGGTACCAGTAGCCACCAATGGAGCAGCAGCCCCGGGGGACCAAGCAAAGGTGGCCGTCCGGGGGATCTCCCTCAGACGCACCATGCTGAAGGAGGTGGGGGGCGGAGTCGGTATAGATCAGGGGAGGATGAAGATAAGAGCTCCTCGAAGGGATTCACAACAATCAAAGGGATAAGAGAGAAACACGAGAGAGACAGAAACCCCCCGTTGCGATGGAGTAGACCGAGAGGGTGGAGGAGAGTGGTTTCAAGGCGAGGGATGCGGACTCAGTAATCCAGCATTGAGATCATCAACAAACACTCTCTCGAGAACAACCAAGTGTCCTCCTGGCGCTCCCCGGGGCGGGTGAGCCTGTCCGCTAAACCCAATCGGGCGCTCGCCAAAAACGCGGGCCGCACGTGATATCAGGCGGTCGATCCGCCGTCTGGTTTGGCCGACTCGGGTAGAAGAAGAAGAGAAAGTCGACCGCGAGAACAAGCCCAAGACAGGAAGAAAGCGATCGAGAGTTCATTTGAATGGGGATCTCCGATACTGTCTAGTTCTCACCCAAGCTCTCCGCTCCACCAACACCCCCCCGAAAACCTATCACCATGAGCGAAAAGGCCCGGTTAAAGTGCACCGTCTATGTGGGGGGTCTCGACCAGGCGGTTACGGTACAGACGCTGGCCGAGGCATTCGTCCCCTTTGGCGAAGTCGTCGATATCACGCTCCCCAAGCCCGACGCTCCGAATTCGTCCGACCTGCACCGGGGCTTTGGATATGTGGAATTCGACACGCCGGATGATGCGAACGAGGCGATCGATAACATGGATGGGAGCGAGCTTTACGGACGGACAATCAAGGTCGCTCCGGCGAAGCCCCAGAAGGACAGCAACGAGGGGCTAGGAAGCAAAACCGCGATCTGGCAGCAGGTACGTGATCTAGTTTGGGATGGGTTCGTCGCATGTGGGCGGAACGCTGACTACGACTGTTTCTAGGAGGGCTACTTGGCCAAGTATGCTGTGAGCGAGGAGGACAAATTGGCGGACGAACACGCCCTGTCTACGACGAATGGCGACCGGCCCCAGGATCCCATGCAGGGATTGGAGGAGCTGGATGTGGCAGGACCCAAGCCGGAATAAGCAGACAGCAACAGAATGATACCCCAGAGAGCGAGAAGACCAGGCGACAGTCGACAGTAAGATTGCAATACTACACGATCAGAATCCTCCCGTCAGAGCCGTACTATGTACACGCACTTTTGACCAATTTCCCCTGTTCTCTCCTCCGACCACGCATACCCCGTTGAATCATACAGATCGCCAATACCAAAAACACAAGAATCAACCCAGATGATCGCCCGGCAAAAGTTGGAGTCAAGAAGACGTCATGGTACAAACTTTTTAGTGCTCGCGGTCCTCGGGCGAGTTACGGGACAGACGGAGGGTCTTGTCGGTCAGGAGCTTGTGAGAGCTGGCGTAGATGGCAGCACCGACGGCGACACTGATGGATGGGTCAGTTGGCATTCAGAATGGGGGGGCGGAAGGAACCAATCCATATCCTATGTCATATAAGACAGTAGAACTATGAGAGAAAACATACCCAAGGACGAGACCTATAAGTTACAGAACGGTTAGACAATGGCACTCCATGGTAGGGATAGGCGTCAGAGCATCTAGATGACATACCGAGAGGGATCAACTCGGGAGGGACCCGTTTGAGCGTGCGCAGACGCTGAGAGATGGTATGCGCTACAAGGTCATTAGTATCTCATCCCAAACCGCCCGAGACACTCTCTTAAATTGATCACGGCGCAAGAGTGACCGTTCCGGGGTGGTCCATACCGCTCTGGTTCTCCTTCTGCGACGTGGGTTAGCAAATTTCGTCCCGAGGTTCATTTGAATCTCCAGGACCGGGCGTGACAAAACTTACAGGAGTAGGGAATGCATAAGCCCGAGTGGGCTGCATCCTCAAGATACGAGTGCCGAACATGGTTGAAAGGCGGGGGGGGGGGGGACTATCTGAGGGACAGACAGAGATAAGTGGGAGATGAAACGAAGTGGTGGTGACGGAAGCTTCAGGACGGGACGAAGGGGAAGGTTTGGAGGTTGGCAGTGGTGACGCTAAACCCAGACAGTGTAGGAGTAGTCATGCCAGGACGGCTTCGGGTGTGTTTGGGAAATCCTGATTGCATGACTGGCTCGCTAGTCCACACCGCCCGCGGTCTCTTCCGGCTTCAACTAACTTACTACAACCTCATTCTCTCTCCCTCTTGCCCAGCTCTCCTTCTGTTCCCCTCCCCCCCCCCCTCTCTCCACCACCCCTCCTCTTCCACTTTATACCCCGGAAACCCTTTTAGTTACTTCTCACAGCCAAAATGGGTGCCATTCCTGACGCCGATCCCGAGGAGCCCGTGGAGACCAAGCCCTTCAAGTTCGTGACAGGTGAGCTCAGTCCAGCCCCCATTGCGTGATATCAATCTCCCCAATTGAGGCCAATTGCTAACAATCTCACAGCCGGTATGTTAAATCGATTCCACGGATCACTTTCAGTAAACTCACGGCGGGGATTCCACCTCCGTCGCCGGTGACCCCAGGTGGCAGTGCTGACAACATCTGATGCAATGCAGGCTACGACGCTCGCTTCCCCCAGCAGAACCAGTATGCGCCCCATTCCAATGATATCAAAACACACCCAGTCGAGACTAACACCCCTCTCTCCAGGACCAAGCACTGCTGGCAGAACTACGTCGACTACTACAAGTGTGTCAACGCCAAGGGCGAGGATTTCCGTCCCTGCACTCAGGTATTTTCACTCCATACGTCACCGTCGATGACCCTCATTGAGCTTTGGCCGGTGGTTATCCAACCATACATCATGCATCCTGTATCTAACCGTCAATCACAGTTCTACCACGCCTTCCGAGCACTCTGCCCCAAGGCCTGGACTGACCGCTGGGACGGCCAGCGCGGTACGTCTTCCTTGTCCCCATTGAACCCCTTACCCGAGCTAATATATTATACAGAGGCCGGCAACTTCCCCGCTCGTCTGGACTAAGGATTTTCGTCGTTGATCGCGATTGTTGATTGCTGTTAAATTCTTTTCCTCTCAACATGTACTCTATGTGGTCGAGGCGGGAATAGATCCGGGCCTGGGGTGACTCCGGGCGCCGGGTGTATATAGTCTCGCGTTAGCTCAAGCCAATGTGCAATTATGTGGTTGGACGATACAAAAAAAAAATAAATCAAGTAATAATAAATTTCATCATCTAGCCAGTCATGAACCCACAGCTGGGCATCGAACCTGTAAAGCTCCAACCACCCCATGCTTCTGCGAGCTTTTGTTCAGCAAAAATAGGACGAATAGAATCAAATATTTCAACCCAGAAAAACAAGCCCAAAAGACCCCCACAAGCGTCCCCAAGGGAAAACATACCCGCTCCCAGCAAGTAAGGTACCTGGGTATCAGATTGATACCTAGAGGCAATCAATCAGCAATCTCAACCGTCCGATATTCGGAGAGAAAAAAGATCCCACTCCACAAGAACCAAATCAATGGGACGGAGGTATATCGAACTAGTTATATAGTCGAGATTACTATATCAGAAATAAACAGACGTAAAAAATGAAAATAAAAAGCTATATATTCAACATAGAAATCAATCAATGAAATATAAATAAAACCCACATCAATGAAGATGCGCTCTAATGCAGATAATCTATGCTGATCTAGATGAACAGGTCTATATAATGCACGCCGCACCAAGGGGGGCCGTCTGACAAAGGGTATAGATAGGTATCTCGGTGCGGTTGGACCCGAGCTTCAGGGGGTGGTTGTCCGCACTCCCAGGACAAAAAGCAATATAAAGGAGTAAAAAAAGGAGAAAGTAAAGGACTCGAGGATGAAAAGCTGACAACGATCCACCAACAGACACATAGACAGGACAGCATATATACAGAAAACGGAAAGGGGTAAATCAACTTTTATCCTCCAAGAACATGCTTCCTCTAAATGGCAATATGTAAATGAAACAGAGCATGTACGTAAAGGCATCATCAAGGGTTGGGATACCAACCATAGAGGAGGGTTGAGGATCCCCGACCTCCCAAGGTTTATAAATGCGAGTCCTGTTTTAGACCCCCTTCAGCATGCGATACAACTTCTTGTGTTCTTCCAAGAAGATGAAGGTCGCAATGGTATGCGGGCCGAGACGGATGAAGCTAGGCACCCAGCCACGGAACGCCCAGGCGAAGCCTTCCTTGCGGGAGATCTCGCGCAGCAGGCCCAAGGTGTTGTGGCCGCGGCTCTCGGCCGGGGAGGCGCTCATCACGCGGGTCTTGATGACGTCCACAGGACTGCAGACGGTCGTTGCGACGAACCCAGCCAGGAACGACGCCGTGAAGTGCGTCGACAGATTGTCGGACATGCCGGCCTTGTTGATGCACATCCGCTTGAAGACATCGTAGGAGGCCAGCTGCGAGGCCGTCATCAGCACGGCGCGCGTCGAATTGGGCCACACCCCGCGGAACAGACTCGCGGGGCCCTCGGTGCGGGTCATCTGCATGATACCGTGGATGGCGTGCCGGTAGTTGCGGCGTTGTTCCAGGGGTAGCGCCGCATCGTGTTGCATGCGCACGTTGATCACGTCGGCCGGGTTACCTGCGATGCCGCCGATGAAGCCGGACGCGGAGGCCATACCGACCAGGGTAAGGAAACCAACGGGATGGTCGGGCGAGGTGAAGCGGGATTTGAGCTCCTCATAGATACCGAATCGCGTGGTCGAGTAGGTCAATTGTCGCAGGAGTGAGGCCGACAACTGCGCATTTCAGGATCCGTCAGCCATGGTCTATTTTCCTGCTTCGCATTTCTTCCTCCACGGTCCGAGATCGAAGACCAGATCAACGTACCCCGCTATATAATCCCAAAAGACCATCATTTTTCACCACATGGCCAAACATGCCCAGCATGCTCGTCGGAGCACTAGGTCCACGGGTTTGCAGGCGAACCTTTTCCTTCCGTTAGTATTCGTGTAGCAAGCAAAGGGCGACGGCGGCGAATCAATTACCTTGACTATATGATCCATGTTAGCAAACAACCCAATCGATTCAAATTACACGAAAGCAACAAAAACTCACCCAAATCCAACGGATGTGTCACGGACGCCGCAAAGGACGAGGCGGACCCTCCAAACCAGAAGGGATAATGGAGTTTCTGCACGGGGGCAGGACGCGGAGACTGCGCCTGCTCCTGCGAATGCGAAACCTCCATTTTTACTGAGCTCGCCATCTTGGGGAATGACAAGAGGAGGGCATACCAGCTGGGATGAGCTGGGGGGAGTGGGGGGGGAAGGAGAGCGGAGAGAGAAGAAGGAAGTCTACTTGTTAATAGTTCAGTTATCGTTGCCAAAACTGGTTGACGGAGATAGAAGATTGAAAGCCCGAGGATCGGCCAGCGCAGACCGGCGCACCAATCAGGGACTCGGTTTTCGGCCAGACGGGTGGCGGGCGGTAAAGTTCGGTAATACCTGATCCCTCAGGCTACTCGCTACCAACGTATCTATTTCGAATGGCACTTACGGTACCATAGGATGGGTTGTCCGCTGTCCAGTTGGATCCGACGGATATATATACTGGATAGCGTTCATCGGATTGGTCAACATACATGCCTATCCCCGAATCCTGTATGGTCTTTGCGGTCCATCCAGCTAGCCGTTATTATTCTCAACCCAAGTCGACATGGTTACGGGACGGCTACTTGGTTTCTGCGGGATAATACTCCAGAGTAGCCGCGGATGATACACCCACGTCAGTCTGATGGACAGTTAGTCATGGAAATCAGTAGATTGGCCAATCCTGCATCCTGCCATGACTTTTTATAACTGGTTAATGGCTACATCATTTGGAGCATGCTGGTTCTGATCGCGTAATCGCTTATATCCTGGATATCTTGTCTCTTGCTATTTGCGCCGGAGACGACAGTGGCGATATTGTACCACATGATCTAGATAGATGGCTTGGCTCTGTCTGGGCGAGTTACAGAAGGCCGTACTATTATGGACAGTAAAGCATACCAAGACGGATACAATACAAACGTCTCGAGAAGGCAATCCCCGAATCGAGCTAGATCAATGGCTGAATATCCGCAGTATCAACTTGTATACCTCCTCGGGGACTTGTTTCTCCGAGCCGGGTTGTTTTGGGATAGATTCAACTTTCCTTCCAGTCATGCCACTCTTCTCCCAGCCATCCATTCCCAGCCCTCGACTCACCAGTTAGCCTATCCTCGAGGCCAATTCCCTCAGGATGCGCCTCTTTGCCACGGGACGGGCCCTGCGTGCCCACAGCGGCCGCTGGAGCATTGCGCCTGCGCACCGAAACCTCCGCATCCCGACGCTGTCCACCCGCAGCGTGCTTGCAGTCCCCCGCCGCGACTGGAGCTCAACCCGGTCCCTCGCAAATGAAAAGACACCCTCCGCCACAATTAGCAGCTCAAAAGGCACGCAAAGGCCACTGACGATCGACGGAAAGCCCTACCCGGCAGACGAATGGACCAACACCCCCGAGACGATCCTCTCCCATGTCGGCCGCCGCCTGTACCTCGACGAGAACCACCCGCTGGCAATCACCCGACAGCTCATCGAGAGCCAATTCGCGGGCCCGGTCTTCGGCAACTACAGCGAGAAAAACCCCGTCGTAACGACGGCCCAAAATTTCGACGTGCTCGGTTTCCCCGCGGACCACCCAGGCCGCAGCCGCACAGACACCTACTACATCAACAAGGAGACGGTGCTGCGCACGCACACGAGCGCGCACCAGCAGGCGTACTTCCAGCAGATCAGCCGCAATGAGCACTCCCGCCCCGAAGAAGTCGGCTACACTGTCGTCGCAGACGTCTACCGCCGCGACGCCATCGACCGCAGCCACTACCCGGTGTTCCACCAGATGGAGGGCGCCATGCTGTGGAAGCGGCCCGCGACAGAACCCCTGCAGCACGCAACCCACACCGCGTCCACCATCTGGGACGACGTCCGCCGCATCCCGGCCCACGGCGTCCCCGTCGAGGACGACAACCCCACCTCGCACCCGCAGCGCAACCCCCTCCAAACAGAGCACCACAGCCCCGAGGAAGTCGAGGCCGTAGCCGCGCACCTCAAGCGCTCCCTCGAGCGCATGGTCATCAAAATCTTCAGCGAAGCCAACAAAGCCAAGGCCCGCGCCGCCGCCTCCACCCAAACCACCGAACCCACCGAAGAAGAGCCCCTCCGCGTCCGCTGGGTCGAAGCCTACTTCCCATTCACCAGCCCCGGCTGGGAACTCGAGGTCTTCTGGCAAGGCGACTGGCTGGAAGTCCTCGGCTGCGGCGTGATCAAACAAGAGCTCCTCGTCAACTCGTCCGTCCCGGACCGCATCGGCTGGGCCTTCGGACTGGGCCTCGAACGCATCGCCATGCTCCTCTTCAACATCCCCGACATCCGGCTCTTCTGGTCGCGCGACGAGCGCTTCCTCTCCCAGTTCCGCGCAGGGGAGGTCACCCGCTTCGAGCCCTTCTCGAAACACCCAGCCTGCTACAAGGACGTCGCCTTCTGGGTTCCCGGAGGCGGCCGCAGCGCGGCAGGCGGGGCGGGCCCCGTGCACGAGAACGACATCATGGAGATTGTGCGCGGCGTTGGCGGGGACCTCGTCGAGGACGTGCAGCTTATTGATGAGTTCGTGCATCCGAAGACGAGTCGCCGGAGTCTCTGCTACCGGATTAATTATCGGAGTTTGGAGCGCACGCTGACGAATGAGGAAGCGAATGAGATGCATGATCTGGTGAGGGAGAAGTTGGTGGGGTTGTTGGGGGTGGAGTTGCGGTGATTGATTTACTGTTACCTGCTATTTTGGGGGTGACTATTCTCTGGATATTCCTCGAGGGTATAGGGTGGGATGGGGATGGGTATGGAATGGCATGAATGGGATGTCGACGGGATGGATGGAATGTTGGTTGGTTTGTTGTAACTGTATACTAGGCCTGTATTGTACCTGTACAAATGGATTCTTATCCAACTCATCTGTTACACTCACACTCAAGCTGTACAGCACGTAATCTACGCGGTCGATCAAACGCACGTACTCCAAGTAGAGTGAAATCGTCAGACAATGCCAGATCCAAACATTAGATAGTATTGATCCAACTCATGCAAAGCGCGTGATCACATGCATACAAACATACATACATACCACAACCATGTCAAGCTCCAACGAACACCAACACTTTTTGTTTTAAAAAATACAGAGAGCAAGACATTACCAAACACAGGATCATTGTGTATTATACAGAGTAGGGAGGAGGGATGTTAAAAACGCCAAAAAGACCGGAAGAAAGAGAAGATATGCGAAAGGACAGCCGGACGCCTCCATTCGCGGACAATAATAGTGATCAACACATAATAGAGGTGTATCATACACATGCATCATAGATAGAGGAAGAGAGATGGAATAGGATAGGGTAGGTGGGCTGATTGATGCCCGTCATGGCGGAGGTGGATCTGGTATATTATACAGAGGGTTTGAAGAAGGGGGGTTGAGGTGTCGAGTATGATGGGAGATGGTCATGGAGTTTAGTTGTTGTTGACCACGCCGACCTTGGCAGCCTAGAGAAAAACGATTAGCACGGATACGGCTGTTACACAGATTCGAAGAACGTACTCGGATGACACGGCCGTTCAGCATGAAACCCTTGCTCTGGGTGTACATGATGTCGCCGTCCTCCTTGCCCTCGGCCTTGGCCATGAAGGTGGCCTCGTGGAGGTTGGGGTCGAACTTCTGGGCCTTGCCCTCCTCGGTCGGGGCGCTGGGGTCGAAGCGCTGGAGGCCGTGCTTCTGCAGGGTGTTCATCAGGATGTTCTGGGTCATCTTGAGGCCGTCAACCAGGTCCAGCAGGTCCTTGTTGGACTCGGTGGCCGCGGCGCTGAGCTTATCGGCCGGCACGGCGAGCAGAGCGCGGTCGAAGTTGTCGATGCTCTCCAGCAGGTCAATCGAGAAACGCTGGATGGCGAAGTTGCGGGCGCTGTCCATGTCGCGCTTGGTGCGCTCCTGGAGGTTGAGGAAGTCGGCCACGGAGCGGACATATTTGTCCTTTGCATCGAGTTAGTGCTATGGATTGGTGTCATATCAAGAGTTCGAGCATACCTTCAACTCAACAACCTCCTTCTCCTTCTTTTCGAGCTCCGCGCGCAGAGGATCGGACTCTCCCTCAGCCTCCTTCTTCTCCTCCTTGCCGTTCTCGGCCTTGTTCTCTGTCGAGTAGAAACGGTAGGCAGGCTGACGGGCGAGCGGACGGAAAGCCGGGAGCTGCGGCTGCAACTGTGATGTGCGACGGAGCGTCGAGGCGGAAGAACGGACGGAAAGGACGGACCGGGCGGCCTGGGCCTGTCTCAGGAGGGTTCTTTGGAACATTTTGAAGGGGATAGAGGAAGATATGATGGACAATGGCAGGGGAGAGATGAGAAAAACGGGCGACAGTGACGAGGGAAAGCGAAGGAAAGCTGTTGGAGAGGAATCGGTCGCCGGTCAGAAAAACAGAAGTTTCGCTGCTACCACGTCACCTGACCCGCTCACCGCCCTCGGAGGCGGTCGGGCCGGGAATATGCATGGGATAGTTACGTAAGGAATCTAGGCATTACGTCACAAGATCCAGTATTGACTAACAGTTTTCTCGGCGTTTTCATTCCATGCGTTTCTCAGGCTTCCTTTGTCAATGGACTCGGATTGATGGGGATGCATCGTAGTTTGATCCGACAAGGGCAGGTCTATACAGAATGTACTCGAAGAGCGAAGCCTCCGCGCCCAAGCCACGTTACGTCTGCCGACTCCACTACCCCCCATGAGAGAACTGATCCATTCCGTATTGAGGAATGATTCCCTTCTTCCCCACTATACCCCCTCCCCGGAGTGATCAGGGCTCAGCACTCTATTCCCGCCAGACTCACAGACACATACTCCCCGAGTACATCGCTGGCTGCGCCGTGAATTACCGTTCGAGCATTGCCCATTTCCCGAGCCCAAGCCCAACATGCCTCTCAGCTACGACCCCGATTTCGTCCACGCCACGCGCGAATTTCTTGAGCGCAAGGCCAAGAACCCTGAACGGGCGGTGCACGACGTGCAGGGGCGTCGGACGGACATCACTGCCTCCTACGAAGCCATGTTCGAGAAGCTGCCCGAGGCTCCCGAGGTCGAGCACACGGTATACCAAATCCCCTCGTATGACGGACAGACCATCTCGGTCTACCGCTTCTTCAAGAAGAACGCCCCCACAACCACCCCGGGACCGGCTGTCCTACACACGCACGGCGGCGGTACGATCCAGGGCGACGTGGCGCTGTTCCGCAAGATGCTGTCGCTGGAGGTGCAGCACACGGGGGTGCAGGTGTTCTCGGTGGACTACCGGTTGGCGCCAGAGCACCCGCACCCGACGCCCGTAGAGGACTCATACGCGGGGCTGACCTGGCTGCACGAGCATGCGACCGAATTCGGGGTGGACCGCAGTCGAATTGCGACGATGGGCGAGAGCGCGGGTGGGATGCTGGCGGCGGGACTGGCACTATTGGCGCGCGACCGTCAGCTGTCACCGCCGCTGGCGAAGCAGATCCTGATCTACCCGATGCTGGATGACCGGAACACGACACCGATCGCAGCCTTGGAACCCCTGGCGTTCTGGAACTGCGCCGATAATATCACGGCGTGGACGGCGCTGCTCGGCAAGGACACCATCGGCACGGACAAGGCGTCGCCGTACGCGGCGCCCGCGCGGGCCGCCAGTGTCGAGGGTCTGCCGCCGACGTACATCGACACCGGGGAGTTGGACATCTTCCGCGATGAGGACATCGCCTACGCGGGGCGCATTGCGGCGGCCAACATCAGTGTCGAGTTACACGTGTATACGGGGCTGCCGCATGCCTTTGAGGTGTACGCGCCTGAGATCGAGGCGACGAAACGGGCTGTGTCGGATCGCTACCGAGCCATGTCAAGTTTCTAGGCCTTATTTTCCAAAAACAATAGAATCAGGGTGCTGTCCGGATAGATCACATCACAGGGCGATGAGCCAAGCCACGGATGGGAGCAGGATTCTGCGACCGGAGATGAATCGGCTGGCTGTGTCCGGTTGCAGATGGAAGGCGAAGCCAGGCAGAATGTTTTTTCACCACCTGAGACTTATGCTCGGGGTGTCACTAGGTAGACGAATTCAAGCATGTTCCCTGACAATGAAGCAATTCTCCTGGATAATCCCCACACAAGAAGAAATTAAACTGAGCAGCATGAACGGGTCACCCCGTTACCAATCGGGGGGCCGAGACAGCCGTCGGATGCCCGTATTGACTGTAATTATGTTGTATTGCACGGTATTATTCACCAGCCACAGCCCATCACCGTGGCAAAGCACCAGCCACAGTGGAGATCGTGGCAACCAAAACACCGTAAAAAACGAGCAAAAAGTGCAGGGAAAGTAAAACAAGGTGGATCGACAGGGCCGGAGAATCCACTTTCACAGCACTGTTTAGGACATAGCGTGTAGGATAGACCGAGGAGGAAGGAGGGAAAGTTGGGGGCAGTGCGTGCTTGGCGAGGCGCAGCACGGTGGATGGTGGATGGTTGCGTCTTGCATCACCTCCAAGGCTTGGTCTGTTCTTGATCAGACTTTATAAAAGAGGGCTCGCTGTTGGGAAAGACCAATGATAGTTAGAATCATCATCACAAGACAAGATACATTAAGAGGGAATATTGACCATTGATCTGTGGCGAATCTTCTCCTGACTCAACTCTTCCCCGCTTCTCCTATCTCCATCTCTTTATCTTCCTCTCCTTCGCCTCTCTATCCTCTCCTCTACAACCACCCAAGCCAAACAATCAACAACTTCCATCAACCACCCAAATCACACAAAAAAACATTACTTGTTCAAAAAACATGGCAGCAACAATGCATCGACCATCTCTCTCCCTCGACATGAACAACCTTCCTCCCCTAACAACACCCGTCACCCCAACCAACACCCTCCTCCTCACCGACCTTCAAAACCTCACCTATTTCCAACCCGCCACCCTCGCCGAGATCCGCACCCTCCTCAACACTCTCGCACCGCTCAACTCCTTCTCCCCACTGCCCTCCCTCCGCCGCATCATCTGCTCCTTCACAAGCACCGACTCCGCCATCTTCGTGCGCAAACACTTCGAGTCGACCCCCCTGACCCTAACCACAAGCGTCAGCGCCCAAACAACACACCTCAAACCCAAAGTCTACTTCGGCGAACCCACGCCCCTCCTCCAAGACGGCGACAACAACCGCCCCAAGCTCCTCGAAGCCCCCCAACTCGACAAGCTCTTCTTCATCAGCCCCCCGCCCAGCCCGCCCCACGGCTGGGTCATGCGCACCGAGGAACCCCCCAACAAGGAAGTCCACGCCAGCGACCTCGCCTCTGCCCTCGCGCAGCTCCAAAACCAACAATCTCCCCACCAACAGCCACAACAACAACCGCAATACCACCCCCAGCAAGACGCCGCGGCGCCTCTCGACCCAGACACTCCCATGTCAATGACGTCCGACTCAAAGCGCACAGGCTCGTGGCCCGCTGACATCAGCGCCCACGCTCGCTCCCGCTCCGGAAGCACCCTCATCTACCACCCCCAGGACCACGGCAGCAGTCCCCATCTACCAGCCGTCATGGTCGAGGATACGACCGTTCCTTCCGTGGTGTTGTCCCCCGATGATACAGACGTCGAGATGAGCCCTGTCGAGATGGGCGGACCTGTACAGCAGAAGCCGCCGAAGACGTCGCGCCCGCCGGTTGAGTTGATGGAGTGATTTTGTTTCCACCTCATTGTTCCATATACGTTTTTTCCTGTTTTTTTTTGCCCTTTTTGGGGTTCATTAAAGGAGTCAGGTTTGTTCGGGTTAGCGTTTTATGTTTACCATTTCCTTATTTGTGATGTCTCTTCAAATTGCCTGGCATGGCATGCATGAATTAATTGTTTTTTTCTTCTCATTTTCTGTTGCTTCTTTTTTCTGTCTTGCATTGACATACGGGATTACATTACATTTTCCGGAGTTGGGGATATACTACGTCTATCTAATACTTGGTATCACTACCACAACTATATACGTGCAAGCGACTACAATCAAGCAAATTACGCAACATTCAAACCTCATCAGTTTTTCCTTATATCCTCTTTGCTATATTCTAGAAAAAATACCATAGTCCACATATAGAACCTTTTAATCAATCGAACAAAACCACTGCGCTATTCTCCACAACCGCAGGCCCCAACACAGCCGCCAGCTCGGCTATGATTCCCTTGACGGACTGGGGGTTGTTCATGGGCATTGATTCCCATCCTCTCAGGTCCTGTGTGATTCGTCATTAGCTAGCTGTCTTATTCTTGGTATGGATTGAAGTGAACTTTAATCAACGGGGGTGAGGTGTATGTGAATAGTAGAAAATAGGATAAAAGGAGGGGAAAAGAATCCTACATTCATATGCACGAACGTGCCATGGACGAGCAGTAACCAGTTATCAAGATCAATCGTGCGCATCTCATCCAGAGTGAGGACTCCTGGCATATGGACGTCGAAGAGAGAGACCTCTTCGTCGTTGATTCCCGCGTCGGCGGCGGTTTCGGTGTCGCCGGTTGTTGTCGTCGTCCCATTACTGCTGCGCGCTCGATCACCCGATAGGGAGACGTAGGAGCGCTTGTCGAGTTTCTGGGCGAGTTCGCCGTCAAGGGGGTGCCAGGTGTAGGATTCCGGGTCTATTTTGGTTGTAGGTATGAGCGGATGAAAGAATATTATGTTGCGGGCAGAGATGTTGGGGGTATACCTAGGATGTACTGGGGTCGGAATGTCCCCTTGTAACGCATTTTCTGGCAGGAGTGGATGTAGTACCCTGCAGGACATGGCTGTTAGTTTTCTTCTTCTTTCGTTCTTGGGCTGATTCCTATGTGAACCCACCCATGTAGTAATATTGGTACTTCTCTTCGGCTGCCATAGCAATCTCCCTCATCGCGGAGAGCTTGCCGAATTCCCACGCTTCATATGCCGGGTCGTAGCTGCGCCGGTTAGACCCCGTATACACCGGAAAAAGGAGGAGAACGTACAAGATGTAGACTGAGCTCACGCCGTGGGGCATCAAGTCTAGGACGGCGACGGCAATGAGCTTACCGTCGAGCCGATAGCACTGGTGCCACGAGCCCAGTTTCTGCTCGTCGGATCGGGCCGCGTTAGCCGGGGATCGCGTGATGCCCGAGCAGAGGAACCGCTTGAAGTCCTTGGTCTGCCATTTGGAGACATCCTCTTTGTGAACGGTGGTCTGGTATTTGAGGAACAGCTCGAACCTGTTCTTGGTTAGTAAGACGGTTGGATCGAATCTTGAGGAGGGGACCGACTTGGCTTGGGAGATGGAGTCGCCTTCGAGGTTGACCTCGAAGCGGTGCGCGGGCTCCAGGGGCTTCTTGGTCTTGGGGTCGATGGGTCGCTTGACCCGGTCGTATTCCGCCTGGTGGACGGCATCCGCCAGGTCGAATGTATCCCGACGCTGCTTCTTTTCCCTATGTCCCAGGGCGGTGAGATTACGGTTGTACGGACATGACTGGGGGTACTTACTCTCGTGTTTTGGGGCACAGGTATGCCGCACGACGGATATACTCCGGGCCCAGGATGAACTTGTTCCAGCGGTTGACGGCCTTACGTTGGTCTCTCCGAGGTTTGAAAGCGGAGGCTTCCAGCCTGTCTCGAGCCGACTTAGCTCATAGGTCAAGGGGACAATCCTCTCGGGGAATGGACGCACCTCATCGTGTAGTGAGGACAGCATGATCGCTGCAAATTCGGCTTATAGTAGAGCGTCCCCGATCTAGGTGGATTAGCGCTGTGTAACTGGAATTGGTGCAGTGGTAGTCTCGGAGGAAACCCCCCAAAAAATAAATAATACAATAAGATAGAAATAAACAAATAAACAAATTAATAAAAACGAATGTACAAGTCTCACCTTCTCCAACCACGGTTAACAAGCTCCTCGTAATGGGCGGGGCGAACGGATACCGAGCTCGTGTAGTAGGAAGCACCTGGATGATTCCCCGTCAGTGATGCAGGTATCCCCCCACCGAGGGTAGGTGGAGTAGGCTGGAAGACACCAAACTCACTGCCATTGTCTGATTTACAATAACCGCACGAGTTGCGCTGGTATCCTGTAAGAGAGGAGGGGTAATTAGTTTCCACAGATCGTCATCTACAGTAGCGTGTAGCCCGTTGGTTGATTAGACGATAGAAGAGGGGCAGTGAGGGCATGAGACTGAGTCCCTCCGAGTATCTACCGTACCCATAGGTATATAGTGACCTATAGGTAGGGACCCGTATCGGGTAAGGTAGCAGGGAGGGGAACTGGATAGCTCAACGGCCTGAGATCCAACGAAGCTGACACGGGCAAGGACATGTCCCTCTGACTGGCTACTACTCACCTAGAGGACGGAAGAGCGACAGTTGCCGCGCCCGTTCAGCATCAACAGCTGGATCCATGACGTCTGAACACCCCCCCTCCGGCGGCGCTCAAGGCGGAAAAGTAGAGAAATCGGACCTCGCCAAAAACCCACAGGGAGAAGGCGAGACAGAAATGAGAGAAATGGCTGGAATGGGAGACTTTCGGCCGCGGAGATCTATCTCTCTGCGTAAGTTTCAACAGCGCAATGACGACCCGACTCTGATTGGGGAAGAGGAGGGGGGATCAGTTGGCAGAAAAAGAACTGGGTGCTTTTTGTGGGGAAGATTAGAAAATGACAGACACAGCCACCCATGAGGGGGGGGAAAGGTATCGACATACACCCAAGCTCCGAACAATGGACGAGATGTCGGGTATCAATTCAACTTGCAATGTGTGGGATGTCGAGGGACCGATCATAGTTCTATTCCAATGCTTCTAGAAGGAGACCCCCGCAGGTTCTTCTAGGTGACTTGCATGCTGGTCGTTACTGGTTGGTTGGTGGTCCATATAGAAATTGTCGACCGGTTCAGACACCGTCATACCCGACCACATTGGATGAGTGGAGAGTGCAGAAACCCAGTCAGGGTCTATCAATATCCAATCTGGTCAACACTGTAAAAATCCCCACAGACCCAAGAAGAAGAAGTACCTGTGACTGAAAACAGAACCCCGTGCAGGGACACCTGAGGCACCCAGTCTGACGGTCTGTATTGTCAGGTATGGATCTCTCCGTGACGGTACCAATACCGGACCAGGGACAAGGGACAGGGACGGATACACCGCCGTAACCAGATCCCGTACCTGGACAAATCAATCCGTGCTCCGAGGGCATCATAGACTACTATAGACACTCGGAGGATAGAGGGTGCATAAGATGGATCACGACGGTCCCATATTCGATGGATACCATATTATCGATATTATCTATCCGACATACGACGGAGTCCTCCGCCCTCCGAACCATAATCAAGGCAAGGTAGGGGAGTATAGACCGCCAGGATCTCGAGATCCGCAACCACAGATCGCTGCTGCGTTGTCGCGTCCCGATCCAATCGCCATCAGGGGCGGTTCCAGGGTCTGTTAGCCATTACCTTGAGTATCTCTCCCTTTTCTGACACGAAGGATGGCCTGATCGACTGCATGGTTCACAACGTCCATCTCCTCCCCAACTGCAGTCGAGTATCCATGGCAATAATGACCATTAATGACGCATCGAGACGACGCCACCGTGATCTGTCCATTCATCTTTCTTCCCCTTCTCTTCTCCCTTTCATTATTTATGCTGGTTTTGAATTTATTTATGCTTATGCGTATTGGTGCCATTTGATTATAAATAGGATATGATCATATCTTTGAAACAACTCAGTGCTGATCGGAGATTTCGTGGCGGTAGTGCTGCCCCGCATCCGTTGGGACCAACCCTCTCATTTTGCCAACGACACGAAGCGTCATCCAGATGCTTGGGGCGAGGAGAGGCAAACGCCTTCGGTGAGGAGGAATGCCTAGCAGATGCAGGGCAATTTGCATGTCACGGTATCCAATCCATGACGGTCTGTGAGCAAGCGGGGGGGGGAAGCACTCCAGCAGACTGACGAAGCCGCCTCTGGGGAGATCAACACGTAGTCATGTCCCAGATCGTCATCCCAGGTCATCCTTCACCCTTTTGCAGATAGATCTCGTGGGAGACTCGGAGGGGACATGTGTCCTTGTTGACTCGATTTGTAGACACAGCGGATGGGAGTAACAGTCCGAGAGTTGGTTCCCCGGTGGATCAAACCCAAGTTTGGCTGTCCTTTATTTTCGTGTTTCCTTTCGCTTGGTTCTTAGTTGGAAATATGGAACATGAAATTATACACCTATGTAACAGAACCATCTTCCAAAAACGGATATAATCACACAAAATAAACATGCATCATACTTCATACTTCATACCTCGAAGGAAATAAAAAAAAAGGGGGGGAAAGGATGTGGCCACGAAAGAAACAAGACCGGCACTCACCGGTCTCTGCGGCTTGCACAATATCCCAGCGCGTCTAGCTTAATCAAGCTATAGTATAACTGTGTCGTGAGACCAGCCCAGGGTGATTTGAATCTATTTTTACATTGGACAGCAAAAGTCCCCAACCCTAACGTAAGATGTAGGCAGTGTAACCCCGTCGAGAAGGAGAGAGAGAGTTCCTGGCAGAGCAGAGCTTCCCTGCTGTGCGACGGCGCTGGATCAGTTTGCACTATTGAATCTCCTCTTTTCATATGATACTGTCATTCGGATCCATTGTCTTCATCAATTTTGTTTTCTTCCGCGGAATTATTGCTGGGACCAGCAGGACGTGGTGGAGTTCAGATTGAAAGTAGACTAGACATGTATGCACCGCAACGGTTGGATGTATGTTTGCTCGTAGTCTATATGCACCTCGTCCAAAGAGCCGGGAAGGAGAAAGGGGTCAGATCCCAGTCAGAGATAGACGAATAGGGTCTAGGTAAAGAATAAGGTAAACAGAAAAAAGAAAAAAGAAAAAAGAAAAAGAAACAAGAAAAAGAAAATAGCTAGCTGTAAGCAGGAAAGAGAGTGATGGAGGAGAGGTGAGGAAACAATACAACAGCAGCTTCACGATATGACAGGACAAGACAGGACAAGACAGAGAAATGATACCGTCTCGGTAAAATCCACTGGTCATCTCCAGTAAAATCACACGGTGTAAACTTACAGCGTTACTTACAGAACCCGAACTGCCCCATCCGTCCTCGTCGCCGCCCCTCTTCGCTCTCCGTCTCTCTCTATCCGTTTCCCATTTCTTTCCATTTCCCTCTCCTATTTCTACCATCTTACCCTTACCCTTTTGAATTATGATGTCTGCTTCTTGTTCGTACTCATCGCCTTCGAGGTTCCCGTCCGCTACGGGAGTGAACGGGAATACCTAGTATCGACCTCTTTTTCGAGTTTCGCTGCTTCAACTCTTGGATTTTTTTTTTATTAGAGACCAAACCCGTCATAATTCCTTCGTGGTCCCCGCCCTATCGCCCAGAGAAAAAAAAAAAAACTAGGGTTGTCAGGCCGTGAGCCAGCTATCTTGAACCCCCAGGCTGGCCCTCTTGTGACTTCACTTTTCTCCGTTGATCTATATATTCCAGTCGATCTTGGGACTCAGGACTCCTGGCTTTGGCCTTTTCTTTCCATTTTTTTTTTTTCCCTCCATAGGGTCTATATCATTCTTTTCAAATTCGTCGCGTGGGAGGAACAGTTAGCGCTATACACCCGCGTCGACGCTCGACCCATCCTCTCTTCTATCTCCTATACTTATATCTATTCTTTTCCCTTTTTCATTTCTTGTGGTCCAAGATGATCGACCAATCTCGCTCAATGGAGTCCCGAGTAGGACGGAAAAACCAACGTGAGTGGTGATCCCTGGAGGCAGACAGACCGCTTGCGCCCACCGCACTCCTTTTTCACCCGCCCATTCCCCTTCACCCCCCTCGCCTTTGCATTACGCAGACATGCTAATCCGTATCCTCATCCCTAGGGTACGGATCAAAAGGCGAAAGGCTCGTCGCAGGGGTAGTCCCCCTGTCAGCGGACAAGACTCGGGTCCTGATGATCCAGTCTGCGGGACGAGGCGGTTGGGTGCTCCCTAAAGGGGGTTGGGAGACTGACGAGGCAAGCGCCTCGCAGGCCGCCTGTCGGGAGGCCTGGGAAGAAGCCGGGGTAATCTGCACCGTGCAGCGAGATCTGGGAATGATCCCAGACATGCGGCCGTCGAATCTTCTGACGGCCACCGCCCCGAAGGCCTCGTATCACTTTTTTGAGGTCGCGGTCGAGCGGGAAGAGGAGCAGTGGCCTGAGATGCACAAGCGAAAACGGCAGTGGGTTCCATATGCCCAAGCCGCTGCCTCGCTTGCCAGTCGTCCGGAACTCCTGGAGGCGTTAAATCGCAGCTCCCTTCGGAGGTAGCGATGGCCTCCTGTCCTCTGACTCCCCACGGAGTTGAAGAGCGACAATACAGACAGAACAACAACAACAGCAGCGACAAAAACAAAAAAAAAGAAAAACAGAAAGGAAAAAAAAATACCGATTGGGGATGATCCACCTCCCGTGGTTTTTTTTTCTGTTTCCCTTCACGATTTACTATGATCCTTCCTCTGCAAAAGGAAATCCGGACATTTCACTTTTATCTACTTGATCTCTCTGCATTTATCTCCCCTTTCTCGTTCGGATCGGCTACATTGCTTCGGAGTTATATTGTTGATTCGCTCGCTCGCACCATGGTGGCTTTGATGGCTTTGTGCACGACGCTTGATCGCGCACTCACCAGTATAGATTCCATGACGATCCGTGATTATAGAGGTTAGAATGGGCCGGCCAGGCAGGACCGGGGCCGATGGATGAGAAAAGTTCTTGAGGTCTCTGGTCTTATCTTATCTATCGGAGAGGGTGTTTGGCTTTGGGATACCAATTCTGGTTCATCCATTTTTTTACCCTTTTTTTTCCTTTTCTCCCATCCCATTTTCCTTTGGCTTCCTTTCATATCTCCCACCCTCTCGCGACTTGAAGGACACATAAGTCTTGCTCAACGGAGGTTCAGCTTGATCTCTTTGTGCGACAGTCCGTCCGTATTGATGCACGTCGTCATTTCCTGGACCTTGGCCCAAGACTGCTTTGCTTAACCTGCGTGGCGGGCCCTTTACTCATCCGCCATTTGCCTAGGAGGTTGAATCTGCCTGAACCAGGCAGGGCAGAACGAAGAAGTGAGATCCAAAAGACACAGTCCGTGTCGTCTTCTTCCTATATTGTATCCCTCTGGGTTACGCCGGCGTGATCAGCTCCGCGCCGTATACTGTAGATGTAGAAATGTAGCTTGAGCGGTGTAGACTGGTGCGTTGTATACGGAATTGTATACTCCCGGGACGTATGTGTTAGTATATAGCGTGAAAATGGTGCCCTAGTATATAGATAATATAATATCATGTCAAATATCGCTATAATTACTATTATCATTGTTGTGTCTTTATCAGTGGATGAGATGTGAGGAATTGCCCGTCGCGCGATATAGAAAACGCTCACCGCCCAATCGGGCAAAGCGCGGGCCAGCAGCCTTCGGGGGCGGAAGAAACTCACCCTCATCATCATTCCCTCACCATCTCCACCATTCTCTAAACCATTCTCAACAACAACCCTCTCTGCAACTCCAATCGCACCTTGCGCCAACAGTCCTTTTTTATCTTCCACTGACCCCCCGCAAACTCCGTTGGCAGCAGCGCTGCGATCGCCAGCAGCATGGATTATGAAATGGATATCGAGCCCACCGGGCCCCAGGTGACGGTGCGAGAGGTGAGAGCTTTGCAGTCTTGACAAGCCCAAGCCCCTGAAAGGGCCGGGGAAACAAAAGCTAACTGCAGAATCGGCACAGGCCGAACCATACCGAGTAGATTTCAAGCTCACATCCGTCGACCTCGCCTTCGCCAACTCGCTGCGGCGCACGATGCTCGCCGAGATCCCCACGATGGCCATCGACCTGGTGGAGGTAGAAAGGAACTCCTCGGTGCTGCCTGATGAATTCCTCGCCCACCGTCTGGGTTTGACCCCGCTTAACTCGAAAAACTGCGACCAGGACGTCGAGTACACGCGCGACTGCGAGTGCGAGGACCACTGCGCGCGGTGCAGCGTCACGCTGCTGCTTCATGCGCGCTGCACGGGCGACGAGATCATGCCTGTCTACGCGCGCGATCTGGTCATCAGTGGCGAGCGGGCGAACGAGTGGGTGGGCAGCCCGGTGCTCACGGATCCCGAGGCGAAGGGCTCGTTAATCTGTAAGCTGCGGCGCGGCCAGGAGCTCAAGATGACTTGTATTGCGAAGAAGGGGATTGCCAAGGAGCATTCGAAGTGGGCTCCGACTGCGGCTATTGGGTTCGAGTACGATCCTTACAATAATCTAAAGCATGTGGATTATTGGTATGAGGAGGATGCTGCCAAGGAGTGGTATGTTTTCTTTTCTATGCGCTTTCTCACTATTCCACTTCTCCTTTTTTTTTTCCCCTTGGTCGCCTTCTGTACCACACAGATTTCTCCCGTGCATACCACCAACTGATTCCACCAGGCCCATCTCCCAAAACGCGGCGTGGGAACAACCGGCGCCCCCAGACCAGCCCTTCGACTACGACGCCCAACCCAACAACTTCTACTTCGACGTCGAAAGCATCGGCAACCTCGACCCGGACATGATCATCCAGCAGGGTATCGTCGTCCTGCAGCGCAAGTTCGCCTCCGTCATCTCCTCTCTCTCGGGCTCAGGCGGCGTCGACGGCGCGGACGCCAACGGCGTCCTGGGCGCCGACGAAGACGACATGATGGGCATGCGCAGCCCTGACGCCTACGAGCCCCCCGAGGGCATGGACGGCGGATTCACCGCCTATGCGAACGGCGGCGCCGCAAGCGCATGGGGCGCCAGCGCCGCCACTCCCTACGGAGCTACACCTTACGGCGGCGGTGGGTTTGGATTCTAGTGTTAATCTTCCTGCACCTTTGTAATTTTGGCTACACTTTTGTACCTGTATATGGAAACCGAGGGTTCATCATGGAAGGGGGAAACGATACACAAAAGAGAGTACGGGAGGGAAACAAGAAGAAAATGTGAAAACAGGGACTGCGAGACTTTCCAGCATCGATGGAGTTATGGCGGGTGGGTTGAATCTTATTTGCCATTTGCGTTTGGATGAGTGGCGTTGGGTTTATTTTCATATCACTTCATACGACTTCTTTCTTTTCTATTGTCATTACTACTACCACTGCTACTATCAGTATCTATGTGTGCTTCCCTTGCCTTCCTCTAGTTATCTAGTAAGCCGGTTGGTTTCTCAGCCGGTATCGCTTGGACTTGAAAACATTGCCTGGTTCTTGAGGCTGTCCACTAGCCACACAATTATGTCGCAAAGAATCATCGCTCGGCCACGAAACAAAAGATATCTAAACACTGCTGGGCTCCGCGAGTAACCAAAAAGCAGAAAACAGAGTATTACAATATGAGTCTTCAAGGCCAGACAGCTCCTACTTGATGTTGGCCCCCCTGTTTAGTCATCTCCTATCGTCCATCCCACGGGGGATGTTACCACCACCACTGTATTCTGCCAAGTCGTCGCCCAGGGGTGGTCAGCCTGTTGATGAGGTAGGGCTTAATCCTACTCCCTACTACATCTCATAGCTCACAACCAAGAATGGAAAAGTCAACTTCTTCTTCCCCCACCGATTGCCAGTCATATTGACAGGGGAGCTACCCATTTCATACTTACTGTAGGATAGGATAGGATAGGGCTAGGGGAGCTTGAAAGCCCAGGTCTGCCTACTAAAAGTCGATTTGGGGTCCTAGCAATTTATGGTGTTGCAAAGAATACCAGTCGGCCACAAGAGATATCTAGATACTTTTGCGCTTTGTGGGTACCCTCCTCTAATATGTCTAATATCGCGACATGTAGAAATATTAGAACAGGTGCAATAAAGATAATCAATTGTGAACTGGGGATGAGTTTGAAATATCTCGTATAAATGGGCCCTTTCCTGCGCGTACTCGTAGTTGGTAGTGATGATGATGTCGAGGATGCTGACGTGCGCGTCCCCGGCCAGGGGCGGTGGAAAAAACCATATAAAATGATGTAAGTCTCTGCATTCTTGCATAAACTGCGAGGTTCTGTTGAATCTTGAGCAGAACTGCATAGTTAATACAATGCAAGCTCTTTTTTCTTCTAAGGTCCTGTTTTTTTTTCAATGTAGTGATGGTAGAGTCATCCTGCTGGTCGCCGCACTCGAGGCTTTCCTGTGTCTAAGACCAGGACTTCAAAATGCTTGTTGTAAATAACGTTCTGTAGTCCAGAGGAACATCCGTGTAGCACTCGAATGTGCCCAAATCACAACAGATCGCTGTCATCTATATGTCGCTCTCTCGGATCCGTGTGTGAAAGTACGCTTCTTCGATGTCAAACCTTGCATACCATCTGTATCGTAACATGCGGCTTCCGTATGCATGCGTCGGTGGGGGGCGCGTGTACCAATCGTTCTGTAATCTGGTCCAAGGGTTTGTAATTCTGAGAAGGTCTCAGGTGGTTAGTAGTAGAGTGTGTGAGGCGTGATGGTCACCTGTTTTGAAACCTTCCGTGCAAAACTGGGCTTCGTACGGTTTCGCTAGCGATAGTGCACTGACATGTGGTATATACTAGAATATTAAGGGAAAAAAAAAAAAAAAAAAAAAAAAACTTACCTAGAGAGCGTACTATCTCTCCTATCTCGCCCTCAGGGCCACCGGGACCATTCATACCATAACCTCTCCATCGGATTTCCCGGGCGCCGAGAACTCTTCCACCACCTTAGAGAACAGCCCGATTGCACCCAGGGCTTGCTCAGGTTATTGTACATGATTCCCAAATTGCGCTCGGCTTGGATAACAGAGTGGAGGCCGTCGCCGGTAGAGTGAAGTAAGTTGAGTGTTGTATCGCAAACGCCGCATCTCTTTTCATGCACTAGGAAACGTGAGTATTGTCCATAGAGCCAAGCAAGGGCGTGCATGTGCGGGCAGGCAAATATGGACTCGATGTTATGCGGCGCTCGATAGATAGCACGGTTGTCGGAGAAATCTCCTGGATGATGGTGCGGTGTTGACCAATACACGTTGTGTCTGGTCGTGACGACCAGGCAGTTGTCTGAACCGAGGGCCACCGTAGTTGTGAGGGCCACGAAGGCGTCAGGTTCGCTTGTCACCGAACAGCGGTGGATAAGGAACCGTGTATTCTTGAGCACTCGGAGTTGGAATTTCCGACAGATGTTTCGGTGGAGATCGTGACTTGCTACTCCCGTCTGTATCCAATCAACCAGCCGTATGCCATTTGCGTAGGTCAGGGCAAGGCAGGCGCACAGATCAACAACACCTACATCAATGATGCAGTATCGATCTAAACTTGGGCGCCATGTATCTGCATATGTAAAGTGGTTTTTCGGGTGAAGCTTGAGACAGCGGCGGCAAAATCTCCAGTGGGTGTCTTCCAGCTTGAGCAGGAGGTCATTGCGTAAAACGTGCGATTGACTGCCAAATTCGCATGCAGGCAATGGGCTAGCCAGGTACCTTGGCCAGGCCAGTTGCTCATCGCCATGAACAGAACGCAGTAGTCTGTAGAGAGGCTTGCAGGTGAGCGCAAGGCAGGCCTGGTCCACCAGCTGTAAGTATGGTATGATAACTAGGAGAATATCAAGAGGCAACTCCAGGAACGGAGACCAGGGCGGCTCCTCGCGGGGTGATAAACGCTCGTAGCCATTCCGCCCCTTGAACAGTCTAACAAGGCGCAAGAGCTTTCTAATCCAACGCGTCATTGTTGTCCAACGAGTGATGGCTTCGGGATTGGTTGATGGGGCATTTCAAGGTTCGTTCAAAGACGGAGGGGTGGTGATAGCATATTTATAGTTTGAGAACTCCGTTTGAATGGTTATTGCGTAGCCGAACGAGCCATATATGACTTTATCATGACCGAACTTTCTAGTGGTTCTCTTGGCCAGAACCACCTGTAGAGGAGGCCTTTCGCAAATTGATGTCACATAAACATCATCTTCATCATCATTCCTGATAGTCTGTGACCTGCCCCGGTGTCTTCGGTTTGACAGTCAAAGAAGCATGCTGTTCTTGAGCTCGCGAAGAGCCGGGTGTGAGAAGATGCAGCACCTGTGGCTTTGGACCATGATGGTGGAATGGTGCACATGAACATTCCTGTCGCCATGCATCAGAGTACCAATTGGCATTTGCTTGGGTCTGAGATTATTTCCATAACCTCCCGACATGGAGGAGACGTCGACGGTAGGGAGAGGATCAAGAGGAAGAATAATGGTGCTTTAGTGACCACAGAACTATCTCATGGAGCAATTTATTGAGTTATATACTGACTTGTCCTACTAAGTTACTGTATGATCCTATAAAGTAGGTAATCATGTAAATATAATTACTGTGATTTTCCAGCTAGGTTTTCTTTCTTTCTTTTTCAGGTAGTAGGTGACTTATTATAGCTATTATCATCTATTCCTGATAGATCTGAACTTGAAGTAATATAATAATTTGTTTAGATTCTCTCCCTGTTATTCTATTTCTCTTTATAATACTTCCTATTTTCATAACTTCATCATCACGTTCTACTGAAAATTCTCAAAAACATAGCGCTTCCAATCCCCATCATGTCGAGCCCGACCCGTACAAGGCGCTGTCTCCCCTCCACGAGACCCAATCAAAGAATGTGGACGTTGTCAAGTGGTCAGGAATTTCATTTTAACCACTAGACCAAACACATCAACTGACGAGTGGCAGGGCCTCAAAAAAACTATTTATATTCAACATATGTTGAACCGCAAGGCGCGGATTGCGGCGACTGCGTCACAGCAGACGAAAACGGATGCCGTGGCCGATAAAAAAGACTTCATCTCTCTCGGCGGATGGGTGAATGAGGAAAAAGCAGTCCAGCCGCCAGAGGATGTCTTTTAGGTGTGCGGCACCTAGCAGTAGTATATATAGCGTGCCTGGGGATGTCTCCTCCTTTGCATCCTTCAACCACGCAGCTGCTCGTCTCTACGTCTCCTCCTTCAAATCGGTCGAAACGCGCGCGGCCGGCACCCCTGGAGAAGCTACTTTTACCTATACTATCTTACCACTAGGAAGAGGGCATGCAATACCCCTCGGGAGCCGGAAGAGAACACATGATAACGTGATATATAAGGCACTATTCACACCAACCATATCAGAGTTGGTCTATGATACCCTTTTGGCCGGACGATATTATGGCCGCAGGGGAGACCTTTATCTCGATAATGAGATCAAGGGCGCGCCCAAGAAAACCGGAAACCCCGTGAGTAAGTTCTATAGCGATGGGTCGATTATAGATAACTGACGAGCTCGTCCATCTAGGCCAGCCGCGCCCCGGCTCAGCGGGATGAAATTGTCCTTGCACATGGGCACCAAGCTGCACACGGAGATTCTGAGCGTTTACCACTGGGTCAAGCCACCGAGTTACGAACAGATTGTCCGAGAGGACTTGGTGGCGCGACTTCAGTCTTCTTTTCAGAGCAGGTACTACGGTGTTCAAATCCGATCATTCGGATCAGAGTGGCATTCGGTGCGGCGGTTCAGTAAGGATTTTGCGGCGCGGTTACGCCACTCTAATTGAGATCGTTTGCCTCGGGGCTCGGATTGGGAGCGACTACGACAACATCACAACAACTCGTCGACGGGCCCACGAACACTCCGCAAGCAACCACATCGACGCGTTCTTGGCAACATGAAGCCCAACCCGTGCCGGTAACCAGTAGCTTTCGGGTGAAGCCAAAACGGGTTCAAGTAATCATCTGCCTGATTTGAGACGCCCCTATAAGTGATGTTTTCGGTGTTCTTTCTTTGACATCTTGCAGTCGACACTGGGTGGTGATCCCTAGAGCAAGAGCCCCCCGGTCGATAATGCCGCTGAAGAACGGGCTAGCATGGTCAAGGGAGGACAGTCAACTACAGGAGGTTAAAGAAGAGGGAACACCTGTGTGGGCTTAGCTAGCTCTACGTTTACTCACACATGAAAGAAAAAGATGAGAAAAAGAGGAGGAAACCAATCCTTTCTGCCATGCTGCTAATTACAAGAGAAGGAGGCACATAACAACACCAAAGAACATTGATCCTCGAAAGAGTCGCGAACAGAAATAACTAAACATGAACTCGTCTTGGCTTCACCCGAAGGCTACTAGTCACCAGCACTGCGTAGAAGTGCGAGTTCGTCGCTGGTGGCCCCTCCCCCATCCGGCTGTGCCCAGAGCCGGAGGAATCTTGGGGTGTGACTTTCTACATCTCTTCCCCAGACGCCCCAGACACCCACCATCAAGCACCAGACCTTGCAGTCCTGGATCTTCAGACCTTGCGGTCTTGGATCGCCCGAGCTCTGCTCAGGAAATGGTGGGTGGCCTCCTCAAGAACATGGCACCGTTCGCAGCCAGTGGAAGATGCATCATTCCTAGCCTGCAGGGTGGCGACGGCACCCTCCAGACTGGAGAGCAGTCTATCCACTCGCTGTTGCTGGTGCTCGTTCATTGAGAGCTCATCCTCGCGATCCTTGAGCCGATTCTCCAGAACAGTAAGCCTCTCAAGCACCACTTTCTGACCTGACTGGAGGTCTTCCAAGCGGCTCAAGACTTTATCAAATTCTTGAGACGACTCAAGGTCGGTTCTCAGATGATCCAGGGCGACCGAGCCGTCATTAGTGGATGCGCGCTGGGGCATCCGTCGCATGTCCCAAGCGCGAGGCCATAACCACTTGATGCCGGGTACCCTCTCGAGCCAGCCCTCGAGGAGGGATATCAAAGAGATGATGAAAGTCACAATGTCAAAGATGTGATTAGCCGCCGGTTCTGTCTTCATGACTGTGATAGGGGGGAATTGGGGGTATGGGAATTTGTGTTTTGGGATTATTGGGATGCTTGACTTACTTGTGAAGCGAAAAAAAGATCTATAAGGAGGAAAAGAAGAAGTTGAAGGGGCCCCAAAAGCACCATTTTATGACAGTAAGCCCAGCTCCATCCCAATGGGAAGGAACGAAAGGTTATGGCCATGACAATTCGCAAGTAGAAGGCGCCTCCTGCTAGAAAGGAAGGAACAGCACCCTGTACAGCTGGATTACCGCGAGCTCTGGGGGGAAGATATGAGGGTGTACCCCAGTAAGGCACGGAAAGAACTTCCTTTGACTGTGCCCATGCGCTCCTGGCCGCTGGTCTATACCTGCTTATCAACTGTCTACTGTTGACAGTAGATGGTAGTGAATATGGGTAAAGGCGATAAACGAATCATTCGTATAGGAGGCGAGACGGACTAGGTAGGCACCTGCCAACTTGAACATACTACTATGAACCGAGTGACAATCCGGCAGACAATTTTTCCTTGCCTAGGAACCGAACCACGCCAGCTACTACCGCAGAGCCATTTCGCCCGGTGGACCTTTGGTATTCCTTTCCTCGACATACGTTTTTGTGGGTGCTTGCTCCCTGGACAGACTATGCGAATACTGGCGCAGCTTCTAGTAGACCTAGCTCTAGTCAAGTTCAGATTGACTCTTCTTCCAAGAACAGAGGATAGCGTGGGAGAATACGAGCTTGTAACTATAGATTCTAGATTATATACATTAGACAGGCAGCATGACTGTACTACGTGATGTACCATTCTCTGACCTCTGCTTGGTGCCTCCCTCAACTTAGCCCTAAGTCGGCCCGGAAGTGAGTAGTTCCCTGCTTGGGTAGGTGAGAAGATGTAGGCCGGAACAAACCCCCGTCAGAAGGTAGGAGATATGTAGATAATAATCAAATTCTACGACTCGAAAGTTCATATCATGTCTCTGCTAACAGCTAATATATTTCCTTCATTTTCATCATGTCTTTCATTATCGTTAGGATCGTCGTTGTTATAAGACCATCATCGGTTGAATCTCAACCACCATTGTACATACCGCCACAGGGTCAACACTACGATAAAAAATCTGGTGGTCATATATACATGTGAGACAGCCAAAGGAATAGCATTATCAAGGGAGGACGGTCGACAAAAGGAGGTCAAGGGAAAAGATGCACCTATTACGCAACAGTGTGGGATTAACCAACTTAGAGGGCTGCCTGTACGTATACTTATACGCGGGAGAAGAAGAGAGAAGAACGAACTGATCCTTCCTAATAGATGTTGCTAACTGCAAGAGCAAGGGAGGTAGCAACACCAAAGAACACTCTCCCGTACAGAAGTCGTAAACAGGGCAAATACTTGAACATACCATGAACTCGTCTTGGCTTCACCCGGAGGCTACTAGTCACCAGCACTGCGTAGAAGTGCGAGTTCGTCGCTGGTGGCCCTCCCCCATCCGACTCGACCCAGACTGGAGGGATCATCGGGTTTGCCTCTATCTAGCTCTTCTCCAAAGGTTACTCTTGCGGTCCAGAATCTTATGACAATCCTTCAGAAAAAAGTCAAACAGAGAGACGCAGGAAGTCACGATGTCCCAAACACGGTATTGGCTTCACACCAGCACTGCGTAGAAGTGGGAGTTCGTTGCTGGTGGCCCTCCCCCCTCCGGCCTGGCCCACGAGCCTGAGTAAATCATCGAATTTGACTCTATCCAACCCTTCCCAGACGTCCCTGGATCAGGTCAGCATTGCTGACGAACCAGTGGATGGGTCCCCCTTGAACGAGCACCATTCCCAGCGAGTGAACAGTGCGTCTTCCCTAGCCTGCAGGATGGCGACCGCACCTTCCAGGCTGGTCAGCACTTTATCCACTCGCTGGTACTGGTGCTCGTTCAAGGGGAGTGACTCTTGCCGCTTCTCCAGACCAGGGAGCCTATCACGCAGCACGTCAAAGAAACAGGGTCAAATCAACGCGGCAATCAGGTACCCTCTCAAGCCAGTCCTTGAGGAAGGATATCAGAGTGATCAAGAAATCTAACAGATCCCAAACATGGCCAGAAACAGTAACACTTACATTCGTAAAGTGAAAAACAACAATCACGAAACCAATGACCATGCCCAGTCCTTGAAAAAGGATACCAGAGAGATCAAGAAAGCCAGCAATTAAAAATGTGATCAGCCAGCAGTTCGACCTTCATGATCGCGACTGGAGGGGTGAATGTTTTGGGTTTGGAAGCCTGTGTATTGGGATGCTTGACTTGCTTGTAATGAGAGAAGATTCCATGGAGAGAAAAAAAAGAATATGAAGGAACCTTGGAAATAGTGTTTATAACAGCAAATCCAGCTCCATAGTAATGGGAGGAGAGTGCGGCTCAGCTTTGGAAAATGACATTGAAAGATGATCGTTGAGAGGAAGTGATAGTGAGAAGGAAAAGAAGAACATGAAGGGAGGGAAGAAGAGGAAAAAGAGGAGAGGGCGAATCACAACACTCCATAACAGCGAGTCCAACTCATCCTAACAGGAAGGAATGAATAACCATCATCATACTAATTCACAATTTGGGGCAGGGCAGGTACCTCCTACGCCCCAGAAAGGAAGGAATAACACCCAGCTGAGCCCAGTGGAGATGAGAAACCGCAGTGCAAGCAGGATTACCTACCTGGTTTGGACAGACACGGTATACAGATCATTTGTTTGGGGACATGTAGACCACCTAATGTGCGTCGGACCTTGATCTTTTCTTTATACCTGGGTTTGAGGGTAGGTATGTAGCATGGGCGTACTACCTACTATACACCAGTATCTCACTTCTGCTGGATCCTCATCCTAGATTGCGTAGCCCTAAGCTGGAGGTAAGTATTTGCCCCAGCATCAGATTGCCTGGGTAAGAAGGTATGATGGGAGTAATGCAGATTGAACAGTTCTACTACCTCATTTCAATGGATATAAGAAACGATAGAATAGAAAAACAAGAGTAGATAAATAGTCTGAAATTCCAAGTAAAGTAAAGACAGCATTCAGTTATGTAAAAAATGAGATGGGCTACCTGTACACCATAAATGCCATCATCCATCCACCTGTCTGTCCACTGTTTTCAATCGGTCGATCGGTTGATCAATCAACCAGTCAACCAGTCAATCAAGACCAACCAACCAGTCACGAAAATCAACAGTCAGTCAATCAACCAAGACCAACTAACCAGGTGACTAACCAACCCAACCACAAAACCAAGGACAGACATAGTCATTGAAGGAAATCCAACCCGTAAACAACAACAGTACCAACAACCCAGAATGGTGATAGAGCCGAGAGAAACCGATAAAAAAAAAGATAAACCAGACTCCAATCCCAGTGTCAATGTCAATGTCAATCGATAAGAAGACCTTCTTCGCCCCCGAGTGCTTTACAAAAACCAAATGACCATGCGTGTATGTCTGTTTCTTGCACGAAACGCTAAACGCCGCCCCCAGGGGGTGTGATAAAAGGAATCTTCTAAGACAGGATGTGAGGAATGGAATAGAATATGGACTGGGAAATGGAGAGGAATCAGAAATCACAGTGAGGGGTTGTGAATGGTGGATGTGAAGGGTTGTGATGGCTCGGTGTGAAGAACTATGAGAGATGTGAAACGGGTTCGGTTTTGTCACCCATCTATTGTTTCATCCTCATCGGAGGCTTCCGGGAGGAGTGTAGACGGGAGTTTCCGGCCGGATCCGTACACCATCTCCATGAGTTTGGCTTTTTGTTTATCCCGCACGGTGCGCAGGTAGTCGTAGCTGCCTTCAAGACCGCGGATCTGGCCCTCGATGACGGCTTCGACGGGACCCAGCAGGCGGCCGTTGCTGCGACCGTGGCCGCTGTCCAGGGCGCCGACGAAGCTGACCGAGTCGTTGCGGCGGACGAGTGGGCTTACCAGCTTCCGGCGCAACGTCTCAAGGTTGACTTTGAGGGTCAGCAGGCGGCCGCGGTGGTCCATGAGGAGGTGCTTGTTGGCGACGGTGCGGCTGCGGACGCTGGCGAGCAAGCGCTTGTTCTTCTCGTACTTGCGCACGACGGCGGCGTTCGGGCCCAGCACGCGTGTCCACAGCGAGCTGAGCATCTCGCCTTCGGCGCGCTCCTGGGCGTCCGACTCGCGGACAACGGTGCGCTGCAGGTTCAGGAACTGGCGGTCGATGGACTCAAAGAGCGCGAAGAGCGCCGTCGAGTGCGTCAGCTCGCTGTTGATCGACTCCTCCAACACGGAGAGGAACTCGGTGAAGGTGCGCGTGAGGGCGGACCGCGTGCGCTGGGCGGCCGTCTGCCCGAAGATGGTGGTCACGATATTGCCGAAGGTGGTCGGGGTCGTCGTGAGTTCGCTGGCGCCGCCCTCGTCGCCGCTGCTTGGCTCTGCCACCTGCTCCAGCGTGCCCAGCTGCGCCAGCAGGTCGTGCACGTTGTCGAAGACGATCGTCGGGAGGGAGCTGGGCGGCTGGGAGGACAGGGCCTCTAGCTCTCGTTTGGCCCAGTCCATGACGATGAGGATCGAGTCGACGTCGGAGTCGACGTTGGCGAAGAAGCGCGTCAGCTCCAGCGACAGCGACTTCAAAGAGTCGGACAGCTCATCCAGCTGGCCCACGATGATCGGCGCGCTGGTCATGTTCGTCCCGCGCACCGACTCGCTCAGGTCCCAGACGGCCACACCGGTCTCCTGCAGTGCCCCGATATGCTGCACGCCATTCTCCGAGTAGTGGATCAGCGGCTCGAACGATCGCGCGAACCCAGACAGCTTCACCAGATCCGGGATGGACTGCGGGACGCTGGGTAAGAATAGCGCGTGCATGATGGCCATCGAGAGGAATAAGGCGACCACCGATAGGATCGTGCTAGATTTGGAGCTAGTCATGTTGTCGAACTTGGATCGCAAGTAACCGAAGAATGCGACGAAGGGTTCGCGATGTTGAACCTCGGCTCTTACAGCGAACCGGATGTCTTCACGGCACGATGGGCCAAGCAAGAAAGGCACTTGTTAGCATCCAGCACCAACCTGCAGTCAGGATTGTAGAGAAAAAAAATGGAGAGAGCGCCTACAATTGCTGATGTTATTCTCGGGCCGAAAGTCTACGTCCTCCGGACCCGGGCTGGTCTCTGCGCCTCGCACGGGGCTTGGACTGCGACCCTTCAGGGGGGATTCTGCTCCGGTGGGCAGAGGCACATTGGCGGCCAGCGTGACATCCCCCGTATCCGCCGACACACTTCGCTGCACCTCGGTGGGCGCCTCCATGGCATCCTCATACTGGGGGCTCGGTTCGCGCGACTGCGACGGACTGAGGCCCACGGTCGGTTTCAAGGTCGGTCGATCCTCGTCGAACTTGCGCGTGTAGGGCGAGTGGCGGTACCATCCACTACCCTGCACAAAGTCGTACCGGCGATCGCCCGGGGGCGACCACACCTCGCCGTTGGGGGTCACCTCATCTTCCCCGTCGGATTCCTCGGCTCGAAAGCCCGAATGCTGCGATGGCAGGCCGAAGACCGGGGAGGGCCGGGGACTGCTGTTGTTCTCAAAGTCTTCTAGGGACGCATCCAGCGACGGATGGTCGTCAAACACGTGGTCCAATTCGTCCAGCATCATGGACGGGGTTGCGCACGACACCCGCGAGAGTTCCAAAGCCAGTGAAATCGCGGCGATCGCGAGGCGACAAGTGAGAACGTGCGGGCGCAACGCTCACTGTCGGGGATTGGGCGAGTAAGTAAAGGCTTGGAAGGTGTCTGGTCAGTCGCGACAACGCAGGGCGCCACGGGTCGAGTGGGGAATGTGGACTATGCGCTGATGGCGGGAGAAGGGTTTGGTGGGGTACAAGATCAAGAAATGGTAGCAACAAATGAAGCTGCAAGTCAGAAGGAATAAACCAAGATACAACGATGCAAGACATGGGAATGCGACACGGCAGGACGAGTCGCAAAGAGGGAGACGTCCAAGGTGAGGCCTTGATGCCTGAGGACGGAGAGGGGTGGGCTGGACCACCGAAGTGATTGGCCTGGAGGGTGGACAAGTCACTCGACTTCGGATGATCCAGAGCAGTAGTAAGCAATCGGCGGAGGGAATGGCAGATAGGTCAGTGAAGGAGAGGAGCAGTTACAACGGCACTTGCAGGTGATGGAGGTGCCACAAGGTGTTCGAAGGGAACGAGGTTAGTGAAGCACAATCAGTCCACATTCACTGAGTTTATTGTCTTATATTTTCTTCTTCTTTTTTTTAAAAAACTTGGTATGATTCTGGATTATCTGTGGCAACAGGGCCGTTCTAGGGTTGGTGAAGAGGGATGAAGGAGAAGATCCAGGTACCCAAGGGGAGACTTGATGAAGGAATTTGCCCCTCGCATTTGGGGAGGCAGGGTATTTTAATCAAGCGTGGCCGTCAGTGGAAAGGCCTGGGAGAGGGAAAACCCCCCGATCTGAACGCTCTGACACGGTCCTATCCTATCTGATGGGCGAGTCGAGGGTCGCGAAGGAAGAACGTCCAACGAGCCCAAGAGGGGCGGCAATGGGAGGCTGGGCCAATGATACGAAACAGGACCCCGGTCATGTGTTCCAGCCCGTACTGCGCCGTACAGCACCGTCGTAGTCCCCAGTCTGCAGGTTTTGGGAGAAAGGTAAATGCGGTCAAGGCTGCAAGGATCATCGGATGGACTGCAGCGATAACGCTCGATCAGGTTGGTGGGGGAGGGAATGGGGGTAAGTTCGTGCGAGAGAGGGGCCCTTGAGTAGTGTCGGACTCGGGCGACCTCAGGTACAAGTCAGGATGAGGGATGATGTACGTGATGTACACTGGGAATCATACTGGTCGGTGTTGCAGGGGACCATCCACATCGAGTCAGCTTGCGTCATGGAGAATGACGATCGATCGAGGATGGTTGACTTGATGGGATGGGATGAGACGGCCAGACTGAGACTGGGACGGCAGCGGTTGGCGCCCGGGGCACGTGACGTGGCACGTGGAGATCACGGGAATCTGAATCAAGAGTAAACAGAAGAGAATAATCATGAGTGGAGTTTCTATTTCATTATCGCCTCTCGGCCTGATCAAAACAAATTCAAAACCAAGTGAGCCATGCTACAGAACTGTACAAAACCATGTCCGACCATTCAGAATAAAAAACAAACAGGGGAAAAGGGGAAAAGGAGGGAGACTGCAGGCGGATGCAGTTGACGGTCGCAACCCGAACATCTAACTAGATGACATCCTCGCAATACTCCAACAACCAAGGAAAACCAGGTCTATTGTAGTGTAAACAAGGTCAATAATATTACAAGCCCTGCCCGTCGGGTGGCTGAATCTCTGCTGTTACCACAGTGCGTACGCATGATCCGTCCCTCCGGCACCGGGTTATGAAAAGAAGAGTGGAAAGAAAAAAAGCAAGGAAATTTTTGGTTTTCTCTTGTCGCTCACAGAAGAGGGTCGTAAATTTAGGCGGTGTTGTCCTTGAGGAAGCTGCGGAGAGGTTAGCCGGTGTCGCTCCCCACTGTAGTAAATTGGGGGTTGAGATTGGGGACATACGTGATCAGGTCGTTTCTCTCCTTGGGCTTCTTCAGACCACCGAAGGCCATCTTGGTACCGGGGATGAACTTCTTGGGGTTCTCGAGGTACTTGAACTGGAGTGGGGATTAGCGCATGGACCGGCGCACACGGTCTAGACGATGCTTACCAGAGAGTTCTCGTCCCAGGTGACACCGGCCTGCTTGTTGGCGTCGGTGTAGGAGTAGCCCTCGGACTGGCCAGTCTTACGGCCGAAGAGACCGTTCAGGTTGGGGCCGACCTTGTGGGGGCCACCAGCCTCGACGGTGTGGCACTGAGCACAGCGAGTCTAGATGATATTAGCATCTTCTCTATGCTTTTGAAAATCGTCGTGGGTTCTCACCTGGAAGAGCTTGGCACCCTTGGCGGAGTCACCTGGAGAAAGAAGACGGTCAGCGTCGTTGGATTCTTTGGCATTCTTGATGGCTTCTAGCTCTGCCTCCCGGATGTGGAGAGATGTGACGAAGCAAAAAACATCGTAGCTGGTCATGACGGTTGATGGCTTGGATGTTTGAATCTTGAATAGCTGGAAACTGGAAATGACGAGTGCAGTGTCGCTGGGTATGGGTCGAGTTGACAGAAGGGTTGATAGTGAGGTTGGTGGTGAGAATTGGGAATTGAGTTGACAAAGAGTATCCGAGGGCATTCAAAGAACAACCCAAACAAAGCAATGACAGGCATCGCCCCCGGGAACTCCAATGTGCGCATTCACGGCAAGGTTGTAATCATGACAGGGTCGGAATCATCGTCCGCAAAGTTACCGTGCGGCGTGAATAAAGTGAGGTGAGGATGACCACAGCGGTGACAGGAGACAGAGCAGGAAGCAGCAGGGGAGGAATGATCTTACCGGGAGCAAAAGAAGCTTCCTTGCCCATTTTGAATATATAAAAGAAGTCTAAGTGAAAGAAAGACGAAAGTTACTGTACAGAGAGGAAGAGATGGAGCGATTGAGTGATCGAGAGAGGAATTGAAGAGAAATGAAGAAGTCCAAGGAGAGAAGAGAAAAAACTTGCGCTCGGGGAGAGAGAAATTTGTACAAGGACGGGGCCGGCGGTCGTTGCCCCCGAGGGCTCCCGTGATCTGGTTCTAGGCCAATCAGAGCAACGATGATTCACCGCTGACGGGCGCGGTCGGAAATCCTCTTTTTGCTTGCGATTGATTCGGTCTGGCTATCTTACCTCAGTCTATGGGCCGATATAGGAATGATATTCTCTATCGTACAGTCTACATCCTCCGTACTCACTGGACAATCATACCGAACAATAAGTCTTTGTATCTACAACCTACTCGTACAATATACCCTATGTCATGGAAGAGTCCATCATAGCGATGACCTCATCGTCATCAACCAAACCAAGATCCAGACCGACGCCAGAAAGTAATCCAGAATTAACTGGAAATAGCCGGCTCGTCATTTGCCACGGCAGAATCTGCCTTTGGCCCGGGTGGCCTGAGGCAGCTCGGCCGGAGGTCGGGCACCTGACGCATGATCACATGGGCGGTCATATCTGGCAGAATTCGTCCTTCTCAGAATCTGCCGTTCAATATGGCCATTCAATTCATGTCTTTGTAGCCTGTGGAATCAAATCAGGGTGTGATGGCATTCAATCCATGAAGATTCCAATACCATAGAACCTATAAATGTCAAAAAGTCCAACATCGAACTTCCATCCTTTTGCGTGTTTCCATCGAATTCATCGGGAGTCAGTATCCAGCAGCCTTAACGTGGCAGTGATACTATCAGCAGTGCATCATTAAGCAGACCACATCTACTATACAAGGGCGCACAGATACTCTGTACAGACATAATCCGTACAAACCATATTCCATAAATCAGCATACTGCCAATTCAACGCAGCATACCTACTACCTCTGTACAGAGTCAGGCACCAAGGCATACAGAGTGTATAAAATCACGTGACATTATCTCCGCATCGGAAGAAAAACTTCACCATAACACCTACATACAACATACCTCACCTACGCACAATCCAAGCAAAATGCCCACCCCACACCCAATCCCCCGCTTCCTCCTTCCGGGGGGGTTACGCGGAATACTACCCAGAAGAAGCCCTCTCAGCATACGCAACAACCCCCGCGCCACCTTCACCACCTCCAAGAGCACCAGCAACACGAACGACCCCAAACGCACCCTCTCCCAGCCCGACAAATTCCGCCCGCCCTCGCACCCCGCCCGCCGCGTCGTCCAAACGCGCAACGGCAAGGTCCAGACGCGCGAACCAGTCAACTACCCAGGCCCGAAGCTATCCGACAAAGAGCGCGAGGCGCAGAAAAACAAACAGTATCCGCATATGTTTCCGCCGGAGGGAACGGTCATGTTCAAGTTTCTGACGAGTCGGTGGATTCATATTTGGATTGCGATGGTTGGTCTTTCCCTTTCCCCCTCGTTTTCCCTCCCTTTTCACCCTTGAGATGCATATATGCGTATCATACATGTATACAGATGGGGGGAAGTAAGTGAACAATGCTAATAAGGTACAAAGGGCGTCCTAACAACCCTCGCAACATTCACCTTCACCACCAACTTCCGCCAATCCTCCCCCTTCGCGCACCTGCTCCCCGCATGGTCCGACCTGCTGACCTCACCATTCTCGACCGTGTCGCGCGCGATGAGTGTATTCCGGATGCACGTGCAGCATACGTCTGTGCAGACGCGCGAGAAGCGCATGCAGCGGGTTGAGGATGCTGAGAAGAGGAGGCAGTATCGGGTTGCGCATGGGTTGGAGGAGCCGGCTACGCCGCATACGAGCGAGGGCAAGGATGGTGAGGGTCAGGATGTGGATGAGCAGTCGCCTGTTGCGCAGGAGGGAGGTGTTGGTTCTGGGCAGGGGCAAGTGAAGGATGGGGAGTATGTGGATTGGGAGGGGAAGAGGAGGCCTGTTAAGAAGTGGTTAGGGATTTGGTGATCTCCTTCTTTCACTTTTACTTTTATTCTATAGACTTGACGGGTGTCTTGGAAGCAAAGGAGGATTTGGGGGATGAGGATGTAAGATAGCGAATGGTTCAACGAGGATGAGGACTGTAAGATAGAGGAATGGTGAAACGAGGATGTCAGATGAAGATTATGGATGAGATGAAGTGTATATTAGATGTCATGTCTGTTGTTTCGTATGATCTATGTATTATGTACAGCCCGCTCGGTCTGGATGATGCATTCATTCCATATCCGGTTCATCCTGCCGTAGTCGTAGCCGTACTCTAACTAGTCGAGTCGCAGCTCAGCAGACGGGCTGGAGACGACTCGCCCGCGCAGGTAGACTGGACTACCCCTGCATTCGCATCGCGGACATACGGCGAGCCCTGCATACCCACTCAACTCAAGTCAAGTCAAATTAAGTGTCGTCACTCGCTCAACCAAGCGATAAAATAAGGATATCCCTCCTGCTCGGCAAAGGAATCACCCAACTTGAACACCCTCCAACCCCTCCAGAACCTCCTCCCCCACACCCCCCCTCTGCAGCACCAGCTTCGCCATCCGCGCAATCGTACTCCGCTTGACGCCTCCCCTCCGCGGGCGCCACACACCAGGGACTTCGCCCGACTCTGTCGCGCCTCCTCCAGTGGCTGCACCTCCAGTAGCAGCATTCTCCGTGTTCGGAACACCCGGCTGCGTTAACCGCGATGGGGGATCCACCGTGCGGATAGATAGTAGTTTCAAACCGTCTGAGCCGTCATTGCGCGTGACGGATACAGCGAGGACAGTGTCTGCGACGGCGATTTCCTCCCTGTTCGGATCGAAGATGACGTTTTCGCCGACTGCGATGACGAGCAGCGTGACGGGGGGGCGCACTTGCTGCTGTTTGAGCGAGGGGGTCGCAGAGCGCGGATACAGATACTCTGCTGCGTTCCAGTCGTCATCAAAGAAGGGATCCTCCTCGCCCTGCGATTTCAATTTCGGTAATTTCGTCGAGAGAAGCGCGAGATGTGTCGTTAAAGAGAGAAGCGGGAGGGGATAGGAAAGAGGTTGCGAGAGTAGTAGAACCTGTTTTTCCCACGTTAGCACACCCACAAACCCTTCAAGAGCATAAAACAAGGACGCAAGGGAAAAAAAAAAAAAAGGCTGACATACATCAATATACAACCTCCAATGCCACCTCCTATTAATAACCAACCTGGCCTTCAAACCCCCGGTCATCCCCCCACTACCACCCTCAGAAACACTCTCCACAAGCGGCTCGCGCATCATCTCCGCCAAAAAAACCGGCAACGCATCATCGTCCCTGAACCCCGGAATCTCAATCGACATCTGCACCCAAGACCCATGACCCTGGCCAGGCGCCTGTCCATCCCCACCAGCTACCCCCGCACCATCATTATCACCGGCAGCAGCGGCGGCCGTCGTATCCGACCCAAGAACAGTTTTCTCAACCTCAGCCTTGACACCCACAACCGCCTGCGTCCCGTCCGCGAAGCCAACCCTTGCGCTGCCGTTCGCGCCGGGCAGGACGTCCGTTTCGGCAGCGAGGGGCCGGAACTGTGTTGCGGAGCGGCCGTCGGGGCGGATGGGGGCGTTGGGGAGGGAGAGGGATGTGTAGAGGTAGGAGAGCTCTGCTGGGGAGAGGTGCGGGGTTTGTGAGGCGGAGGAGGCTTGGCGTTGGGCGGACATTGTATTTCTTTATCTATCGAGCCTGCTTTTGGGCCCGGCTGTTGTGGGAGGGGCGAAGTTATTGTGGTTTGGGGGGAGAGAATTCTTTTGATAATGATGGTGATGGCTTGATTGGGAAATTCTGCGGGCGGGCCGGGGTTGTTCCGTTCTTTGATTTTGCTATCTGCCATCTACTATCTATCTACTATCTACTCCCGGAGTCCATCGAGATAAGTTACTTACTATGAAAAGACCGAAAGATACTAGGAACGATATTGAATCATGATGTGAAAAGTATATATGTATATCAATTAATATATGCAAGCGGAATCCGCCGATAACTATATTACAAGTACTAGAGTAGGTATTTTGTATCCCAGACCATCCGCTAGTGGTCTCCCAGTAAACGAAACAACAAGATTGTACAGGAAAAGAAGAATTTTGTGCAAAGGAATGAAGCCCGGGGGAATAAGTCAATGCTGAAGAATGAGAGAGCGACGCAAGGAAAAAGGATGGTAACGATTTGGACAAATTCGGGGTATGCACGAGCAGATATGTATAATGTAGATGAAGGAAAGGAGCTGCGACTGGCGCGCTGGTAAGGGGATGAGGGTGGTATCAGTGAATCAGGGAATGTGCAAAAGGAGAGACAAACACTGCATGCCGAAAAAAAAAAAACAGGTGCGAGGCCGGGTAGATCTATTGATGGCCTTTGGGGTATGAAAGCAAGAAGACGCGATACCGCCCTATAAGTAGGGATGATAAACAAGAACGCAGCCCACATAAGAAAGAAATAACACAGATAACACAATATAAGACACCAGATCCGTACGCCTTGGGTGAAATCGCCGGACCACCGAGTGATGTGTAAATGGCAGAAGAATGTGAAATAGATAGTCGAGGGGAGACTGACTACCGGTAGGTAGGGCCAGCCAGCAGGTGGGACGGGGCCGGATGCGCCCAGTCGCCTTCTTCGTAAGGAGGCGTGGGCCATTGGCGATTGGGGTAGGTCGCCTTCTCATCCCGCCGGCAGGGCGTCGTGTCCTGGCCGAACGAGACGCCGTCACACCGCGCTGACGGGGAGGGAGTGGGGTACGGGCTCGGCAGGGTCCGCGAGCTGTCGTTTGGCATTGGCTGACGGCTGTAGTTGGACGAGCCGTCCGAGGAATTCTGCGTCTGCGCCAGGCGCTTGGCTGCCTTGCTGGTAGAGTGCAGCACCTCGTCAAGCAGCTCGTCCTCCTCCTCGGGGGTCTCGTACCGGTGGACGGGGTGCGAGGACATCTGCATAGCACGTCGCGTGCGGCTCGAGAGGGGCGCACTCGTGCTGCTGGTCGACACCGGGCTATCGCCCATGGAGCGAATGGAACCGTGGGGCATCGACTGGCGCTTGCCACCTTCGATCGTCGTGGTAATCGGGACGGGCACGTTGCCGAGCGCCGTCGAATCCAGGGAGCACTTGACCCCCTGTAGGGCCTTATCCAGCTCCGAGAGATCGTTCTGCTTGGCGTCGGACCCACTGGCGGAATCCAGGGCGAGGGACGACCGGTTCGACCACGGCATGCAACCGGCATTGCCCTCTGCCTCTTCCCCCGACGAATGCGCCTGGTTGCGGCCGGACAGTCGGCGAGCGCGCTTGCGGAGGTGGGAGAAGAAGCTTTCCCGCTGGCCGGAGCCTGGGGTGTTGTGGGCGCCGCCGTTGAGCATGCGCTCGGCTTCCTGTCGGTGGGTGTCGGCGTAATGATTGCCATGAGAGTTGACCGAGAGCTGTCGCCCGATCTTCTTGCTCTTCCCGTCGCCCGCGGTGAGCGACGAGTTCGCCTGCGCCGTGACCGCGTTCGACAGCGGTGAGACGGGGCGGATAGAGGGCAGAATGGGCATGGGGGCGCCGTTGGCCCACGTGGCCCGCTTCTGTGGTGCGGGTCGGGTGGTAGTGGTGGTGGTGGTGGTGGTGGTCGTGTGGGCCTCGGACGGCACATTGTAGGAGACGACGGGCTGCTGCTTAGGCGGCTGGTCAATGTCCATGGCGGTCGTGGTGTTCTCGGTCTTCCCGATCAGCGAGCGGCGGAACCAGGACGGCTTCGACGAGAGACCAGGGGCGTCGACGAGGTCGCGGGTCGGCGACTTGAACACCTTCTCGGAGTGCTTGCGGCTCACCAGACGGGCGGTTGACGACCGCGGGCGCAAGGGATCCACCGCATCCGCAAAGTACTCGTGGTTCAAGGCCTGCTTGGAGGTCGGGCGGTGCTTGGGGTCCCACATGAGACACCAGGTGACGAAATGGCTCAGGGCCGGGGACCACTGGGGCGAGGGGAGGATGCTCTCCATCGCGTGCGGCGCCATTTTGGGGAAGGTGAAGCCTAGCTTCTGGGCCAGACGGGAGCCATCGCGCCATTCACCGCCGCCAATCTTGGCGCCCGATTTGCTGTACCAGTTGCCCGGACTGCCCATGATCTCGCAGACGCGCCATACTTGGTCGACCTCGTTCCCACCGGGGAAGAGTGGCTTCAGGGTGGCAATCTCGACGGCCATGGCACCGACGGCCCACATGTCGACGGGGGCCGAGTACTGTCCGGCGCGGAGCAGGACCTCCGGTGCTCGGTACCATCGGGTCGAGACGTATGTGGTGTAGGGGAGTTTGGAGTGGGTTTCACGCGCCAGACCGAAATCGGCAATCTTGACGGTGTAGGTGGGCGGGGTGGAGGGAGGGGTGACGAGGTTGGAGTAGCGGCTGAAGGCGGAGTCGTTGGGGGCCGAGGTCGACACCAGGATGTTTTCGGGCTTGATATCTCGGTGGAAGAAGCGGTGGGCATGGATGTGATCGAGACCAGACAAGATCTGGAAGAGGATGTTCTTGACGTGCTTGCCCTCGAGGCACTTGTGGTCGCGGGCCTTCATCAACTGATAGAGGTTTCCATCCATATACTCCATGGCGATGTGCAGTTTGCGGGAGAGAGGGTCGAGGAAGATGTCCAGCGCGGGGACGAGGTGGGGATGGGAGGGGATAGTACGGAGGAAGATGACTTCCCGCAGCTCCAGACACGGGGTCAGCGAGTCGAAGGTCTTCTTCATTGTTTTGATAGCAACCTGAGAGGTGGAGTCAGCCCAATGTTCTTTGTTCCTGTTCCCATATCCGCAGCGGAGCCCGTTCCCGCGACTTACCATGGTTCCGCGTCGTGCGATGTTCGAGCCAGCGGTTCGTACTCGAGCGACGGCCACACTCCCGAAGCTGCCGTCTCCCACCTCCTTCATGACTTCGAATCGATCTTCGAGCGAAGCCACTGAGGTGGGAGCGGTGCTCCGGGTGGGAGAGGGTTCAAAGGTGACGGCCATTATGACGCTCCTTTTCTATCTTTCGTTTCCTTCTTTCGTCTGTGATGATCTGCCTGCAGATGAACCAAGAAAGACCGGAGTCGGCAGGGAGGAAGAAGAGAGGACTCTTCCAATGGAACTCGGAAGGGAGAGGGATTAGATGAGGCCAGTGGTCATCATTCGACGTGTATATTGAAGGGGATGTTCCAGGATGAGGCGTGAGGGTAGGACTATCCCATGGACGGACGGGAGATGTGGACGGTAAATGTGGAGGGGGAGAAGTGGGATGAGGTAGGAGGAGAAGGAGGGGTGCGATCGATTAGATGTGCGAAGTGGAATGTATAAAAGAATGAAAGGAGGGGGAAGGGGGCAGTCATGTAGGAATGGGAGATCTGGAAGCAAGATGGAAGACCCAAAGGAATGGACGGGGATCACTGGCGGAGTGATAGATAGGAGCGGGACCTCTCCGGTGGGAACTGACGAAAGGGTATAAACGAAAGGATGATCGGGGAGGGTCAGAGGAGTTAATTAGCAACCCCTGACGCGGTGACAGCTTGTGGTGCTAGAGAGCTCCAATTCGGGGGCCGTGGAGACTGAAGAAAAAGAAGCGGTCGACGGATGGAGTAGGGAGAAAGGGAAAAAAAAAAAAAAAAAGAGGAGTATGGGAGGAATTGATGATGCCGATCCCACAGGAAATAGTCACAGTTAATTCCAGTCACAAGGAATTCCCACCGATTGAGGGGTTTTAAGTCTGTCAAGATCCTGTTGTTGGAACAGTTTAAGAAGTCGATAGTTGGAAAGGAAATCAAAGAGAGAATAAAAGAAATGATCACTCGAAATAAATCAATGGATAGAGAAAAGAAAAGAAAAAAGAATGGTCAGGTTGGACAAATGAAAGAAATAAAATGATGAATAAAATAAATCAATAAATAAATAAATAACCAGGTTGAAAAGAGGAGGTTGAGAGAGGGACAGTCAAATCAGATGGAGTAAAAATAAAACAAAATCTCAAAAGGATAGAAAGAAAATCACATAACAGGAAAGAAAAAGAAAAGAGGGACAATTGGAGTGGTGAAAGAACGAATAAACAGGAGGTGAGAGTGAGTTGGATGAGAGAGAGAGAGAGAGAGGGAGAAAACAGTGGTGGAGAGATGGACCGATAGAAAGAGTACTAGGAATGTATCGAGCTGTACAGAACATGGAATAGATTACCAATTACCCAGCAAATGTCACTAATTAAGTCCGAATAATGTGTAAATCACTTGTATAATACAAACAAGTACTCCCTGTTGTTGCTCCACAGTCTCCACACAAGCAAATCAAGATGATGCAAATTCCATGGATCCACTCCGTCTGGTCAAGAAAGTCAATCCCAAACTATCAATGATCAGACGATAATAACAACAATAATAATATTAACACTAATAATACTAGTAATAATAATAGAAAAGGAACGACTCGCCGAAAGGAGAGCGTCGATAGTAGTATAGCGTTGAAACGGCCACCGTTCAACGGTAATAGTAGATGATGTCCTCAGTAAATAGACACATCAATGTCAACGAAGGTCACTATACTCCGTAGAGGAGATACGATCAAATAGTATAGAATGATGATGGTACTTTCTCATGACTCGGTCTGATAATTATAGATCTCCATTTCAAATCTTCCATCCATGTGAGGCGGTCCCTCCCGTCGTCAATGGATCAGTCAGGAACACTTCATCGATGGATCAACTGAACACATAATACATCATTATATAATCTCTTTCATCCTGTATTATATTATAGTTGATAATATAATATCATATAATACTACATAATATCCTGATATCATATACAGTAGAACTCCTATATAGTACGGATTTATACCACGGAACAGGATAACAAGAATAGAACGATGATATATATTACAATACTGAATACAGTCGTGGCAGTGGGGGATCATCATTTCCAGTCTGAAGCTAGGTAGGAGGTACTCGTCGTCTGTTCCATTTTGGCAACCGAATGGACCCATCCATCCCGAACCAGTAAAGTCCGTCTCCTCTCAATCCACTCGAGTCGAACAATACCTACCTACTGAGTACGTGATTGCATCGCGTCCGGCTTGAACGGTCTTTTTCCGGGCGTTAAATAATTCCACACGAATAGATGTCGGTTACTACTAGAGGTCGCGATCGATAATAGAGATTGGTGGACGTTGACCTCCAGTTTCATCCTCGAATTCGCAAATTAAAAACGAAAGAAACGAAAAGAAAAGGATAAAGACGGATTGGCGCCTAAATCCAGTCCTCCTCCTCATTCCATCCTCACTGCCACCCGAGCGAATCCTCGGTATTGTATTACTGCTATTATAACTCGGTGATTATAATATTTTTATTTGTAACTGTGCCGCCGGGGTTTGGAATGATAGCCAAACAAAAGAAACAAGAGGAAAAAAAAGAAAAAAAAGAGAGAGACAAAAAAAAAAAAAAAAAGGAAGAAAGGAAAGTGGCCACTGGCCATGAAGAGTCCAAACCTTCCTGGCCCTTCCAAGGCCCCAGCCTTAATACACACTCGACCCACTTGGCGTCGGCTTCTAGTGATCGTTAGACGGGCCCTAAACCCGGACAAGTCAGGGGGGACTTGAGTTTTGCGTGGTTTGGCGTTGGTCAACTTGGTCAACTTGGTTGGGCCGCGGTGCGAACTCGCTGTCTGTAGTCTGTATTCTGTCGCGTCGCGACTGCTGACTTGTTTGTTGCCTGAGGTCACCTGGACGCGTTCAAATACAGATCCTCCGTAAGAATAACAGCGATAAGGTCCCTGCTATTATACCACGGATGTGACGTGTGAGTTCGTGTCAAGAGAGTCCGACCGAAGGATGACACTCGACAAATGTGATGATCTCATCCTCCTCTTCCTTCGTCTCCCCACCCCCTCTTTCGTCCCCCTTCCCCGGGGACAAGACACATGTCGCTATAGTTCTAGTCTTGGAGACTGTAAACACTACGGTGTAGGTTTTTCAGAGCGGATACAAACACCTCAGTCAGAAAGTAGAAAATAGAAAAGGCGGTGGTTGTCAAGACCAAACTCGATCGGGAAAGAGTGCCGTGTGGATAGAAAGTGTCCGGGAGATGGCGGTCACCGTTCATGCAAGTTTTTTCCAATCCGCAATAATGGGATCCCGAGGTGTTCGTCGGGTTTAGTAATTGTCATTATTATTATCGTCAGAAAATGGAAAACCCAACCCGACAGTGGCTGGGCCTGTAGTTACTAAGGGTGGAGGATGACTGACCGCCAACATGACAAGCGACTACTGGTTATAGCCTGGAGAAAAACACTTCACCGTTCTTTACATTCCATCAATGAGGCCATGCCATTCGTCTGGTGATGCGGATTCTTCCTTTGGATTGACATTCCAGTTTCCCCTCCGCTTCATTCTCGCTTCATTCTCCATTCATCCTCGCTTCATCCTCCGCTTCATGCCACCTCCAACAATTCAAATGGAGGGGTTCAGTCTCCCCACTGAAATTCTACGTGGCATGGAGAGGAGGGGGTGGCTGGAAACACCTCCATCTCTCGAGGAACCGAGGAAGTATGTCCCGCAATTAAACCTTTGTTGCACGGAAACCGCCAGAGTTTCACTGTCCATTTTGATACATGTTTATTACTCATTTGCCTTTTTGTTTATTATGTCAAAGAGAATTCAAATCATCCTTGACCTTAATAGGTACCACTAACCCCAGTACCTCGATATAACCACCCAGTATATGTTACAATCCGAGGGCACCAAAAGGGAAACATGTGTAAGCCAAGGAAAAACACCACACCACACCTCTTGATCAGGTGCAACAAATCCCCTGCATAGCCTTTCCAATGCTTGTCTGGAAATGGCCACTGTCCTCCTCCAGAACAATACACCACCAGTGCACTGATCGACTGCAGGTCACTCAACATATGTATGATGTATGTAGGCAGGCAGGTCGATATGCACCGCCGCCCATCCATGCGGCATGCCATGCACCACCGGCTGATCGACCCTTGTTCTTTTCTGTCCCAGGAAATTAATTCATCTCGGGATGTCAGCCCAGGCTGGAAGGGAAAAAAGCAAACTATAATACTTAAATTAATATTACCCACTATCCTCCGTCGAAATAATGAGGTCAAAGCAAGAACACAAGGACAAAAACTTGAAATCTCAAAACGAGACAATATGTATGCGACCTGCATACCCGATGACCCATCAATTGTACTCCGTCCATCAACATGTCAATCAACCCAAATCTGTTCCATCTTGCAGACAGATGGGTCGATCGTTGGATGGGCCCTAGTTCCTTCAACGTAATCCCAAGCAAGGCATTAATAGTTACTACAGCGACAACCTAACTAATTCTTTGACCTTTTTTTTTTCTTCCTTTTTTCCTCCCTGTACATCACTAGGTCCATCACTCCACCTGCCCGAAAGATCGACCCATTTCCTCGCGCCGGCGTCTCGGCGCGACTGTGGCGACTGGCGAGTTGTCGACGGTATCCTCCGACTAAAGTCAACGGACTAACCTCGCAACGGCTTTTGCTAAGCCCGTTCCAGAAAGGAGTCAGAGACCGGACTGTGTTCTGACCTCCACAACGACCCCGTACATCGCAGTATGTCCTGACCGCAACGGAAAACACGGCTGTAGACTTCACGATCGAGCGATATAGTGGGATGTTGGAGAGTGCTCATGGTTTTGCGGTGTGTCGAGGATGACCGGAATTGATTCCCCGTGCGATGGGGGTACTTACTCCAAGGGTCCAGCCACATGAGTTACTTAGTAGGACTGGATACTAAGTACGGAGAGTAGGTAGGTAGAAGGATGCACCATGGTAACGACCAAAACAATGAGACAGATATATCTAGTCCAAACCGATCGGTCAAGTCTCATGTCGTCCGATCAATAATTGGACGTCTCGACTCTATTGCTTCTTCCCCGGGCGTTGCCGTGCGGCTGACTACCGCTGCATAGTCCATCTTCCCTCAAACTATCCGTGCTCCATTGTTACATACATATATGGGACAGACTATCTACGGAACATGTACGGGGTATGCACGGTTGTATGTGCAGCATGAAAATAAAATAAAAATAAATAAATAAAAAAAGGAAGCCAAGATAGCTGGAGAAAGGGAGGCGAATTCGATAAATCACATCCCCCTCCGCCGCCTAGATCACTTGCAGGGAGGGGTCTTTCGCCCGGTTCGGTTCTTGATACGATATGGATATGATTATGGACCGGCCTTGTCTTTGCTCAGATCAACGCGAATGAGCGACTGATGGTCCGGGTTTGGGTCAGGACAGGGACAGGACTGGGACTTTTGGCGGGGTGATGTATCGCTCTTGACCTGCCCTTTTTTTTGGGCCCTTCTTTGTTTCAGGGACGGTGGTGTCTTCGGTTCTTTGTCATTGCTTCATGGTCTTGACTCGTGTATCTCGTGTTAACGATATTCGCCTACTGAAATCGCCTCCACCGTTGTCAGCCCTTGACCAGGCTTTCTCCTAAATCGTCCGATTTGGAAGAAAACCACATCTAATCAAAACAGAAAAGGGAAAAGTCCAAACAAAAATACAACAAGCTGACAAATCTGTCTACAAAATGACGCTGATTAGTAGATCCCTCACGACAAAAAGGAAACAAAAAAGAGAAGAAAAAGCGTGGAGACAATGGACCCATCCACCCAGAATTGGGTCTGATGCTGACCTCACACTGGTCGGGGAATGCGGATCTCCACTTTCGCCATGGGTTAACGATTTGGTGGCGCATCCAAGGACGGTCCGCTGCGCTTCGACCGGAAAATAATGGGGCTTACCTCCTGATGCCCCCGTCCTATTGAATCATCCTCCTCTTCCGTCGTCTATCGTCCCGTCCAATGCTGAAGGAGAGTGTATATTGCTTTCTCTCCCTTCTTGGTTGTCGTTGGTCGGACGGCTTGATGGATCCTCTTCTCTTCCTCTCCTCCCCCACAGCAGTGAGCAAATCCGGAAAGGTGGTTGCTAAGCGTCTTCCCATTCGGTGGCCGGGACTTGGCTCTGGAAGCTGTCGGCTTCTAGAAGGAATTACTCCGTATATCATCTCGGTTGCGTGAATCGTAGACCGAACTAGCCAGCTACTAATCAACTACTACTATCCCGATATTACTACGACAGACTAACCAAGTGTTGATACAATTTGAGACACCTCCGGAGTATAGTTAGCCAACACCCAGTGCAACAGGATAGGCTACCGTCAGCCATGCACTCACCCTTCTACCCGCTTCCTGAATCCTGCTAGAATCCTGACGAACCAGCCGTTGAGCCCAAGTACCGACGTCAACAACCGTCCATAAACCACCCGTCCTCCTTAGTCCCCGTCCTCCATATCCGTAACTGACACACATACATCCGCAATCCATAAACTAGTTAGTCGGCCGTCCGCGGAGGATCAACAAAGGGTCCCCCCCTGCAAAACACGGAGAGGGACCGGACTGAATCGGCTTGGATTGGCTGGAACGGGGCACCATTCGACGCCTCGCCCGCTCCGCTCTCCGGAAGTTCCAGTCAGAGTCCCCCCTTAGTGTCAGGCAGCTAGACATCTTTCTGGAACTGCGCTAGGGAGATCGTATCATATCAAGGCACATTATATCGTTGATCACGGATCATATAATTTAACTTCTTTGCCCCCCTCCGCCCCTGATCTGTGTGAAGTGATTAAAAGTACCTTACTACCTACCTACCTACCTACCTACCTACCTGTTTGGTACAGTAGCCTAGGTAGTGGGTAGGTAGGTACCTGAACGTCATCGACGTGGAGTTCCCCTATTACGGTTCTCGGATCAACAGCCCCGACGAAGCGGTTGATTCCTAGGCTCATTCCCAGGAATAAGAATAGGAATGCATGATGTTCCAACTTACCTTGGTCTTGGGAAGGACGGTCGTAATTGCTGCGTTTTACACTTTTCCCCTGATTCTTAATTTAATTTATCCATTCTTTAGTGTATATTATGTGTATTATGTGAACCGGACGAGTGGAACGCTGAAAAGGAGTCGATGCTTCTCAATTCCATTGCGACTCGGGAGCTTAAGCGAGTGACCATGGCGCCCATCTGGTGTGGGATTTGAGACATGAGATCATGGTGTTTATGGTGAAGTCATTTGGGATGGGAGTGGGATATTGGGTCCACTGGGCTCACCCTTTTCTGAAACCATAGACTATAGTGTCTCTCTTTGGGGATCTATGTCTCGAGATACGAGCATATATCTGATTTTACGCGTTATTGGATGACGTCCAAAAATGACTTGGTCTGTCACTGCATTCTGTGACAGTCAGATGGCACTTGATGCGCTGTCCGTCTTGGGACTGTTTGCTCGATGTTATGCGTTTGTCTTGACGGGTTGTGGACAGTCGCACGGCCTACAGTAAGCTGGTATATACATACAATCAAAATACTTATACCTATTGGAGAAAGACAAACAGATGACTGCTTTGTAGATTGGCCATTCTTCAATTCCTGGCTGCATCTGGGTCAAGAACCCTTTATATGATGGCCTTTGTAAGAAATCGTGATCATACATCTCGGTCTCTTCATACTCTTTGTCACTCTACGTCTACATATTCAGTCATTTGATTAATGGTTGCGAGCGTGTGCAACATCCTATCCATGGTGACAGGCTTCTCGGCCACGGTGCTAATGTTTCTACCATTCACTGAGACATGGTTGTTACCAGCACTATGTGTTTCCGATAAGCACGCTGCAGTGAACATGTTTGGCAGAAGGTGCCGGAACTTGACTGCTTGACGGGAAGACCTCTTGCTCTGAATCTGGAGTTGCCATGCCATCTTCCCTTTCTATCCATCCCCTCCTATCCGTCCCTCCCGGTGCTATCCCTCTCAGTGTATCTCTCAGCGAGCAACCAAATATCAACACATCAGCCTCTATCAAGCCTCCCTCTGTTCCAAGATCAACATGGGCAAAAGGTACAATTCCGTGAGAAGCGCCTTCGCCGGAGGCTGGAGCCAGCATGTTCGAGACCAGTAAGTAAAGCCATATCATCCTCATCCCCTCTATCCCCTCTATCCCCCAGCTCTAAGAATCCATCTCCAAGGCTCGACAACGTCAACATCCCCGAGAGGTACGTCACATTACACCCACAACCCTACCACCAACCCTTCTGGTACAGTCTCCAACGACCAATCCACAGAGTGAAGTGCAAGATCTGCAAGAAAGTCCGCCTGCAGAGCTCTTTCTCGAAGAGACAGCTGGACATCCTGCGTAACGCGATGGTCGTCCAGGGCCAGAGCAACGCCGTCACCGGTCCTGGACACGCTACTTGTCGTGAATGCTCGGGAAACCCGGTCGTCGAGCTCCGCTGTGTCATCTGTGATAAGGTGAAGGGGTTGGATGAGTTTGCGAAGAATCAGAGACATGATCGGGATACTGCTGTATGGCTCGCTTTACTTTGTCTGTGGAACGTATGGTTGATTTGTGGTTATCTAGAGATGTTTGACTTGCGTGCAGAAGCACTCCGAGGCTGAGCCTGTCGCTGAAGAAAATAAGTTGCTTACTGGAAGCGAGCTCTCTAGTGCTCCGCATCCTGGCATGATCGTAAGATTTTATACGATCTATTGCCAGTGGGAGGACCACTACTGATCAACTCGACTAGATGGACGGAACTCTGGCCGAGTCCACCAAGAGACTCGCGCTGAGAGACGCGCCCCACGCAGCTTCCGGACGCGACGATGAGTCTTCTGGCTGGATTGAGCGAGGCCGTATTGACGACTACAACAGAGGCAGGGAAAAGGGCCGCGAGCTCGCTACTATTGACCCCCGGGGTAACGCAGATCGTCTCCGTCAGAGTGGATGGGCATCGTGGGGCATCACTCCCTCGGACACCGCCGCCAGCGTGACTCACTCCTCTCTACTAACTCCCCGGAAAGAGTCCAACTTCGCCAGGGTGGTGAGTAACATATACTATTTTCTAGAAAGGAAGGGAAGACTGACGGCGGGTAGAAATCGGTTAAACCCCCTGGTCAATCTCTTCGTGTGCCTGACCCTACGCAAGACCCGGAGGACTCTGACGGCGAGGAGCCCGAGCCGCTGGATCAGTACCTTTGAGGTGAAGCGGTTCTCAAGCACGGGACAGTTTCTCAAGAACGGGAGATTAGTACTACACAAAGTTGTGATTAGGAACTCATATCTTGGTTTTTAGATGTCGCTATCTGCAAATGGTTGCCAGGATTTGCCCGAGTTGCCCTATGGTATTGATGATTCTAGGAGACAGAAATTTTACGAAATGCAGTTCACGAATATGTATCTGGGAATGAAACCCGCTCTTGTATCGGCATAGATCTCCTACCCCTTTTTCGACGCCATGGATACTACGATCTTGGTTCCGGTCCCATCCCAACCCACCGGATCCATACTTACTCCAACCATGGTTGCTTGCATGCCAACCCTCTTCAGCAAGGCGCGTCAAGTGCCTTGAACAATGTGGCCCACTATAACCCGGGTTGCGAACGTAAGCGCGACACAGCCCTTCGATATCCGATCATGTGGAGTAAGATGGATCATTTGTAATGACGCAGCACCAGTATCTGGTCACCTGGGGCATTTATCCATGGCATTTGTTCATGGGGTGCAAGTACAAAGAAAAATAGTTGTAAGAAGTAGCAGTAGACTTCGTGATCGTTGAGTAAACAGAGTAAGCTTATTCGGTGTCGAAAACCACTTCCTTCCGTTCAACCTCCCACTCAAGCCAGATCGGATACGGTGACGTAGGAAGAAATGGTCGGAGGCTGAAAGAGCGTCAGCCAGTCACCCCTCTTTCTCTTTCTTTCTCCGCCATCCTTCTTGCCCACGCTATGACGATCGTCTAGCCTTGCATCTCTCGATTCAAACATTTTTTTTTTTTGTTTCCTAGCCAGATTCACTTGATCTTTACTCTTCCTGCTGCATCTGCAGTTGTTGCCCCGCATAGTACTTGATTGTTTCAAGGTCTGGTTCTTGAACGCCCGGTGCCCCTCAGTGCCTTCCTGGATCATCCTCATTGTTTGCCATTGTCTTTGGTTGCACTAAGCCGCCACCTTCGAAGATTCTGCCTGCTGAGGCTCTTCAATATATATACCTTCGATTCCCCCGGTCCTTTCTCCTCCTTGTCTTGACCTCCACAGTCGCTCCCTTGGTAATCGGCCAATATTTAAGAGCCACCGTTGGACCAATCTCGAGTGTCAATCCTTTACCCGAATACCCTCGCGATGGCTTCCGATGGCTTTCAGGACATTCCGGGCTCGTATTCTCAGGGTCACACAGCTCCTGTGAACCCCAACGAGTCCATGTCTCCCTCTTATCCTCCTCCTTATCCATCTCACTATGGCCCCGATCGGGTCCCCATGCCCCAGCCGCAAGTTCCACGAACCTCAACCCCAACAAGTCACTATCCGGAGCCACCTCCAAACCCCAGTGCATGGCAGTCGCAGCCGCAGCATTACCCAGGCGGAATCAACGAGGCTGTCCACTCCGCCTTTCACCAGAACGATAGCCCCGCTTACCTCTCGCCGGATGTCTTGAACCGAATCACAGAAAATGTTATCCAGCAGCTCAAGTCGACAAACCTAGGCACTCAGCCACCGCCCGCGGAACCAGCACCACTGCCGCAATGGGCACAGGTACCACAGAACCCGTATCCCAGCGAGTACGCGACTCCCCCGCCTGGCGTTTCGCAGAATCCGTCTCCGATCCCGCCTGATATCTACCGGGAGAGGCCCGACTACCCTCCCGCCCCGTCCAGTGGGTATTCCGGCAGCCCTCGGCCGTATCCTCGACCACCGTCCGTGTCTCCCGCAGAACATCGAGAATCTCCTGTCAGTCAAGCCAGCGAGCGTGGCCAGCGGGTGGAGCCTCGACCGCGGCCACCGTCCAGAGAGGAAACCATTACGGAAATGACGACGCTGGAAAAGATATGGGGCAAGTTCTTCGAGGAAGGGAAGCCGACGGAACGGCTCGGTCAGTTCTTGCGAGGCATCGCAGCCCACTTGGTGAGTGTCTTGGCCGTGGTCTCTGGAAGCTTGTTTGCTTACTCTCTGTTAGATTGAAGATTATGCGCCGGAAAATTCACTCGTGGTGGTGCCCGAAAAGATGCAGAAGTTTTACGAGGACACGCAGATCCCTGCGGATCCTTATCCCTGGCAAGGTAAGTCAGACATGCCCACGTTGGAGACAGCGCTGATCTGTGAGGTTAGATATCTTCGATGATCGTACATCGGCAATTTCGAGGCTATACCGAGACGCCGAAGCGGAGCACCATCTTGTTCAGCAAAAGCTGAAGGAACGGCCCGACATTCCGGGACTGACGCCGCGAGGCTTCCAACGCTGGGCTACTCTACAGATCCGGGCTCATCCGGACAGGGAATATGAGCGGCTGCAGAAGGCAGTCAGGCATATGCCAATCAGTAATCCGGACGATAGGAAAGAGCGGTTCCCAAAGGAGATCCCACGGCGGCTATTTCCGGACGCGCCGGATCTCGTACTCCGAGAGGAGCTAGATCAGTGCATTATGAAGCAATGCGGCTTGCAGCTACCTTCTATTACGGACGAGGAAATCAGGGAGGCTACGGTGCGTCGCCACAAGATGTCGACGAGCTCCACTACGTCTACAAGAGAATCCGTCCCGAGATTCAGTGAGCGAGAGCGCCAAAGCCGTTACCAACCCGCGGTTGAGGATGACGACGATGAGGAGAACGAGATAATTCCGCCGCAACAGATCGAACGCGAGAGGAAGCCGTATACCGCGCACCCTGGAGGGGGCAAGGTGTACGATGAAAACGCGGCCCCACCGATGAGTCGGCACGCCAACACGTCGTCGACGGGCTCCATCCCGAGGAACAGCCCGGTACCTGCAAATCGGGGCTCCGATAGTTATGGCGCTGCGCCCTCCCACCATCGTTCAGGGTCCAGCACGATGTCACGATCTGCAACTGGACGATCACTGAGCCCGCTCCGTGGCTCCCACCCAACGTCCGACTACCGACATTCTGAAAGCGACCTGTTCAGCAGCAGCAGCAACGGAGGCTCCAGATATCCGGCAACCTCAAGTGCAGAGCACTACTATACGTCGGCATCGCCCAACCTCTCAGGAGACCTTGACGACAGTCGCCGTTACCGAGACCTAGACCGCGAGCTCGAAGACCAGCGACTATACGATAGCATCCGCGAGCGGGAAAAGGAGCGCGAACGCGCCAAATACCGTGACCGAAATCCCAAGCGAAGCAGCTGGGCCGACGGAGACGACTACTATCGTGGTGCACAAAGCAGTAGTCCGGTTGGTGGGGTTGACTACAGGACATATACATACAAATGATGTACTCCTTTTTCTCACCTTTCTGTCTTTCCATCATTTTTTCGTTTGGAGTTTGTTGGTTAGACAGGGTGTTTCTTCCCTATCATTGGTTGGAGGATATCCCCCGTCTTTGGCGTTTCCAAAATGTTTCCAAAATAATGTGTCATGTAATTAGTGCAGATAGGGCTTTCCTTTTTCTCTTGGGCCATATGTGGCATAACGACTCATGCGCGACGGTTTATGAATGTCGATTATCTTGTTTTGTCCCATCGTGTATATACATATATATATAGACTCCGGCGAGTAAGTAGTCGCAGGAGTCTTTATCTTCCTATCTTGTCGTATATGAATAAATAAATTATAGAAAGAATGCCGTCACACGCACTCTCTCACACACACATAGAGAGAGTCGAGGGGCTATGGTGATAGAGAGATCATATCCCCCTACACCTCAACTCCCTCATAAACCTCCCCCCCTCAACCCTACAAACCTCCGCCTCCTTCTCCCTCTCCCTCTCCTCCCGCTCCCACGCCCTCAATATAACCCCGCAATGCCTACTCTCACGCTCCCCGCGCGCCCGCGCCTTCCTGACAGCACGATCCCTCCCCTCCTCACCACGCACCTCCTCCGCCTCCGCCTCCTCCTCCAGCCTCACAACCTCCTCCTCGCTCAGCACCCACGGATGCGAAAGCACCTCAGCGAGGTATCGCGCGCGCTGCGCCACAAAGCGCATCTCGGCGTTCGTGTCGCGTAGCAGCCAGAAGCGCTCGAGTTGGAGTTGGGGTGTGCTGCGGAATGTGGAGATTGTGCCCTTGACGTGGGCGAGTGTGCCGGGGACGAGCGGGGTTATGTCTAGCGAGGTGGATGTTGTGGGGGAGGTGTGTGCTGCTGTTGGTGTGCTGGGGTTCGCTGGATTATCGATCTGTTGGATGAGAACGACTATGTCGAGCGTTGCGCCGCTGCTGTCGTCTAGGGTGAGGATCGTGCGGTAGGGGGTTTCGGTGCGCGCGACTATTATCCCTGCTAGGGAGATGTAGCGGATTGGGTGGTTGTGGTAGAAGTAGGTGGATGGGTCTATAGTAGGATATTAATATATATATATATATATTTATCTCTCTCTCTTCCCCCCCTTTCTCTATATGGATGGTGGAGTGGTAGATAATACCTCCATATTGAAACCGCCGTCTCAGTCGATGAACATCCGCGGCAGCGATCTTTACCCAGGTGAAGTGGGTGGGAGCGGCTTTGAAGCAGTAAGCGGGGTAGAATTCGAGGCCATTGTCGTGGACTGTCGCCATGGGGACATTTTCAATATTATCCGTCGGGGGGCTGTTTTCGCATAGGTAGGAGAGTGGGAAATGCGGAGATGGCGAGGTTGACGCGAGGCGGGTGAGAGTCGACGCGGGGTCACGTGGTGGGGCTGTTGCGGTGGGATGTCATGTGATTGGGTTGGTTATTACGATGTGTTTGTCCATGATGCATGTCTATATAGTTTGTTCATGCTATTAACGAAGGTGGATTCAGTATGATGACCTGCGTGTCGAATGTGAGGCTTTTGATGTGTCCATTGATGGGAGATGATGGTCTACCCGAGTGACCAGAATGGATTGCTTCAAGACGATCGGATTCACTGGTAGCTGGTCAGACCCTCAACACTACCTATCAAGCAAGCACATGCTGACAATACTATACTACGATAATGACCATTGGCTCGGCATACAAGTCAAGCGGCGCCATGTACCGAGAACCGCGCCAATCGGTCGATCGTGCAGTCTCTCCGCATTTGACTGGGGAGCCAAGGCTGAGATATATAGAATGACCACACTATCCGTACACTATATGTCTGCCAATCTCACTACATACATGACTGTTATAGTATATATCATCTGATATAATGACGTTTGCGAATATCAAGCTCCCCACAAATCCGCGGCCGACAGGCATCTTCGAGGTCCGCCCGTCCAGCGCAGAAAGCGCAGCCAAGACAGCAGAGCTGATCAAGACAAACAACGAGCGTTACCATCTTCTGATCCACAATGCGGGCGTGCATAGTGAGTTTACTGCCAAACCCATCCAGACGTATGTCTCACTCAAGAACAGACCACATCCTCCACCACCTACTAGCCCTATATTCCATGGGCGCAACGCCCGCCCAGCTCGAAAAGGCCTTTCTGCGAGGCACCATCTCCCAGAAACCGGCTGCTGTGCCCAACAGACAGCGGGTGCACAACTTCAGAGATCCATCGCAGTTCCGGGCGTGTGTGGGAAAGGGCAAGTACTATAATGACTACTATGCATTCTTTCAGGAGGAGGTCGAGCGGAATGGCATGGCGTGGACGGCGAAGGAGTATATCTTCAAGGGCGACGAGCGGGGAGAGGAGATGTTTCGTCGATTCTTTGGTGGTGGGTTTCATTCCTTTTTTTTTTTTTTCTTTCTTTCTTGCTCGTATGTTAGCCTTTGTCCGTTGTGCTGACACGAGGAGTCAAGGCTACCTGCATTCACCCATCCACTTGGGCTACGCAATTGAATTCGACCAGCCTCTTATCGCGGCAGAGGCATTCGCACTGACATCCGTTCACTCCTCATTCTACGGCGAAACCCTACATATGATCGAAAAAGCTGTCCAGTCATCGCCTCCCGCCCCAGGCCGCGCGTTAATCGACATCCAGCAAGACATCTACTCCAACCAAAACATCCGAAACGCAATGGACTACAACGACATGGACAAACTGCATCAAAGCGTCGTCCCAAACGCCAAAGACGACCTCGTCAGACTGGTCGGACAATGGCGAGTCCACCCAGACGAGCTTGAGGTCCGTGTTGCAGAACTGCTCAACACATTCAGTACTTAAACACACTCCCCCCTCATCCTCACCCTCGCCATTCACCACTAACTAACACACCGCCAGCCTACCTAGCAGCATCCGCACAACGCCCCAACAAACAAATCCGCTTCGACTTCTTCCTCATGCACGCAATAACATCGAGCTCCTTCGCGCCCGTCCTCATCAGCACACCATGGATCCCAAAGCCAGTTCGAGCCCGTATCCTCGAATGGCTCGGCCGCGCAGCTTTACTGATCTACATTGAGTCGGGGGCTCCTCTGCCCCGTCCTGAAGAGATAGCAAGGTATAAACCCCTTCATCCGTCCGGATGGAGTGAGATCTTCTACCGCGCGTGCGAGTACGAAGATGACGGACATTTGATTAAGCTTATTCGCGGGATCCGCACGGCTGCTGCGCTTGCGGGGCCGTATGCTGATCGGAGCGAGTTTTTGCTGAAGGGGGAGGGGGAGTTTTTGGTGATTGCTCATATGGGTGAGTCTTTCCTTCTCATCATCTCCATCATCTCCATCACATTGATCGTCACGACGAGCCATGCGATATTCTACAATTTAGATAAAATACTAACGATAATAAAAAGCAATGGACGGCGCCGAAAAATTCCAAACCGAATCCGTCGAGCAAGAAGTCGAACAGGTCAACGAGAATTCCATAATGGGGCAGATCTTACCCCGGGATATCATGCGCGTGGTGGCGCGCTGGCCCCGCAATGTGGGATACGACGAGGCTTGGTATCATGTTCCGGAGAGGGAGGGACTGCTGGCTAAGGCGAGGATTTGATAGACCTTGGTTCTTTGGTGCTGGGCTTGTGGCCTGGTTGTTTTTGTTTTTGTGGTTGGTTGGTTGGCTGGTTGGGTTGTGTTGATGGTATCATTGGATAGGGACATTTTACGGCTGATGTTTTATATGCGATTGATGTGAGTAAGGACATGTTACGAATGAGATGTTTCTATGGTATCAGTTGAGTAGGGTTGAGTTCCACTGTATACTCCGAGTATATCCTATGAATAGGCGTGAATGATTGTGTCAGACAAGTACCCTATGCTACAGGTATATGTATACAGTCAGAACTTCGAGAAACCAATTCTCAAACACTGCCTTCAATTTAGACGCACTAGTGACACTACCCAAATAACAATATACACTTGTGATATACGTCCTATCATTAACATAAACAAAACAAATGATGTTAATATCATATTGTGCAATATGCCTAAACCCAACCACACCACCATCAGAATCATGTTATACTACTGGTGGAAACCCATTCGCCCATGATAACCAACCTAACCAACGCAGTCAATCAAGTCCGACAGACAGGAAATTTAGCCTGAATGGTGCTTTACCATGGACGTGACATGGATACTATTTAGTAGGTCCTCATTTTACCTATCGGTAAACGAATCGGTGGATTGTCCGGTGGGATTTCTTCGGGCCTTGCATTAGGGGCCCTGTATTAATATAAGTACCTTACCCCATTGCCACGACCCCAGCAAAGACACAATCAGTACACTCCGCCAACATGAAGATCCTCACCGCACTGTGCAGCGTTCTGTCCATAGCATGGGCATCTCCCACCCCCAGCCCAGAAGGGAAAACATACACAAACCCCCTCCTCCCAGGCTGGCACTCCGACCCCTCATGCGTCCACGTCCCAGCCCACAACAACACCACCTTCTGCGTAGCCTCCACATTCATCGCCTTCCCCGGTCTGCCCATCTACGCCTCCCAAGACCTGCAAGCCTGGAAGCTCGCCAGCAACGCCTTCAGCCGGCCGTCGCAGATCCCCGACCTGCGCGAGACGACGAATCAGCAGGGCGGGCTGTACGCGCCGACGCTGCGCTACCGCGGGGGGAGGTTCTACCTGATTGTGTCGTTTTTGGGACCCTCGACTAGGGGACTGCTGTTTAGTAGCGCGGATCCGTTTAAGAGTGAGGCGTGGGGTGAGCCGGTTGAGTTTGATGTTGTGGGGATTGATCCGGATATTTTTTGGGATGATGATGAAGGAAATGTGTATGTAACGTCGGCGGATGATCAGCGGATTCAGCAGTATTCGTTGGATTTGGAGACGGGGGAGACGGGTCCGGCTGTTGATTTGTGGAACGGGACTGGGGGGGTTTGGCCTGAGGGACCGCATGTGTATAAGAGGGATGGGTGGTATTATTTGCTGATTGCGGAGGGGGGCACGGAGGTTGATCACGCTGTGATGATGGCGAGATCGAATAATCGGACCGGTCCGTGGGAGCCGTGTCCGCATAATCCGCTGTTGACGAATAGAGGTACCGAGGAGTACTTCCAGACTGTTGGGCATGCGGACCTGTTTCAGGATGGCAATGGGAACTGGTGGGCTGTGGCGCTGGGTACGCGGTCGGGGCCCGAGTTCGTGACTTATCCGATGGGCCGCGAGACGGTCATGGCGCCGGCGACGTGGGCGGAGGGCGAGTGGCCGGTTATTGAGCCGGTGCGAGGACAGATGCAGGGCCCACTTCCTCGCAAGAACAGTCGTTCTCTGAAGGGCCGCGGCGAGGGCCCCTTCGTCAAGCGGCCTGATCGGTTGGATTTCGAGCCTGGCTCGTCTATCCCCGCGCACCTTGTGTATTGGCGGTATCCGAAGGAGGAGCATTTCGCCATCTCGCCGCCGGGCCACTCGCATACCCTTCGTCTTACTCCCGCGTTTGCTAACCTCACAGGGGATGCGTCCTTTCAGCCGGACGATGACATCACGTTCCTTGCTCGCCGCCAGACTGACACGCTGTTCACCTACACGGTTGATGTTAACTTCTCGCCGACAGTGGTCGACGAGGAAGCCGGCATCACTCTCTTCCTGACACAGTTCCAGCACGTGGATATGGGCATCGTGTTGTTGGAATCTTCGAGCGGAGCGCTGACGCCCTCGCTCCGCTTCCGCACCGAAGGACGGGGTAACTACGAGGAAGATATCCCCACGAAGTCGATCGAGCTTCCACATGAGTGGTTGGGTAAACCAGTCAGGCTCGGCATCCGGGCTGTGAGTGACGAGAAGTACGAATTCTTCGCACGGTCGACAGGTAGGCCCAAGGAGACCATCCTTGGGTCTGTTGATGCCAGGGTGGTGAGTGGAAACACGGGGAAATTCACCGGTGAGTGAACCCTCCTGCGGTGATGTGGACGCGGGACATTCTGACCATAACAGGCACCCTTGTTGGGGTTTATGCAACGAGCAATGGGGGGTCGGGCCAGACACAGGCATATGTCAGTCGGTGGAGATATGAGGGCCAAGGGCAGAAGATTGATCACGAGATCATTGTTCCTAGCTACTAGTGCAAGAGTGATGATGTATGTGGTTGAACACGGGGTTTATCATGTATGGAAGGCTCCAAAAACAGGGGTCTTACCCTGAACGGCGAAGGCTTGTCTAGTGACACAGTCACCATGAACATGTTGTTGTCGTCCACGGTGTGATGAACTTTTCCGCGGCCCAAAACCAGTAGTACAAAACGTCCACCCACAGGTCCAGAAGCACAAGAAACAACGAAGCTTTTGAGGCTGTCGGTGAACCCAAATCCAACTCTTGTACTAGATAACACGATAGTGTGTGACATGTCTCGGCAAAGCTTGACCGGACTTGCGTACCACGTACATTCCGGTGTGTCAATCAGGCGCTCCTTGCGTATGTGAAGAGGGTTTCTTCGGAGCACGTCTTCTGGCCTTCTGTCTGTCTGTGGAACGTGAGTCGAGTCCTGGATTGTGGCCAGAGTAGGAGAGGCGATGGATTCTATGTTCGTTGTGCTCGTCTGACATGGCTTTCCCGGTAATTGTCATACGTATGCACTTCTTCCTGAGCATGCTACATTCGGTGAGAGTGACACGAGAGGTTGCTTGACCGTTATTGCCTGGGTGTACACCGTACATGAGATTGGGTATCACGGATGGACTCCTTGCATAATTGTTGGAAACTTGCTAGACGGTCATGTGGATGATATGAGTGTGAATAATTCAGAATGTAGTCCTAGTCCTGGAGCATATGAAAGCTGTAGCTAATAATCATGGCTTCAGAGCAAGAAACCAAGATAAGGATATGAGTGGATATACTCGGTATATGGTGTTGGTCTAACCCGATCGGGGCAATCAATAGCCGGCTCCGCGGAGTCGCGTGTCGCGTCTGGTTCATCACTCCAACCACACTCACCATCCTTGAATTCGAATTCTCTTAATTCCATCAAATTCCTTTATTCAAATAAAAGAATTTAATTATCAACCACCATGGTCAGAAACCATGAAGAGGACGTGCCGGTCCCCGAAGACACCGACCTGTACCAGGTTCTCGGCATTGACAACGACGCCCCTCCGGAGCAGATCAAATCTGCCTACCGGAAACTGGCCCTAAAACACCACCCTGGTACGTCTATCGCTTACACACTAGAGATGATGGGCTATCCAAAAGCTAGGCTAGTGAACGGATACTGACAGACCGCCCCTCCAGACAAAGCCCCCTCCGACGCCAAAGAAGACGCGCACGAAAAGTTCCAACAGATCGCCTTCGCATACGCCATCCTCTCCGACGAGAAGCGACGACGCCGGTACGACCTGACCGGGAACACAGCCGAGGCAGTGGAAGACGACGACGACTTCGACTGGGTGGATTTCTACCGGGAGCAGTTCTCCGCCGCGGTGGACGTGGGGGCGCTCGACAAGCTCAAAGCGGAGTACCAGGGGTCAGCCGAGGAGGAAGGGGACATTCTAGAGGCGTATCGACAGTCCGAGGGAGACCTAGACCGGGTCTACGAGTCGGTGCTGCTGTGCAACGTGCTAGACGATGATGAGCGGTTCCGCGCTGTCATCGACAAGGCGATTGCCGATGGGACGGTGTCTGGGTATAAGAAGTACGTGGAGGAGTCGGAGAAGAAGCGGCAACTGCGGGTGAAGCGGGCGCAGAAGGAGGCGCGGGAAGCTGAGAAATTATCGCAGGAGCTGGACGAGAAGAAACGATCCCAAGGAAAAAAGGGCAAGAGAAGCGCAGGGAAGAAGGGAGCTGGCAGTATGGATGAATTGGCGGCGATAATCCAGCAGCGGCAGGTATCTCGCGGGGTGGGCTTCTTGGATCGATTGGAGGAGCGATATGGGGGTGGGGGGACCAAACGGGGGGTGGACGAGCCTCCGGAGGAAGCGTTCCAGGCTAATGCGGCTCGGAGTGCGAAGAAGAAGAAGGGTAGGGCGTGATTAATTTTTTATTATTATTCTATCTATTTACTGCAGTTTGGGAGTTTGGGTGAGGATCAGGTGTCCGGGTGCATACAGGATTGCAGGCAACAAACATCGGTCTGATATATTTTTGATTATTTGAATAAATTGTATATTCTTATCGTTACCCCATGTTTTTCTCTTATCTCGTTTAATTTAAATTGAGTTATTTTGTTTCAGTTTATTTATGTTTAATTTCGATCTTGAATTTTAATTTTAAGAAAGAAATTTCATAGTGGCTGAATCCGCGTAGGCAACAGAGAAAAGAGACACCCCAGGCAGGAAGGGATCGGACGAAGGATGTTACACCAGGAGACTAGTAATCAGGCTGATGCTGGCCATCATAGTATTTTCAGTATGGGAGTGGGAAGAATGGGATGAAGTTGGGGGTGGAATGTGCAGCTGTGGACTGTATCTTGTGGCATGACTGTCTTCGTTATTGTAAAGGACCGTGGTTATGTCTGTGTATGTGTAGGTATTGAGAGGGCAAATACTAAGGTTACCGAGGTCGAGCTGTCACTGCCACACCTTGGCATGGATCGAGTTGTCGATCCATTGCCAGGAGTTAGTATGGAAATAAATGATGTCAAATAAAATAAAAAAAATAAAACCCAATAAGAAAATAGAATCAACAATAAGATAGACAAATATAGGAAAGAATAGGTTACGCAGGTTGAAAGGAACGGTCTATAGCATGATCCAAGCTACTTAAGCCCTGTTCTTCAGATGCAAGGAGACCGCCAGAGAGAGAGAAGGACTGTGTAAAGCAAGAAAAGTCCCCAGATTCGTCGTGCCCCGCTATGCCGAGCCTTTTTGAACCTTTTGTATCTGGTGAATGAATAGCGTCTGCCTTCAGCCCCTCGATTTATTCTCTCTTCTTCCTCTTTTCTTCGTCTCTCTCTTCTTTCTTTTTCATTCTTGCCTTTCAGTTTCTCTCTGGCTGGTTGATTCGTCTGGACATTCCTTCATCCGAACTGACACTTCCTTGCCTTTCTCTGATGTGACCGTCTGATCTCGAGCTCCATCCTGGAACCACTTCTCATCATCTCCAGAATCAGGTTGTGCTTCTCTGGTGTGCCTAATTGCCTGAGGTGCTCGTATCGAACCTGTTGCTTTGTGCCTGACAGCGATCAACGACGGTCTCAGCCAAAGAACCCAGGAAAAAAAGTACGGCTTCCCGGATTGTTTTCGTCGACTCGGTTCAGTCCTGCCACGATCGGACCCTTGGAGCTTGGAGCTAGAGATTAAGCTAGGCCTGAGCTACTATTAGCTACTGTTAGCTACTCGGAGCTGAGCTGAGCTGAGCGGGAGCTCTTGACCTGCCTCAGGCATCCTTATCGCTCGTCCATATCGCGACCGGTTTCAACTCCCCTCACCCCGTCGGTCACTTTCCTCCTCGTCGATCTTCCCCTCTTTCGTCCCTTGAGAAAAAAAAAAAAAGAAGGAAAAAAAGAAGAAAGGATCTACCCTTCAAGTAGGGTGCGACCGTGAAATCCAACAGATCGTCAGGATTGTCACCGCCCGGCACGTGGAAGTGGTTCTTCCTACCGGATAGTTATCGGGTAACCTCACCCTCCTCCTGCCCCTCCCCCTCCTTACACTGATTGTGTCTTCTTTGTCCGTTAAGGTGGTTCTTGATTATTGATACATTATCCTGATAGATCCTCGGATACCCGTGGTGGTCCTTAAAGCGGAGCTGCTTTCGCGGGTCGAAGCGGAGCCAATCGTCATTCGAGCACTGACGTCTGCCCTCTCCACATTCTTCACCACCCTGTCCGCTCGGAAGACTTCTTCGGGACACTCTCAAAGGTCTCCACTGTTGACCACCAAAAACGCCGCAGGCGGCATCCACCCCCACCCGGTATGGCTTACAATCGCAATCGGAAGCGTGTCGGTATGGGCTTGGCCAGCGCCCTGGAAGAAGAACGCTTGGAGCTCGCCGCCGAACTCGAGAATCGCAACGGTACCTCCACCAGGAAGGCCCCCCAATCCCAGCGACGGAGTGTCTTCGATACCGTCCCAGACCTCGGAAACCCAACGCCGGCGCCGTTCCCCCCGCGGCATGGGTCCATCGCCGGCATTGGCGTCGGTGTGACCCCGCCCTCGCATCGCCGCTCCCTGCAAGAGCCCCTGCTCGCCCCGTCACCGCTGCGTTCAGCCACTCCGCCCCCTCCCCCCCCGCCCACCACCTCGACCCCCACCACCCCGTCCACCCACCGGGTGGCGGCCACCACCACCTCCCGCGCCCCGCCCCCCATCGTCAAGCCGAAACCAACCGTCAGTGCCAACGGTGGCACCGAACCCAACGGCAAGGACAAGCCCCCCGAGAAACCCCGACCGAGCATTCGCTGGGACGATAGCGTCATCATGTCGCCCACCGCCAACAGCTACAATTACGCCCGCCGGAGCAGCCAGCAGCACGAGAGGCCCCCCAGCAGACCCCAGAGCAAGAATGCTGTCGCCGCCATGATGTCCGGCCTCGACCTCAGCTTCGGCCTGCCGGGCTTCTCCCGTGGCCGGGATTCCTCCCGCAATAACTCCAAGCGAGGGGCCTCGCTGGATTCGCGCCTGCCCTCCCGCAAAGCCCGCTCCCGCTCCACCTCGCCGGCCACGCGCCTCATGAGTCCCGGTCCGCCGCGCGTCCCCGCGTCGACCCCGTCCTCCCCCGTGATGGCCAAAGCGAAGCCGTACGTCGTGGAGACCACCGACCTGTCGGCAAACAAGCCTCCCTCTCCCCCGCCGGTTCCACCCACCCAGGAGCCGTCGGACGGGGACACCGCCGCGAAGCCGGCGCCCGCGGGGGATGAGCGTCTGGCCAAGGATGTGTACGACAGTGACAACAATCTCATCGAGACCAGTGAGGACGACGACGATGACTCCTCGTCGTCGAGTGACGAGTCTAGTCCGGACCGTGACGGAGACGAGGAGGCCCCGCGAGGCCGCACCAAGGATCCTGGTCGAAACGGGCCCGCGACGACGGAGCCGAATGCCGCGGTCCGCGACAGCGCCCAAACGACGGACAACGACGACGACGTCGAGGACCGCAGGCGTTCTGCCTCCGCGAAGCAAGGCCCCGGCCCCGCCCCGACGAAGAAAACCGAGGTCCACCCCCGGACCAGCTTTGACTCGGCCTCGGCGACCAACACGCCGTTCGGGTCGGAAGACGAAGCGGAGCTGTCCGACATCAAGAAGGCCCAGAAGCTGAGCATCCGCATGTCGGCGATCGACAACTCCATCCGCAGCCGCTCCATCCGCACCATCATCCGGGGCGACTACGCCAACCTGCCCGAGGAGACCGACGGCGGTCGTCGCCGCCCGCGCAAGTATATGGTGACCACCGACCTCAGCGAGGAGTCCGTCTACGCGCTGGAGTGGACCATCGGGACGATCCTGCGGGATGGGGACACCATGTTTGCCGTCTTCTGCCTCCACGAGGAGACGGGCGCCCAGATCGGCGAGGGCGCGGAGTCCATGCAGGACGCCGCCGCGGTCGTGGGATCCCAGACCGAAGAGACGGTGCGAAAATCCCAGAACGACCCCGCCTCCAATCTCTCGCGGACGATTCTGGGCCGCCTGGGAACCGGCACGGACAGCAGACCCGGGTCCGTCGACGCGCGGGGCATGTCCAAGGCCGAATCCGAGCGCGTGCATGCCGTCGAGATCATCTCACAGACCTGCGTGCGGTTACTTCGCAAGACCTTGCTTCAAGTGCGAGTCGCCGTGGAGGTGATCCACTGCAAGAGTCCCAAGAATATGATCACGGAAGCAGTGAGCCTCTCTTTTTTTTTTTTCTTCCATGATCGATAGCGGTTGACTGACATTGTGGCTTCTAGATTGACGGACTGGACCCGACCCTGGTCATTGTGGGCGCTCGGGGTCGCAGCGCACTGAAAGGGTAAGTTGTCGCTCCACTGGCTGTGCGAATCCTAAAAACTGATAGCCGCGTAGTGTTCTTCTAGGATCCTTTTCCAACTACCTGGTCATGCATTCGTCCGTCCCCGTGATGGTCGCCCGCCGGAAATTGAAGAAGCAGTCGAAGAACAAAAAGGCCACCGTTCGCCTATCGAACAATCTCTCGGCGCCGAAGAAACTATCCCAGGCCAAGATCGACTAATCGTTGTGTTCTCTCCATCGGATGGCGTTCTGTAGTTTTCCTTGATGGTTGGCTGGCTGGCTGGCCCCATGGCGCAGGTCTCCCTTTTTTCTCTTTCCCCATTTCCTTTGTTGTACTTTCTCTCATTTTTCCTCCGATTGCGTTCTTCAGTGGAACCCTTCAGATCTCTCAATCGCGTTACTGCTCCATGTGTATATCTACGATTCCCCTTAGGATGGACCGTTATGATCCCGTTTCAACCTGTCTCCTCATCTTGAGGAATCATTTGGTGGCCCCATCTCTGATTTGATTGTCACAACTCCTCCGATGTTACGGTTTTTAGCGCCTTTTTTTTCAATGTTCTTCAGCTCCAACAACGTGATGATTTTTCTATGAACACCCTAGCGGTAGTTGAATATAGTAGACCACCCACGTAAACGCAGTAAATGGTCCGGACCGAATCTAGAGCATCGACTCCACTGTACGATGCCTCAGGCAACGGCATGACACATCACGTGGGGCAGACGCTCACCGCCCAGACAGCGGAGCGGCATCATCCACGCACCCCCGGCCGTAGCTGGCTTGATATCTCCACCTCACACAACGTACGGAAGCATCTTTCCTCTCTCTCCCCTCTCTCCCCCTCACCTCTCTTATCCTCTCCTGCCTGCGGTACCTCACTGAGGACCACCACCTCCTCCATCATGGCGTCCGAATTCATCGACCCCAGAATGACCTCCATCAAGCCTCACATCCGCTACAACACCATCGGAGGTATCAACGGACCGCTGGTGGTTCTGGACAACGTACGCCGAACTCCCACCTGATAAGCTTCGTCGTCTACACTCTGCGGAAGATATCATATTCTAAACTGGATGTTCTCATGTTGACGCTCACCTCGCTAGGTTAAATTCCCCCGGTACAACGAGATCGTCTCCCTGACTCTGCCTGATGGGACCGAAAGGTCGGGTCAGGTTCTGGAGGCTAGAGGTATGTACTATGCTGCTCAGCTGTATAGGTGCCGCTATGAGCTGGAGACTGATATAGATGTGTGATTAGGAAGCAGAGCCGTCGTTCAGGTGCGAGCGTCATGTTCCCCTCCCCCCCCTCTTTCCCCGTAGCGGAGGTCTGAGCTTATCGTGCGGGATGTGGATGTTAACGCGCTTTGGTGATTGTTTAGGTCTTTGAGGGTACTCCGGGTATCGATGTTAAAAGGGTATATTCTTGCTGTTTCTATATGGGCAGGCTGTGCCTGTGGATTATGGGGATGAAATGCTAATTCCTCTTAGACCAAAGTCGAGTTCACCGGCCACAGTATGAAGCTGGGTGTCTCGGAGGACATGCTTGGTCGTGTGTTTGACGGGTCGGGTCGTGCGATCGATAAGGGTCCCAAGGTGCTGGCGGAGGATTACCTGGATATCAACGGTCAACCGATCAACCCATACTCGCGAGTATGCTTGCCCCCTCGATCGACGCAAGTAGTTTGAGAGCTAACGGTGTACAAGGTGTATCCGGAAGAAATGATCTCTACCGGTATCTCGGCCATCGATACCATGAACTCCATTGCCCGTGGTCAGAAGATCCCCATCTTCTCCGCCTCCGGTCTGCCGCACAACGAGATTGCCGCCCAGATCTGTCGCCAGGCCGGTCTGGTCAACAAGCCCACCAAGGACGTCCACGACGGACACGAGGAGAATTTCTCGATCGTCTTCGCCGCCATGGGTGTGAACATGGAGACCAGCCGTTTCTTCACACGCGACTTCGAGGAGAACGGCAGTATGGAGCGCGTCACGCTGTTCCTGAACTTGGCCAACGACCCGACGTATGCTCCCTAATCCTTGCCGCAAGGGCTTAACTAATACGAGTGTGCAGGATCGAGCGTATCATTACCCCCCGTCTTGCCCTGACCACTGCCGAATACTACGCCTACCAGCTGGAGAAGCACGTCCTGGTCATCATGACGGACATCTCGGCATACTGTGATGCCCTTCGTGAGGTGTCCGCCGCCCGAGAAGAAGTGCCTGGTCGTCGTGGTTACCCCGGTTACATGTACACGGATTTGTCGACCATCTATGAGCGTGCGGGACGTGTGGAGGGCCGTAACGGGTCGATTACCCAGATCCCTATCTTGACTATGCCTAATGATGGTGTGTTTCTCCTGCCTCTACCTGCCTCTTCTATTTCCTTCTATCCCCTACCAATGCGTCCGATACTAATATGGACAGATATCACCCATCCCATTCCCGATTTGACCGGTTACATCACCGAGGGCCAGATCTTCATTGACCGACAGCTGGACAACAAGGGTGTCAGCCCCCCGATCAACGTCCTCCCTTCGCTGTCCCGTCTGATGAAGTCTGCCATCGGTGAAGGCCACACGCGCAAGGACCACTCCGATGTGTCCAACCAGCTGTACGCCAAGTACGCCATTGGACGAGACGCCGGTAAGTCACCCACCCTCCCTCCATGCCAGACCAACAAACTAACAATCCAAAGCCGCCATGAAGGCCGTCGTCGGCGAGGAGGCCCTGTCCCCCGAAGACAAGCTCTCCCTCGAATTCCTCGACAAGTTCGAACGCACCTTCATCAGCCAGTCCGCCTACGAGTCGCGCAGCATCTACGAATCCCTCGACATCGCCTGGAACCTCCTCCGCATCTACCCCAAGGACCTCCTCAACCGTATCCCCAAGCGCGTCCTCGACGAGTTCTACGCTCGCTCCGCCCGCAAGGTCGCCAACAAGGACACCCGGGACAGCACCAACCCGGGCCAGCTGCACTCGCAGGGCGAGGATCTGATCGATGCTTAGTTTTTTATATGTTGTCTTGTGGATATGATATGTCTGTTTCCTTTTCGCCGATATCTATGCCGTTTTGCGTGTTTAAAACTCTTTTCTTTCTCGTTCTAGGCTTGTCTGGATTGATTTTGCTGCCGTAGTTGTATATCTATTATGTCTTATTTATATCATACTGTTATGAGATAAGATTGTACAGTCCGTATGGTATTGTTCTAGATACTGATTACGTTAATTATCGACGTTCTTTCAAGACAAGAAGATATAGCTAGTTGGCTCATCTACATAACTCTATTTACTGTTGGATACTAAGACCCTACTTCGCCAATCGGTGTTTTGGTCGAACAGTCAAGATGGAAGACATGCTAACGTTTACCTTGTTCTATCTGCCTAACTATATGCAAACAAACAGCTGATGACATGACTACAGACACCTACCTAGTACATAAGTCAACACTAAATAAGAGTAAGAATACCAAAGTATAAAAAACAGACTTGTATTTCATTTTAGTCTAATAATTTAGTTGTGAATTTTTATTTGAAATAACGCTTAAACCCGAAATATCAAACCATGCAATTCTTTTCCCAGTCAGTCTATATCAACGGGGTTTTAGAATTTTTAAAAGCGCAAATCCCAACCAATCTTGGGGCCCAAACGGGGCAACTCATCCGCCACACTCTGCACGTCCTTGTCTCCGCGACCGCTGAGGTTCAGCACGATGTTCTCGCCCTTCTTCATGGTCTTGGCGAGCTCCATCGCGCCGTAGATAGCGTGGGACGACTCCAGCGCAGGGATGATGCCCTCGTGCTGGGAGAGCGCGCGGAAGCCCTGCAGGGCCTGCGCGTCCGTGGCGGCGATGAAGTGCGCGCGCGCGCTGTCCTTCCAGGAGCTGAGCTCGGGGCCGACGCCCGGGTAGTCCAGGCCGGCGGAGATGGAGTGCGTTTCGGAGATCTGTCCGTGCTCGTCCTGCAGGACGTAGGTGCGCACGCCGTGGAGGACGCCCTTGCTGCCGCCGGAGAGGGTGGCCGAGTGGCGGGCGGTGTCGACGCCGTCGCCGCCGGCTTCGACGCCGAGGAGCTTGACGGAGGGGTCCTTGGAGAAGGGGTAGAACATGCCGACGGCGTTGCTGCCGCCGCCGACGCAGGCGACGACTGCGTCGGGGAGCTTGCCGAGCTGCTCTTGCATTTGCTGCTTGGTTTCGTCGCCGATGACGGACTGGAAGGTGCGCACGATGAGGGGGAAGGGGTGCGGGCCGATGGCGGAGCCGATGATGTAGTGCGTGCTGTTGAGGTCGACGACCCAGGCGCGGAGGGCTTCGTTGACGGCGTCGCGGAGGGTGCGGCTGCCTGCGTCGACGGCGACGACGTCGGCGCCGAGGAGCTTCATGCGGAAGACGTTGAGGGCCTGGCGGCGGACGTCTTCGGCGCCCATGTAGACGACGCACTTCATGCCGAACTTGGCGCAGACGGTAGCGGTGGCGACGCCGTGCTGGCCGGCGCCGGTCTCGGCGATGATGCGCGTCTTGCCGAGGCGGCGGGCGAGGAGGATCTGGCCGAGGGCGTTGTTGATCTTGTGGCTGCCGGTGTGGTTGAGGTCCTCGCGCTTGAGCCAGATGTTGGCTCCGCCGACGTGGTCGGTGAGACGGTTGGCGAGGTGGAGGCTGCTGGGTCGCCCCATGTAGGGGTAGTAGGAGCGGTACTCCTCCCAGAAGGAGGGGTCGTTGAGCGCGTGGTTGAAGCCGCGCTCCAGCTCGGCGAGGCAGTCCATAAGGGACTCGGGCACGTACTGGCCGCCGAACTCGCCGAATCGCGAGGGTTGCTCGGCGGGGTTGCCGGCGCCGTTGAGCGCCGCCAGCTGGTCGGCCAGGCCGGGGCCGGCGGGGGTGTCAACGTCCTTGACAACAGCCGTAGGCTGCGACACGGGGGCCGTCTCCGGCTTCTTATCGACACGTTCCAGCACATTGGTTTCACCGATAACGGTCCCTTGGGCATCACGCTGCAGCTTACGGCCGGTGACGCTCGACAGGTACTCCTCGGCATCCTTGGCCGCCTGTCCAGCAGGGGCCTTGCCAAGGACGGAGATGATCTGGCTGCCAATCACCACACCCTCCGCAAGGTCCTGCACGTTGAGGAAGTGCTCGCGCGTGCTAATACCGAAGCCCAGGGCGGCAGGCACATTCCCAGACCACTGGTGGACACGGCCGAGGAGTTCGGGGAGGTTGGCGCTGAGCTGTCCGGTGGCGCCCGTGACGCCCATTCTCGAGACGACGTAGATGAAGGAGTCGGCGATTTTGCAAAGGAGCTCCATGCGGGACTCGGAGGTGGAGGGGGCGATGAGCGGGACGTAGGACAGACTGGGGATCATGATGCATATCAGTACAACTGCGATTTCGCTCGATCTGGCAAGGGGCACGCGAGGGCTTACCCATGGCTGGTGCACAGGTTCCGAAATCGGACGGCCTCCTCTGGGGGCAGGTCGACCATGATGAAACCATTGACACCGGCTTCCTTGCAATCCTGGAGCATCCGCTCCTCACCGTAGCGCATCAAGGGGTTATAGTAGCCCATCAGAAGCACGGGGGCTTTCAGGCCCCGGGCTCTGGCATCGCGGACCATCTGCAGGACTGTCGTGACGGTGACCCCGTTGGCCAGGGCTTTGGTGTTGGCGACTTGGATTGTGGGGCCATCCGCAATCGGATCGGTGAAGGGTACGCCCATCTCGATAACGTCTAGTCCGAACGGTCAACGAGGTCTATCCTCTTCTCTTTGGATGGTAGGGGGATGCGACACATACCAGCGCCTCCATTTTCCAGACCCAGGAGAATATCGACGGCCTCCTCGACCGAGGGATAACCCGCCGTGATGTAGGCCACAAGGGCAGCACGCTTCTCCTCCTTGGCCCTAGCGAATGTCGCCTTGATGTGATCCATGATGTTGTTGTTTTGAGGAAAGTGGGGGAGAAGTGGTCTAGAGGGAAAGAAGACGCGAGAAAAAGATTGGAAAAGACCAGATATGAAATAGCGGGATGAAGAGAAGAGAGTGAGAGGGGAGACAGAGATCGAAAGGAGGGAGTAAGACAGACGAGGGAGAAGTCTGGGGGAACACAAGGGCTGATCTTGTCTACTTTTTGAGTCATCGTGAAATAACTTCGTTTTCCCCCTCGCCGATCACCGCCAGGTCACGTGGTGGCGGCGATAAGATAGAGAGCACGTGATAATATGTTTCTGTTCATTGTGACTAATACTGTACATAAGTATGCATCCATATCATATTCATTAACCCTTATCTTATCTTTGATCTTATCTTCCATCTTCATCATATCTCTACTCATCCTCGTCCTTGCCCTTGCGATCATTCATCATTGCTGTCGTCTTTATCATCTCCGCTCTCTTCATCGTCTCCGCTCTCTTCATCGTCTCCGCTCTCTTC